CTCGCCGAATCGGGGACTGCGCGCCATCTGGAAGACAATGCTTGTGAGCCAAAGGACTTTCCAAGATCTCGGTTGCGACTGTCTATCACGACAGCAGCTCCAACGTTAGTGTGTTAAGCCACGGACCTAGACCCAGGTCCCCCCCGCAGCCAATGATGCTCCTTACTCGTCTCGCAACATCCATCCCCAAGCCCACCATCTCGACTCGTCGGTATCGTTGACGTGTAGGCTTTGGAGGACTCCGAGACCTCTAGACGAGATCAGCCCGACAGAGTAACGATGCTGCACAGGTAGGTGGTGTGGCATGGAGGGGTGTGTAATCTTGGAGCAAGAAGACCGAAAGTTTCAATCTCATTCATTCTTACATTCATGCACCAGTAACATCAACAGACTTCCAAATCCTGGCCGGCAAATTTTCGACCCAATCCTGCCTTGATCCCGAGACCCAACCAGCCGGTGAAACAATGCCTCAAATATCCGTCAGAGGCCAATTAGAAGGTTCATTGCGCAGGACATCGCGCATCACCTCCTTCGCTTCGGAGACGAGCTTTCAATGAGCCACCCCAACCTACAGCTTGGAGGCAGGGCGTGCGCTACCGACGGCGGTAATCTCATCGTACAAAAGACTGTTGGTTAAGTCAGTACATTTGCTCCACGGTACGCAATCACCGAATGATAACAGCCACGCGGCGCAGAGGAACGCCCCGATGGTAACGAAATGGCGCCGGTGGTGGTGGCGATGTGGGATGGGATCGCATGATGTTGACTTACGTGGTCAAGAAATCGGCGTAATCTTCGCCGGTGACCTGGCCGGCAAAGTACTGCGCGGCGAGGTGGTACTTGTTGCCCTTGGGTGCCTTGCTGGCGAGCTCTTCGGCAGACTCCTTCAGAAGCTTGAGGGCGTAGGCCTTGTCGACCTTCTTGCCTTCGGCGGTGGACACGCCGTGCTTCACCCACTGCCAGAGCTGAGAACGAGAGACCTCGGCGGTGGCGGCGTCCTCCCTATGCAACGTATAAGTTTCATGCTTCTGCAAAAGATGAAAGGTCGGAAACGTGTGTACTTACATGAGGAAATTGATTGGAACGCAACCAACGCCGCGGATCCAGGCCTCCATGTAGCCGAGACCAATGTTGAGGTTCTTCTTGATACCCTCCTCAGTGATCTTACCCGGTACGTTCATGTTCAACAAGTCATTCTGGCCAATCTTGACATCCTCACGACGAACAAACAGTTGGTTGGGCGTGGGCATGTTCTTGTTGAAGATTTCAGAGGCAATGGCCGCCAGGGCAGGGTGAGCGACCCAGGTTCTTTGATATGATGTGAGTGGTTAACCCAGTGGCACGAGGCAGAACGGCAGCAAACTCACCCGTCGTGACCAGCGCGGACTTCACGCAGCTTGTCGGCGCGAACGCCTTCCATCGCCTTGTCGTTGGCAGCCTTGTCATCCTTGATGGGGATCTGGGCAGCCATCCCGCCCATAGCGTGAACGCCTCTCTTGTGGCAAGTTTGGATGAGGAGCTTGACCTGTGCAAAAAGTTAGTCTCTTCTCGATCTAAGCATGCGAGGGGCGCGGTTCTACTGACATAGGCATCCATGAAGGGACTAGTCATAGTGACGGCGCTGCGGTCGGGCAGGACAAAGTTGGAATTGTTTCTGAATTTCTTGATGGTGCTAAAGATGTAGTCCCAGCGACCGCAGTTGAGGCCTGAGCTGTGATCTCTCAGCTCATAGATGATCTCGTCCATCTCAAATGCGGCCAGAATAGTCTCGATCAGGACGGTTCCACGGATGGTGCCACGGGGGACACCGACGTAGTCCTGGGCCAGATTGAAAGCGTCGTTCCATAGGCGAGCCTCGAGGTGGGACTCCATCTTGGGGAGGTAGAAGTACGGGCCAATGCCGATATCGATAGTCTGGCGAGCATTGTGGTAGAAGTAAAGGCCAAAGTCAAAGAGGGAACCAGAGATGGGCTCGCCGTCTACGGTAACGTGCTTCTCCTCCAAGTGCCAGCCACGGGGCCTAACGATCAGGGTTGGCAGAGTGCGGTCGGTACGGAGCTTGTACTCCTTGGAACCCTGCTTGAAGTCGACCTTGCGGCGGTTGGCATCGTACAGGTTCACCTGGCCATTGACCATATTCTCCCAAGTGGGCGCGCTCGAGTCTACAACAGGACATTGTTAGTACAGTACACCAATGGACGTTATATATGTATTCCGAGATGTCGCAGACTTACCCTCGAAATCAGCCATGTAAGTCCAGACATTCGAGTTCAGGGCATTGACAACCATCTTTCGGTCGGTCGGGCCGGTAATCTCGACTCTACGGTCGACCAGACCAGGGGCCGGCGGTGCACCCTTCCATGTGGAGTTCTCTCTGATGTGCTTCGTCTCAGGGAGGAAGTCGGGCAGGACGCCGCGGTCCAGCTCGGCCTGGCGGAGCTTGCGGCGCTCGAGAAGTGACTTGCGAGTAGCATTGAAAGAGCGGTGCAGCAGGGCGAGGAAGGCGAGGGCATCGGGGGTAAGGATCTTGCGCTGAGCATCCGTGACGGTGCCGAGGACGTTGACGCCCTGGAGAATTGCTTCGGTGGTTGCCATTGTGTGTGGGTATGTGTGAGTGTGTACTTGGAGATGGTGTTTGCGGTGCGGTGGTACGCCACTGGTAGGATATTCCGGTCGGCGGCTACCTACACAAATTGGTTGTTGCAGGAAGGTTTTCACGTGTTAGAGGAATGCGCACAAGCGTCGTCGTGAGACAGGACGACGGTTCGAGTAAGCGTGTGACGCGGGGTATATTATGTATCCAAGGAGAACAAGAGCAACTGAATCTGGAGGAAGAAGCTTGAAGGAAGCAAACGACTGGGTGTTATGGAAGAAGTGAACGGATAAAGAAGTCCTGCCGAGTAAGCGAAGCAGACTGCAAGGCTCTAAGTATTAATTGTTAAAGAAAACAGCTTCAGATGGGGGTTTGGCGCGATGGACCTGGACGAGTACCGTCGCAAGCTCGGCTCAGACGAGTCGAGTCGAATCGAGCGAGGGGTTGGCCGGCGCCCATCCATGACAAGGGCTGGAATGATAGCCTCAAGCAGACCAAGAGGAAGAGGCAAAAAGCGGGACCGGGGGAACTTGTCGGCATCCACCCGAGGTACATCCAAATAGGTGGGATCGCACACTGCCAGGGGAGGTCCTTTGTGGTGGTCGTAGAAGTACCGGGACAGCATCATCGCGGTTTAGTCAGGGACCCAGAAGCAGCCGTCAAGCATACTTGGGTGCTTGGGTCGGCAGTGATCGGGCTGGTTCGGGTGGATGGAGAGCCTCAGAGCCGGACCGCGGGGAGAAGAGGAGAGGGGAGAGAGAGACGTCCATGCGTGTGGTTGGTGTTGGAGATTGGGTTACAAAGGGAGGTTCGTCAAAGGAGGCAGACACCAGACGCTTGTGAAAGTGTGGGGAAGAGTGAAACCAGACCACCAGAAAAGAAGCCGAATCTCAGTGAGGTGACTTTGCATGTGCTCGTCCGGCTCGCTCCATGACATGTACCGCCTGTCGTCCTCGCCTTGCATTTCGTTACAGTCGAGATCGGGTTCGATGATGATCCGATGATAAGTGAAGCGACCGGGAGCAGCACCTTACACTAGACAGCAACCTCGCTTCCCAGTGACCTCATTGCAATGCCTCTGGCAAGTCTCATTGGGCTGACCCGACATTGACATGGGCATGCGTGGTGGGGTCAGATTGTGGTAAGAAATGCCTGCCACAGAAAATCGACAGCAATATTGGCCACCATCTAATTCTAAAGCGCCATCTCCGCCCTCCGTGCTCTCTGTGTGAAGGCTTTTCCATCCGCCTCACTCAATTGAATCTCCTACTCGATACTATCGAGCAATTTTGTGAAAATTCTTTCCCTTCTTGTCAAGGCCTTGTGTGCATTCTCAACCTCGTGTCCAAACGTACCCGCCGTGCCGTCCTAGGGCCCACGTTCCCCAGGCCGAAGTCGGATCCGGTCGCGATAAGGGACCACATTGTCGCCGCCGGCGAGAGCCACGGTCGACGGAGGCGAGGCCCGTAAGCGAAGCTCGTCTCTGGGGTAAGAATAAGGGTCCGTCACAGGTCCACATATTCGCACATCTCTCTCAAGGTAATCGCTGTGAAGTTGAGCTTTCGTTGCACCAACTTCTTTTCAAAGCCTCGCATTGCGACGAATGAACAAGCAACGGTGCACCAACTTTCCAATCACCAATTCAGCTTCGACTCTAGGTACCTCAGGAAACCAATGCTCTCTCCACTTGCCGAGCTCTTATGACGCGGGACCCATGGATACCCGTGGTTTGAGCTCACACCAAGATCCGATTCACCGAGCTGCCGAGGTCTGCTTCCTGTGCTACCCCAGCTGAGCGAAATCCAATCAGCGTTCTCGTGAATGCCGACAGTTTCCGGCCCTTGCCGTCAGTGGTCACCCATCCACTTGTACCAGAACCTGTCAACGCACATCTGGCGACAAAACAATGATCTTCGTCTGTACTGTAGCAATCAACTTTTTGGTACCTATGCAGCTCGACCCTATGAACAGTAGCCTCTTTGCTTCTCGGCCATACAAAAAACCTGTTGATGGTCGAAGAATGATTTCAATCATCGGACGGGATTCCCAAACGACCAATCCATTGAACTATGGATGTAGACCGCAGCTTTGAATCATGCTGGGCAAGTCATCCAACCACATTCATTATCCATCCTCCAGTCCCTCAAATGCCCTCCGAGACTTGTGATGTCGAGCTGTAGGCCATGCTTCGCAAACAATCAAGTCTTATCCTCCGAAATGAATATTCCCAGCCAATGCTTGATCCCAGATGTGCTACTGGCAAGAAAAAAGTGAGGAAGGAAAAAAAAAAAGCAGAACCGTGGGGAAACCCGTCAGTCGGTCCTTAGTCCATCAACCTACCGAGCCGGTACCCCAAAAACGAATGTCGCCGCCCACCTTCTGACGCCAAATGCAATCTCGTCCACTCTCAGGAATTGAGCGTTTTGATCATCATCTTCTCCTTGGACTTGTCGGCGACAACCAGCCCTCGCGATCCGAACACCGTACGGACCGTGTCCACTACCTTGTGGAAACTGCTGGCCGCCCCGCGCTCTTGCGTAAACCGTACAATGCAGAGGGGCCCCTTCTTCCCGTGTTCGATCACTGTCATAATCTCCGCGGCAAATGCAACTTCTTTCATGCCTAAGTCTGTGTGGAGAATTAGCAAGAGAAATCAGGGCCTTTCAAAAGAGCGACGCCATGGCACTTACAATTCTGCGCCCCAACTCGGGCAAACACAATGTTCCTCTCCTTCTCGACCTGGATATCTCTCATACCATAACGTCGCCAGTCTTTGAGGAGGATGACCATTTCTTGCCGAGCTCGCTTCCGCGACATGGCCAGGCATACGTAGCTCGTCGCGGGCTTCACTCCAAAGAGACGCGCCAGCCAGTTTTGATGAACCGCGATTGTCCGAGCCCCCTTTTCAGAGTCGTTCCAGCTCTTAACTGATTTTCGATTCGTTTCGTGTCCAGTAGCTCTTCTGTTGTCGGGAGAAGGAGAGTCATCGTACTCTGTACCTGGGGTGGATGTTAGTGGTGCATGCTCATTGAGAGCAGTATTCGTGGCCCGATGCTCACCAACAATCGCCATCTTCCCCTCGGCCTTGTCTTTACCGCTCTTCCAGAAAAGCAGGCCGAAGCCCTTCTTCCTGGTTGCAACTGGGGGAGGAGGCTCGTGGAACTTTGTTTCCGAGCGGCTCGGGGCTGTGGACTGGGTGGTCATGCTATGTGCCTGGGTTTCTTGAGTTGCCTCGGTATTGATGCTACCCTCTCTAGAGGTGCTATCCTTTGAGTAACGCTTGAACCACGATGACTTTTTCTGCTTCGTTGTGCCACTCCCATGAGTAGCAGCAGATGGAGTCGATGGCTCATCCATACCCGATGCACCATGCATGTAGACGTAGCGCTCTTCGACCTGGTCCTCGTAAGCCGGCCGCTCAGCAGTCTTCTTTCGCACGTTCAGAGGCTTCGGGATTGGACTCGTTGCACTTGGCGAGTTGACGACACGGATAGTGTCCCCTGCTTGAATCAGATAATCAAGACCGTCCTTTTCAGCGTAACCGCCAGGGGTCTTTGGCGGGGCAGATACAATCCTGTTCCGGTCAGTATCTCTCCAGTGAGATGAAGACTCTGAATCTCGTCCATTCTCGTTGATTGCTGGTAGACGGCCGGTCGTTTTGTTACTCTGTCCATGTGTAGGTGCAGATATACTACGCCGGTCTTGCTTAGGAAGTAAAGTAGGAAAGCCCAGACGATTGACTTGATCCACAAACTTTCCAACCCGACCAGAATGCTGTGCGTCCTTGGGCTGTTCGTGGTGCTTGATGGGTCTCTCAGTCTCCGGACTCGAGGATGGCGTTAATTTGGGAGCCGGCAGAGGTGGCAAGGGTCGAGTATCCCATGGGTGGTAAGGATTGGTCAAAGTCTCGGGAGAGGGTGTCACTTGGCCCAAAGACAGACCCGTAGACTCTCTCTTGATACCACCTTTGTCGTCCAAAACCAGCTCTGTTGTCTCATCGGCAGAGAGGAAGCTGTTGAATGCTTCATCGCAGTCCTTCGCGATGCTGTTGCTGAAGTTGCGTAATTCCTCGTTAACCATGACCGCAGGGTCCCGGGGCTTCACGATTTTCAGCTTCGGTCTGGGTCTTTCCATCATGGGAATGTGCTTAGGCGGATTTGTCGGGGATTGGGGTCTCTCCTGGTAGGCTGTCTCTCCAACAACGCCTGGAACATCTCGATGACGCTTGTCGGCATGAGCATCAGCAGACTTCTTTCTTATGTGAGAAAAGTCGATACCTCGCTTGTGGCGTGAAGCCGGTCGGCTGTAGGAAGTTCCTTGTCTGCTGCTAGGAAGCGAATTCATTGAGCTGCGGGGAGACTGGAAGCGTCCAGACTTTGCTGTTCGCTGAGAGTTGACGCGGGAGTGACGCTGTGTTGAGCCTGTCTTGACATGTGACAATTGTGATGCCTGAGTACTCTCTCGTTTCATGGAGCCTCGATGATTACGGTGAACTACAATCTTCGCGTGACTGGCCTGAGAATGTCCTCGCATAGGTCGGCTTGAATTGTAAGGGTCGTAGCTCTGGATCGTTCCGTCGTCCGTCTCCGCGACATGAGAGATGACGGTGAAGCGCGAGACGCTTCTGCCCGTCCCGTCCGCCCTGGGCTGGTTGAATTCGACAGTCGATACCCTCTTCTTCCAAATCGGTTCGTGCAGGTGATGGTAGTCACTAGGTGACTGAGACAGCTCTGGGAGAAAGTTCTCTAGCTGCTTCTGGCGGTAGTTGTGAAGAAGCCAGTAGAACAGCTTCTGGTCGTTTTTCCTGCTTCAAGTTAGTGCTGTTGCGGAGGAAATCCGTCACGAGTTGTACATACGCAGAGTCCATGAGCTTCAACTTGATATGATGTTCGGTGAGCATGTGCCACAGGGACCGAAGCTGTCTGACCAGATGAGGGTCGACCTCATGGGGCTTCAGTGGGGTGTAGTGAAAGCCCTTGCGGAGGTCGTTGAGCTGGTAATTGTTGCCGAGGTCGTCGAGATAGTCGTACTTTCGAATCAATGGATGCTGCCACATCTCCTTGATGCTAATTCTTGTATCAGGATTGGCCACGAGCATGCGACGGATGAGATCTTTGGCCTCAGGGCTCAAGAAGTCAGGGATCTCGTATATACCCCTCTTAGTTTTCTGGAGCAGTGCACCAATGTCCGGGTCATCAAAGGGCAGGCAGGCGGCCAAAAGGGCATAGAGAATGACACCCAGTGACCAAATATCGGCTTTGTCTCCTCGATAGTGCTTATGCTTCAACAATTCAGGGGCAGCGTAGTGGGGACTGCCGCAAGCCGTCACAAGTCGATGCTCCGAAGACTGGTGCAAGGCGGCCATGCCAAAGTCGGCAATCTTGACTTTGTTGTCGGGAGTCAGCAGAATATTTTCGGGCTTGAGGTCTCGATGGCAGATGTTGAAGGAATGGCAATATTGAAGAGCGCTCATCATTTGCCGAAAAAGGAACATGGCGCCCTCCTCTGTAAATCGACCATTGGTATTGATGTAGTCGAACAAGTCACCCTGTTCAACGTACTCGAGTACCAGATAACTATTTCAAAATTAGCTTGGATCTTTTCTCAACACGAGCTGGCAACTAACATCTCTGACCGATTCTCCCAAATATCATACACCTTCATAACGTTGGGATGGTCGACCAGCTTCAAGATAGCCACTTCTCGCTCGATTGAAAGAGGTACACGCATCTCGCCATTGATCTTCTCGGGCAAGTTGTCGTCGTAGTCGTGAAGCTCAGCAAGGCTGCCAGCTTGGATCAAGTATGCTGTCTTCTTTGGCACAATTTTCACGGCTGCCAATTCTCCAGACAGCCGGTGCTTGCAGAGTCTCACACGAGCGGATGAGCCTTTTCCGAGAGTTCTGCCAAGCAACCAAGGTCCGATGTGTGTCTTGTAAGCATAGCCGCTGCTTCTCTTGCTCGATGTGGTTGTAGAGGCCTGCGAGACCTGGGATATGCGCTTCGACGGGTCAACGTCATGGGATGCTCTTGCTCTTGCAACGACGGGGTTGCGAGCGCTAGATGTACCAGCCGAAGAAGCTGTCACTCTCGCTCCAGAAACTGGCGGGTCATAGTCGTTGGCATGGCGTTGATGATCCGAAGCAAAGGCATTCTGGGAATGGCCGGCGGTTTTGTCGCGTGACTTTGATGATTTGACGGGAATTTTGGATGAAGCGTTATTGATGCGTTGAGTCGCATCCGCGAGAGGAGCCCGGGCGTGAGAGGCCGAGGCCCTCGTCCGACCAGTTTCGGACATGTCAGCGGCAGTTCCGGGGTCGCAGTCAGAACATGGTCGGTTTTGAGCGTGGCAAGTGGTGATTTTTTACCGTCTGTAAGGAGTTGAAGAAGGGAGATGTTTGGGCAAGGAGATAAGGGTCCTGGATGGATTAAGCGAGCGAGAAAGAAGAGAGAGTGATGAAGGCCAGGATCTGAACGAATGGATGGATTTTCTGATAGACTGATTGCCAAAAAAAAAGAAGCCAGACGATATCGAGAGAGTGGTGTGTGATGGTGTTTGAAGGTAGGAGAAAAGAAAGGCAGCGCGGATTGCTGGGTGGTAACGGAAAAAGGCCTAAGACGCGCAGAGTCAAGGCAAAGGTGTTGTGGTGGGAGAAGGGAAAGCAAGTGGGAGCCAGGGTGCTGGGGCAGGTGAGGCAATCGGAAGAGAATAGAAGGGCCGAAGGGAGACCACAGACAGACGTTGCCCCCTTCCAAGGAGCGACCTCGAGGCCCGTTGAAAGGACGAATATGGCAGCGGTAAGGTCTCACTGGGGTTCACGCTTCGAAGCAGCCAAGGGCAACTGGAATGGAGGCGGAGCTCTAGAATTCGGCCACCAGACATCTCACCTGACGTTGGGGAAGGAACGAAACAGTAGAACTCGAGGCGCTGCCTTCTGAGTGTACCATCCACCACGCTTGCCTCACTCGGACGTCATTGTGGTTTCTCGTCATTCTCATCACGGCTGATTCTCATGGCTGCCTTAATTACCTTTCGAGTCTTGCTCCTGCCAAATAGATGTACGGCATACTTTGTCCCCAGTGAAGTCTCATTCAGTGTAAGCCCCTCGTTTGTACGAGGCGGCTGCTTCTTTCATGTAAGCACACTTACTATAGTATTGTGGACGCTTCTCCGAAAGGTGGGAGTCACGCCCACTACCTACCTCACTTACAAAGCATCCTCGACAAATGTCACCACACTCTGCGAGGAGAATTGACGAAAGGGTTTCATCAGGTGTCAGCAAGCATTCCTGAGAAAGTGGGTCATCGGGGCGCGATAGACGACGTTGGCCGCATCGGACGACGGATCAACAACCGGCTGATGTCAAGGGATGAAGTTGAGAGCCACCCGCGGCACTGGAATCCGTGCGGACTTCAGCCCCACTGAGTTGCACCGGACACTGGAGCGCACGGCAGATGACAGCCCCACCAACCCCACCACTGTTACCACCTTGTGTCGGGCACCTATCTGCCTTAGGTAAGCACCTACCTCAAGTTTGTGGAACCCCCGTAAGGCAACTTGGAAGGTTGGTAGGGAGTGTGGCGCGCGGGGTGAGGTCCGACGCGTCTAAATTAATTACTTCGCGTCGCACTCGACGTCTGCTAACGCCAACGCCAACGCCAACGAGGTACCTCGCCTCAAATCGGCACCAACCATTGCCGTCTTCCATTCTCGACCGAATCCACTACCACATCTCTGCTCTTACCTCCACGACTCCAACCGGAAATGCCCTCCCATACCTCGAGTCGTCGCAGACGACGCGCCATCGAGGACGACGATTCAGAACTGCGTTCCGATGCCTCTGAAGCACCCAAGCGTCCCCGCCTGAGCCGAGGGGCCAGCGACTCCGAGGACGACGATGACCACGAAATACCGAACAGATCTCGTACAAATGGCGTGAACAGCACAGCGCGCGGCGACGAAGGTGGCTTCTCGCCTGGTGCTATCCGCCGCGTCAAAGTCGAGAACTTCGTCACATACGAACTGGCCGAATTTTTCCCTGGCCCTAACTTGAACATGGTCATCGGCCCCAACGGAACGGGAAAGAGTTCGCTTGTCTGTGCCATCTGTCTCGGTCTTGGCTTCAGCCCAAAACATTTGGGACGCGCAGGCAATGTCAAGGAGTTTGTCAAGCATGGGAAGCCTTCGGCGGTCATCGAGATCGAATTACAGCGCCGGCCTGAGGACAGATCACATCACGTCATCCGGGTACAAATCGACCGTGAAAGAAACAGTCAGAAGTGGTGGTTAAACGGAAAGGATTCGTCACACAAAACTATTCAAGGGTTGATGAGGGATCTGAAGATTCAGGTTGACAACCTGTGCCAATTCCTGCCCCAAGACCGCGTCGTTGAGTTTGCTTCCGCTACTCCGATAGATCTGTTGCACGAAACCTTGCGTGCTGCAGCACCGCAGCAGATGCTGGACTGGCAGCGGAGTCTGCAGGATCTTCACAAGGACAGAAAGGAACTCCAGCGTGGGACCGACTCTGCAGGCGACCATCTGAAGCAACTCGAGGACAGACAGAACTATATGCAGCACGATGTCGATAGACTTCGCGAGCGAGAGGAGGCCCAGCAAAAGATCGTTGACCTCACTGATGCACGAGCAGTAGCCGACTATCTCGAGTCCAAGGCCCTATACAAGGAAAAGAGACAACAGGAGAAGCTTGCCCAGAAGAACCTGCGGAAGCTTGAGCACGAGTCTGCCCCTTCTCTGCAAGCTGTGAACCGAAAGCAAGAGTACCACGAAAAGGTGGCGGCTGTGGTTCGCAGTCGCAAGGATACTCTACGACGCACAGAGGCTGCGGCCGACACGTCACTCAGCCGGATCGAGGACGTCGATGAACAAGTCAAGACGATAGAGGGCAACATTGAAAGTAGCAAGAAGGGATTCGAAGTCAAAAAGCAAGAGCTGGGCAAGATTCGAAGCAAGATAGGGCTTTTGGAAAATCAGAAGAAAAACAAGCCTGCAGAATTCAACGCCACAGAACACAACACCCAAATTGTAAGTCGCGAAGTCTGACTTTTTTGCAGTGTGAACTGACATGATCCTCAGCGAGAGAAGGAGCATCAACTCCGAGAGCTTGAGGCTGAATCCCGTCAAGCTGAAGGGAAGCTTCGGGACATCAAGGAACAAGGCCATGCCAAGACGCAGATGAAGCAAACGCTCAACCGGGAGCTTGAAGGCCTCCATTCTCAACAGGGCCAGATGTTCAACTTCATTCAGAAGAAATGGCCCGATGTTGCCAAAGGCTACACTTGGCTACAGGAGAATGCCGACAAGTTCGAAAAGGAGGTTTTCGGGCCACCTGCACTCTGCTGCTCGGTTAAAGATGATCGGTATTCGGATCAAATCCAAGCACTGCTACACAACGACGATTTCCTGTGTTTTACGGCGCAGACCCGTGACGATCACAAGAAGCTCAGTCATTACCTGTACAAGGTTATGAGTCTCTCTGTCAATGTTCGGTCGATCCTCAAGCCGCTGCATGAGTTCCGGCCCAAGATGAGTCGAGACGAGGCCAACGCTCTCGGCCTAGACGCATTTGCACTTGACATGATCACCGGGCCCGAGCCAGTGCTGGCGATGCTTTGCAACGAAAAGAAGATCGATGCATCGGGCATCGCGTTGAAGGACATTAACGACGCCCAATATGATCGAATAGTCCAAGGAGAGGTGATCAACAACTGGTCGACAGGCCGGCAGCTCTACAGAGTGTCTCGACGCAAAGATCTTGGCCCTGGAGCCGTTTCAACGATGACCAGGGGCATTCAGCAAGGCATGTTCTGGACAGATCAACCAGTCGATGAAGCAGAAAAGAGCGAGATCAAACGCAAGATCAGCGAGGTCGAGGCAGAATTTGATGCGTTGAAAGCTCAAAATACTGAAGTGCGAGGCCAGATGGCTGGTTTCAACGACAGAAGGAATGAGATCCATGAAGACCTCGTAAGTCACATCCTGAACGCCCATGGCTCTGAAACTGACCTAGTCTGCAGAAACTACTCAAGGAAAGAAAGAATGAACTCCAAAGAGCCCATAACGCTTACCAAGGGATTCCAGTAAAGCTCGGTAAGCCATTTGTCACATATTCAGTGACAGAGGTGCTAACCTTCATACAGAGAGCGAGAAGAGGGCACTGGACCAGAAGAAGGCAGAGGTTGAAGAGGCCAGGACGGCCATTCAACAATTAGGCTTCGACCTTGACAAAGCAATGTTAAGCAAGGCCAAGACCACCTTGCAGCACCACGCGGCTATTGCGGGTGTTCGCGCAGCGCAGGAGGCACTGCTCGAGGCGCAGATCCGCGAAATCGAGGCCAAGTCTGACGTACAGGGTCTCAAGGCTAGAAACAATGAGCTTGTACAGATGCTGGAGGACGAAAAGCGCAACATTGCCGCCTTGACCCAGGACTCCCAGCGCACGAGGCAGCGAGCTGAGGACGCCCAGAGCAAAGTCATTGAGATTTTTGCCCAAGATGAGACCAGGAAGGACCTTCTTGAAGCCCTTGCTAGGAACAAGAGCGTCGAAGACGTTGACAATGAAATTGCGGCAGAGCAACATACGATCGAACAAATCCATGTCGCCAACCCAGGTGCCCTTCGCGAATTCGAGATGCGAGCCCGAGAGATTGAGAAGTTGCGCTCCAAGATGGAGTCCTCAACGACGAAATTGGATCATCTCAATCGCCAGATCACAAAGATCCGTGAGAAATGGGAGCCGCAGCTGGATGAGCTCGTCGGCAAGATCAACGACGCCTTCAGTTACAACTTTGAGCAGATCAATTGCGCCGGTGAGATCCGAATCCACAAGGACGAAGATTTTGACCAATGGGCACTGGACATCATGGTCAAGTTCAGGTAAGCACACGTCCCCCATTCAATATTCTCGCGGTCATTCTTTGTGCCGGAATAGCAGTCGCTGACAATCGTACAGAGAAAACGAAACTCTCCAGCAGCTAAACCAGCATCGCCAGTCTGGTGGTGAACGTGCTGTCTCCACAATCTTTTATCTGTTGGCTCTCCAGTCCATGGCGCAGTCGCCCTTCCGGGTGGTTGATGAGATCAACCAGGGTATGGATCCTCGTAACGAGCGCATGGTGCATGAGCGTATGGTGGAGATTGCCTGCCGTGAGCACACGTCGCAGTATTTTCTTATTACGCCCAAGCTCCTCACTGGTCTTCGATATGACCCGCGCATGCGCGTGCTCTGCATTGCCAGCGGCACGCATATGCCCAAGGAGGGCAAGAAGCTCGACTTTGCTCGCTGCCTGAAAAGACACAAGCAAATCACGGCTGGCGCGTAGGAGTAGAGGCAATGCCTGACAGGGTTTGGTCGGTCTTTATGTGGTGTTATCGGCGTCTCGGGGGGCAGGTATCAGTCAGTCAAGATACCCTCGAATTTGATATAGAAGCAAGATGGAATTTACACGATACAAAACGGGTCACTAAGAGCTCAAGCCCGGAACTCTGGGGGATGGGTTTGGGAGGTCGGGCTCGTAGACGTCTGCGACTTAACCCAAGCTTGCGGAAGTCGTCCTCTAGTGAGCATTCTTACCGAGGCCAGCTCGCTTTATTTGCAAAAGAACATGATACGTTGAATGGAAATTTTTCTATCGGGTGTTGATTATCTAAATCATCCAGCTCATTTCTACAATGCCTACAGAGGGTCAGACAAGTTTCATACCTGGAGGCAACTTTCCTGTACTCAAAGAACGCTTCGAATTCTGATTGGGGCGGCCAATTCTGCCCACTGCTTGGGAAGAGAAAGTGTGAGTGGAAGTGAGCTCTTTGAGTCTTGAATATGTACCTACTTCGTCACGTCTTGAGGTACCTGTTCCCATCTACAGTGACTTGGAGGATGCTGTGTTTACTGCAACTTTTCAAGAAGCCTTGGGATAGCCTCAACACACTTGCATCGGTTTGACACTCTTCGAAATTGATACCAACAGTATCAGAACAGACGAGGTCACTAGAGTGGCCATTCTCGTGGTTGGCTATGAACTTGCCGACTCCTTGATCTACCTAGGTACGTTAGCAGCTAGAGCCAATTCCGATGAAAGGCAAAACCCAGCTGCTTCCTCTCGTCTCTCACATAACTTAGAAGGTACCTACGTCTCTTGCCAAGGAAAAAGCAAACTCACGTGACCCAGAGATGACAAAAAACCTCTGCTACAACGCTATACAGGGCCATCCAAAGTAAATCTCGCGCGACTCATCTCCAATCCCATATTCACGAGTTACTCAAAGACACCACCTCCAGCACCACACACATCTACTTCTTCCCTCCAACGTGAACCAAACTCAATTGCTCTAACCAAAGAGCCCTCGGAAACGAGCAGCTGTTTGCAGACGTATAAGAGTTCCCGTCCAGAGGTATGGAAGAACAAACGTAGACAGATCTATACATTACCAATCAACTCAAAAATGCTGCGTCCAAACTGAAGACCGAAGTCAAACACCTAAACGACGAGCTCAAACATCTACATACCGGTTGTGAATACCTACCCACTGATACGATTCACCTTTTTCAAAGCGTCCCGTTTGATATTATTTGTCTCTGCAAATGGGGGTAAGGTGCAAAGTGACCCGTAAGAAAAAACTACCTCCCGTTACTTTAATAATGCCAAGGCAGGCAGGCAGGCGGATGTGCTTCTGATATCCTCCTTTGTTGTGATGTAACTATTCCAAGGTAGGAAGGAGACATGAAGGCTCTCTCTATCCAGATTTCTGTAAACTTGGCATCTTGTGCAAGTCTTATCCGGGATCGCCTGTTATGTTCCTCATTTCTAGGCCCACGTTTGCCATCTTGAGTTTCATCATCAAAGGGGATTTCTCTCCAGGTGCTTGATGGTAGAGGAACCTACCAAGCCCTCCTCTAGGCTAGATTATCGGCGACGAGAAGATTGTTGATCGGCCTCCCGTCCAGTCCACGGGTGTATGTGACAGGAAAAAAGTCTAGATAATGGAATTTCAACTCCCTAACATTCTTGCTTGTCGACTGAGTATTCGGCCTGGTTCCTGACGTTGATATACATATAAGGGGAAGAGAACAGGAGAGATTTGTGTCAAAACTACTTCTTCGCTGTCGACCGGGGAAGGAAAACCATACTTCCTAGACCGCAGGGTGAACACACAACTGTGCTACTGTGCTACTATTCGTTTGAAATTTAAAGGGAGAATAAAGCTATGAATGTTTGAGGCATAGTAATTACCTATTGCCTGGCCGACTTTGGGCATTTTGTGTTTGCGACCTTTGGGGCATCTGCGGACCTGATATGGTCAGCAGGTTTGCAAGATGATCTCGCTAAATCAAAGATCACTGCACTTCGTTGTTCTTCTTTGTGTTAACATGAAACCCTCCAACCCTCGCTATCAGACTTGGCTTGATCGGTTCATCATCGACTTTTTCAAAACTCTGAGGAAAGCCGAAGCTGCGGCCCTGAAACAACAGCAGAAGTTGGATTATGGAATGCTATCAACTCCCTTTTAACGGTCTTATTATTACTATGGCTGTTTTACGCATGCTTGATCTCGCTGTCTACAACCACAACTCTTCCAGCAGCCTCTCTCTGGAAAACTGTTACAAGATTAATACTGCCAAAAGTATCATCCGTGTCCGGTTCACGTTACGCAAAGCGGACGATGTTCGCCATATTGTACACTAATTATTCAATATGACATTGCCGCTTGGCAATTCTCGCTGTCATTGTCGGGGAATTGATCCCAAGACATTACCATGCTCTTTGATACCCAATGTATTACATCGACCGTTTGCAAGCCCAAGGAAGTAAGAAACGCTGCCTTCTCCCCGTAGACTCTGTGACCGCCTACCACGTTCCTCACTTCCAGGCCAAAGACAGATTCAGGTCGTGCCACCATATATTCCCTCACGATTGGATTACTCCAGAGCTCGGTCCTGGCTATATGTCAGGTTCCCTGAGACAACCCAGAGTCCCGCCGTGTTCATCCCCTCCGTGATCCATCCCTTCAAGATCGAACAGCAAGTCCATACAGTCCACTGACTGCTGAGGTGTGGTCATGACTCGTGTATTCGGGAGTAAAGGCACGAAGTGCGTGAGAGGGGGCCAGTTCCCACAATCGGCCACATCGAAGTGTCGGCAACCGTCGAAGCCAGGGAAGGGAGTTGTTGGCGTTAAAGGAAAGAGTCGTCCACAGTGACGCTCTGGTCTCGAATCGTAGGTATAGAGGGCATTCGTAATCGGGGCTCGACTTTTGGGTCTGGCGCGTCGTCTCCTCCATGCTCAAACAAACGTTGGCATCATTGTTGGACAGTTTCTCCCTTTGTTAGTAATACTTTGTCTAGCATGATAGAGCAAATGGAAGTGAACCACTCATACCACGGACTGCGATATTAAGATTTGCTACGGTGGACGCCAGCTGCAAAGGTCCAAGTACCAAGGTCGCGATGGAAGTCGATATCTTAGGATGTCATCGACGAAGGAATCTGGCAGCGACGCGCCTTTGACGTGTGTTAGGAAGAAGGGCGTCATCTTTATCTGTAGCATTTGGTCTCTGCACTTCAACAGTTATCCGGGTCGGGCATCATCTCTCAGTATCAGCCCCCCTTCGACTTGTCCGGGCCGATTACGTAGCAGTAGTATGGAGCCATCACAGCTGAGGTCGTCCTCGATATCGAAGGGTCGCCAGAGAGCTCCGGTCTGGGGAGCACCGCGTCATGGTAGTCGAAGACTTCTCCGGTAGATAGCCAGTGTATTCCCTCCATCTCGTACAGTCTTCCATATTCATCCTGTTTGCTCGTGTATCGACCTCGCGTTACGTATAGAATCGATCACTGCCAATCTTTTGTCGGAAAATATTCGCACATTCGACGTAGGAATTTCAAGTCGTCAAGTCGTCGTTTCGTACGTCTCCAGACAGCCCAAGGAGCGTCGGATCGGCAAGCGCCAAATAAGGGATTAGCGAAGGCTGGGCATGTAGGTCGGCAGCAGCAGTTCGCATCTATATCTCACAAGACACAGCCCACCGGCAAGCGATATCCGGGGAAGGAGAAGGAAAACCTGGAGAATGATAAGGGGCCCCTCGTCCGCCCAGACCGCCATCTCCAGATAAGAAGGTCACTTGAAACAATCCCACACAACACAGAGATAAAGACAAGCACACGAGGCGCACACTTGCAGGAAAAAATCACGGCCAAGTGCTCCGTCCCGCCGCCAAACATGCATTACACCATACATGTGAGCGCTGCAAGGAGAATTTGGAGGGAGGTCATCTCCAACGCCTTCCTGTAGCGGCCAACGAGCGACAAGGGTGGGCACGCGAGCAGAGAATCCCAGAGTCTGGAGATAAGCGGAATGCCTCGCAGATACGCCTCGATTCAAGGGACGGCAAGGCCAATGAAGCACGGGCAGTTTTTCTGGTTCCTACGCTTGATCACTGGCAGATACGGCAGGTCCGAGGAAAAAGATAAACCAGAGATAGACAAGCAGATAAGTAGCGATACCGCGACAGGGAGACGATTGCGCACGCGAGTCGATCTCTGGCGGCATCGTATTGCTAATTTGGTAAAAATATGGTGCAAAAGAGTCAGCTGCCCTATTTGAGCAAGTCGTTGGCCAAACCTACACCTTGATAGATTTGGCACCAGATAAGAAGAAAGTTATAAGCCGTCCTCATTCCCCCATTTCCCCTTGTGAGAAAGACGTGTTGCCCATCTAGCGACGACAACTTCGATGAAAACCGACGCAAGCTCGCATTCTACGAGACGCTCTTGGGTGGTTGGGAGCTGGATTGGAAGTTTGGACCTGATGGACAGGAGCATTCGACCAGCAAATCGCCGAATCCCGACTCCCGAGAAGGGTTAATTGGCCCGAAGTCGAACCTGTTTGAACGTCACGAGACAATTGCCGTCTTTCTAACCGCCCAGGGACCGTGGTAGGCGTCATGGTGGAGGACATGCGCCCCTGAAATGGAGGCCGTGACTTCGCCTCAGCACAGCGAACTGGTGATCTGGTGTTGATCACCCTACCGGACGCACGCCACAGAAATCGAGGTCGCAGCTGGCATGCTCCCTGCCCTGTTTGGGTCAGCGAGAGTGAGAACGGAATTGAACCAGACCCCCACGCGGGGCACCTCCATGCCTGACCAGCCACCCAGCGCAGTCGAGGGTTTCACGGCGGACGCAACCCTTTTCAGACTTGATCGACCATGCGCTCTTCGCCCTTCACTCCTCCGAAAACCATGGTTGTTAATATACGACACTGATGAAAACCAGCAGCCAACTCGCAGGTCGGCCGACTTTGCCCAATGGACCCCTGGAATCAGAATGGACCATACCCTTGAGCGACGCAACAAGATTGTCCCCCAGCTGCAACGAACAAAGGCACCGATACTCGGCCGAGAGCTGCGATTCTTCTGGATGACAATTGAGAGTGGTTTGGTTGGTTTCGTTGATCAGCAGCGACCTGGGTAGGCTGGTACAGGCACACGACAAAAACCCGCAGGTTGGCGGTGGGGGGCACGCAATTTGACCGAGATTGCCGGGCCCTAAGGGTAAATTTCCATGTGGGGGGTAGACTCGATAAGAGACATCAGCCAGACCAATAGGCGACTGGTGACCGGTCCTCCTTCTAAACGCTCACGTCTCTGTCGATTGAGAGATGCGGGCCAGCAGGGAAGCAAGTCAGGGAGCCGTTGCCATTCTAATGCAGTCGACTCGTGCCCCTTCTCCATGCTGATCCAGTTGTCCTCTAACAACCAACTTGAACCAAAGTGGTGGCGTTGCCGGGGACTGTGAGTCCACTTCCGACTCACCGCCATCGACATAGACTTTCAGACTACGGAGCACTTCGCGCCGGTGTTAGCGGAGAGGCATCGGCTGAGGTCCGACGGTTCTTCGAGAAGGCTGACAGGCAGTGTTGAATTGTCAGGTTCCCTCTATACTCGTTCTCACATATAGAGAGCCGTCGCATTTGTTGTGGTTGGGTGAAACAGATGCTGCGGTGCTCGCGCAGTGAAATACATTTGCGATACCGGCCCGACCAGGTTGTACCACTGAGCGGTTTGAGCTTCCCTTCGTCGGCGTATTTTGCCTCTGTGTGGACTATACAGGCTGTTTGTGTTGACAGCGACTCTAATTACTCCCAGCTCCGTAGCAGCATACTTGTCTGCCCTTGCTCAAGATCCTCGCGATGCCTTGCGATCGTGGGTCTCATTGTCCGCTCGCAGGCGTTCGGGTCATTCATGCACATCATCAGTCCCAACCCTCTTCTCTGCCACACAGCGGGCGGCGTAATTGCCACCAGGCATTATCGTAAGTGCTGTGCGTTCTAGAGCACGACGTCACTTGCGACTTCCCATGCCATGTCGCCGAACACCTCCATTACAGATTTCGGTCTTCTTCTGTTGGATCACATGTCAAGCTGGCGCCCACTGAGATCAAAGTGCGCAGCGGTCGTGGTGGTATAGTGAGCTTAGCGGTGGACAAAGCTTGCTGGGCCCCTTCCAAAGCGTGTGTTATGTCTGTAAAACCCAACAAGAACCCCGATGTGGATGCCGTTCTGTGTATCAAGAAGTATTTCCGGAACGGCTTTGTAGCTCCGCAGGTCATTAAGTCTCGCTTTCAAGCCTGTTACTGGGCATGTCTTGCATGCTCCGATCATGGAGGCTGCTGGGAAGCCACATTCTCTTCCGCTCCATTTTCGTCAAACCCTAGATGTGTCTGAACAGTTCGGCCGCGGCCGCTCAATGTCCACATAGTGTAGGGATGTGACATTCGAACAAGCACAGCTGTGTAGAAGGGGGAACAAAATTCGGGAGTCGGAATGGACAATCGACTTGATCTCAGCATTTCAAATCCATCGTATGGATATCTTGTTGCTGGTATGGAGGTGTATTCGCATGCCCTCGGCAGCCCCAGGACCGTCCAGTCCACTGTTAATGCGAGTCGAACCGAGTTGAGGATAGAACTGCGCACTCGGATGCATATGCCCATGCGCGCCGCTGCCGCTGTCGTCGTGGGAGATCGGTCTATTGGGGGCGAGACTGCATAGCGCACCCTGCATGGAACCGGGGGCCCTGAATGGCTCGGTAGCGACCTGGACGATCTGGTGTTGATGGGTGGACAAACATAATCTCGTCATGCGTTTGCAAGGTCGCAGTATCTGTATCGTAAAGGCGACAGTCAGTTGAAGAAGTTCCCCTCAGAGTGAATATTTTCACGCACGCTGCAATTTGCAGAGCAGAGGAGTGTGCATATCGGAAACTGCGTCCGGTCGAGATGCCTCGAGCCAAGCTGAATGATATTTCGGGCGTCATGTCTCCACGTCCCGCCAGCTTCGTTGGCACATCCTTGGATCAACGACGTGTTCGTATTATGGTCGACGTCTGCCGTGCCGTACGCTCGGAATACCCGTACGAACACTGCACAGAACATACAGAATAAACAAAAAGTTTGCTGCAATACCATACAACGCTGTCATATTGAGTCTATTTGAGTTCGTAACTGCCCAGTAACTTGAATCGTACAATGACAATTCTCCGAGAAGAACCCTTGTTACGAGCGCCCATCAGGCTCGAGGTGACGGCTAGGAATGCCCATATGGGCCCCTCTGCCACGAGGCAATGGGTGATTTCGGTCTATGTGGCCCATATCGGCCCCGTGAAGCGTGCCATGGATGGTACTAAAATGACTCGTAGGAGTAGAAAAGGGCCGGGTGCGCGGTGCGTTTTCTGCAATGTTATATCGAGGGTTGGGCCGTTGGCTTGGCTCACTGACTGCGGCAGGGATTGCCAAGTTGTAAGCGGAGCCATTCTCGAGACACCTTGTTGATGATCTAGGTCGATGACAACGAGGGCAAGGAGTCGCGGAGCAACTCGGAGCGACTCCGAGCGGGGTTTGAGCGGGTGAAGATGAGGACGAGGGATGCTTTGTTATGGGGTAGGCATTTAGGCAGACGTCGCTGGTGAGGAGGTATCCGACGTGCGGATATGGGATGTCTGTATCGAGATATGAAGGTGACCAAGGGGAGACGAGTGATGTTGGATGACAGGAAAGATTTCGGTAACAGAGACAGGGAAGCTCGTGGATGCGAGGCAAGCTCCGAGGCAGGAGTGTTGTTGACGGGAGCTACAGGCCCGAAAGACAGGTTGGAGGAGCGTAGGACCGGGAGAGGAGGCGGCTTGGGACGCGTGAGGGTCGAGAAGCGAGAATGTGAGGAGTCGCAGACTCGCAGTAGCTGTACTATGTAGCAGTAGCATTGGTTCCGTGCAGAGTATCCGTACTTTACAACTTGATGGGACTGGGGGATGGAGTAGATGGGGCAGAGAATGGAGAAGCCGAGCGGGAAGTGCGTCTGTGAATGGAGAAGTCTTTTTTGTTTCTCATTTCCTCCATTTCCCTTCTGAAGAGTATGGCAAAGAAACACTGGGGTCCATCGAATGGAAGGAACGGGCAACTGCCTGCCTATTTCCCGTTCCAGACGTTGAATTTGACCTCAAGAGCAGCCTCGTGTAATCCAGTGACCCCTTCCCCAGAAACATGTCTCACGCCTTCCTGGCCTTGGGCTTCTCCTTCTCATGTCAGCCGTGTGTTCGTTCGTACGGTAGTTGCACAGTCGCCCTTGACGGCGATACAGGAACGGTTCTGTCCTGCCTTACCTTAATATGTACCTTGTGCTCGAACAGCTTGCGGATTTACCTAATGCTGGAACTAGACATTGCTGCTACTTGCAGTCTCGGGTGGGGGTCCTCTAACAAGGCCTCCCTGCAAGTTACCTGCAAGTGCTCAAGAGTCCTTGCTTCTTCGGTCCCGGATACCTTCCCGGTACATGCAGCAACCGCCAAGGAGGTGGTATCCCGTACCTTCATCCAGTGCTAGCTACACTTGGATGTTTGCATTGCCCCCCCTCCTCCTCCTTCTCCTCCTCCGCCTCCGGCCGTCTTTCTTCCTCACCTTGCGGATCCCTCGCTCACTACACCTGTCAACTCAACTCAACTCAACGTATCCGTATGTTCAGCCGAGAGTCTGCAGCCAGTTTCGAGCTTTCCTAGCATATTCCTGCGTCTCGTTCCGTCCTCTGCTGCATGCTGACACCCTTTGTTCCTCCCAAACCATCAGTGCCGGCCCAGTCTTGCGACCTGCAGCACACCTGCATCGGAGCATCGGAATCCAGGCCATGGCGACTCTCTCGCACGCCCAAACATCCATCAACGGCGGCAGCTGGTTATGAGGCACTTTCCTCTGCCTCGACGTCTCCTCATTCTCTGGATCCGACCCGACATGGCCCTTCACCTCCCTAAAACAGAGCTCGGTATTCTTCCGATGCCTTTCGCTCCCCTTTCGTCCCCTTTTGCAGTCGCTGGCATCTTCAATTCTTTCGATTCCCAGTTCTCACTCTGGGCACCAACCCTGGTCTGCAGTCTGGACCTACCGCCTTGCACTCCTGTGGCCTGCCGTGAAATTACCTCCGTTTAGCATGGACGAACGCTCTACAAATACGGATATATCATATCGCACAGCACACGCGGCTCCCATTAGGCTAAACTCATGCCCGGCCCCGTACCTAAGCAGAGTTGATTCCTTGTTAGAGTCCGTGCTTCCCTCCAAACTCCTCATCTCCAACGACCTGCCATCGGATGACCATCACCGGCTCTCAGACGTTGCCTGCCGCGTGGGGGACCAGAGGTGGACGCGAATCTGGGTTGACAGGCCGGGTCGCAGCCGTGCCACCGTTGTCATGTTCTCTACCCTGTGTCCAATCTGGAAGACAGCGAGTCCAGCGGCACATTCAGAATATTTCCCGTCTTCTCCAAGCCTAAGGCTGACCAGACCCATCTTCACAAAGAAGCGAGTATGGGTAGCTACCCACGCTTCTACGCAATAGCGTATCCGCTGCCAAGGGGTGACAGCAAGAGGCTGGCCGCTGCCATCTTGGTCTGTCCACCGCACGTGTGAACTCCACTCAAGCTTCGTCATGGAACGGTTGAAGATGCGGCCACCAGCGGGTATCTGCACTAGAGCGACCCAACCTCATCTACTACCGCAAGAAGGTGGTCGGCTTGCCTGTGACGCTGCGATTTTGCAGTGAGCGACATCGTTCCATATAATAGGTAGAGGGTGTTCGACTGGCTCAGGCGTGCAGCGTGGGATGACGGGTCAAGGGGGGCCTTTGTCACCAATACCAGCACCTTTCGATGGCTAGAAGCCTGGTTCTACACGTTCGACGACTTCATCGAGGCCGTGGGCAAGTAGTGCCGCGGTACGAACTACCTTGGACCCCTGGCCCGTTCAAGACTAATGCATGCCGACGTCTCTGATTGGCGGTAACGATCCAAGCGCATCGGCAGGGAAGAAAGCAGGTGAAGGCAGCCAGCCGGTGGGGTTCGAGACGGTCGCAAGCCACGCTTGGCACGGTCCAATGCGCCCGAATTCTCGCTCGCTTCTCGGTGGGTGCTCCATGGATCAATCAAGCAACAGATCCGTGATGAGCATTGGATGAAGCCTCCAACTCGCAGTTCCTTGCGAACTTGTCAATGCACTCATTAACGCTACAGCCATACCGACCTCATCACTAAGCCGCAGCGGGCGCACCAATCATTAATCACCACCGAGACCCTGGCATGAGCTTGTCCTAACCTGGCCACGAACACTTACAATGTACATAGTACTCCTTGAAGAACCATTAGCCACCCGGGATTAGACCAAACCCCCTCCCCGATCCGATGGCAGCCCGAAGCGCATTGTACTGTATTCGTACGAAGGCCGGACAGCAGTTGAGCCTCTGTTTTACAATAACGAAGCGTGCCGAAGAAACTCCACGCTGCCCCAGGGACGTCAGCCCGCCAGTCAAAAGGCGATGGGACCCTGGACCGAAGTCAGCAACATGTGGCTCCTCCGTCTCTCCATGGGGTTCCAATTAGCATGAACGGGTACCGCAGCCTGCGGTCATTCAAGGACAGCAGATCTCTAATGAACTGAAATTAACCCAGTGTTTTGGAATGCGCGTTCGCCATGCGCAGGTAAAAGTAATACCCAAGTATTCCCGAAGCAAGGTGGATGATGGATGCGGGTCACGATTTGGAGGGGTTTAAGGAGGCAAACGGATGGGGAAAGATCTGATGAACTGAGGACGGATTCAGCTGCTGGGGCCGCGTTCCATTGTCTGGAGTAGCTTGGGATTCTGTTCAGCATCCACCATACAACCAAATCAGCTACTTCGTAGCCTGAGGTCCCCAAGCCCAAAACTGGAAGAGCAAAGTCACTGTGGCCCTGGAGTCAGAAACAGGTCCCACAGGCGACGTCGTTGGGCACGCGTGTTGGCGCTGCCCTGCCACTACTATGGCACGCCTGGTCAGGGACCGCCGCTCGGCGAGGCTGGTGCAGCGGTGCCTCGATTTACTCCTCTCTTTTGCCTCTTTAGCGCGAGGTGAAGTCGCGTTGGGTGGAGTTCCGCCGAGATGGAACTCGAGGGGCGGGCGGGCTTCTGACCGTACCTTGCTTGGATAGTTGTTGTGACTTGCAAGTTCCCTACCATGTTCCCCGACAGGACCCTGAAATCTTCCCTGAAATCTTACCTGACGGCGGGATCGTGTAAGCCACGGATTCCTGGATCATGGGGCCGTCGACGGCATATTGGCCTTTGGACTACGGACAAATTAAATCAAAGAGCAGGCGGGAAATTTTATGAGTTCGGTATATCCATCACCGGGGTTTTTTTCTTCCCCCTCAAAGCCCGAGTGGGAGAGGGCGACACGCGGACGGGTTGGACCAGAGTCAGGCGCAAGGTTCTCTTCCGCTTCATCAGCTCCTTGGCAAGCGTTTTGCAGCTGGCAACTTGTATGTGCCTGTCTGTCTGTCTGTCTTGGGACCAGACTACCAGGAGAGGAGGAAAAGAGACGGGAACTCGCAACGCACTAACAGGCCAGGAATGCCGACCGGCCACAATCCGAAGCGCGGTATGGAGCCTAGGCGGTACGTATAGACCCGACACCGAGGCCATCATTCGTCTCTAGGCTTTGCCGCCTCTGGATTTTAGTGGCCTCCACCTCTTCTAATCCAGTTCAACGTCCGCTGTCCGGCACGCTGGTACGCAAACCAGTCCGGTTCGGTGCAACCTTCACAGCAAAGGCAGTGCAGCATCGTACGGTCCATCGGTAGTTTTTGCCTCCTCGTTCCCATCAGTCCACGGCCGTCTCATGGTCAGCCTGACAAATGCCTCCTGAACTGGTTGCTCACAGGTCCTCACCCGCTGTGGCTTGTAGTAGTCTCGGGGAATAGGCGGAGCATCAGCTCTTCCGGTCACTTCACGAGGAACCCATACAAATGCCGCGCAGGGCAGCGGAGAGCCAGAGCAGTCGAGACTCGAGACTCGAGACTCGGGCCAGATGCTAGGATTTGCTGGCCCACCCCCTGCCTCTCCACGTCCAATGCTCCCGAGTCGAGTCCTGGGAGTCACTGGGCCAACTCAACGTCTCGGAAGAACCGCCCGACAGGTATCGGGGATAGAAAGAAGCGGTATTGGGCATTGGGTCGAAAGAGGGATACTCCCAGCTTAGAACGAGCCAGCGCTGCAGTACGGGGACCCAGCCCAGTTTCTCCGACGATTTGTGAGGCTAAGTAATTTTCCACTTAGGCACTGGTCCTTGGGTGCCGGGAAGAGCAGTACGTTGCTGTTACGGTAGGCTGGGATCGGCCTGTGGCCCTTTCAAGGGCGCTGCCCATTGACTTCCTTGCGACGTAGCGGTCCCAGTGGTCCCTGAAGAGGGGCCTTCTTGTTGCCCGCCTCTGGACTGTGGAGGATGAAGACCGGCCGAGGCGCCAGGTTCCCAGCAGCGCCTCTTGCATGCATGTTGGCAGACGAAGAAGGGAGGGCGTCTTGTCAGTGTCCCGATCTTCTGCCGTTCAAATTGTCCCCCCCTGCCAAATGCAGCAGCGGCGGGAGCAATACCAGCAGCAGCAGCAGCAGCAGCAGCAGCAGCATCAACAACGAAATAATACTGGGACAGATCGGCCGCAAGCTTCGGTGCATTTCAGTTCAGAGACAGAAAATGGGGGTAGACAGTGAGAGTGTCTAGGAACTTCGGCTGACAGTTCGGTCAGGTGGTTGGATCTCGTGCTCTAGCAGAGGAACCGATGAATAGCGATTTTCACGAGCATCGTCAAAGTGAGGAGTGGATGAGGTACTCACCGAGTGACTGGGTTACCTACGTAGTACTGCGTAATGAGCGAACGAATGCTAGGTAAACAGTAAACTCCACACCCACCTCCCGCACTTAGCATTTGTACGGTATCCGTACGCGGCCTGCCTGGGAGAGTGGAAGTGAGCGTGAGAGCCATGGTGTGAAGGAGCTCTCCGAACCTGGCTCTTACTCTGGACGAGGAGGGGAGGAGTCGAGGATGGACTAGGCCGGGTCCCTGATCCATGGATGTCCCACACCCTCCGCCCACTTCCACTCCCACTCCAACTCCAACTCCCACGCACCCACCACACGTCGGCCTCCCCTCCCACGGTCTCCCCTCCCTCCCCCTCACTCTCACCTTCTCACCCTCCCCCCTCCTCCTGCGCGGCCTGCCCTGCCCCTGCACGAAGGCATGGCACAACTCCTACGTACTGCCTCGTCCGCCCACAGCCGTCCCAAGCATGCGACAGCAACAGCCGGTCGATTCCCTACGCAATAATGCCCACTGTTTCGCCGGCTACTGCTGCGTCAAGAGATCCCTTCCCGCCGTCGAACCTGCGTGACGACTTGGTACCCGTCTTCCCCTCCCCGTGCCTTGGGACGCTGCCTTTTTTACATCTTGCGCTACCCGGAAAACTCAGGCGGCATCGAGTCGATAGCCCAGCCATCGAAACTTTCTTCTTCATCTAAACCCTCTCTAAACCTCTTTGGACATTCCAGACACCCGTCCGCCCCAACTCCCGGCGCATACAGAATCCAGAATACGGATTCCATCGTCACAAGCGCGGTTGCTAAAACTGTGTGCCTGTCTCTCTTCTCGTGGCGCTACGAGTACAAGGTACCTGCCTTCCTACCTACACACAAACGCAGAGGTACCAGCCGACTTGAGAGTGTCCGAGTCGGAGACAAGCTGCCTTTAAGCCACCCAGTCAGAGAGGACGAGTGAGGCAGAGAGTTGCAACCAAGCGAACGTGGGGAAATTCCTTCCTGTGACCCTCAACTGGACTCGCCGAAACCGAAACCTTGACTTCCTTCTTGGAAGAAGCTTTTTTTCTTCTCCTTCCTCTTTTCCTGACCCTGCCACTTTCATCCATTCCTCTACCACCGCTACTCCTCTTCACATGGCTGCCACCATCCAGTCACCAATTGCGACTTCGAGTCCATTCTCCTCGATGAATCCCACAACAACAGAACACGACTTCCGCTTCCCGCGGAGGCCTGACGACCACTACGCCAGCACCTCGCAGTCGCAGTCGCAGTCACAGTCCCAGGCGCACGCGCAGGCCCAGACGCAGGCCCAGACGCAAACGCGGGCGCATTCCAAGGCCAGCCCCAGCGAACTGCCCGCCGGTCTTCGGGATCTACGTCTCGACCTCTCTGCTGCGCTGTACCCGAATGCGCAAGATGATTTTCTGAAAAATTCGGAATTCCCACCCTTCCAAAAGGCGGCCATGGACTCCAGCCAGAGCCCCGAGGAGATGCAAAAGGAGGACCCCTTGGCCACCCAGGTGTGGAAGTTCTTCAGCAAAACGAAGCACATGTTGCCCAACCAGCAGCGCATGGAGAATCTGACTTGGAGGATGATGGCCTCGAACCTGCGCAAGAAGCAACAGGAGGAGGAGAGAGCAAAGTAAGCAACACCTCACTTCCGAATATTTCCCTCCCTTCAATTCTCTACTCTTTTTCTTCTTCTTCCGTTATCAAAATTTTTGTTTGCCCTGACTCTGGCGTCGTTTTACCAACGACCATGCCGCTGACGGACCTGGCTAACCATTGTGGGATGATGCAGGCTCGCTCGATCTGCGCCGGCACCTGCACCACCAGCTGCTACGCCCGCTGCGACATTCAATGTCAACCCACCCAGCGGCATTGCCCAGTTGCGCAAGTCGTCAGAACAGAACGTGAACCACCCAGAGCCCATGAATCTCGATGACTTCATCTTCTCCGAGAATATCGCAACACCAGTAACAAATCCCTCGCCTCAGCCAACAAAACACCACGAAGAGAAGAACCAGATGCATCCCTCCTTTGCCTCAGCTATCCCCATCAAATCGCGCAAAGACTCGGCTGCCCAGCAGCACTTTGTCCCGCAATCAGTCCCGTTCCCTCCTCATCACCAGAAGACCCATGACGAGTTTAACTACATTACTCGCCATCACCGTAAAACGAGCATTGACGAGCGACGGGTGAGTCGATTTTTCTATTGCATCCTTCGTAATGCCCTTTTCCCCGTTTGCTGTAAATCATGCATCATGATGCACTTCCTTTTTTTTCGGCGCATCCTCGACTGTTTGGCGCTTTTTTTTATCTTCCTATCTTGCGCCACCCCCCCCCCCCCCCCCCGACGCCACTTTGAAAACACCCCCGAAACCACTTTCTGCCTTTTTTGTCTTTCCCGACCACCCCTTTCCCGCTCATACCCCCCCCCCCCCCCCCCCCTCCCCCCCCCCCCCCCCCCCCCCCCCAGCGTAGGCTACATTGATACACGCTCCGATATCATGTTAGTGCCTTTTGGGTCTTCGCTGAGCTGACCCCGTTCGCACTTAGACCCGTAAACGTCCGGCCGACTTCTCTCCCCATGTGCCCGCAGTCAACAGCACCTTGACAACAACCAATGACCTGGATGCGGATTCAGAACTTCACGAATACTCTCTCGATAACACCAACCAGAACAACATGTCGCAGAATGCGCACCAGAATGGTGTTCCCTTCCCGTTAGATACCTACAACATCGAAAATGACCCTATCATCACCTCCGCCGGTCCTTTCCAGCAGAACTTCTCCTTCTCACCGTCCACCTCACCCATGATACCCCATGGTCCGTTTTCCAGTGTTTACAATGGATCTTCGGTTCAATCCTCGTCTCTGAACCCCTCAGATTTCTATTCGCCCCCAGCATCGGCTTATCATTCCACCGTCACAACGCCGCATGCCATGACTGATAACGACGGCTTCTACTTTGGCTCCATGGATATCCGTGGCCAAAGGTCACAACAATTCCGGCAAGGCGGTCAGAGCATGGGAAACCAAATGAATCAGCAATTTATGTACAACAACAACACCAACGGCAACCCTATGTTCCCTGCCTCTGCGCCCACCACCGAGTCCGTTTTTGCCTCCAGCAGTGCACCGAGTCCTTTTGGGCACATCGACCCGACGCAAGTCTTCCAGCCTGACCATCCAGTGCGCTCGCCTGGCATGTCGCTACCCAACGAGGGCATGTTCACTTTTGGCGCCGATTCGGACGAGGAGGATGGCGGTGCCTTTGCTGATCGCAACCTGGTCATGTCACAGGACTTCTCCCCGGGGCCGATGGACGAGAGCAACTCTCTGGGCTGGGATCCATCTCTGCCCGGTCAGTACAGCACACAAGCGGCGCGATATCCTGGCGGCCCCCCGCGAAAGCAAGTCACGATCGGCGGCACCACAACGGACTACGTGGACAACGATTGGGAAGGCGGTAACCTGCCGAGATCTCAGTCGCAGTCCTTCAGGCAAGGATCCGACAGGAGGGGCGGCAAGGTCCCGCGCACGGCGTCCACGCCCGCAGGTCATCTGGGCCGCAATGGAAACCCGTTTGATCGAATGGCACAATCCACGCCCAACTCCCCACCAGAGAACAATGGCACGGTATCTGGCTTCTCTTCTGTCGCCCCAAGCCGGCCGTCGTCCCCGCCCGGCTCCAAACAGGGCTCGACAACCAACCTGCAGGCCGCTGCCGGTGCCCAAGGTGAAGGCAACGCTCCGACAACTTGCACCAACTGCTTCACCCAGACCACGCCACTGTGGCGACGCAATCCCGAGGGTCAACCCCTCTGCAACGCTTGCGGGCTGTTCCTCAAGCTGCATGGCGTTGTCCGTCCTCTAAGCTTAAAAACGGACGTGATCAAGAAGAGGAATCGCGGTTCTGGAGCCAGTTTGCCCGTCGGGGGAACAAGCACGAGATCAAAGAAGAACGCAGCAAGCGCCTCGGGTCCGGGCTCCCGCAAAAACTCAACGCTTGCGGTCTCTACCCCGGCGAATAACGTCACTACGCCACCTGCTGCTACTCGAGCCGGTAGTGCGAACGAGGGAGAGAGCCCTGCTAGCGGTGCCGCGTCGGGCGGTAATACGGCCGGCAGCACACCGACGAGCTACGGCACGGGTTCTTCTACCGGCGCCGCTGCTGGAGGAAAGGGTGTTGTACCGATTGCCGCTGCCCCGCCCAAGAACACACCTGGGCCCGGTGCCGCAGCACTATCTCGCAACGCCGGCACATCCTCCTCTTCAGGCTCGTCCAAGCGTCAGCGACGCCACAGCAAGAGTGCTGGCAGCGAGGGCCTCGCGGGTATGGACGTCGACAGTCCCGAGACCTCGATGGGATCCCCCAACGAGGCTGCAAAGTCGCTTGGGTCTGCTACTGGTCTTGCCAGCATGCCGACGGCGGGCTCGCTTGGCTTGGCTAATGGCTTTGGAATGACCCAACGCCCTATGATGGGCACGGGCATGATGGGAATGCCTGGCGGCCAGAATGGTCAGATGATGAACCCCGGAGGGCCGGCTTCCGGTCCGCAGGAGTGGGAATGGCTCACAATGAGTCTGTGAAGGAATGCGAATTATTCTCTCATGAAACGACAAGACAACACTGGCGAGCGGCACTCCCTGCTCCAGAAACGTTACGCGATTGCTTTCCAACCTACTCACCGATAGAAGCAGTGTCGTGGCACGCTAATTTTCTGTTCCGAGGTCTACTCGACTTTTGATACGGTTACGGCGCATCATGATTTTACTGGCTGTTACATTTACGAATTTTGTTTGATACCACCATGGCCATGATTACTGGTCTTTGCGCGGCGGTCTTCTGTTTTTTTTGTTCCGCCTTCACGAGGAAAGATAATTTGGGCTACACGCTTTGTTTACTTGATATCCTGCGTGCGCCCCCGGCGAGACCTGCGGTGCATTCAACGTTGATTCGCAACTGAATCTCAAACGAACCGCGGACTACTAGAGCGCTCTTCAGGACGGACATATGACCTAATGCGCCGAGTAATGAGGGAGGCTTTGGAGGCCGACTGAAGTCGAAGGACGTCATGAAGTTGCTTTGACGCGAAGAGGTGGATCTTGTTTTACGAGCATGACTGGGACCTCTCTTGCTTATATTGAACGTACGGTTACTTGCCTAGGCGTCTTCAGACTTTGTGGGCGGGATAAGGTTTCCATTTCCGAGCGTTCTAGAACGGCGTCTTCGAAAGACCTGGACGGACGCCGGTAACGCATGATTTCTTTTCGCGAACGGGCTGGGCTGGTGGGAATTCAGAGAATTTATCACTTTGGATGTTATTATACCTAGAGCTCTGCACCCGGATGATATAAACTGAGATACCTCTTCTATGCTTCAACATGGGTTCCATCTGACTGGGGCATTTTGCGAACCGCGCAAACTGATTTCCAATGAATTCAGTGCTGCAGCACAAAGGTGGTGACTGAGTGGCAGGTGATGGCTGGAGAAAGGGGAGGGGAGGGGGAGCGGGGAAACGGGCGAGATGACGGGGTTCATGCCGCCTTTGCCTTGGATCTCCATTCTCCAAGGGCGGTTATTTGTCGGTGAGAGAGCACGGACTGTGGAGGTGGTACTGCCGTGATGCCGGACATGCTGCGGAGCCGAATGAGGATGTGGGCCAGCCGCTCCGAGCGACTTCCCTGTTCGACCTCTCTCGACCCCGACCCCGATCTTTACCCTAACTCCACATCATTCCCCGCGTTCTTCGGTGGCCCGGTGGAATGGTTCTCCGGGACCCTCCGAAGGGTATGAGGGAGCATTCATGTATTCATAGCGAGTACTTGATCTGGGCTGATCAAGATTAAGACGGAAGAAAATGTACAATGACAGTTTGGATGGCAGACTGCTGATTGATTTTTCGCCTCTTCAACGCTTCGCTCTGTACATCCAACCTACCTATTGGACTCAGCTCGACTTTCAGATTTGACGGTTTAGAATCTTGCCTAAGAAAAATCATCTTGGAAACTGTTCCATGGTGCGATGCCGGCCTCTGTCTCCCAGCGGATGGGCTGCAAGTTGAATGTCGTCTTGTTTCGCCTGTTCCGCAACGTGATTTTATACTTTTGTGAGTTTCCGTTACTCTGCAAGCTATCTACTTTTTGCTCTCACCTACCCGAGATACCCTAATCGATCATCGGCATAACTGTCGAGACGAACTTTGATACCATCACCACGCCACCTTTGACATGGTTCCAGTGGGGATTTCAACCGGTTTCGTACGGCTCAAGGGGAAAACTTTATCAGCGATTATCAGCGCAGTCATGCCGAAACCGAGCCATGACAGACTTCAAAGGAACGGCTCAAGAGTAGTGTATGACCTAGGAGCGGGAGAAAGACTCGCATCAGCCCACGGCTTCGTGCAAAACCAAACACATTTTTGAGAAGACGGCCTGCCTTGCTGCCCATGATACAGTTCTTCAGCAGGTTTGGACTATATGCTGGACAATAAGTTGGAGTACCTCACTTCTCGATTCCCGTGGAACTGGAGCAGGGCAGCTCGTTGTTTCCGGGCAAGACCTCCTTCAGAGCGAAGAGCAAAGATTGGCAAGGTACCGGAGATAATTCTCCATCGGCCTCTCTATCACCATCTCCCAGCGGCTACATAAAGAGGACTGATTTCGCCTGCCAGAGAGACGGGGAAATTTCAATGTGAATGGGAACCAGTTGGCTGACACTTGTTGGAAGCGCAGGAACAGGTTGAGTGAGGCTGCTGTCGAGATACCTCGTGCGAACAAAGTTCAGCAGGCTGAAAGTCACCAGCGGGAAGCAAAAGACTCTGTAGCAAGTAACAGAACCTCATAGGCCCTTGTCATAATACCAGTATTCGAGTACGAATGTCTCTAAAACAAGGAAGTCACATTTTGAGACCATGGACTTTCTGTCGTCTTCTCATATGAAGCTCCGTTAATAGCTGGACACCCTAAAGACAAATATACACCACTTCTTCAGCATCCATCCCAGAAGACCATGCACCCAAGAAGGCGTACTCCGAGGAAAGGGTCACCAAATGTTGTTGGGCAAAGACTAGTCCCACGGAGCGCATGCTTAGCTTCCAGTCTTATACGTTACTCCACTCGCGAATTGAGAAGTTGTTTCCAATCCGTGCCGATGATTCTTGGCTGGGGCCGGCACAGGAGAATCGGCAAGAGACAGGATTGAAAAGGGAAAAGGGGGGAGGGGGGGTGATTTGTGGGAGGCAGCCTTACCATCGCGTCTTGTGAGAGATGACCCTCAAAGCTTGTCGGTCAAACCTCTCGGTGCGGATATCATGAGTAGCGACCGCAATCTTGCCATGCCAGCGTCGTTCCTGGAGACCGGATAGAGCTCGTTGAACCGCTTCGTCCACTCCTAGGCTAGCCAGCGCCCGGTAGGCGCATTGGTGAGAGTATGGTACCGCGAATCTGCCCGGGGCACCGAACTGAAACGAGGAGCCCGAGTGATCGTAGTATGCCATGTTCTGCAAATATGCATAGAAAAGTCTGCAGCTTAATTGACAGAGTATGACGAAGCTACATGAGCTCTTTTCACGGCTTCAAAATAGAATGTGCTGCTCCTTAAGATTCCAAAAAGATTGCCGTGGAAGATTGAATTGGCGGGAAGACACAGAACGAGGTTCAATACTCATGTTCACAAAGCCCTGCAAGGAGGGGGGGGGGACATACCTAGCATCATCAACCTTTCAGGGAATCCTTTACAAGAAAAGCCAGAGGCACCTCCCTTGCTCCTCCCTTTCGGCAGACAGCCATTTACCGCCCGGAACTCTCGTCAGCAGGCCCAGATAAGTCTGGGATTAGGAACATCCTCACGCTGAACGCTTGCGAAGAAGCTCTTTCTTATTCATGGTGGAGTTGTAGTCGTGGAGGCCGGTAAACGTCGTGCTCTCACGAACCTGTTACACTCCTGCAATCAAAATGACACTCTCAACTAGGTCCGGTCGTCCTAGTCTCCATAGGAGGAATAAAACCCCGTGGGCGGTATCCAACGCAAGCACCTATAGAGGAGAAAAAGAAACAGTTTTCCTCGCAAACTCCCAAAGGCCTCGTAACATCCAATCCACCGTGATGACGTGGCGGAGCAAAGCGGCTTCTACCATCGCCTAGCAAGGCTCCAATTCAAGAGCAAATGCAATTGCATTGCTTCCGAGCTCAAAGTATACCAAGCCTCATGTACTCGACTTTAGTTACATGGCGGCGATGCCGAGCTGTGCCAGACGTCAAGAATATGGCAACGCGAGATCCTCAATGTCTTTATCTGTTTGGCGAATAGTAAACAACTGTTGCCACCGAAGAGAGAGTAAACTGTACGTACGGGTCGTAGTTCATGAGCTGCAAAACACACACCAACACAGATATCCATACATCATATCACAATATCAGGCACACTCTGGAGTAACCATCATCTCGTCATTTGATCAAACCCTAGGTAGACAATCGTCACGCTGCTAGACTCCAACCGTCATCACAAGCCGCCAGGAATTCTCGGGCTCTCCGGTGTATAAAGCAGTTTAAAAAAGAATTTGCTATCAAACCGTACAAGGAAGAGAATCCTCGACGATCGCTTCTTGTCGTTATCTTTTTGCCCTTCTGAGCTAGCTCCGCCGCGCTCGTTGATCAGTCATCAAACGTCCTGCGCGCGCGCTTCCTCTTCCTTTTTTGCCCCAAGTTCAGCCGTGAAGGGGGACGGAAGTTCCTCCACGTCGGCATGAGGCTTCTCAGAAAAAAACAACAATATTGTACATTATGGTAAAAGAAAAGAAGAAAAAGGCAACTGGGCACGTGTGCTCAATCTCTCCACCAATGTCATCCACCCATCTCGAAGAATAGAAGTGACCCTTGTGCGCCCGGCCTGCTCTCATACGTCCACGGTGAAGAACAAGCAAGCGGCGGTCATGGTTGTGTGTAGTGTATCATCAAAAAAAAAAATAGAGAAATTCATGAACCCAGAAAGGAAAAGGAGACGAGGGGGAAAAAAAAAAGGGCGGGGGAATTAAGCGAAGGTTGTTTCGTCATGAATACGTTGAATCATTGCGAAACGAAGAACAGAGCCAACGCGTCGAAACCAATCCCCAAAATCACAAAACTCCTTCCAACTGCGAACTGCCGACCGCGGACCGGGGGCAGTCAAAGAATGTACAGAAAGTGTAGTGATGAATGTTGTTACGTAGAGAAGCGAGAATTCATGCGTCGCAGAACGCCAGACTAAGGCCGGTCAGGTCGGCTTTTCGTCTTCGCTCGATCGCTCTCTGTTTGTTCGTCCACGTCGAGTCGCTTACGCCAGTCGGCCAGGCTTTCGCTGAGGCCCAGCCCGACTTCTTCGTCCTTGCGAGTAGGGGTCGCCGCGCCCTCAAAGTCAAAAGTGTTGCTTAGACGGTAGTTCTTGTTGGTGGCTTCCCAATGGGTGCGCAGGGTCTCGAGCTCATCTGCCAGATTGTCCAACGCAGTGCTATTACGTCCATCAGCTCCGCCAGAGACTGCTCCATAAGTGCTGTCGACATCAGAGCTGTCTTGCCGTCGATGCCCCGTACTGTTTCCGTTGGTACCCCTCTCGGTCAGCTCAGACGTCATACTCGGTGCCTGCCTGCTTTGCCGACGGTAGCTGTCGACGGAGTTCTCAACCTGGTCCAGGAGAAGCGAGACCTTTCCTTCGGCATCCTGGGCGCGACGCTCAAGGAGGAGGTTCTCCTGCTGAAGGCTCTCCAAGTCTCGGCGGTTGGCGGCGAGTTTCCGGGAAGCTTCTTCAGCGTCGTTGAGAGCGCCCTCGCGTTGCTTCTTGCTATCCTCCAACTCCTTTCTGACCGCGTTGAGCTGAGATTCAAGCTGCTCTGTGGACACCTGCAGATCCTCTTCGAGAGCCTCGATCTTCTCCTGTAGAATATGGCGTTCGCTTTCCCAGTTGGCAGGGATATTCCCGTTGTTGCCGGCGGATGCCTCCACACGGTCCTCAAGCTCGATAACCTCGTTCTTGAGCTTGGCGTTCTCCGTCTTGTACCTGGCGAGCTGCTCCTTGAGTTGTTTCAGCATCTTCTCCGTACCCTTGACATAGTGCACAGCAGACTGATAGTCGTTTTCTAGCTGACTGAGCTTTTCGCGGTAGGCAGCTTCGCTTGCTTCCTGCTGGGCCGTGCTGCGCTGTGCATTCTCTTCGTGGGCGGTCAACGCAGCATTGAGCTGATCCTCGAGATCACGAATGCGAACCTGCTCCGGAGTGTTCACTCGCGGGCTTCCAATGCTCCGGGTTCGCGACATGCCTGTGGGGCTGATGCCACGCTCAACAAGAATGTCCTTCAGGGTATTGTGTTGCACGGTCATCGCGTTGGTCTCCAGCTGTTGGTTCTGAAGTTGGTGCTTCAGATCCGAATTCTTAGCTTGCAGAGACTGGGTGTCCCTCAGAGCCGCCTGAAGCTGTCTTCTGATTGCCACACCCTCGCGACTGGACTGCTCCTGGTACACCTCCAACCCAGCGATGCGCTCTTCAGCAGTGCGAAGCTTATCAGCCGCAGCATCGGCCTCTTGTTGGTACTTCTTGACAAGGGCGTTCGCAGCAACAAGCTGGCTCTGCAGTGCCTTGGCACGCCCGTCGTCAGCCTTCCCGTCGGCCCCGATGTCTCTTGCAGTGACCTTATCGAACCCGGCCAGAACAGCTTGCTGGTGGAGTTTCGCTTCCTTGGCGTGCTTCTCGGCCATCTCTTCGGCGTCACGCAGTCGCTGAGTGGCAGCTACAAGCTCCGTGGTGCGTGCTTCGTGTTCCGTCCTAAGCTTATTGAACTTCGACTCAATTTGCTCCCTCTGCGATCGCTCCTCCTCCAACTTGCCCTCCAAGAGCGCCTTCATCTCCGCAGAAGCAGCCATGGCGGTGCGGAGAGAGTCGAAGGTGTCGTTTTGCTCCTTGGAATTGCCGATGGATTCGTTGTACTTGTTCTCAAAGTCTTCTTTCTCGACAGTCATGAGCTGAACAGCTGCCATGGCTTCTGTGTATTGAACCGCCTGCTCCCTAGCTTCTTTCTGCACCAAGTGCAACTCGGCCTTGAGCTGCTCTAATTCTGTAGAAGTCATCGTCTTGTAAGACTCAAGTTCGCTCATGCGCTTCTGCGAGGCATTGGTGGTGTCGTCAGCCAGCAGGCGGGCGCGTTTCTCAGCCTCGAGCTCGGATTTCATCATTTCAAGTTGGGCTTGGAGGTCCTTTTGATAGTTGAGGGCGGACGCCAGCTTGCGGCTGATCTCGGTGGAACGGTCGTCTACATCGCGTTCGCCGTCCAGCTGGGGAGTACTTGCAACACTGCCGCCCATCTGGGCTGCGACTCTTGCCTTCGCATATACCGCTTCTTGAATTGCAGCGTCTCGCTGCTTTTCCGCTTCGGCGATTTGTTTCGCAGCAAGAATGGCTTGCTTATCAACAGATGCCTGAACGTTAGCGAGCTCGGTTCTCATCGCCAATAACGCCTCTATGAGAGGTTTGTCTTCATCATCAAAGGTCTCTGCAGCTCTGCTGTCAAGAACAGGGCTGAGGCTTGCGTTGGGAACATATCCTGCCTTGCGAGCCAACTCGAGTTCTGACGCGTACCAGGCGTTGCGGTTTCTAGCTGTGTCCAATTCCTTCAGTAAAGCGACAGTCTGTGAGTTGCGGCCCGAGGATCGTCGAGACAACGGATTACTGGGCTGACGAGTGGGAGGCGGTGGCGAGGCCGGCCGTATTGGTTGCTGCACTTGTATTGGTGACTGCTGTTGGGTTGGCGGCGGCGGCGGTTGCGCCTGGGCTGGCGGTTGCACTGGAGCTGGCGGTTGAGCTTGCGTCTGAGGCGGCGGCTGAACTTGAGATTGTTGTTGAATCTGCATTGCCTTCAAAGCTGGCTCGGTCGTACTATCCACGGAGGTTTGAGACCTGCTGCCTTGCCTAGACCTGGTTTTGTAAGGCTCGGAAGGAGCAGATTCGGACTTTGAGCCAGATCTCAAGATCTGCTGAGGAGTCCGTCGGCCGTTCGTGACCGGGCTCTCTGCGTCCTTGGACGCTGGCTCTTTCACCTCGCGAATGACGGGAGACTGGCCTGCGGCAATCTGTGGTGAGCCACCAACGGACCCATCTCTCTCCGACGACTGTCCCCTGACTCTTCCCAGATTTCCAGTCTGAACCGAAGGCTTTGCTGGCGTTGGCCCTTGAGGCGGTGGCCCAGCGGGAGGCGAAGTCGCTGCAGATCTGGGGAGCTTCGACATGTTGTTAACTGCCGCCGGGTTCCCGTCTGTCCCGTTGGGGGATCCTCGCACCACGTTGGGAGGGCTATTGACGGCTGAGGCATCGCGAGGTGCATCGCGAGGTGCACCGGGGACTCCAACCAGTCGCTTTTGATCGGGGGGACCCTGGGAACCGTCTCGCGGTAATATGTTCCTTGTCTCAGCGGCAGCACTGGGCCGTCTCGCCTGCTGTGGGCGCTGCTGTCCGTTTGCCTGCGGTCCGCTAGGCTGTTGTGCTGCCGCAGCATCGTTCGGGTATCGAATCTTTGTGGTATCGAGCATATAGACTATTCCGAGATCGCCAACGCTGGCGGGAGACGAAGAAGGTTCACCTCCAACGACAACCACGGCCTTGCCGACTGTTGTCATGCTGTGGCCGGAGCGAGGAGAGGGCGACGGGCCCATATTCTGGAAGGTGTACCATCGGCGCGAGGTGATTCTAAAGGCGGCAAGATCTCCGAGGTCGACACCCTCTTCCGTACGTCCACCGAAAATGTACATTACGTCGTCGACGATCGATGCAGCGTGACCCTCGCGAGGGACTGGAATATAGCCAATGCAGTCATGTTGCGTCCATTCGTTCGTGGCGGGATCATAGCTCCAAACGTCGTTGAACCATTGGTAACCGTTTGTACCACCGAAACTGAGGTGCGTGAGCAGTGATTCCTGCAAGACTTTGCGCAATACTTACAGGTACATCTTATCATTGTAAGTAACCACAGAGTGGTTGGTTCGGGCGGCTGGGATCTTGCCGACGGCCGGTCCGCCACTGTCGGTGTTCTGGATCAACATCTCCCACCGGTTGTTGGGCATTTGGAGCTGATTAAGGTCAAAGGCAGCGAGATCGTTCATGAAGTAACCCTCAATCTGACCGCCAAAGATGTAAATCTTGGATCCGAGTATGTTAAGGGAGTGGCCGTAGCGACCGGAAGGCCTAGTACCAGCGGGTAACGCTCTCGACCACTGTCTCGTAGCTGTTTCTTGATTAGCAACCCTACAAAGTCCGTCGAGGCAGTATACGCGGCATGCCGGAGAAAGAACTCACAGGTGTTGAGAAGGTAGAGCGTCTCGTCCAGGACGTCCATCTCATCAACTTTGGTGTCACCACCGTAGACGATGAAGGCATTACCAACGAGCAAACTTGCGTGCCCAACTCTCGGGCCCGGTCCTTCGGCTGTCGTCGCCAGAGGATAGCAGGCCATGTTCTGTCCAGCCTCGATCATCCACAAGTCGCCCTTCACTGTGGAGCTATTGATCAAGCCTCCCATCACGTAGATATCGCCCTCCTTGGACGACACCGAATTGACGGCAGCTCCATAGCGGGGAAAGGGGCTCGGGTGTGATGATGTATATGTCAATCGTCGTTGCGACCAGGGGTATAGCGACGCATTAGGGTTCATCATTTGTTGTTGGGGAGGCATCTGGTTTTGTGAGGATACGGGGGGAGCGTTGCGAAGCTGCGAAGAATATCAGCAGTGTTCTAGCAGTGCTAGCCCATCAAAGTGAGCTGGATAAACTTACAGGCAAATCATTTGAAGGCCCTTGTGTCGGTATTTGGTCTACGCTGGGTCCTCGCTGGCGGGTGTAGCCTTGGTCGGGGCTCCCAGCACCGGCACTCCCATCGCGATCGATTGAGTTCAAGCTGCCCGTCGGTGTCGAGCGTTGAGTGCTGTTCTTCTCTTCCCTCGCGATTCTCTCTCGCTGGCTCTGGATTGAACCCTGCGAGCCACCAGAGTTTCCATCGCGGCTTGCAAGGGCTCGGTCCTGATTCTTCTTGGATTTGAAAAGAAAAGCCATCTCGAATCAAATCAAGGCCTGCACGCTGAGCGGCAGTTGGAGGGAGACTTGCTCGTAAGCCGTGTCCAATGCGCCGGGGATTTGGGGGGGTATCAATTGGATCGTTTCGTTCGTTCGTTGAAGATGGTGTCTAGGGCGTCACGATAATCAAACAAAAAAAGTCGCTCAAGTCGCACGTTACTCGTGGAGTCGATGCGGGTAGTGGGTGCTCTCGTCAGTTCACCCGGGGGCCGAGTCGGGTGAAGCGCGATGGAGATGCAGCAGATGCAGGAACGCAGCAGATACGCAGGAACGGGAAAGGGAGTCGACGCTCGAGTGTGCGGATGGCTGGGTTCGCATCGGTGGAGTGTGCCCGGGGTAGCGCGCGTTGCTGAGGCGAGGAGTGTCCTGCGATGTTCGACCTCGTCCTTTTTTTTTTATTGCGGTCCTCCTCGTCGGCGCAGTGAAGCGAGTAAGGTGGTAAGGGAGCGAGGGGTGAGAAACGAAAGGAGGCTGGGTGTTGGGCGAGAAGGGACGTTGTTCTCCGCGCGTACGCAGAGCTGTTGCTGACGGGGGTTGGCTCGTTGGGTTTTAGGGGTTTGATTACTCTTTTTTTTTTTGGACCTTCTTCCCAGGCGTTTCCCCTTCGGATTGCCGTGTCTTTTCTGTCCGTGGTCGTTTATTATTACTTTAAGCTCTCGGGGCCAGGGAGACGTAGTCAGTTGCTGCTAGTGCTGCGATCACAAAGCGAAGGAAGTCCGAAGTTGGATAGAAAGCTGATGGTGCTGCAACCGAAAAGCACACCCGGCTGCAATCTCCAGGTCTTTTCTGAGTGTGTCGGTCACTTCGTTGCCTGTCTCCGCCGTTGTCGAAAGGAGGTTTTGAGAAAATGCCACTCTACCTTAAGGATTGGGAAGCGATGGGGAAGGGGGCAGAGGGCAGAGGGGCAAAAAACAAGCCGCTGGGCTGATAGAATTCACCTTCAAAATGCAGGAGTAACAGCGGAACCAGGCAAAATACACGTAAAATATTGCAGGCCAGTGCTAGCTGCGAAGTACCTCCAACCATTGGGCTGCCCTAGGTAGGTACCTACCATTGTAGGTGCTCTGTCTCTCTCTCTCCATCGTTTCGGAGGCTCCTGTTCCTGCACTGACCGGCCCCGCTGGGTCGCTGCGCTGGCCTGTTCTCCGCCCACCAACTTGGCTGCTTTAGCCCACCCTGCAACCTGCCCTGCACTCCGTACTCTGCACTTGCACCCAGGGGCTTGTTCTTAGCTGATGTTGGACCAATGGGATATCGTGCAGCTTGGGTTTCCGCCTTCTTGTGGATGGGGGGTGCAAGGACTGGTAGGGGAGAGCCTAGCATCCAAGCAGAAGGGGAAAGTTTTTTAAGGAGCACGGAGGCTGCAGGCGCTTTCGCTACGGTGGGGGGGAAAGGAAGGAAGGATTCTTGGGGGGACATCAGGCGGGACTTTGGGGGTACTCCGCGCCACGTGGATTATGCGCTCAGAGACGGTGTTACTTGTCGGTATACTACCATGCGGTATACTACCATGCACGGTGGCCTGCTTTCCGTTGCTTTCAAAAGGGGCGGCGCTGGCTGGGGACACGACGAAGCCCTGCGAATTGCACCGTATCATGGAACATGCCGTGGGTACCTGAACATGTACATGCTTTTAGCCTACCTACCTTACATCTCGATGTGGATTGAAGGTTCGCTGTTCTATTATTACTATCGAGGGCATGTCCAACGCGATCTGAGGCGTCCGTCCTGTCGACGGGCTGCTGACTGCTGACCGAGGCGGTAGCTTCCACTGTTCTGCCTACATATTGTTCGAACACTTATCTTCCAAACTCTTTTTCAACCTGAAAGTGAGGTGGTTGGGAAGCCTTGAACCCTCGACGCCGCCTCAACCTGTATTTTATCCCGTCCCCGTCAAGGGACACAGGTTCTTTGGCAGTCGTCGGCCCCAGTCCCCATCCGTCCAAAGACTTTGGAATCTTGCCCGTTCGGAACAGCTCAACAACTCGCTCACATCATCACCGTGACATCGCCCCCCTCTACCCCATCAAAAGCTCGAAGGTTGCAGATCCAGAGGTCCGAGTCGGACGGCGTGCGTTCTGGTACATGCTGCAGTTATTACCGTCAGTGTCGGCCTTCTTATTGCTGAGCGTCCGCCCGCAAGCATCGTATTCTGTGCCACCTACCCGAGGCATGAGCAGGTGCCAAAAGAAAAAAAAAATCCAATATGGTGCCCGTAGACTAGACGGGGGAAACGTATCCCTTCTTTGACAATCATGAGGTCTCGGCATGAGACATGGAAGCACATGACGTCCAGTCACTGGCATTCCGGCCCCCAACACCCTGCCGGAAGTCTGGGCAAGAAACAGCGTATCAAAGGATCCTATCCCGGCTTGTTCAAACAGATGCCCTTTACAAATTACGCAAGTACTCTCGTGCGTACACGTCTGACAAGCAGCCGAGGCGGCGCGCCCATGCCAGAGGAATTCACAAACATCCTCATCTTCTTCCCGCCCTCGTTCCGGCTCCCGGACCAGCCGCCAAGGAAAAAAGACACCCAAAGAGGGAAAAGACAATGAGGCTCGTGGCAATGAGCAGATTCTTCCCATGTCGCGCTGGCGCATAATACAAGTGCTCATGGTCATTGGCAGCCCGAGGACTCGTGGCATCAGGGGCTCGTCTCCTGCGAAGCAGCCAAGGAGGGCGGCGGTTCCATTGATGCGTTGAGGATAATTTCCCTTAAGGGGTCCATTTGCCATGAGGCGGTGCGTTTCAAGTCCCCCAAAGCTTCAACGCCATTCGGCAACCTTTCTGGCACCCTAACTCTCTGAAGCTTCGAAGCCGGCAGCGGCCGCAAAGAATTGGACGGCGTGAGAGCGAGAAGACGGGAATACTTCCGAGGACAAAAATCCCACTAGGGATGGGAGTGACGTTGTCATTCTCTTCCCGCGGCATTGAAATATATATAGGTCGTGACATTTGTCGAGCACACGGTGCAAACCACAGCCCAGGACAGGGAGTGTGCACCACACCACAGACGTTGAAGGCATCTCGCCATGCCGTATTGGGCGGTGCGCTGGCACTACTCTGCCTGAAGACTCCTGGTACATGATCCGTGGGTGAGCAGTGGTGGCGCAGAGATAGACTTTGATGGAAAAAGGCATGGAATTCTGGCAAATTAACCTAAACGCTTAGCCTGGCTGCTAAATCCACCGCAAGAATGCTGCACTGAGATGGCGCATCTGAGGTTAAGATGCGGACATTCTGGTGAGCATTAGCGTTAGCCTGAAGCAGACGGGAGAAGGCAATCTGGCCACGCGGCGGCGGCGGCGTCCAACTTTGATCGTCGACGGCGTGAGCGAGATGATGAGCGAATGAGATGCGAATTGAGGCTCGTGTTAGGGGCAGGGTGGCTCCAGGTTTGAGTCGGGAAGACAAACAGGATGGACCCTCGCGACCGCCTCTGATGGCGCATGGACACGCCGACGACGAACCGACCAGCCCATCTTATAAGGTCGAGAGTCTTAAAAGGGAGCGCAGCCGCGTTCGGCAATCGGTAAGGTCTCCAAGCATAAACCGTCTCAACAACGAGTGACCCGGACGCAGGGCATGCGGTGAGATTTGGCGGGCGCCCCCTTCATCGTCGTGATCGTCGTCGTCAGCATAAAGGCAGAAACAGCCAGGCCTCAATTCAGAAAGAAGGCAAGCGATGCACTCCTATTTGCAACTTGCAATGAATGCCACCTCGTATCGTGGCAGCAACACCGGCCAACAATTCCGGAGGCAGATGCAAATGGGCTATCGATACGCAACACGTCGGGTAATTTTAGCGTGCGCAAGGCCACCGAGAGGGATGCGATGATCACAAAAAAAAGAAAAAAAAAAGGGGGAGGAAGGGGGGGTGGGGGCGGAGGCACGCGACTCCCCGCCACACCCACCCGGGGGGGGGGAGAGGAGCACGGGCTGGGCGGCTGGGGCGGGGGGGCGGGCGGGGGGGGGGGGGGGGGGGCGAAGATAAAAAAAAAAAAAAAAAAAAAAAGGAGAAGCAGAGAGAGAAGGAGAAAAAGAAAGCGATTTCCCCGCAAAATGAACGGAGGGAAGGGAAACAAAAGCAGACGAAAGGGAAAACAGAAAGCGAGCCGGCCGTTTGGGCGAGACATTGTTTCTAACGCGCCCGCCTCCCGCCAGCCCATTCCCCACCGTGCCTGAGCGATGTTGTGAGGAATGTTTTCTCCGATTTGCTCCTGCTGCGAAGCCTGCAATACTGTATGTCGCAAATTAGGCAAACATTGATAGTCAGGCACACTCACCACACCCAAAAGTCCGTTTCCAAAGGGCGAGTATGGCGATCCAACGGGACCTACTGCCCAGAACCAGGCCAGTGTTCACAACTTGCTGTACCTGGCAGGGGAAAATTTCTGAGTATCTTCCCAGGACCAATACGGAGACGACATTTTCGTTCATGTCAGCCTGTGACAGAATAAGACTGAATGAACTTTGGCTCTTCTGGTTGTACGAGGCAAGAGCCATGTGAAAGTACTCCGTATTGAATCGGGAATCGGGTTGCTCGTTTCGGATTAGCGTCCTTGTCTCTGAGCTGGACCGTGCATCCGGCCGAGGCCTCTTACCTCACCTCCCCCGATCCGGATCTGCTCCTGAGTGGACGCGCGAGACTGGACGAAATGCGGAGATGTGGAGCTGAAAGGCGGTCAGGGTCAGATTATCAATTGCAATTGCCTCCATCATTTTTGATTCGTTTTGCCCTTTCCGATATTATCGTTGCTCCAGGACGTGACCTGCGTCTGGCGATAAGTCGACACATGAGATGAACCACTGCTCCTAAATTGAACAAGATGAATTTTGGAATCCGTTTCCTAGGAGCATCAAACATGAATAGGTAGTACAAGATAGAGTAGAAGGGAATAGGTAATTAAGGTATGTAGGATTGTCGGAACATCGGAAGAAGCTTTCGGAGCGAGCGAGGCAGGAGGCAGGCGATTGTTCCCAGCACCTGATAGGCTGGTGGCCGAAGCTGACCTCAGCCCAAGGTGAGGTGCCATTCCTAAATTTTGGGCTGTTGCTGTACCGCGGGCCAGGTGTACCTACCTCTGCCGCACCCTGTGGAACTGCCGTGCTGGGACCTGTCCACACTGAGCTGAAGTCGGGTGTTAGCCGCTGCGCTGCGCCGCCAACTTGACCCAACCTGACCTGTCACTCCCGTCACCTATCCAAAAACTCCAAGTTCGCGTCACCGACGCAATCGCCTGCCGAATATCTCCATCCACCTCATCCTGCCCGACACCCATCGACCGACATGTCGTCGCGGTAAATTATTCATAGGTGTTTTGCGCGCCACCTTCAAATTTCGACGACAGTCTCACCGACAAGATGACGGCTGCCGCTGTGCAAGATCAGACCCATCCTCGCCCCTCGCCCGGCCGTCACCTTCGACAGTCGAGCTCCTCCAAACCCTCACCCTCAACCCCTCAACCTCGACATTACGCCAGCATTTCGCGAAGGACAAACAGCACTGCGCTACTCGGAGTTAATGGAAGTCCCAACAATATGCCACCAGTGCAGGGTCCTAACGGATCCTCCGCAATTTCCGATGCGACAGCGCAACCGTCACCCTTTGGCGGTGCTGGCCCCCCTCTAGCACTTCAACGATCCACGAGCCACGATGATAGTAACACAAGACGACCATCAAGTGCCCCTGGAAACAAGCAGAATCTAGCTGCTGGCTTTTCCACCGGCGAACAATCGGATTCAGACCGACCGAAGCGGCCATCTGTGAAGCCGCTGCTAATGCGATCCAAAAGCGAATATGGAGTGAGCCGCCCTGAAGAGGTTGACCACTCCGAAGAAGATATTCCGCATTGGGGCGCCAGACACGGCTTTGACGAATATCACGAGTCACCAGAAATACTTGCCCAGATAGCAAACGTGAGTGACAACTTTCCCTCCGTCCCCATCTACGCTTTTTGTCCTTCTTCCTTTTTCCCATCCCAAGCTCTGCGCCTCCCCACTTGGCGGCCTTGTGGCGGCGCTTCCCAGCCGGACTGGTCTAACCATAGCCTCCTGTTGGCGCGCGTCGCGCAAAGAAAGGAGACTCGGTACCATGCTCTCTTGGGTTGCACGCCAAATTTGGAGACTGTCGTCCATATCCCAGTCCCGAGGGGCAACGCGGGGCACAACCGTATCCGGGGTCAACTCTACATTCGTTCCTATCCGGACCTTTCAAACGATGCATTCTCCCGGGTGGATGGGATCAATGGCTATATCGTCTGTCTTGGATATAGAAGAACCGGGGTGCGACAGCGTCGCTTCCCTGTGCCATTGGGACTTGCTGATTTCAACTCGCATGTTGAGCCGTGCTGACTCCTGCTTCCAGAACTGGTACATGTATTGGACCGACAAGCGACACGAGACAACCGGCAAGCCCAAGGCGACGTTACACAAGCTGCAGGACTGGCGTATGCGAGATAGACTTAAGACGGTGTCTGCTGCGTTGGCCGTCTGCCTTAACATTTCAGTCGAGCCTCCCGACCAGCTTAAGACGAACCCGGGCGCCAAACTGGAAGCATGGACAGACCCTACAACGCCGCCACCTCAGAAGGCCCTCGAGAACATCGGCAAAGCCCTTCAGGCGCAGTACGAGACGCTGGCTATCCGCACGAGATACAAGCAGTACCTCGATCCATCGGTGGAAGAAACGAAGAAATTCTGTCAGTCCTTGCGTAGGAACGCCAAAGACGAGCGAGTTCTTCTCCATTACAATGGCCACGGAGTACCCAAGCCCACTGCAAGTGGCGAGATCTGGGTGTTTAATAAGAATTACACGCAGTATATCCCAGTCTCGCTATACGATCTTCAACAGTGGCTTCATGCCCCTACGATTTACGTCTGGGACTGTTCCGAAGCTGGCAATATCCTCAACAACTACCACAGATTTGTCGAGAAGCACGAACAAGAAGAGGATGAAGCTGCCGCAAGAGACCCCAACTACGAGAAGACCGTGTTTCAGCCCTATATCCACTTGGCTGCCTGCGGCGTTAAGGAGAATCTCCCTACTAACCCACTCCTCCCAGCCGATCTATTCACGGCATGTCTCACCACCCCTATCGAGATGGCTCTCTGGTTCTTCGTTCTCCAGAACCCTCTCAAGACAAATCTTACACCAGAGCGCGCCAAGAAGCTGCCCGGCAGGCTACAGGAGAGAAGAACGCCACTCGGCGAGTTGAACTGGATCTTCACGGCCATCACGGATACGATCGCATGGACTACACTGCCCCGGCACCTTTTCCGAAAGTTTTTCAGACAGGATCTCATGGTGGCTGCCCTTTTCCGCAACTTTCTCCTGGCCCAGAGAATCATGTCTGTCTACGGGTGCCACCCGCAGTCTTTCCCTGAGCTCCCCGAGACCCGACAGCACCCGTTGTGGGCAAGCTGGGACTTGGCCGTGGATATGGCATTGGCCCAGTTGCCTATGCTAGAAAGGAAGGAGAACGAAGGCCTTGAGTACGAGTACCAAAATTCGACGTTCTTTACCGAACAATTGACAGCATTCGATGTCTACCTAACCCGTGGTGACGCCCTGTCTCAAAGACCCCCAGAGCAGCTTCCAGTGGTGCTACAAGTTCTGCTGAGCCAACAGCACAGAGTCAGAGCTCTCATCTTACTCGGAAGATTCCTCGACCTGGGTCCATGGGCAGTCCAGCTCGCTCTGAGCATAGGCATTTTCCCATATGTCCTGAAGTTGTTACAGTCGGCTGCTGCAGAACTGAAACCGGTGATGATCTTCATTTGGACCCGGATTCTAGCTGTGGACATCTCCTGCCAGCAAGATCTGATCAAGGACAGCGGGTACAACTACTTTGCCCAAATTCTGAAGCCATCCGAGACTTTGCCAGTCGTCAATGAAGCTGAGCATAAGGCGATGTGCGCTTTCATTCTATCGATGCTCTGCAAGGATTATAAGCCCGGGCAGCATGTGTGCAATCAAACCGACATAATGACTTACTGCTTAATGCATTTGCAAAACCAGGAGAATCCGCTCCTGCGCCAGTGGTCTTGTCTATGCATCAGTCAGCTATGGCAGGAACTTCCAGAGGCCAAATGGCGCGGCATTCGAGAGAACGCGCCGGCCAAGTTGTCATTTCTGACAAAGGACCCTGTTCCTGAAGTTCGAGCCGCTATGGTGTATTCCATGACCACTTTCCTGGGCATCATCGACCTGACCGATGAGGTCGCTCGGATAGAAGAATCCATCGCCTGGACACTTCTGGACATGGCCAACGACGGAAGCCCAATGGTCCGGCGTGAGTTCCTCGTCTTCCTTTCGAGGTTTATTCTACGCTTCGAGAGTAAGTTCATTGTCGCTGCGTATGAACAGCTTCAAGAAGAGAGGGAATACCTATTGTTCCCTCCAGGCCAGGACGGCATGGACCACAAGATGGGCCTGCATTATGCACGGAGAGAAAACAGAAACGCAGACGGCACCATCAAGCCTAATGTTCATGGTTTCGCCCACAACACCGTGTTTTCCGCCTGCTGGAAGCATGCTTTGATGCTGAATGTTGACCCTCATCCTGAGGTTCAGCGCGACGCTACAATGATTGTGGACCACGTTCACCAAGTTGTGATGGCTTCGCCTGTTGGTGAACATGCACAAAGCCTCATTGATGACATCCGGAAAAGGGCAAAGCGTGCATCCACAAAGAAACACTTGCAGTTGAGCCAAAGAAGCAATGCGATTGGTGTCTCCAACTCTTTGGCAACTCCGCCACTGCCATCTCCTGGCCTGTTGCGTCGCACAGCAAGCTTGCTTTTTCAGCTGCCACTATTTGGTAATGATGGTAAGGCTGATGCCAGCGAGAAGGCAAATTACTCCTCCCCAGCGCCTTCGCCCGGTCTGCACAGGGTTGGTTCCCAGAAGATCAAGGCCCCTGAGCTTGCTGAAGCACCACCGGAACAGAGCGACCCAACGGCTATCCATGCCAATTATCATATTGCTAAAGAGCCTGTCTCCACCGGTTTTGAGGATCGGAAGCTGGGCGAAGCGCCAGCTATGCCGCTGCAAAGTACCTTCCTGGAATGGTCTATTGAGTACTTCTGCGAGCCTCAGATGAAGCCGAGCGAGTCGGACGAACCAGGCAGCACCGAGTACAATGAACGTCTCTGGAGAAGATCCCGAAATGACTTCATCTTGACAGAAACGCAACCGCTCAAGCAGTTTGCTGGTAGCCACAAGTGGAACAATCAACTGGGCATTACCAATAACGGCTCGCAGCCTGCCAAGCTCACATTCCACCAGTTTGAGGACCAGCTTGCAGTTGCAGACGACGGCAACACGGTGTGCGTCTGGGACTGGAAAAAGCATGCTCGGTTGAGCAAGTTTTCCAACGGAAATCCGGAAGGGTCAAGAATCAGTGACATGAAGTTCATCAATGAGGACGACCAGGCATTCCTAATGACTGGCTCGTCAGACGGAGTCCTCCGAATCTACCAAAATTACGATTCCGACAGATCCATCAACCTGGCCTCGTCTTGGCGGGCCCTTACGCACATGGTGCCCAGTAACGTAAACTCCGGCATGGTTTTCGACTGGCAGCAGTCGCTCGGCCGCGTCCTCGTGGCTGGCGATGTGCGAGTCATTCGGGTGTGGTCTGCTGGCTCTGAGAAGTGCGTCACCGACATTCCCGCCCGGTCTGGTTCTTGTGTCACTTCTTTGACCTCTGACCAGATGACCGGCCACACAGTTGTGGCTGGGTTTGGTGACGGGGCTGTTCGCGTTTTCGACACCCGCATTAGACCGCAGGATTCCATGATCAAGAAGTGGAAGGATGAGACGGATAGACAATGGATCAAAAGCGTACATCTGCAGCGTGGCGGACAACGGGAGCTGCTCAGCGCAAGCAGAAATGGCAAGGTCAAGTTGTGGGATATTCGCATGGATCGACCTCTTCACGTTTTCCAAACAACTCGAGACACGCTTCGAACAGCCAGCACGCATGAACACCTGCCAGTGTTTGCAGTGTAAGTCGTCATCCAGGCCTTCTTTCTTTCTATTGCGAGACTTAGACTGACCCCTCATTGCAGTGGTACATCTGCCCATGCCGTTAAGGTCTTCAACTTTGACGGTCAAGAGTTGTCCCGTGTCGAACCTTACTCAAGCTTCCTTCAACAGAACAGGGGCTCTCCCATTGCGGCAACTGCCTTCCACCCACACAAGCCGATCCTGGCTTGCGCTGCTCGTGGAGACTACCACGTCAACCTCTTTACCTGCGAGAAGTCCGAGCCACAATCCCTGGTTGCCTAGTTCACAAGCTGGTGGAAGTGAACTCGGATCTGTCGTTTGTTTTTCTCACGTTATCTTGAGGTTGGGAGGTTCCTTTTGCTGCTGTGTAACCACGCTTTCTTTTCTTGTTCTGATTCTTCATCTCGGGACGGCTGCATAACAGGGACTGGCGAGGGTTTGGCGTTTGATTTGGTCGCGTAATGCGACACGGCAGACAGAGATGGTTGCATGAGATAACTTAGCTAATGGTAGCAATTGGCCAATTCGGAACCCAGTTGATGTATGAAAGGAAATGAAAATTGCTCCAGATTCACAGGCCATTATGAAATTGTATGTGAGACTCAGGCATCAAGTAGTGTGTCGATAGGTCCCGCAGCATCAGATTTCGGTCTGGGGAAGCTGAATTGGAGCCGAATGCGGCCCCCGCCTCAGACGCCTTTGAAGATAATTAGCGAGACAGCGCTGGAGGATCGAAAGTCTCTGTAGGGCCATCTCGGAAACTCATTCCACCGAGGCCCTAGAAGAATCAGGCACAGGAGATAGCTAGCAGTAGGTATAGATAACATGGTGCGGTATGATTCTTCAAATCGGCAAAGAGACTAGTGGTCCTCCAGTAGGGCGAATTAAACCTGAAGTTCTCGGGTAGGTGAGGACTGTGGTTGTTGGCAATAACGCCAGTAGGGCAACTGGGTTTGAGTATGGCAACTTGGTGTATTTGTTTCCTAATAATTAGGTCTTATTGCTTGCTTAAACGGCCGAAGAAACTCGAAATAATGTGTTTTGGTTGCCGCAGACCTGGCTTCGTGGTATCATCGCCCACGCCACAAACCGAAGGCACTAATATTAAACGTGTTGCGCTGCCTAAGTGTTAATGGTTTAGGTAAGATTTCCGATGACGCCGAAAATAAACCATCCCGTAACCCCGGATTCTAAGCGCGGAAACCTGGCCCCGGCCGGACTAGCCTAGCTTTTAGCGCTAAACGCGGCGTTAAATTAACTTGAGTCGTCGTTATTAGCCTGTATTACGTTTTTTAATGCGTTAATACTTTTATAATGACCTTTTTCCTAGATAAATCTGACAGTGCTAGGAAGGGTCGTAGTGTAACATTTTTAAGGGGAGATGTGCCCTGTCAAAAGGCTTCATATTAAAGTATTTAGTACATCAGGAGTATCACATGTAAGGATTATTGCGACCCCCAGCCAGTTTTTATCCACACAGCATTGGCAAAGAACCATTGATAAACTGCACCATCCGGTAGCTGTATTGCAACCGAGATATTTGAGCAAGCTTTGTTTCCCCTGAACAGAAGACGTGTTACAGACAGACCCGAAGACAGAGAAGCGGACTTCAATGCCCCGTTGCTCCTGATGGCTTCTCCTCGCTGCTCGGGTTTGGTGGTTCCACATTGTCTTGGTTGCCCAACTTAATAGCCGACCCCCCTATTCTGATCCACTCGATCCCGAAGGCCAGGAAAAAAGCCACACCGGCTGAGGCAACAGCGACGAACTTTCCAGCGACATGTTGGCGAACATGGAAACGTGAAGTCGGGTCATAGAGATAGGGGACTCACATGTGTCTAAGCGATGGCAGAGTTGTACGACTCCATGATAGGGTCGAACATCGAGGGGAAATATTGGTGCACAATGGCTCGCACGTTTGCGATACCGCTCCGGTAAAGTGGTTGTATCTGGCCGTGACTCAGCGCAGCTCGCGAGGCGAGCTGGCTCTCCAGACGCGCGTGGAAAATGGCACCGGCAATGACCTGCGCGACGGTCTCACCGAGAAACTGGGCGAAGATGTTGAGCGAGACGCCGATGGGCAAGAGATCGGGGGGGTCCCTGAGCGCTAGTTGGACCATGAGAGATGGCATCTGCATGGAGAAGCCGACACCCAGGCCCTGGATAACCTGGAACCCGATCCATTGGCTCGATGGGGTATTGGAGACGGTGAACTGGGTGTACAGAGCGGCCGCGGTGCACATCAAGACTGGCCCGACATAGAACCAAGGGTTGTAAAACCGGATTTTGAGAGCTGGGGTGACGAGTAAGAGGCTGGAAAATGAGTGAGGGGATCGAAAATGTACGTACCAATGGCACCTGCACAAATCATTCCCACGATTTGTGAGATGACGGACGGCAGCACCCTTATGCCGCTCTCAAAGGGAGTAGCGCCCTGGACTGCCTGAAACCACTCCGGGAGGTAGTAAGATGAGACGGATAGAGCACCAAGATGGCAGAAGGAGAAGATGACACTGAGCAGGACGGTGCGTCTTGTGACCAGAACACCAGGGATCATGGCCGAGTCCCCCAAGCGCGACTCCCAGACGGCGAAGAGACCCAGCATGACGATTGATTCAACCAAAAGGCTAGTAATGGTTGCCGACTTCCAAGGGTACGAATTTCCGCCCCATTGCAGGGCGAGGATCAACATGAAAATGCCGGGGACGAAAACGAAAGACCCAACGAGATGGGGCGAGAATCAGACCCAGGGCAAAGCAGCTGCTGCACAGGCCGATGTACAACGGCCTACGTTGGGGTGAAGATATGACCAAGACGACGGTGAGACATCCACTGGTGACTGCAGCTGCGCCGATACCCGAGACGGCACGGCCGGCGATGAAGATTTCGCTTGTGGAGGCCCAGCCACATATGGCACTACCGACGAGGAAGACGAAGAAAAAGCCTTGGTAAACCCAGCGGAGCGAGAACACACTGGCCATTTTGCCCGCCAAGGGGGTGAGCGAGCAGACCGCCAACGTGTAGGCTGCTGGATACCAAGATATGTGTGATGTATTCTGAAAGTCGGAGGTGATGGACGGAATGGCCTAAATAAGAGCAAAGTTAGTATTTCCTTGAATAGGAAGAGAGAGGGAGATAGAGACAGAGAGCGAGTGTAAGTGTTGGCGGGGTGACGAACCGTCCCGATGACATGGACATCGAGAGCCATGACAAAGGCGCCGAAGCAGACGCTAATAAGAACCATGTATAACTTGAAGCCGTGTAGATCCGAGGAGGCGAGACCGGACTGCTTGGTAATGCCTGCGGTATCCATCGTGGACGCTGGCGCGGATTCTACTAAGCCTTCGCTCGCCTCGCCATTGCTGTTCCGGCCATCTGATGGTGCTGATGCTGATGCTGTTGCTTTCATCCTTGTCTTCAGCCTCCAGCTGTGTTTGTGTATGGGGCGCTTAGAAAAAAACTGGATATAGTGAAAAGAAAAGAGCAAAGCGCGAAAAGCGAAAAGGGAGGAGCGAAAAGAGCTGCAGTGATTCCGACGTCGAGGAACTTTTTGATCAAGGCACGGAATATTAAATGAGGATGGGACGATCGATTAAAATCCCCGGTTCAGGAAGGTATATACTCATATTTGTCTGCCTGGCCACGTGCGCGGCCTTCCTGATTGTAAGTGGCACAGCACTCCGGCGTTCCTTTCCAGGTTTTAAGTGGCACGGTCTTCTTCCAGACCATAGATCCCCTGGATGAGTGCAAGACCATCGACTGGGTCATCGAAGACGTCGATTACAGCCCCGTGAGCCCTGCTAATCTGCTCAGTCTGGGGAGGCTCCGCAAGTCCGGAATCGAACACAACTACAATTCTGACACCCTGGTTAACATCACTACTTCTCAGCCTCTCGGCAAGGTTGAGTGGATTATGGATGTGTGTATCCTTCAGACTGCCACTACCTTGTGGTTGGATAGAGTCACCATTGGCAGCAGTGAAAGGCTGCAAGTCCCCACGAGCGATCTAGATGTGAAAAGATTCAATTCGTTGAACAGAAAACCGCTGCAGCCCGAGTCGACGATGATTTCGTCACGCTTGAGTTGATGTCCATCGATGGATGAGAAGACGCGGCCCTTATCAGGAAAAGGATCTCGAACTGCAAACATAACTCACTACGACTAGCTGACCGTAACAAACACCTCCTTCTGATGAGATAACAAGGTTTTTCTTCTCTTGCTGTCGATTTTTAGACGTTCGGCATCAGGGACCTTGCCTTTCCCTTCCCATTGAGGGTCCCTTGTGCGTAATCAGATAGACTTTTGCCTCTCAAGCCTGGGTCTAAGTCCTGGGCACTTGGGTATCACAGACATCGAGGGTTCTTGAAATGTTGTCTTCACGAACGCCGCAAGAATACCAATGCTAAATTGTAACCAAGATAATTCATGAATCCAAACCCATGCCGGCTTGGAAACTTTATGACTGTTTCGGCGATGCTATCTTCAGTGGGTACCCGTATCACACAGCTTGGCCTGAAATGATGGCAAGGCAGGGATCGAAGCAGTCGGCAGAATCTGAAGGTGAAAGGCGGTGTACTGGCCGTAAACATTAGGCCAATCAGAGCCGGCCATTCAAACGGCAGTAAACTCCACGGAGAATCAGAGGGATGCGGCAATCTACTCTTTCTTCCTCCTCAAGCGCAGTCAATGTATAAGGATTGCTGCACTTCAATGCCGTACGACTTGACTATTCGGTGTGAAACCCAGAATAGCAGATGTTTGCTACACAAGTACAAGCAGCTGAACCACGCTACTGGGGCGCTCAGTTGCTAAGCAAAGCTGCTAAAGTCAAGTAGAATTGCATGAATCAATCTGTAATCAATGTCATGATCTAGACGCTCCACATCTAATGCCCACTCGAGCTGCTGTCGTTCTTCCTTCACTTGCGACAAACTGCTCAGTATCCGTATCAGCCTTACGATGTCAGTAGGTAGCGAGTGTAGCCCGAGAGCTGTTAGCCTGTTTGAGAAGAAAAGGACCCTTTCATTGGTCAATAATAGACTACTTGTAAATTGAGATGCTAGACGACTGCTTCAATCGCGGCGGTTGACGCAATCACACCTGTGAGGGACCAAAGTAGTCTAATGATTAAGCTTAATTTATCAGATGATCAATACCTACCTTCCACATGCGTAGTCGTTTGGACTACAGGGTATTTCCGGTCACAAGCTAAATGCCGTTATTAGTGTCAGCAACTTTGTCAAGCAACCAGGTAGTTACTGCCTTATTATGGAAAGAAGAGAGGAAAAGAGTCAACGTCAATCTTGTACACAACCTGGTGAGATCCAATGATGAAGACATTTTTCGCCAAATTCTATTCGTCAAGCCATGTTCTATGTCAGAATCTACTACTACGCATTCGCCAAGTATCCAGCCCCTTTCGCATCATATCTATGGATAATCCTCATCTTCCCAAGAGTATTAATCCACCCAGATACAGGTAAATATATTGACCCGTGGTCCGCCTGGTGGGAGACAATCGTATTCGGTGTGTGTCATTGGTAGTGTCTCTGGAAATAGCGCCAGCCGGATTGAGGTATCGCCTTGTTCAAGACAATGTTCCTTTTACAAGGGGTCATACTTGGGCGTAAGACGTTTTCAATCATCTCGACTCACAAAGTCTAGAAGAGCTCAGCCGGATAATAATCATGCGCTGAGAAACCCATCTACTGCTACCAAGGACGTCCACTCTTCACTAAACGTACACACCTAATTATGAAGTCGCCTTGAATGAATTAGGACCCTTGGATACTTTGTACTTGGAAAGCAATGTGCCACGACAGTCTCAGTATGCCCCCGCCCGCCGGCTCCAACCCGGCGCCTCGACAACCTTGACCTCCTCCCGCCCCGTCGTCACCACCTCGCCAACGTCTAGCCGGAAGTTCTGCACGCGAGCGCCGCCCTTCTCGAGAGCCCAGACGGCCAGGCCGATGTAGTTGGTCCCCTGATACCTGAGAATGCCTTCGGGTACGGGAAACCTGGTCTGCGGACCGATGTTGCTCACGTACCGCCCGTACTGGAACCCGTTTACGTAGAGGATGGCGCGGTAGGCCCCCGTGCCGTTGGACGACGCCACGATGTCGTCAAAGAGAAAGGCTAGTGGTACGTCAAGGTCCGTAGCCGGGACGTGTAGGTCGAGTTTCGCAGCGTAGAAAGCCACGCCGGGTGCGTCTGCCCCATCGAATGGCGAACGTTTCGTATTGAGCGCAGATTCGGGCGGAGAAGGCAGGTGATAGCCCTGGCGCTCGATAAAGAGTCCCCCCTCGTTCAAGGGGCCCCGGAATCTGTCAGCGTAGTCCTCGCCGCCGAGATTCCCCGTAACCTTCCACGTCGTGACGTTCGTCTGGGCGCCGGAGGGGGACGTGATGATGTAGTCCATGATCCCGCGCGGGTTCTTCATCATGTCTGCGGGAATGTTAAAGTTCTCTTCGAGGCCGGTGGTGTCGACGAGGATTGTCAGGACGTATGTCGCGCCCGCGGTGAGGTTCGTCATGGTGTAGTTGGAGTTATTGTCGCCGGAGGCGTCCGGGCCGTTGGCAAAGGAACCGAGAAAGGTTTCGTTCAGCCAGATGGAGCTCGCAAAGGCGGAGCCGCCCTGGGTTGTAATGTTGAGCATGTTTTCTGTGCCTTTTGAGGTGAAGTAGCCTCGGAAGACGAGCGTGCCCGCGTGGAAGCCGTAGTCTGAGGCGAAGAGGGAGACTGGAGTGGTGAGGTTGGCAATTGTGTTGTTTGTGGTCTTGTGATCTGCGAGAGGCCACGCAGAGTCGTCGTAGCCTGCGCGGATCTCAGGGAGAGAGTCGATGGAGCTCCAGTTGAGTGACTTCAAGTCCGGAAGGCTTAGCGTACCATCCGCGAGGGACGGTTTCGCAATCCAGTTAGTCAGGTTATTCGTTGTATGGTCCAGCTGCTTGCCGTTGACTTCAAGCCTCGTGACTTCGGGTTCAATGCCAATAATCTCCAGCTCAACAGTGCGATTGAAATCCGCCTGGACCCTGAGAGTGTCACCCTGTATTGAGATCGATCTTATCAAGTATCCACCATTGATAATCAGCGAGTCTGGTTTCATAATGGACGTCCCATATGCTGGTTGGCTCCCCCCGGGTTTGTCCGGCACCCAGTAGTTATATGCCGAGTTGCGGTCTGCAATGCGTTAGCCCTTGGAGCTTATGGTATACAGGTGTTGCTGTACAAACCTAGAATGTAAATAACCAGGTTGTCAACCTTGACCACCCTTCGAGTGCTTGACGTCTCCCATGCCAAGAGCAAGGTTTTATTCACATAATTGTGGTCAACACTAGTACCTTCTATAAGAAAAGGCGTCACGGTCGATTTGATCGCTATTTCGTGTGTCTCGCCTAGCCCACTGTAAACGACAAGAACCGTCTGGTTCTTGAAGTGTTTCCAGGTAAGAATCTCGGCCGTTGAATACAAAAGAATCGTTTCCCCAACAGGGTAATCTGTGACGACGAACTTTGAATCACGGCGGGTGAGCTGAAGCAGATCGCGGGATTGCGGGATCGTGATTGTTCCTTGTGACGTGGGTAGACGAAGTGTATAATCTGTCGTGGCAAGACTGGAGTAGTTGCTGTGCCGGACGACAAAGAACGAGCCGTTCCCGTTCCCTAGCAGCGGAGTGACTGTGATGTCCGGAGTTGCGCTGTATACCCCAACAGTCAGGTTTCCGGGCGTTGTCGTCAGATATGCAGGTGAAACTTTAAGAAATTGTGCCTCGAGCTTCAACTCAGAGTACTTTTCCCTTGCGACACTTCTCTCTTCTGTGATGGCCTTGCAAAATGTTAGGAGAAATGGTCTCAATCAATCTGGAGGCAACAAGCTTACGGCACCGTAGTCGTATGATGTGTATCCTCCTGGATGTCCCAGGTTACCCCAATTTGTACCGCCGAATATCTAGATTGACGTCAGTCTCGGCTTCCCATCCGCACTCCTTTGCTGCTACTCACCATATAAACATTAAAAATTGTGACGCCAGCTCCAAAATTGTTCTTGTAAAACACGCGCTCAAACTCGTGGTTAAGCAATGCTGCACACTTTTCGAAACCAGGTCCGCCGTAGGGGTCGAAAGACCCTCCTTGGAACTGTGACGAGTGAATTCAAGTTTCTCCTCTATCGATGTTTGTCTGCCTACCTCTAATATCGAGTATGGAGTGCTGGGACTTTGTTGCAAATGTAGTGCGTGATAATTAGTTGGCAGCTTGCCACCTGGCCACGTATTCGGGTTTGCCTATGTCTTTGGGGTCAGTACACTGCAACGATTTTGGAATCACATCCAGACTACTACGTACACAGTCAAATCCCAGCGGGTACCCATCGTGACCCTGAATACAAATGTTAGTCTAGAGTCTCTGGCACAGCTTTGGTACCACTTGCGTAGATGTCAACGGCTCCAACCCCCGTCCCAGGCGCATTGTGTCCCAATGGTCTGGCGTCGTTGCTGATGAGGGGAACAACGACCCCAGCCTTGCGAGCCTGGTCAATGACATACTGGAAGTACTTTCCATCGGGACTGCTGCCGTTCTCAAAGTTGGTGTACTCATTCTCCGGCTGCAGAAGAATAACAGGGCCGCCGTTGGTGATTTGGGCCTTGGCGATGATGCCGCAAATCTTTGCCATGTAGCTAATTATTGGTGTCAGTCATTGATAATATCAAGACTCTCCACTTGGCTAAATGCATACTTATCCGTCGCGGAGAGGAACTCGGGGTCCGAAGTCCTCAACTTTGCCCGAAGTCTTGCCAACCAGCCCGGAAACCCGCCGCCAGAGACCTCTGCGTTGATGTACGGGCCAGGGCGCGCAATGAGGTAGATTCCCGCCTTGGTCGCGGCGTCGAAGAAGGGCTTGAGATCATACACGCCCTCGGCGGTAAATTCGCCGGCTTTCCCCTCAAGCAGCGCCCAGTTGACATAGAATGAGACCGTGTTGAGACCCAGGGCCTTGACCTTTTGGAAGATGTCTAGGTACAGGGACGGGACGGGCAGCCGAAAGGGATGGATCTCGCCGGAGAAGATCATGACCCGCTCTCCGCGGACGAAGAGCGAGTGCTCGTCCCATGTCACGATGTCCTGGAGCTGATCTCTCTTCTCGTCTTTGATGATCACCGTGGGAGGACGACCTCCGACGAGGCCCGCGGATACTGCAGTCCAGAATCCGATGCCTAGCGAGGCGATCGAGAAGAGTGATAGCCTCATGCTGGCGGGTACCGGGTGGCGGCTGTCAAACGGAGAAGGAAAAGAATGAGACTAAACGCCGGGTGCCGCCCGTACATGATATATGTCACAGTCAACTTCGGACCTTTGCAGCCGCGAACCCTGAGAGTCCTCCGGAGACCGATATTCTTCTAGGTGCTCTAGTGCCGGCGACCGCGCAGATTGTGGTAGTCAATATTTGTGTGCGTAGCAAAGTCCATCGTTCATCATTTCCCCTCTCCTCCATTTTCCCGGAAGGTGTATCAGCGTAAGAGGATGTCCGGAAGAACAGGTGTGATTAGCTTCGCATACGAAACGATCGTCCGATGCCCGTGGGCAGAGGAAAGCTTGGTCCATGGTATGCATGGTATGCAGCCATAGTTGCAGTGTTGAGTAGTCCAAAAAGAGGTTGGCTAGAGGCGATTTGATTAAGCTTCCCCAGCTTAGCCAGCAGGAGCCGTGCGGAGAGGTGGTGGTGATCGTTGGAGCATGTGGAGGAGCGGTTCCAACCCCTCTCGACATCCGGAATTGCTAGAAATCATCTCGACCGATTGCGTGCGGAGGCAAATCCGACGGTGCAATGCGACGAAAGAATGTCGTTGACGAGCACACGCTGGTCGTATCCGGTACCTGATTCAAGGTCAATTAACGCGATGCCCGTTGGTTGTCAGCAGAACGGAGTCACATTGTGTTCCAACTTTGTCGATTGTGACTGTCTGGTCGCACTCAAACTCGTATCCGTCGCTTGTTGGCGATGATCCAACTGCGCAATGTAACCCAGTTGCTCAATATGGGTAGTTGGTGTAGGCAAGCGATTGATTACTTGTGATTGATGAAGTCCACATGACGCAATTAAACAAGAATCCATTCCGACTCCTCTTCAACGCCGGGACTCGAGCTGGCGATCTGCTCCTCGAAGAAGCCAACAGCTCGTCCATCCTTCTTCCAGACCTTGCCGTCCTTCATAACAAAACTGACCTTCCTCAAGGCCCCTGCATCTTCTCTGGGGTCTGTTTCCAAGGCAATGATATCGGCTCGGTATCCTTTCTCGATCGAACCGAACAAAAAACCGCTCTTCTCCTTACCACAGCTTTCCCAACCGCCCATCAGGCATGCTTCCAGCACATCCACAACAGGAACCCCAGCCCGAATCATGAGTTCCATTTCAACGGCACCTTCCCCGTGAGGAAAAGCTCCGGTATCACCTCCGGCGGCGAGACGCACACCGAGGCCATGTGCTCTCTTGACCCGCTTGCTAATGTTGTTAAAGTCCGGTGACATCCTCATAACGCCGAGCGTAGGGACGAAAATGGTACCGCGGCGGGCCATTTCTCGAAAGACCTCATCGGTGGCCTCGTTGCAGTGCTCAATGGAGTCGACGCCGGCCTTGATAGCCATGAGAGCGGCTTTCGCCGTGGTTGCGTGGCACGCCACGGGCAGCTCACCGAGCCTGGCTTCTTGGACAATTGCGTCCATTTCCTCTTGGTTAAACATAACAACCGACGGGTTGAGATCCGAAGGAAGAAACGGGATCGCATCTCCTAGAGGCGGAAACCGCATCACCTTGCGTCGATAATCTGCGTAGAACTTGATTACGTCCGCCCCGTCACCCGCACGGCGCCGGACGGCCTGTCGAACGCCCACGGGACCGTCGCAGGCATCGGAAATGCGCGGCAGCTTGACCAACGAGTTCTCGTGGCGGACCTCGTACGACCCAGTGCTGGCGAGGCACTCGGTGGCCACGAAGAGCCGGGGGCCGGGCAAGAGACCTCGATTGACGCAGTCTCTCAGGTTTGCGTCGAACGAGCGCAGTCCCTCGGTGCCCAAATCTCTGTAGGTGGTGTAACCAGACAGAAGGGCGGCCCGGAGATGATTCGTTGCACGAACGACTCGCTCGACGACACTTTCGTCGCGCATCTGGACGGTTGACGATGCTTCGCTGGGTATTGTCAGATACTCAAAGCACGTTGTGTCACATCGGCGAGGCTCACTCGTAGGAATGCAGAAAGACATGTGTGTGAGCGTCAACAAATCCTGGCATCACAACCTTGCCCCGAAGATCGATATCATGCCCATTCAACTCGACATTGCTGGATCTTTTCCGTTCATACACATCTGCAATGACGCCGGTCGATGGATCCACGACAATTGATATGTCCTTGTCAAACGTTTTGTTCCTTGGATTGAATAGTAAAGATGTATGTATTGTAAATGGCTCATCGAGTAGTCTGCGACTCATTTTTGCGGTGTTGAAACGACTTGAGTCAATCTGTTCATGCTCTGGCTTCTGACTAGTGAATTCAAGTTGTGAGGCTCGTGAAACACGGTTGTCCAGCTAGGTCAACAGAGAAGTGCAATATAAACTGCGACATAAAATCCCAGGGGTTTACCGTCCTATGATGTCAACACCTGCGAGCTCCCGAGCTTACTGTCATTGGCAGCTCGGCTATATTCGACCCTTGGAAAAAGACAGAATACGACTTTGGCAAACAACTCAATCTAGCCCCTACACACTGACCGCTGGAAGGTGATTCAAATGTACCACTGTATCGAGAGGCGATGCGTATTGTCAAGGGTTCAATGCGCGGTTTGTCTTCCCTGTGTGCTGGAACGCATTGCTTCACACCATCGCACTAACGGAAGCGGGTGCCCGTGAGCCACCGGTTCCTCTGGCGCTAAGATCCGCCGAAGGCGAATGCTTGCTGTAGGCGGATTATTGTTCTGCCATCGTTCGCCTTTTGGGCATCCACAGACGACTCCACGGATGCTGCGCCGGGATGTGGGAAGAAGAGGAGCCCATGACGAAGACGCTAGGAAACGGAGCTTCGAATAAAGGGTACCATGAACTGTGAAAGCCAGGCGAAAAGCGTTCAGGGCCTAGGGGTGTTTAGTTTCCTTCAAACAGCGGCTTACTGAGCGGTTCATCTGGAAATTCACCACTGGGTGGAACAGTTGCGAGCCGACAAATCATTTCATCGGGTTTGTCGCTGACGTTTCGAGATGCGCCGGCCGCAGACCATACGGGAGTGCATTGCTGGAGCTTCTCGCGAAGATTGTCGACAGCGTCATCCTGCAGACTGTAGTCGCGGAAGGCAAATCTCAATGGCCCAGTGAGGCGATGCTAGTTGTCCGAGAAATCCTTGACCTGTGCCTTCTCCCCATAGACCCCTCATAAATCCTAGGGCTATTGTGTCTACGGTACTATTGCATCCGTACGTATACATACAAAGTAGGTAGGTAGTAGAGCGCCGTGGAGCGACGACGAATGCCGAGTTCTGGAAAACGCTGTGGAATCCGGATTCTCGGACGGGGCCGGGGAGAATGACGAATACTGCGAGGGGCCCGGGGGATGGTGGAGACTTGCTTGGAAGAAGACCCTGGATGAAAATTGGCCGGGTCAGGCACGCCAGGCTGGCAGAAGCGGAGGGGGTTGGAGCAAAGAGCCACGGGTCGATGCTGAAAATAGAGACAAGATCGGCCCAGTGCAGCCAGTGCAGGCATGGTGCATTGCGGTGGATGGAGACAACCGGCGGCTTGAATGCTGGTGTTTTTCCATCGATCCAATGGTGCCAGGCCGCCAGCAAATGTGTGTTTGCTTTGCTTATGATGCTTGAGCATCTGAGAAGTGCTTGGTCAGACGGCACAACATTGTCGCTCCCTTCCTTTCTGGACCAGACAGAGAAGTAAAGAGCCTGAATCCCCATCTCATCCTATCGTCATCGTCGTTGTGGTATGCTACTGTAACAGCAACTCCTGGTGTCCTGCAAGTGAAGCCACCGGGGCTTGTTGAAATATTCTTCGACAACAGATTGACCATGGCTATTTTTGGCCCCCTCAGCGTCTGCCGATGAAAGAAAAAGCGCGCCATCCAACATCGGGTTGCTGCACCTAGGGCCGGCAGAGAAACTCCTGACGGCAAACAGTCAGCGCCAACCACTGAAAGAAATGCAACAGAGTCAGCGTTTGCAGCGGGCTGGACCAGACTTGGGAGCCATCTGACGGCCTAGAAGGGGCCGTTTAAGCCGTTTTACCAACTACTCGGCCGCTAGACGCTGCTGACAGCTGGACAGAGGCTCGGCCATATTCTCGGTTGTGTCGAGGCGGCGGAAAGACGACCTGACTGAGTGATCTGAGCGCGTGAGCGAACGGATGGGAGCTGGAGCTGTCGGAAAGGAAAAAAAACCAGCGACGGTCTGAGAGTAACGCCATCTGATTCGCCAAGAGCCCAAGGCAAGAGACGCAGCCCGCTCCACTCTGAGTGGCTGCAGCGTTGGTCGTCGTGTGCCACAGTGCCCCGCGTCGGGCCAAGGGTTCAAATGCTTGACCAATGAAAAGTCGTCATCGCTCGAGAAGCGGACAAATCTGAGAATGATGACTTGATGTCTCAGGCCACTAGACCGCCACCACGTTGTCCCTTGCACCAGTCCCCCCGGGGTCCCTACCGGCTCGCTCTCCCACGTTCAGTCTCCCTGCGCAACGTTGCTGGCGGTTTTCTGCTTGGGGATCCCTTTTTTGACGCTTGTTGGCCAGGAAGGAGCCAAGTACAGCCACCACACGGACAGTGCGACGGATGAAAAAACAGGTGGCCCGGCCCTGCATCCTGGTATAGTGGTACCTGCACCTGGACTTGCACCCGCCCAGCGCTCCTGCCTTTTCACACTGACCACCCTCTCCAGGTCGAATACGAAGTCTTGTTTTTCTGACCTTCCCGCCCGTTCCACACCTCCCACCCTCAAAACCTATCCCAACTCATCCCTCACTTGGAAGAGAATAACCACATATTCACTCGCTTTTTCCTTAATCGTCATTCTGAGCTCCTTCCTGTCGTTTGCTTCCGAGTGAATCCTGCATCACCTTTTGCAAAATCCCACTTTACCTTGTTAATATACCGGTCGCTTCCGCCCTCCCCCCTGACCCGTGCCACTCTCCTATTTCGTACCCACCCGGCACGCAAGAACTGTCCGAGAATTCCAGACACTCACGAGTCGCCTCACGAGTCACCTCAGAACCCTGTGTCTTTGACCCTACCACCAAAAGAATTAGGTTGTCGGCACACAACCGATTGATTCTTCGACTGACCTGACCGACGACAACAAGTATCCCCAACAGTCGGCCGACTGGACATATCCATCATTGAAGCACCGCCAGCATCTGGTAAACTAGTCATTGAGCATAGTCGCAATGCATCCCACACGCGCAATTCAGCTCCTTGCCCTCGCCTCGGTCGCTCAGGCGTCATGGTTCAACTTCAACAGAGTCGAACCCCGCGATGGCCTTCTTAAGAGACAATCAGGAACACCCAGCGGCGCCGACACGACAACAACTGCTGCCCAAACCACAACATCGGCCGCTGCCGTCACTACAACAACGACAGCTGCCCCGAGTACCAGCACCACCGTCGCCGTTGTCAGTACCACCACCTCTGCCGCCGCCGCCGACCCAACCCCATCCGCCAGTGCGCCCGCGTCTACCACAACACCGGAAGCCACACAGCCCGCCCCTACAACCCTGAGTACCAGCACCACACCCGCTGCTAGCAACAACGACGAGACCACCAGCTCGAGTACCGTGTCTTCCACCCACTTGACTACCGCCAAAGCCGTCACCTCTACCATCAAGGTTGTCATTACGACCACCAACTCCGCTGGTGTAGCAACCGCCATTACCTCCGAGGCCACCGTCACGAGCACGCCCGGCCTCAATCAGGCCAACTCTGGAGGCTCATCAGGCATGTCTTCGGAGACACGTAAGACTGTCATTGGTGTTGTTGTCGGTGTCGGCGGTGCCATTGTCCTCGGCGCCTTGGGCTTTGTCGCATGGAGGATTTGGGGAAAGAAAAAGCAGGCCGAGGAGAACGATGGCCTCATGGAGTACAACAACCAGTACGGCAACGAGCCCAAGAACGAGGTCAGCAGTGCCCAGGGAACTGGACCTGGCCGTACTCCCTTCCAGTCGACTCTCGAAAGCTACCACGCGCCGAACCAAGTCAACGCATCATCCAACTTCTGAGGACACGTCTATTGCGATATTCGATGATAATTTTTTGCGGCAGAAAGCGTTGATTCCCCGGTCTATCCCATACGGATGCCACATTCCTTGATTTCTCTTTTTACTCAGTGTTGCGGCTGGCCTTTCCACCAGTTATGTGGAGTTTAGGGCCGCCAGATTACTATGGCAGGCAGGATTGCATATCGCAAGGTCTCAGGACTAATGGATAGAAACATGTACATAGAAGGCAGGAAATTACTCTTGTTTGTCAGCTGGGTTTAAGGATGATTACTTCACTGAACTAGCGTGGGCTTCAAACGAGTCGCGCATCAGGTCAGGGCATCGACACCAGCAAAGACACAGAGACCGCAACAAGCAAGTCTGACGGGCAGCCTTCTAGGCCTATAGCCTTGTTAGTACGTTGAGATACAACTTTAATATCAGGATCGCCGAAGAATCAAAATGTTGAAAGGCAAAAAGAAGCATATACCATATTCAAAATGACGTAAGTGAAGTCTGTTGGCTGCTGAGGCTGGGGAGGAGGGAGGGACTTAGTTCAACCGATTAATTGCTACACCTCCCTCGAACTCTAATCCATTCTATCTATCCCGATCTGATCGGCCGTCATCCAAATGCCATCCGATGAACTCAGCGCCAGCATGATTGTCCTTTTCGGCTGCCGTCCCGTCTGAGCAATATCACGTGGAGGCAACAAGCTAGCCTATCCGTAATACGAATATCCGTCTCAGTGGTGTTTCGGGTGTGCGGTGGTGGTGCTGCATCCCAGCTTTTTGTGGGCAGCCGTGATTGGATCTTTTCCACGTTTCAGGTTCCCGTCACTGCTGCTGTAAGGCCCTGCCTGGACTTCTCCCCCTTCCGTGGCGTACATTTGTCGTAGAGGCGGGCGCCTGTTAATCGGAAAGCTGCTAAAGTTTGAGGGGCGGACGTTGGTTGTTCCTTTTTCCTCTACAACGTCCCTTTGTCCGTTTCAACGTCGTCCAATTGCTTCCTATTGAGCGCTGCGTCGCCATTCCATCCATCTCTGCCAGCGCTTCGTTGACGACGCTACATACGATTCGACGAGGTTGAGCCTTGGTTAACCATCTCAACGACGTATTTCTAATATTTCAATTCGATGCGCTGGTGAAGACGGAGCTAGAAAGTTTTTCTGGACAAGAGGGGGAGAATCGACTGGTTACGATTACAATCACGGGCTGCGATATTCGACGAAAGCAACCGACTCTATCGATTAATAGATCGTAGGAGAACGCTATCCAACACTTGCGTCGGAGAAGAGAAGAGAGCAAAGGTCACACGAGAAAGGAGACAAAAGGCAATGAGGACGTCAACACTATTCAACGCCCTGTCGGCGGCCACCGTGGTGGTAGCGGGCGTGATGGCGATGGATCTCGGCGACGAGATGCGGGCGGGGTGGAACATGGGCCTGCTGCCTCGACAGACGGCGCAGAACCTACAGACTTTTGAGGGGAACTTGGGTGGTGTCCAGGCGTCAGCGGTACGTTTATTTGGATATTTCTCTCATCTTATTCTGCCAAAACCTCGAGAGCGAGCGAGTTGTTGATTCTCGTGGGCGCGATTCTCAAACGCCTGGCTGCCGGGGAGGAGCTCGGTGTGGCGTCTGGAAGAGGGGCGCTGGTCTAGGAGTAGGATGAGGGAACGAGAGGACGAACGTTGTTGCTGACTTTTGTGGCTTGGAAACAGATTACCAAGTCAAATAACCCTAGTCGACCGTTCGAGGTCGACGGCGACACTTTCGTGAGTTTCCCGCATGATCTCTGACCTGTCCACCGGGGGTGCGGTGGCTATGGGAGACTGTTTTGCTGACGACTTGCTCACTTGTAGCCCGATTTTACCACGGCCGCGGGCAGATCTTGCGACAACCAGAAGAATAAGTGCTCACAAGCAGCCAACAACGGGCCGCAAAAGTTCGAGGTTACAAAATGCGACGAGCAAGCTGGTGAGTTTCACGGTCTACTCCGTGCCGTTGATTCCTCCCTGCACACACATCGATGGGTTGAGTTGAGAGAGAGGATCACGACACTAACGTGAGGGGAACGGCAGAGCAATGCAAAAATGCAATCGGCTCAATTTCAAAGCAGAGCTTCGGCGATGCCGTGTTCTCGGGCACGGTTGGAGATTTTGACATCTTTTGTGATCCTTGAGTGGCTGGTCTAAGTTGGCTGAGTGAGTCGTCTGTTGGCGGTAGCGGTGGCGGCGATGGCGTAGCTGTTTAGGTGCTGTGTGAAACGAGGCTCCCTGCAGCATGTGTGTATCGAGAGATGCGCAAACTGAGTGAGCGGGACGATGCCAATACGCCAAGGGTGTTTTGGCCGAGGTGTTGGGGGGATTTCGAGTTGTACATGATACAGCTTGGTTTGGTGTTATAGGCCCTCGAAGCAAGATCGAGGTTGATGTCCGGCGGGGGTTACACTCAGGTTTTGATGAGTACGCGGGACTTTTTCCCCATGAATAATATATCACACTGAAAGTCAGTACTGATATACTCCCGCAATGAAAATGAAAGTTGGCGATCTATGCTCGTTTGGTAATAAATGCGGTTTTGATGTCTCTGAATACCTTCACTCTTGACCGCAAACGACAGCATGGAAAGAGCATTAATACAATCATTTACGAGCCACATCCATTACTTCGAGCACGCCCAAACGGGAGCTCTCATTTAGGTAGTGACAGAGAACTCTGAGCAGAATTCCCTCTCCCGCTACGTCTTGACGAACCGATACTGATTGGGGTTGAGTCTTTGCTCCGAGTATCACGAGCACAGTAGGAATGCTCGAGACCAAGAGGTCGTCGATGAAATTCTTTCTCTTCTTCGCAATGTGAATCTGCTCTTGGAACCTACCAGCTGGGATCCCACCCGACGGGCTCGAAATCATAACCTACGGGCATTAAGGATAGTCACAATCAAACACACTCCCAGGTTCAACGCTGTCCCGGGAATCCTAACTGCTTTTTTTGTCTTTGTTTTTGCCCCGAGCTTTTCGCGTTTTTGTGCAAGACAAATGGCTCGGAGGAACCACAATCGAATGCGATTTTCGTGCCTACCTAAGCTGATATGGGCCGAGTGCAAAAAGTTGAGGCAAACTACTCTCTGTCAGGTGGACGGCACTAGACTTTCATACCAGACCGGGGGAGCTTTGCCCGTCTGACTCGTCTGACAAACCGTTTGTCCAAAACCGTTGGACGAAGTAATGTCGATACCGACGATGCAGAACCTCCTGCCACCTGACGACATGCAGGCGCTTCTCAGCTCGAGCGGATAAAGACGATGACACAAAACAGGGAACGGGACGGAACTGAGGCGAGACGAGACGAGGAGATGATATTTACGAGAGGGAATAGGCAGTTATGATGGTGTCGGGGGAATCTGTACCTGTAACTGCATGTTTTAATGTTTGGACCGCGGCTGCAGTAGTGTCGTGGGAGAAAACGTGCGTTGTACCAGGGGAATGGCACGAGCAATTTGACAAGTTGGGGCTCCCATCATGCAGGCTTGCCTAGTCCTCTGGCGTCGAGCTGTTGAGTGGGCAGACGCTAAATAGGTAGGAGTCGAGCAAGCGTTCTTGGATTTTCTACGCCTATCCCAAAACTCTCCATGGCTCGAGAAAGTGAAGGCATTTTGGTTTTTGGCGAACAATCTGGAGCCTGCGACATTGGTAACGTGATGTCCTTCGACGGAGCAATGATTATGCCAACATCAACTCGGACGCTGCATGCTGTAATTGGGGACAAATCACAGCGTTCCTTCAGTTTCAACCAGCACTCACGGCAGGCGGATGGCCGCCAGAAGCAATCTGAGCACAAGCGTCACGGGCCGGACATGGAGCCATTGGTAAATACGACGTCGTCTAGGAATCCAAGCGGCGGGGCCTCTCATCCGGCGGGAAATCACCCATAGGTTCAGATGCGATGCAGCAGTAGGGGAGGCGATTTCCGGGGTGGGTTATGGTTATGGTCATGATAGAGAGGTACACGGCGGATGGGCTTTATGCTGGCGGGAGAGGAGGTATCGACACATCAGCCAAACAAGGCGAGATTGGGCTGGTCATAGCTCGGCCCCATCGTTTTGCAGCGGGGACTCTCATAAAAACAAAGTTGTCGTCCTTCGCCCGTGGTGCACGCTGTGTGAAATGGCCAGCCTGTCCCTGGCACTCCCCGGTCCATCCCATTGGAAAGGTTAGGCCCCCCCTTCTCTTCCAAGCTTGTCTGCCCCATTTCCCAATGACATTCGTCCATGTGCACTTTGCTAGTTGCTGGAAAGAAGGGCCCCCGAATGGCTCGAAGCAGAGAGTGACTGGGTGAGAAAGAAGAAGAGTGCCAGCTGTCGTTCGTGGAGGCGGCCCCAGTTGAAACGTCCAATCTTGTAGTGCCACTGGTGCCATGCCACCCACCCACTGAGGCTCCACGAGCTCGAACCCAGAAGGAGGAGGTATCCCTTCCTTCCCTTTCTCGAGTCTCCACGAGTCCGTGTCGGTGCAGACGATCCAGCCCTTCGAGGTTGTCACTGCATTGGATGACTGGCAAAAGACGAGGAAGCTGACAATGTCTTTACTATAAATGGCGTCAACTTATAAAAGTTTGGGCAAGGAACCAAGAACAACCTCGATGTCTTTGCCAAGGTACCTGTACCCTAGTCTGAGTGAGCTGTCCTCGGCTGGCTGACCGGCGTGCCTTAGCTCTGCTGTGCCAGCTCCTTCCCGTGCCTGTACCTGTACCTTGCCATTCCTGTCAAATCCCCGTTCCCGGTCTTGTGCATATACATTGAGTCCCTTCATTTTCCATAACCACGATAACTTGGGAAAGGGACCTGGGAAAGGGACCTAAGCATTGCCTTAGCTTCCCATGCGTCCTTCCAGGCTGCCTTCCGCCTCGCCGTCCCATCCAGTCCTCACTGACATTCCACCTTGCTCCTGACCACCTCGCGTATCAGCCCAACCCACGTCTTGCTCTCTCTCGTCCATCCTCCCCATCGTCTCACTCTCCGCCAAATCCGACGCCATCCTGCCATATCTTCAGGATCGCCATCAACGTGTAGCTCAACCTGTAACCCGATGCGTCCGGTAACCGCAAGCTGCTTGCCTTCTCTCCTCATGTCGCTCCTTAGTCAATAATTTCCCTCTCCCAGTTCCTTTCTGCAACGGGACCCCCGTCCTCTAATCCCTGTACCGGGCCATCATCTGCAAAAATAATACCTTATTTCTGCTGGCTATCCTTTTTTATTTCCCCTTCCCTGCCCGCCTAACAAAAAATACCTACGCGTCGCGACCAAAAAAACCACCCGTCGGCCCCAAATATACACATACATCCATCCCCAATCACACGGACCGCCCCTCCTCCACCCCCTTATTCCTGTCAACAACCTCGACAGCGCCTGTCCGTTCACTTTTTTTTTCTTCTTCTCGCGGCCTGCTTCGTATGTGTGCATGCCGACTTTTGAGGGCTGTTGAACAAAGGGTCCTCGACGCGAATACACAGAGACTTGGCTGCGGACGACTCCCATCGTCTGCGCTGATCTCACCGTGGTAAGCTACACCTCACCTCACCTCACCTAACTTTACATTCCCGGCATGGTACCTCAGACGTCCACCGAGTACGCCACATCTTTCTTGGACCCATTCCTGATTGAAACAGAGTCCCACGAAGACGTCTTCTTCCCAGCAATCCCCATCTCCTCCTGCTGCATCCGCACAGGACGGTACAGGACCTCATCGTCCACCGCTCAATTCGCCGCCAACGTCTCCCGCCCTCTCATCAACGTCCACTGCTGCCGACGGCGAGGACCTCGGGTCCTCCCCAATTTTGACCTCGCTACCCGCGCCAAGACTGCCCGATCGAGCTCGGGAAATTCTGAGAAGCCAAACCGATCCGGAAGAAGAGGAGAGATACGTGACAGCTAGCTGGGGCTCGCCCTATTCAACTGAAGAGACGAACCTTATCCGCCGCCAGAGCATCGGCAGCGATCAATCCGAAGGCTCGCCAATCCATCACATAGCCATCAGCACTCCCTTTCTTCGCCCTCCTCCAGCGCTCTCGCTCGGACAGGACGAATCGCACGAGCCATACCTCAGCGCGGCACAAGTCCTCGCCAACCGCGCTCGGAGACCTGCGCGACGACTGACTGAAGATTGGATTCGCCAACACACGGCGGGGGACAATTCAGAGAGTCGGCATTGGTTCAGCGACGGAAGCGAGCACTCTTCACTGAGCGGCTCGGTATCTGGCGACGAAGCTATTTGGCACGAAAAAGAATCTCTGCGAACCCCGAGAGCCCGACCACGCCTGACGCGCGCATCCCTCACGGAACCTCGCTATCCTCGAACCCGATCCAGCGTCGAGACCCTCAAGCAAGAAGACGTGAAGCCTCGAGACGACACCACAAACACGAAGATGGAGAGCCCCGATCTCTCAAAGGCCGACTTGGCCCGCGACCTGCCAGACCTCCCAGCAATCCCCACAACGCCCAGGCGTAGCGCGAGTGCCGCTGTAGGTAACACTGCGAGGACGCCAACCACACCAATGAGGAGTGCATCTGCAAGAGTGACGATTAAAGAACCCAGCATGACACCTCGGGTCAAGAAGAAGATCCCGTGGAAGGGCAAGAATATTATGGTGCTTCTTCCCAAAGACGAGGAACGCGGACGCCCGGGCCAAGCGCCCAAGCCACTGAACCAGAACGAGACTGATGGCATGTTCAGATCGTGGGAGGAGCTTGGATACGACATCAGTGGTTTCGATTTGGATCTCGCAGAGGGCACGCACCAGGCCCCTACTGGGTACTCCCAGAGTCGAGACGCTTGGCCTAGCCCCGAGGATCTTGTTCGAGAGCGTGCGCAACATACGTACAAGGTCACATTGCCCGATCTGAATGGTAAGCCTCCATTGCATAGACAGAAAGCAAACAGCAATGCTAACTTTGATACAGCTTGGAGAGACTACGTCAATGAACTTAACGAGGCCAAATTGCGAGCTCTTGGAGTGTCATTCGGCGATGACGATCCTCCTGCGCCTTCAATATCGCCTGCAGTGTCACAGCCCAGCCGACAGGCCTCGGCGCAGTACCCGCCCTTGCCATTCTCTCCGCCCTTGCCTACATCATCAGCGTCGAGCAATCACGTTCAAGGCTACCCGTTTCCGTCACAATTCATGCCTGGTGGACGATCTTCTGCAGGCCACAGCCACAGCCCAAGCATGGCTTCTCCCGTTGGCTTTGGTAGTCACCCTGCCAAGTACAATTCTCGACAGTCGATTTCGGTTCCTATGGGCCACTCGCCTTTCCAGATGCCAGGTCAGCCATCGCCGCTCGGCTGGCCAGGCCCGCACAGAACAGATTCGCCTTCGTTGCTAAACGGGATCCTGTCTCCCATCTCCCCTTTCATGCCCGAAGGGTTTGCGCCGACTGGCAGCCCTGCTTTCAATGCGCACCAACGTCACCAGTCTTTGCAATACCCCATGATGCCCCACCAGTTCATGCAGCAGCAACAACAACCTGCGCGCGCATCACCCCGGCTGCAAGAGGTACGGGAAGATGAAGAAGAAGAGGAGGAGGAGCAGGCACTTGAAGAGACGCCCCTGAAACCCGTGGAGCCTACACAAATCAACGATGATGACCTCCAGGCAGAGATTGACGAGGCCGAATACCACTTGGAGGAGCAGATGCGCAATGAGTTGGAGCACGAGGACTATAGCCCTCACAACGAAGAAGCTGCGGCGGATCAGCTGGCCAACTTCTCTCAACAGCAGCCTCTTGCGCATGCCAGAGAAGCATCGGTTCAGTTCCAGGCACCCCAGCAGCTCCCTAAGCAATTCGGCCCTCAAGGCGGCGACGGTCCCGTTCTTCATCACCCGCGTCCTCACAGCCGTGGTCACTCGTTGTCGCAAAACTTCTTCTCTCACCATGATGAGACCCGGCCTCGTGGCGACAGCTTGGCCGGATGGCACGACGTTGACGCGCAGCGGATCGATGAGGCAGCGGAGATCGAGACCAACCCTAGCAACCTCGGTACCCCCGTACAAGATTTCAGCCTCACAACACTCTTGCAGCAGCACCAGCATTCATTTTCCACGACAAGCAATCCGTGGAACGACGTAGCCTCGATGTCAAGCAACTCTGGCATGCCGAGGAGACCCAGCCATGCCAGCAAGCCCTCGCTCTCTAAGCTCAACGTTAAGGCGCCCGAGTTCAAGTTCAATCCTGGCCACGAGTCGAAGACGAGCTTCACATTTGGTGCTGGTAGCAACAGCTTCCAGCCCTCAGTCTTCCAGGCGGGTGGCGGATCTTTCGCGCCGTCAGTCACCTCCCCTTCGGCGAACTCGTTTGGTGCAGGGTCCATCTCGTCCAAGATTAATGCTGCTGCCCCTGTCTTCTCACCCGGTCAGAGCGACTTTAGCTTTTCTGCCACTGGTCCCAAGTTTCGACCGGATGCACCCGCCTTTACACCCTTTGGAAATGTTTCGGACTCTGTCACCAGCCCTGTGTCGGGCAGCGAGAGTGCTGGCAATCGCACTAGCTCGATTTTCGGCAACATCGATCTGAGCCTTTCCGACATTGTCAAGCCTCCTAAAAAGTCATCGGCCGTCCCGATTATTCGTCCTAGCAGCAGCGATAAGAACCAGTATGAGTCCCAAGACGACCTTCCGGATGATGCAGATGGTCGCTTGATTGACGAATCCCGGTTTAAGAGGGCAAAGGCGTCCAGAGGAGATGAGGATGATGTTCCTCTTTTTGCTGAGCCGTCACCCGAACCCACAACATTGCAGTCGCTCCAACCAAGGAAGGAGGAGCAGGATGCCTCTGAACTCAGATCAGGCGACGAGCAAGCTTACACGCCAGCAGACACCACCGTGTCTTCCACCGTTGCTTCCGAGCACCCCGCCGATTCCAAGGCTGTTACGGCTACTAGCCCCTCGGATACTTCGCCTGACCAGCAGCAGCTGAACTGGGCACCCTTTGAATTCGACTCGAACAACGATGTCCAAAGCTTTGCCGAAGCTCGACCTTTTGGTATCGACACGTACAAGAAGGGCCACAACAAGTCCCTTTCTGCCACTGCTAGAGCATTCATCCCTGGCGGCGGCTGGGCGCCTACTCCGGCAACTGAAACCGACGAGGATGAAGAGGATGAGCGTGACAGAGAAGACACTATTGAGCCAATCCTACCCAGCACCGAGGTGGCTGCCCCGGCCTCACCTCCTCGTGAGCCATCTCCTCGGGCCCCGACACCTCCCAAATTCGCCGCGTCCAAGGGATTGGGCGCTTCTCGCTTTGCAAGCCCGCCAAAGACTAAGGGTCTTTCCGCATCTCGCTTTGCCGCGTCTCCGTCGCCTGCGCGCCACCCCGAAGAAGATTACGAGGATTCTCTTGAAGAGGGAGAGATCCCCGAGGACTATGTGGTGTCTGAGACAGAGGAGTACGTTGACGAGCCTAATGTGCACGAGTTCACGTTCCCAGCACAGACTGCGATTGATGCCACCAACGAGCATCATGAGCCTACTTTTGAGGAGATTGATGATATCATGAACCACCTCCACCAGAATGACCCGACATTTGGTGTCAATAAGGCCAACGACGAGGCCACCAGATGGCATCAGCCTAGCCCCAATAGACAGATCCAGGTCGCTGGCGTTACCAACTTGTCGCCCTATAAGATGCAGGCCGGCAGCCAATACCGCAGCAGAACCTCCAGTCCAGTGCGTCAATACCACGGTCTCCCCGCGGACAACTCGGCAATGCCGACCACCGAGTTGGAGGATCCTTTCGTCGATCCTCCTTTGAGTGCTCAGTCATTCGATGCCCCCGTTACTCACTTGGTTGGCGAGGAGAGCGCTGCGCACAGCGACTGGGAAGGTGCTTTCAGCGACGAAGAGCAGGCCAAGTTGGAGCAACGCGTTCAGTTCTTCGACGGTCGTGTAAACGAAGCCGTCGGCGATCTGCTTTCGGCTCGCCTTGGTCCTTTGGAGAAGACCCTGCTCTCCATCAAGCAGTCGCTGCGTGGCGATAGAAGAGCTTCGTCTTCTATCCGTCGCAGCGTATCTGCGGATATCCAACACAGCGACGCTGACGACGAGGACGAAGAGCCCGTGCTTCGTCGCTCGCTTAGTCCGCGCCGCGACAAGCGCATGGAACAAATCCGTGCAGCTGTACTCGATGCCTTCGCCGTACAGCAGCGTGGTGCCGTTCCTGTGACTCAAGTTGCCGCACCTGTTACCGATGAACCCTCCAGCACTGCTGTTCTTAAGGCTTTGGAGGAGATGAGGGAACAGTTTGGCGCTTCCATGCGCCTTGACTTCCGTGGCGAGGATCTGCGAAACATCGTCGAGGAAGCTGTTGAGAAGCGCATGCCGACCCCGCCCCAGCAACCCACCGCTGATCGCGATCATGATGAGGCTGTCAATAACAAATTAAGTGAGCTTCAAGCCAAGATCATGGATCTTGAGGAGCGCCTCTATGTCGAACGCAGCAAGACTGAGAAGGAGGTTTCCGATCGCCGCGCTGCTGAAGATCTCGCGGCAGAGCTCGACAGAAAGCTCCAGGCCGCCGAAACTCGCGTCGAAGTCGAGATCATGAACAAGAGCATTTTCGACCACCGCGTTAGCGATCTCGAGGATAAGCTCCGACATCAGGAGGAGCGTACTCAAGCAGAGCTTGATGGTCGCCGAATCGCCGAAGATAGACTCTCCGAGGTTCAGCGTCTGCTCCGCATTGCCAGCGAAGAGGAGGTCCGCCTCCGTGACGACGTCGAGGAGCGGGACCACAAGCTCAAGGCCTTTGAACAGGCCGCTTCCAAGCAGACAATGCGCATGGCACTTATGGAGGCCTCGCAGACGAACGCTACCCAGGCGCAGACTGAACTGACCAACAAGATCAACGCCATGGAAGACGAGTTCCGAGGTGTCTCCCACGAGGCTGGCCGCTGGAGATCCGAGGCGGAGCGCGCAGTTGAGACCGCCCGCAGACTGCAAATCGATCTCACCGAGATACTCCAGGAGAACAAGGCCATGCAGAAGTTCATCGACACCCTTGGAACTCAGCTGCAAGAGAACGAGCGCGTCAGAGAAAGCTGGCGTGCCAAGTTTGTCTCCCTCCAGGAAGACATGGCAAAGGCTGCTCGTGATATCACTGAGGAGAACGCTCGTCGCACCAAGCGGGAGCAAGCTCTCGTCGCTCGCCAAGAGGTCTTGGATGCTAAGCTCCAAGCTGAGGCCCGTACGCGCGAACGGATCGAAGCCGAGATGGAGAGACTTGAGAATGGTGAACGCCAAGGGATGCGCGCCGTCAATGAGTGCAAGCGCCTCGAGGGCCTGCTTGGCGAGATGAAAACCGAGAACCACAAGCTTCACCAGTCTGCTATGCGATACCAGAGCGAGTTCAAGGAAGCCAGAGAGTCTGGCATCGCCGAGGTCCAGCGAACACGTGTTTCTATGCAGCGCGAGATTGATGAAGCCAATCACCACGTCAATGCCGTTCGCCAAGAACTCGAGGAACAGGTCGCCAAGCTCAGGGCCGAAGTTGATCAGGCCAACATTGACGTTGAAACTGCCAAGGCTCAGTCTGAGATGATGATGGAGGAGGCTCAGTCCAGCAAGACCGATGCCGTTCAAGAACTGAAGCGCAAGCACCAGAACGAGCTCGAGGACTTCCAGACCCGCTGGGAGCGCCAGCTGAGCAACGCTGTCGAAGATGGCCAGAAGACGGAGCAGCACCTCCTGGAGCGCCTCAGCCTGTCAACGTCCAAGACCGAACATCTGCAAGACCGTGTTGCACATCTGGAAGAGAAGCTCGAAATTGCCAAGGAGGCCGCTCGTGCGGCCGCCCAAGCTGCCAAGTCTGCGGGCGTTGAGCCACCCGCTCAAGCCAATGCGACATTCCAGCCAAAGGCTGCGGCGCCTGCCGCACCCCTCGTGTCGAAGGGTTTGGATCTTCCAGAGAAGATCTCGCCCCAAGCCCTGCGTGAGTCCATCATGGTCTTGCAAGAGCAGTTGCAGGCACGCGAGCAGCGCATTGAAGAGCTCGAGTCTACTGTCGACAAGCTGGATCCCGAAGCCCCTACCAAGATTGCCAAGCGTGACGATGAGATCACTTGGTTACGTGAGCTTCTTGCCGTGAGACATGGCGACTTGCAAGACATCATCCTTGCCGTCTCTGCCGAAGATTTTGACAGAGAGGTCGTCAAGGATGCATCTATCCGTCTCAAGGCCAACCTGCAGATGGAGGAGCAGGAACGCGAGCGTGCGATGAATGGCGGATCGGCAATCAACCTGCCCAACATTGCACAGTCACTTCGGGAGGCTGCTTCGCCTCGTGTAGCTCAAGCCGTCGGTCCCCTGGCTGCGGCCTGGGGTAACTGGCGCAAATCGCAACAACCCATTTTCGCGTCGGGCGGACGGAGCGGCAGGCCGTCAACGGCCCGACCTGCTTTCAGCAGCAATCATACCCCGTCCCGATCTACCGCATCGGCGTCGTTCAGCAACAACCACAATGGACTGATGACTCCGCCGGCTTCTGGTCTCCGCCAGACCCCTCCTGTAAACACGGAGGAACCCCAACCAACTGCATTTCAGACCACTGGACGTCGGTACACGGCCCAGCAACTACAGGCCAGGAATCGAGGACCGTCCATCACCGAAGTGCCATCCGAGCCGATGCCCCTCAAGAGCCCCCCCTCTCGCCGTCCATCGAGCCGTTCCCAACAACCCATGACGCCTCCGATGATGCGGTCGAGCGCATACGACTCGGATGCTCACCCTGGCGACTTTGACGACACTGACTTCTTCGAGGATTAAGAAGAACCAGTGACGATTGGAAGGAAGTGTGGGAATGTGGAGGATTTCCTTTGTCTTTCGCACCGCAATCAATCTTTCTCTGACGCAGCATGCTTTTGAGCCCAAAGAATGGACACACTAGAATGATGATACCCCCTTTTCGCAAGACTACTACTAAACAACTACATCCACTGAGGTATTGGAGGAGGATTTTCGTATACCAACAATCAGATCGTGGATTTCACCCTTTGTAATCACACCCATGGTGGGGGGGATGTCCCCTCCCGGGGGTTTGAGGCTGAGGGCTAAATTTAATTTCCTTTGTTTTCTTTTAGGACCGATGCATAGCGGGAAAGAAAATGACGACGAATGGAGAGGATAGGGGTTGAGAAGGGGGAATGGCTTCGCATAGTGTGTTGCTTGCTCTTTGGCTTGCTCATTTATATGCTTGGCCGGTTATATCGCCACCGCCCCTTACTACCACCTATTACACTACAACGAGAAGTATATAGTAATAATCTGCACGCCTGATTTGGCTCATCATTTTGATTGTAACTCGTGCGGGGCTTGTAGTCAACGTGGTTTCCCGACCTAAGCCGTGTGGTGGTGGTGGAAGTTTGTGAAGCAAGTCCATGGTTGAGGATTTAAAAACAACGATGGCTCTGTCGACATGCCTCTGACATCTGACTAGGAAGCGGATGGAGTTTGGAACACATGTCACAATGAAATCGAACACGCATCATGGCTTTCTAGAAGTTGGCTTGCGAAGGGGGGGTATTGTTGGTTCTCGACATGGAAAACCCCGTAACGTGATTTCATTCCATTTCGTATGAAAAGGTGATACAACAGATTCACCCAAGAAGGTAGCAATCCCATTTTCCTTTAAACCCCATTTCGCTCCTCCTTTTCTATTAATGAGAAAAGGGAGAAGCAAAAAGAACAAGAAAAAAAAGAGGGAAAAAAACCCCCCTCAAGAACTGCTCAGGAGCTTCTCGACGGCCCACTTTACGGAAAAGTTGCGTAGGTCAGAGTAGTGCTGGCCGACGCCGACAAAGAGCACGGGCACATTCGTGGCGTGGACGAGACTGACGAGGGTGCCAACCATGTTTCCGACGGTGTCGCATTTGGAGATGATGAAGCCGTCGAGGGTGCGGACGGAGCCGAAGGCGGCGTTGAAGTTGCGGGCTTGGGCTACGGAGTCTGTGCCGACGAGGGCCTTTGAGGTGGGGTCGTGTTAGTCATTGGGTTGAAAAGTCAGGGGTAAAAGGGGAAGGGGAACGGGGAAAGGGAGGGTGATTCTTACCTCACCGACCATGAGAATCTTATCGGGCTGAGCAAACTTGGCAAACTTCTCGAGGGAGGACATGAGACGCTGGTCGTTGTGTCTGCGCCCAGCGGTGTCGATGAGGACGACGTCGAAGCCATCCTGCGCGGCGTGGGCCACGGCGTCCCGGGCGACAGTGGCGGCATCCTTGCCGTAGCCCTTTTGATACAGCTCGACGCGGCCGCCCTCGCGGACGGTGAGCTCCTTGAGGTTACGGACGTGCACGGCGAGCTGCTCGACGGCGCCGGAGCGGAAGGTGTCGCCGGCGGCGATGAGGACCTTGTACTTGTTCTGCAGGAGAAAGAAGCATATCTTGGACAGGTTGGTGGACTTGCCGACGCCGTTGACGCCAACGATGGAGATGACGTAGGGACGAGCTTTACGGAGGGAAGTCGCCGGCGGGGCGGTAATGGCGTCAATCTCGCGGAGGAGGTCGAGGGAGGAGGTCGGGGTGAGCATCTTCGTCAAGGACGCCTCCATGGCGGCTTGGATCTTGGCGTTGATGCTCTCGAAACTGGCCGTCTTGGCACCCAGGAGCTCCTTCTCGACGCCCTCGCAGAGCCGTACCGCGGCTTCGCGCGCAACGTTCTTCTTGAGAAGGTGCTCCTCCATGCCCTTCATCGCCTTGTCGAGGTCCTGCTTCGAGAGGGTCTTGCCACCGACCACATTGCGGAAGAGGCCTCCAATCGTGCTCAGGCCGGATCCGATAAGTCCGCCCGAGGCTTCCGTCTTGGAGGAGTCGTTCTTGGCCTGCGCCGAGGCGAGGATGTTATGAACCTCGTCGTCTAGATCCTTCAGCACGAATTGACCCTTTGACGTCTTGGACCCCCATGTCGTGTGATCGACGTGCTCGACGGCGGAGGAGCGGGCGGTCGTCTCGGCTTCCGAGTCGCTCGTCCCCGACTTCGGAGCAGCCGAGTAGTCGAGCACCACGTCGTCCTCCTCGTCCGCCATGCCGTCTGCGTCCCACTTGCGGCCCTTCTTTGTCGATGACCTCGTCGCGGCCTTGGGCCTTCTGCCGGCGGACTCGTCGCCAGAAGAAAGCGGCGCAGAGTTGCCCGCCTTGCGCGCGCGACGTGACATCTTGGCGACGGGGCCCGCCTTGCCTACTAATACACCGCCGGTTCCGGGAGTCGAGGGTCGAGAGGTAGTAGGCGTCGCGATGGGGGTCGAGTCGTTCGAGGTTTCGTTTGCGCTGTTCAGACCGCGACCTGGGAGGGCGTTTGTTAGCTGCTTGCACTGAATTTCATATTCGGCGCATTCTGCCTACCCCTATAATGCAGACCCGGAGGGAGGGGCGGGTCATCGCCGAGATTTCCAGACAGCGTCTTCTCCTCCTTTGTGAAGTCGGCTTCTGAGACGTTTGAGTCGCCCTTTGATCCCGCCGTCTCCAGTTCCCTAACCTGCTGATCAAAGTACTCATCGAACTTGTGGCATTCGACCACTGTCGTGTGAGGCTTCGTCAATTGCTCTCCATACAGATCTACGAAGATGGTCTTGATGTTATCGACGAGCTTGTCAATCCATGAAAGGTGGAGGAGTGATCTATAAACGGCCTGTCCACACCCCTCGTCAGTACCATGGCTATGTGGCGCGCGGCGCATTGAGTGCTGGCTTTCCATACCACAAAGATGACACCCAGTTCCTTGACAAACGTATATCGTAGTGTGTGCTGGTCGCGCTTGTATGGGGGGTTGCTGGCAGCGGACTGACTGGAGGCAGCGCCTCCCTTCTCCTCAATGAAGACGTCGGCAATGAAGTTGTTGATCACGGATGGGTTGACCGGCGCATAGGTCCGAGACCAGAGGACCACCCCGGAGGTGGTCAGGATCTCGAACGTGTCCAACATGGTATGTACGCGAGTTCGGTTTCTTGAGTTGCGGCGACACAGAGAACGTGGGGACTGGGGCACTGGCGGAAGACGAGAGAGAGAACCCAGGAGACTTGAGTTGGAGGCGACTTCCTCGATCCCAAAAGCTGGCTTGTGGCGCAAGACCCGTGTTCAATAAGGTGGGCTGGACACACCTTTGGCAGGTGGGTGAACCCTTGGCTTTAGGGGCCCCTATCGATAAGCAGCTCCGGAGATGAGGATATTCCGCATGTCACTCGCACTGTTGTCCAGCCCCAGGAGGGGCAGATTTTACAGTGCGAAGTGAAAGCTCGGCCCCACGCCCTATGACATCCATGGAAGTAAACACATTTCCGTACCAGCTCCATCCAGCTTGCGGTCCGCTAAAGACGACGTGGACTCACAGAAGGGAGGCATCCCAGCACCCACGCCGCCAAACCGAACTCCAACATAGCTTCACGGCTCCCCGAAAAAGCCCATCGCAAGATCCTCGCGGACAGAGTACGAAATCACGAGCTCATTTGCCCATCATGCAACGTCCACAAACCTACGGGCAGTCGCCCCCCTTGCACCACCCCGTACCCCAACATGTCTCGACGGTTCCCCAGCTGCGCTCGCCCCCTCCTCCCGTGTCGCAATCGCAATCGCAACAAGGCTATGGTGGCAGCCCCTACCAACAGCAAGGCGGCACGAGCGGGAATGTGTTCGGTGCATACGGGCAGTTCATGAACGACCCAACGGCACAAGTGGCGGCGCAGTTTGGCCAGACGGCTTTTAAGCACGGCCAGGAGTACATGGAGCAAAACGTACGTCAAGTCTAAGGACGGGGAGCCGAACCTCCAAGCGCCTCGTTGGGGATACGGCAAGATGCATCAGGTTTCTATGGAAGCTAACTCTCTTGAAGTTCAACCGATACGTCAACGTCAACGCCTTGAAGCACTACTTCAACGTCTCCAACTCCTATGTCATCAACAAGATATTCCTCGTCCTCTTCCCATGGAGGCACAAGCCCTGGTCACGCAAGCAGGCCGTGGGTCCCAGCGGACAGGAGGGATGGTACCTTCCTCCTCGAGACGACATCAACAGCCCCGACATGTACATCCCCGTCATGGCTGTGGTAACGTACATCCTTCTTTCTACACTTATTGCTGGTCTCCGCGGCCAGTTCCAGCCCGAGCTTCTTGGGTATACAGCGTCGACAGCCCTAGTAATAGTGACGGCGGAGATCCTCGGTCTCAAGCTAGGCTGCTATCTGTTGGGCATTTCGAACGACTCGCAGCTGTACGATCTGATCGCGTACTCTGGTTACAAATTTGTCGGCATCATCGTCACTGTCACGGTGGCCGAGATTCTGAACGGTGGCAAGGGTACCGGCGGGTGGATTGGCTGGTCGGTGTTCCTTTACACGTTCCTGGCCAACTCGCTGTTCCTGGTATGTTTTCACGCAATGAGTCACCGACTGATACACTAGACTAACATCCCTTTCAGATGCGATCGCTGAAGTACGTTTTGCTTCCTGAAAACGCGGCCAACGGTGCCGGTCCTATGCAGACTGGTGATTCCCGGGCCAAGCGGAACCAGAGGACCCAGTTTCTGTTCTTCTACTCATACATTGTCCAGCTACTTTTCATGTGGATCCTGTCAAGACCTTAAATCCACCGTTATCACGCTGTTGAGTTTACGCCAAAAGTACCATTCTATAGAGAGGTCAACACGACAAAGGAGTCCAGGAGTAGTTGGGTATACGCTTGCCAGGTGGCCTGATACAAGGAAGAGATAGCCGGTTGAAAATTAGCCTGTGCGGTCTGCAGTTTTCTCGGAAAGTCGAGCCGAATTGTACGATAAAACGACACGTCATTCAAATCGCTTGCGTTGCTAGCTGTATAGAGCCCTTTCACATATTGGGGGAGGATACCGACACTCAGCCTGGTGATGAAGAAGCTCTATCCCTGTAGTATAGAACAGCGTGGAGCTTGCCACAACCAGGAACAAGCCACGAGCGGGAGTTGAGACGATGGACGGGACGCGAATCAAAACAAAAATTAGAAACTTGTATTATAGTAGTGCATTGAAGACTACAGCAGGATATCATGCGATCTCTCTGTTGCCTTGTCGTCGACCCAATGAGCTTGCGCTAACACGGCTCCTCTGCTGCGAATCATTTTTGTTGACGCATATGGGGACGGCAGCTCTTCCACGCATATGCTCGAATGTACTCTTCTTCTTACAAGTCGCAAAAGCCAGACTGATACCCAATGAGACTCGCTCCTGGGATCCTTGATGGTTGGTGCCTATTCCGCCCGGTACCATGTAAGTGAGCTGCCACGTTGTCTAGCCTATTAGAGTTCTAGCCTGCTTTGAAGACACAGCTGTCAGAAGCCCCACAAATCAGGCATATATATCATCAGCCATTCGCTGGTCCGAACTTGCATATCGGCCACCTTCACAAGCCGATGTCACTCCTCCCTTCACAGGCTCCATAAACCCCCGCCAATCTTCCACTAAGGTACCTGACCCGGCCCTGCATCCCGTCAACCCTCAGACTTCTGCCGATTACAAATGATAGAGCTGGGAAGTGCCTTTGAACAGATTGCAACTACCTGAACATCCGACTCACTTTCGTCGCTGATTGCAGCATATAAAAACTGACGTGTCAAGGCATCCTTTTTACATCAAGGACGTCATCCATTTCTACCTCAATTTAGATCGAAGCTGCTTCGCAAGAATACACCTGCCGTGATTTACCCGGCACGACAGTCTGCATCCCTAGGACGGACTCATTACCTTATTCCCGATAGAAGCAAATAGAAGTCAAGCTCGCATTTACGAAGGCCGTTACGATGGCGCTTCCTCCTATCGTCACTGCAACTTTACAGTCAGCCGCCCTCAGCGGCACTTCGAACATACTGGCCCAGGTCCTGACGGCCTACCAGACCGATGTATGAACTTCCGTAGCTGATAGACTATGCACAGCGAGGGGCTTATCCATCACATATTGTTGTGCTGCATGATCATCACTCAAGACCTTAATAACACCGTGACCAGCAACAACTTGTCATCGACTGGGTCCCCGTCTTCCAGTTCATCATCTTCACCATCCTCAGCACGCCGCCAAATTTCTTGTGGTAAGTTTCCCAGCGAGCGCACGTCTACTACCAGCGCGGGTCCCGCTTGTACCTGCATATGAGATATGCGCCTTATCATAGATCGTCGCTGACAGATACCAGGCAAGGCTTCCTCGAAGAAAGCTTTCCAGCCTACCACATCTCACCCACCAAGAAGGCCATCGCCTCGGCCGCAGCCAACAATGAGAAGGAGCTCGACCGTGAGGCGCGCGAGGACCAGCTCGTGGAGCCGAAGCTGAATATCCGCAACACGCTCATCAAGCTATTCCTCGACCAGACCGTTGGCGCCGCCCTCAACACCCTCGCCTTCAGCATGTTCATGCATAGCATCAAGATCGCCATGATCCGCCCGGAGCACCTCGCGGCCGCGCAGCACTCGGGCACTTTCCTGTTCTCGCGCGGTGCCATCGACTACAGCAACGTCGACTGGCGGTCCGTTGTCCACAAGAGCCAGCTCGAGTTCGTGCCCATCTTCATCGCAGGTCTGAAGCTGTGGCCTGTGGTCAGCCTGGTCAACTTTGCTTTCATCAAGAGCATCGAGGGCAGAAACTTGGTTGGTTCCCTCGCAGGTGTTGCTTGGGGTATTTACATGAGTCTGGTTGCTGCTAGATAAGGGTCTCATGGCAGTATAAGCCGACATTGTGCTGGAGACGACCATATCTACCAATGCGAACATGCTGATGATCAGACGAGCCTTGACTTTCGGCGACCTTTGGGTTGATACCACACTTCTACATCCTGGATGAAGCGGGCGGGAGGTAATGGGGCGAGGGGCAACAAGGCAGGAGGAAACAGATCGTGAGGGAACAGAGCGGCCACTTTGCAAAGCTCGCTTAGAGAATATGAAACTAAGGTACCTGGAGGGATGTACGCAAGTTCTCCACAGTATTCTAAGCCTAGACATTAGATAGAAAGCACAACTTGTCCGTACGACAACCTTCATCATTCCTGTCGACAGATATGATGACAATTACATTGTTCCATCGTCCACCTCTATTGGCGTCACCATTCAAGGTGACGGTCCCCGCACTTGGTGGTAAACATGACAATTGGATTTCAAATCCGTTGCCTCGCTCATATTTCGAAGAATGCCTCCTTGGGCAGTCTCAACTTTAACAGGTGGGGAGTTCGCGACGTGTCCTTGTTGCGGCCTGCTTCACAGATTTACAGTCTTCAACACCTGGGTCCAAATGATAACGGGAATCTCACCCACATTCTCCTTGAGTAGTTTTGGTGGCTGGCTGCAGGGTCAAAGCAGTTTAATAGAAACGGCGAGAGCCCCACGATGGCTTAATGACGTTGAAAGTCTCACCAGCAAGACAGTCGGCTACGATCCGTACAACATCGTGTTCGCGTAGCGAATTCCTACAAACGTCTATTGGACCAAAGATCGAGAGACGAAATCAGTGTCTCTCCACTGGTAGCGTTCCTATGTCAAAAAAACCTAAAAAAAACGCGAGAAGCCAACTCGGCCGAGGGCGGTGGAGCGTCGTCAATTTAGGTGCATGCCGATCGATTACATGCTGGGTACTTGGGGCATCGCAGTACCCACGTGCCCACCTCCTGGGTATGCAAGACCCAAAAGACAGGTCCTGAGTGTGGTTGCGTGGTGGTTTTGCTCCGGAGTCTTCGCCTGCTTCGACACTTACGGGGTTCTCATTGGCTCATTCGTAACGACGTCGGTGAGTGATCTCTGATTGGTACACCAGGTGTTAGGCCGTTTCCCTCTCCGGGAACGAGGATGATGCCGTTTCGAAGCGATGTGACGTCAGGCAACGCATAGGCCACTGCGTTTACATCAGGTGCATGTCGGGAGCGCGGGAGGGACGATCTGACAACAGCGCACGCAGCCGCGGGCCATGCACCTCGTCAGATAAAGTCTGTATTTCAGCCCCCAGGAACGTGCATTTGCGAAGCACGGTCGAGGAGCTGGGGGAGGAATAGAGAGGGGAGGAGTAGTGAGGGAAGTAAACAAACCAGAAATCGGATGACTCTCCGAAACTAACGACGTTGGCTTGTTGATGGTTGCAAGTGAGGTGGGAAATGCGGCCGGGATAGGGAGGGTTTGTTGGTGGTACGGATTTTAGAGGAGGATTTTGCATTATTGGCAACTCCACGTGTGAAAGTCGGGATGACGTGGGGCAACAACGTCACTGGCAAATGAGCGGGCTGAAGTTTCTACCTTTGAGGTATGGTACCGCGCAGTGCGTTTTCTCTAGAGCCTGGAAGAAAAAGAAAAGAAAAGTTTCGCGGGGTCAACCTTCCGCCAGAGGTCTCAAGGTGCTGATTTGACTCGAGCAAGTGGAATGGTTGGAAGCGCCAGAAAGAAGACGGAGAAGAAGGCGATCCGATTTAGCACAGGTTGACAGGTCCCGTAGCGTCGAATCCAGGTCTCCATCGAAGCTTTTAGTGCAGAGACGTCCAAGGAGGAGGCGCGATGCAACCCTGGCTGCCCATGATTGGCTGCCGCGCCGTTAATTCCATTGCCAACCGGGGGGGAGGGGGGCCATCTGCGGTTTCCCTGAGTTCTCCCATCGGAGTGTTGGGCATTCCCACTTTTTGCCTGCCCCCCGTGCCAGTTGGGGGTTATTTCCATTGCATTTGCTGCAGTTTCCCTGGCAGGTGCAGAGACACATATGCAGTCGACATGGTCTATTTGGACCAATTCAGAACCTTTGCGATCGAATACCATGCCTGAGGTGACATTATCGTAGTTGATCTCTTCTAAAATTGGTCCTCGGGGGCCGGATCCTAATCACACCCAATCTCACCAAGCACCGGCATCTTGGCTACCGGACAAGTTGGAATCTTTCTTGACCGCCTTCACCGGGCTCTCTCTTTCTCTCCACCCCATCAACATCTCCCCGTGCCGTAGCGTAGGAGGGAGGAGCGAGAAGTTGTCCAATGCTGTGAGGGCGAGGGCTGAGACGCACGACTCAAAAGGGGATGGGACGGAAGCACTAAGAAATCAGCCATACTAAATCTTTCTCTCGGTGCCGCCGCCTATTCCCTACCTTCTTCTTCTTCCGTCCGGTCGTCGTCGACTCCCCTCCTCGACTTCTCTCAGGCTGTTATTTGCCATAGCCTAGACTCTAGACTATACAGAATCGCGCGCCGGGGTCACGATATCTTGGCAGGAGCCTTCGTCATCGGATTGCGGTTCCGCGCCCCCCTGGTCCCTTGTCTTTCCGCTTTCCCAGTGCCCAGACCTGGTTGCCGCTTTTCTAATCCTTACCTCCTTTCCTTGCCAGCGTGACCTTACCTGCCCGGATAGGCACTTTTCGTCTTCTCTCTATTCCTCTCACAGCCCCATCCACCATCTGGCATCATCAGCCTGCCAATCGCCTGGCTCTCGCGCCGAAAGCCTCCCGTGTTCTTCACCACAGATCCAGGCTAGTCCAAGGCCACTCCCCGGGGACGACAAAGGGGACCGACACGGGGCCGGTACCAAGAACCCAAGTTTGGTTTTTTCTCTTTGAGACCGCCATCTGCATAGCAAGCCACATTGCGACTTCCGTCGTTCAGCCCCCGATACTAAACCCCAGTCACCCAAGAACGGTCGTCTCATCATCCACCAGTGATCATCCTCTGGTCACATCTGTTCGGTTCACCCAACGTATCCGTCTTGCCTTCCCATATTTTCTCTTCTTCACCTTGGAACGCATTCTTGCCGAGATAACGTAGCCTCTACCGCATATCTTGGCCTGCACTTCGAACCAAGGCTTCTTCCCTACGTCTACGAATACCCGTTTTGAACCAATTCTCTGCCGCGACCCGAAAATCGGCCAAGGTCCGATGCGAGATATCCACCGCTGCAGATTTCCACAACCACGCGGACAACGCATTCACGGCATACGTCCCGCGTCCTCCATCTAAGAAGCTTGATTGGGGTGCTGCCGAATCCTTCCAGGACGACTCTGCCAGCATTCAACCAATCTCCAACTTGGCGGCCTTCTCACCACGGACTGGGTGTGCCGCCGCGTGCGCCCATCTCCACCCGGCAAAGCAGAATCGCAACTTCCGAGCTCAACCACCCTCGTCCTCCTCATCCACTTTGGGCCACTCTGCGCACGTTGCGACCCCGGTTCGCTTCTGCCGCTTTTTCTCTGCTTCCCACTTGCACCTGCGCGTTTCTCGCATCTCCTTCTCCCGCATCATAATAGCCCGCCCAACAGCTTCATCTTGCATCGCCTCAGGGCCACATCGCGCGCGCGCGTCTGCCGACTCGGGCTCTATCTTCACCGGCGGGACCGACTTCATTTTCTTGACACAACTTGAAGGAAGGACAGCGCCAAAAATAAGCTGTACTTGGTCTGGTTGCAAGATCCCCTCTCTTCAGGCCAAGATTGGTTGAGAATGAGAGAGAAAACAGATGCTGACAACAATACCTGCCGATCCCTTGGCTGAGCGGACGACTCATACCCTACCCGCAGCCATGCATCCTCCCCCGCTCCTCGGTGTGGGTGTTGTTGATCTGCTCGAGTCCGATCCCCGACCAAGCTTCGTCGTTGCGCTACCAACTTCATTCAAGGACCCCGCTCTTGCCGAGGTCGTCTACAGCAATCCAGCCCTGGTGTGCATGCCTGCCCTTCTCGAACTCCTAGGGTCATTCTCGAGCCGCGACCACGCGAGGTTTTGGGACTGGATCACCGCTCAAGACGCCAGCCCGTCCCAACCTTTCCTGTATAACAACCACTTCTGGACCCGGAACACAGTGCTTTCCAGATGGGTTGTTGTAAGCTCCAACGATATCCCAACTTCGTCAGAGCCTCCGAGGAAGACTCGCCTCGATGGTTCGAGAGACCGAGAGTCTAGTAGCGGGATATTGCATCCGCATGCCTCTACAGTGCACTCGGTGTCTGCGCCAGAATCGTCTGCAGAAGACTTGTCTTATCCCCGGATCGTTCGAGCAACCACTGAGCCACCCATATTCTTGCCGGATTTCATGCCAGACCAAGAGCCTTTTCTCGACATGGTCGATAGCGTTGACTGGAGCGCAACTCCCCTTGGAGCCATGGACCAGTGGCCATCGCTGCTACATCAGTCTTACAGCCAAATATTATGCAATTCTCAACCTACGGCAATCTACTGGGGGAAGAAGCTCACGACAGTCTACAATGAGGCTTATGGAGAGATGATTGGAGCCCGACACCCCAATGTGATGGGCTGTTCTGTGACGGAGGTTTTCCCTGAAATTGCAGATCAGCTCAGAGATATGATGGACAACCCTGGGCAAAGTCGCCGTGCGAGCAACGAAGAGGCGTTTCGCTTTTTTCTCGAAAGACCCGACGGATCACCCCTCGAGACATACCTTAAGTGGTCGATCGTACCAGTAATGCAGAACGACGAATGCCTTGGCTTCATCCACCTAATCTCGGACACGACTCTCTACCACCTTTTCCGTCGGCGGATCCAGATGCTGGTCAACATGGGCGAGGAGCTCGTCACAGCCAAGGATGTCAAATCCTATTGGAGCAAGCTGATCGAGGAGCTCTCGGAATGCGATCCCGCATACGATATACCCCTGGCAATGCTGTATTCAATTGAATGTGATGGATCGTCGCACTCTGGAAGCGAGTCGCGGCACGACTGTAATCACGTTTGTCGTCTCGAGGGCGCTCTTGGTGTCCCGGAAAACCATCCCATTATGCCTGAGAATCTGCGACTAAAAGACACCGATGCTGGTTTGGCGCCACAGTTTCGAAATGCTCTGCGCAGTCAAGAGCCACTCATAATCAGCACATCGGATGGCAGTCTACCAAAAGAGCTACTGACCGGCTTGCAGTGGCGCGGATTTGGCGATCCCTGCGACGCTGCTATCGTGCTGCCCATCAGACCTACGAAAGAGGAGGAAGTCATGGGACTGCTCGTGCTGGGGCTCAATCCCCGAAGACCTTATGACGATGCCTACACTCTTTACATTCAATTGCTAGCACAAAAGCTTACAACGTCTCTGGCTTGTACAGTCTTATTAGAGGAGGAAAGGCGCCGAGGCAGAAATGCTGCCGAGCACGCAGCATTCGACCAGGCCATGCTGAAAGAGAAGCTCGCTCACCAGACCAAAGAGGCTACAGAGTACACACGGTTATTCCAGACTGTTTCTGACTTTATTCCCAACGGATTCTCCATTGGCGACCACCAGGGGAACATCACATTTGCAAATGGGCTTTGGTACCGCATAACAGGACACCCTGAGGAAGGCGGCTCTCTCTCTTGTGTGTTGGAGGTAGACCGAGAAAAGATACGCGAGGCGTACAAAGAATTGCACGTAAAGGATGAAGTTGAATTCGAGTTTCGCGTCAAAGGAACCGAATACACGAACAATATGCTGGCAAGAAGGTCGCCCTTCAAAGCCGAAATGTACAGCGACCTTGACGACGAATTGGAACGTTTAGTAATGGCGCAAGCCAAGGCTGAGCGAGCAGCAGATGGAACCATTGTTCGAACTTTTACTTGCCTGACAGACGTCACTGCTCACAAACGGACAGCCGACGAAGCAACTAGAAGGGCCCAGCAGGCGGAGAATCTGAAGAGAATGGCCGAGCTTGCCACAGTTGGCATGTTCGATATGGACATTGGGGGGCGTCTACTTGGCGCAAATAACGTCTTTTTCGAGCTTTGTGGGATAGAAAAGGTCGACCTCTTGCAACACGAAGTCCGGCCATGGGAAGTTTCGGTTGTGCAAGACGACCTTCCGACCTTGAGCGAGAGCGTGGCTCGACTCGTGTCGACAAAGAAGCCCCAGTCGGCCGAGATTCGTCTAAAGACCACATGGACGGCTGAAGATGCCGTAGGGAACCAGGTCACCGCGCCGAGATGGGTGAACGCCGCTCTTATGCCGGTCTGCAACTCAGATGGCATCGTACAGTCCTTCACTGGTTGTGTTAGCGACGTCTCATTACAAAAGTGGCAACTCGAGTTAGAAACTCAACGTACCGAGGAGGCAATCGACTCGAAGCGGCAGCAGGACAACTTCATCGACATGACATCCCACGAGATGCGTAACCCGCTCAGCGCTATAGTTCACTGTTCGGACGCCATCATTGCCTCTCTCGCAAGATGTGAAGAGCTCGTCGGCCGGCCCCTAACTCCCAAGGTTTCAAAGTCAGACGACGAAAATAGCGACAAGCACTTTGACATTAAACGGCTTCTTTCGGACAGCATTGAGAACGCTGAAACGATTGTGGCTTGCGCTCAGCATCAGAAACGGATTGTAGACGATATCTTGACAATGTCTAAATTGGATTCCAAGCTCCTAGCCGTCACTCCTTGCACGGTCAATCCTGTTCAGATTGGCGAGGAGGCCATCAAAATGTTTGACGTCGAAGCTCGTCGTGTGGATATTGACCTCAAAATGACTGTCGACAAGTCTTATCGAGAACTGGGCCACATTTACCTTGATCTTGATCCCTCCCGCGTCAAGCAGGTCCTCATTAACTTGCTTACCAATGCTCTGAAGTTCACAAAGTCTGGGTCAATTAGGAATGTGTCCGTCTGCATGAAAGCATCACGACAACGGCCGACGAATGAAACAGCACCGGTCACCTTTATTCCCCGATCCTGCAAAGAAGAGTCGGAATACGAGCAGCCTGCTCTAGACAGTCGTAGAGACCCAGTCTACATCATGTTTGAGGTCAAGGATACCGGCCAAGGCCTTTCAGAAGACGAAAAGTCGAATCTTTTCAACAGATTTGTGCAAGCCAGCTCGCGAACTCATGTCAAGTACGGTGGAAGCGGACTGGGACTGTTCATCTCGCGACGCTTGACGGAGCTACAAAAGGGCGCCATTGGCGTGGCAAGTCTGCCAGGGGTCGGGTCCACGTTTGCATTCTTTATCGAGGCATACGTGCCGACGGAAGCGTCGCGGAGGGAAGCCGAATCCGCAGCCGCGGCCGTAAGAATGACCACTCTGGCTACTGCAGCCAATACCCCATCTACAGTGCCGCGGATAAGAGCCCCCGCGAACGAACAGAGGACACCTGGCTCGCGACCGAAACCTAAGAGCTACGATCCCCGGCTGGACGGGATCCTTGTTGTGGAGGACAACTTAATTAATCAGCAAATCACCCGTCGCGGTCTGCAGGATAGGGGGTTCACTGTCGACGTGGCCAATCACGGAATCGAGGCTTTGGAGAGGCTCATGCAGTCCATGTCCCTGCAACAGCAAGATGACCCAGAGTACTTTACGCATAGCAACTCGAGTGCTCAGGGACCTCCTGTGTCGATCAACCTCATCCTCATGGACATAGAGATGCCAGTGCAGGACGGCTTGACATGCACACGGCGAATTCGAGAATTAGAGCAGGAAGGGAGAGTGTTCTGCGCGAGCGGTGGAAGAATACCCATCATCGCCGTAAGCGCCAATGCAAGGCCGGAACAGATGCAAGATGCCAAGAGCGCAGGGTGCGACGACGTGCTCGTCAAGCCTTATCGGATGCCGGAGCTAATCGAGAAAATGCAAGTGGTCGTCCGGCGGATGGGGGGCCTTTCGCCCGGATCGCCTATACAATAACGAAGCTATGGGGAGGTGATGGAGCGGTGGGAAAGCATTATCAATCACATGGACAACCAAGGGCTGGTGATCCTGCAGAGACGGGTACGGCGTTTAGGTGAAGGGAGCCACAGCAGGACTGGGCTCGGGGACGAGGACTGCTTCCGGGGTTTAGTCTGGTCACACTTGGTTGTGTCATGTGGTGGATGGACGAACAGAGATACCAAAACTGGCTTGGATGCTAGCCAACAGGAAGACTCCAACTGTTGGATGTCACACACGAGAGAGACTTGGCATTGGATGGCGTTGAGCGGCGGGGGTTGGCTATGTCGATGGATGTGGGAAGATAGACTGGGTCAATTGAGATGGAGAAAGAAAGAAAATGTTTTCGGGGAGCGAGGTTCCTTGGCAAGCCTGTTACTGACAGCAATCTATTTTTTATCGCGGGTGCAGACGGGACTAGATGAAAAGGCGGAATAATACCAGACATTGCACTGCAGAAACAATGTGGCCTCTAGGACTGTATGAGGCCAACTCATTTGAGTCTTCGTGAGCTTGTAGTCCTCGCATGAGGTATAAGCCACTGGGTCCGATCATTTCTGGTCAGGGGAGAAGGAGGTTTGATTCTCATCATGTCGTTCTCGGCATAAGTTGCAAGTCGCTGGTATTCGAGGCTTTGGGAGTGTTGTATCGTTCCTCTTTACGAAGCCCAGCGAGCCTCCCCCCTCCCAATGTTAAATCAAAATATTGAAGAGACCATCATGTGAGGTTGTTTAGAGGTTTCCTGGTTGATACTTCTAGGTACCTAGGATACCCAGGGTAGACGAGACGGAGAAATTGGTGATTGGTCGGGATTTTTGGGTGGCTGCTCCTCGACCGAGTGGGAAGGAGGGGGGATGAGGATGGATGCAGGGGGGTCCGGTCGGTCGTTGGTGTCACGGCCCCACTATGGGCGCCGCGGGGCTTGTTTGATGGGAGGAAGCACCCGGTCGAGCCATCCGCTGTACGTACGCTTTTTGCGGTGCGAAAAGGGGCTTGTGCAAGTAGATGGACAAGTACATGTGCAGCCGGGATTTTTTTGTCTCGCCACCAAGACTTAAAAGCAAGTGGCATACCTGGTAGGAAACAGACAGAGCAGGTTCTGTAAAAGATGGCGTAACGAGAATGGGCGGCCGGCGGGGCGGCGTGCGGGCCGACTCGGGCCTTTGGGGATAGGTTCGCAGATAAAAGGTTACCTACGTATGCTTGGAATTTGGACCGGGGTAATATTCGTCCTGGATTTGTGTGTCACTGGCGGGCAGGTTTAGCCCATCTCGGGGAGATTGTACGGTTGGGAAACAGTGAGTTGCATGTGAGATGATGGGGTCTTGTAATGCGGTGGGCTATTGAGATGATGGATCACTGTGGATATTTCGAGGTCGTTTCGTACGCCTTGTGCATATCGTCGAAGCACTGTCCGTAATGCCAATGTCTTCCTGTCTGTAATCAGACGACCGGTTCTCATTTTCCTCGTAGTCCGGCGAGGTTAGGGGAGCTTTTTTGATCTGGGGAGGTCCGTGGCTAAGGTAATCTGAGGTTACCTGAGCTTTCCAGGTTCTGAGCGTGGGGATTACTGCTTCCCAAAGATAGGGATGAACGATTGAAAAAGTGGTCAGCCGCAAGTGATTTGAATGATTCTAATTACTTCTTGATTCTCTTTCCCCCTCTTTCCATTAATCTCCCGAAACATTCTCTCCCTCAAAAATCCAGAAAGGCGAAAGCTGTTCCATCACAGGTGGATATTTGGAAGGTTTGTAAGTGAGATTTGGGGAGGGGTACCTCCTCCCTCCCCCACCAGGTCAGGAACGTTGCCAAGAATGGCCTAGCGAGAAAGCTCCTGCCCTGCAGGAAACGGAATGAGCTTAGGTATTCCCCCCCACCCCTCATCCGAGTGCAGCGACAGGCGGGGGGGAAAGCCCAGAGCTCCCACCCGACATCACCTCACAAACGTCCCTGCGCAGCGCCGTCTTCGACCGACCACCCGCATATACCGACCGACTTACCTGCCTTACCTATCTGTGTTACTTTGCATACAGCTTACTGTCCGACCAACCGAGTACCGCGTTTCGCAGTTGGGGTATCCGAATATAAACTCTCCGCTAGCGCGTCCACTCGCTCCTCGACGGCCTGTTCCCTTTCTTCCTCTTTCTCTCCTGCTAGACTTGAGAACAAAGAGAAGCACTTAAATGCCCCCAGGTCCCCAGTCTCTGTCCTCGCTACAAAAGTTGCCCCTCCTTCGGCTACGAAACCCCGTACTCACCCCGCCACCGTCTTCTTCCGGCTTCGGCTCTCTGTGCTCACGAACGACGAAGACGACGGCAACCCGTCGGATACCGATTCACGACACACGACAATACCGCCGCTTTACCAACGGCGCTCGTCTGTGGACTTCAAACGAACGACGAAACGTCTTGCTGCTCGGAAAGGAATTGGGCGCCGAGAGATACACGGACGAAATGGCGGACCGGATTCACCGTGTTACCATGTTCAAGATTGCCGACGAGGGGCAGCAGCAGCAGCTGATTGAACAATACAAGATCCTGGGGAGCTCGCACAAGAAGGTGCGTCATTTCTCTTGTTTTAACCCTCACAGTCGTATTCTTGCTGTGATGTCTGTGTGGGCGGGGAGAGCTTCGTTCCATCGGACACTGGCCCCCGGGGGGATCGGCCCCACCGTAGCTCATGCTGGCGACATCGTTCTGGACCGATACACTCCAGATATTTATTTTGCTGTTTTTTTTTTTTTTTTTTTTTTGTGCTGGGTGGATCGAGAGACCGGAACGCAATATGTCGAATCATTTTGCACTTCATTATTTGCAATTCGATTGTGAAACGATTTCATCAGGCCTGACACTGACGAAATTACCTGCCTCTAGGACGGGAAGCCATACATTCTCTCCATGGTCGTCGGCCCGGCCGTGGATGACCCGCGCACCCAGGGCTTCACCGTTGTCGCCAAGACCGAGTTTGCCTCGCTCGAGGACATGAAGTACTATGACGACGAGTGCGCCGCCCACGGCGTCCTCAAAACCTTTGTCAAGGGCAGCCTCACTATCGGCGGTATCTTATCCGTCTACTTTAAGCCCGAGGCCATCTCCGTCTTGTAAACGTGTGCTTTACTGTTAGGAGAGCACCGCAGTCTATGGGTCAATAAGATTGCAGAGAGGACTCAGATGGTGTGGATTCGAGGGGGGAGAACTTGAGGGTCTGAGAGAAACTGGCGTGGCTGTGAGGCCACGCCTCTCCCGGTTTCTTTCTCTGGCGTAAGGCTTCTCGGCTTTTCCAGAAAATGTCAAATACTCCTTGTTGCCGGTCATGGACAGGTATCAAGCTACTTTGCGTACATAGAATTTCCCCCCAACCCTGAAACATAATCATCAATCCCTCCTCTTCGGTTGACCTTTTGTTGCTTCGAACCATGTTTTTTTTGTCCATTTTCTTTTTTTCCCCCCCATTTGTGCAGAGCTAACATAGAGTCGAAACTGTGATGAAACCATGTACAGCCTAGGATATGAGATAGGAAATAACCGCATCATCGAGCAATCAACAAAAAACTGTACACAAACACACACACATACGATCACGAAGCAGCGGCAACAGCAGGCGCGGTAGCCGGAGTAGTCGCAGGCGCAGTGGTGGAAGCAGCAGTCGTAGCGGCGACGGCGGCGGCGGCATCAGTCGTGGGCGCGGGGGGCTGCGTCAGGTTCCCCTCGGCAAAGTTCTTGAGACCCTCCATCCAGGCGGCGAAGCCCGTCTCGAGCTGGCCGACCATGGTGAAGCGGAGGACCTGGGCGAGCGGGCCGTAAAAGGTCTCCCAGCAGCGGTACTCTGTGCCGTTGCCGTCCTCCGTCTCGAGGAACTCCTGGACGCGCTCGGACTTGAGGACAAAGGGGGGCACGAGGCCGCCCGTCTTCCAGCAGACGCGGTAGCCCTTGCGGCCGCGGTGGGTCTCGCCGTTGGTGGAGGCGGCGGCGTGGGTGAATTCCTCGAGCTTGGTGACGACGAGGGCCTGCTTGGTGGTTGTCTTTGCCGGGTCGAGGGTCATGTGGACCTCAAAGGTGACGTGGGTGCCCTCGAGGAGGAGCTCGCCGGGCTGGTTCTTTGCGACGGAGGAGTCGGCGAGCATGGGCGGGACGGCGAGACCCGAGGGGCGGGAGACGGTGGCCTTGGGGACGAAAGTGTTCCAGGCCGGGTAAGTTGCGGGGTTGAGGACGGCGGCGAGGACGGCGGTGGGTTTGGCGGCGATGGGGGTCGCGCAGGCAATGGTCAGGACGGCGCCGATGTCGCCGTGGGACGGGGTCGCGAGGGGAGGGGAGACGGGGGTCGGCGTGAGGGAGGTGGGGATGGAGTCGGAGCCCTTGTCGAGGGCCTTGGGGGACTTGGGTTTGAGCTGTTCGGGGAACTGCTTGATCGAGTCCGGGATGGTGATTCTTTGGCGTATGGCCTCCATTTTTGTGATTATTGGGTATTGATGAGGTTAGACTTGGGTTTCGTCTGGGGTATCTCTGGGTATAATGGTGGGATATGATGGATGAAAGCAAAACAAGACGGATCAATGTCGAAGAAGGGAGGAGGAAGAAGAAATTGACGAATAGGTATTGATGTAAGATGGAGGTGAGGGAAGACGGCGAACGGAGAAGGGATGGAGCGACGAAGGGAGGGGTAGTAATGGAACGACACGGGACAACCCAAAAGTAGGGCGGGAGAGATAGAGAGAGAGCGCAGAGGAAGAAACGGGAGCGATTCAGGTTAGTTGTATCAAATGGACGGCATTGGGCTTTAGACTTCCTGGTCTCGTGAGGAGATGCGCGTCATGGGATGGGAGGGACGCCCGCGGAGGGGAGGGGGGTTTGACGAGCTGGTAAAGGTGTATTCAAGGTGTGTAAGGTGTCGGGGAGGGCAAGGGGAGGGGGGCTGTGAATCTGTGATCAAACGGTAGTGTCGTGAGCGTGATGTGAAGCTGTGGCATGAGACTGGCCCGAGCGAGGGCGGAAATAGGTGTGTGGTGTATGGGGATACGTCAATGAGAAAGAGGTTTGATGGTGGTTGTCGACGATACGATGAGATTGGCGACCCGGGTCGATTTAGTGGGAACACAAAAACCCGATGGAGAATTGTTGACGGCTGCCGCGGTCCGGATCTGTCCATTTTCGGGTCCTGGCCGCCCCCCTCTCCTCCCCTGCCCCCCGCTTTGAGTCCGGGGGACATGGGGGTATCGATGACTCCACCACGCAGGGATGAGACGGGATGGAGCCTGTGGTTTTTCGGCGATTAAAGACGGAGATCCGGATCGGAGATGGGCATTGCGCTGTAGTAATTGTACTACTTTCAGCCGGCTGGGAGGAGAGGCGGGGCGGTTTCGGCTTCAGTTCGTCACCATCATCATCACCTTTTCCGACGCTCTCATTCTCGGACATGTTTATGAAGGACATTCGAAGAGGGCTCAGAATGGGTTTCCGAATGAAATTCTAATGGAGAGACTGTTCTGGCTGCCTGGCATCCCCATCATGGGTGCAAGAAGAAACCAGTCTATGCCCTGCTCGCAGCGGGCCTGACACGTGTAATTGCAATGGAGACTGGCCAACTGGCTGGAAATCCAAACCCCCCGGCCTCCCCGTCGCCCAGCTAGACGAAATAAACCGGGGAGTAGCCTGCGAGCCTACGCATAAAAGACGAAAGAAATCCCCTCCTTCCCTCCAACGATGAGGAACGAGTCTCCACCTTCGGGCGCCGATTGTCGTTCGTTGGCAAAAAAAAAACGGGCTTCCGCCATATACGTGGAGGAAGTGGAAATAATAAGGCGCTGCTAACGAGATGGTAAAGGAAGCCAGCCCACGGGCATTTCCGGGAAGGGGGCTTCTTGAAGCTCGAGGCTGAAGGGTTCGAGCGCTGTCGAGTTTCGCCTCGTTTTCGTCCTTGGTCTTTGTTGGTTGGTCCATTGGGTTCCAGGGATAGCGGGGGTGTGCGTGTGCGACATGAATTCTGTACGTCAAAGCAACCGGGGGGAGGTTGTTAAAGGGCCATAGCTCGAAGAGAGAGTAGAGAGCGTATGGAAAGAGAATAGTTGCCTCATCTTCAAACCCAATTCCGCATCCCCCCCTCTTTCTCACTCTACTTCTCTTCAACGCCTTTTTCCGGCTGTGAAGTTGTCGGCTTGGAAAAGCCATAGCATCTAAGCACGGCAGTCTCAGCCGATCATTTTGATTACTTACAGACTTTTAGAAGTTTTCCAAATTTTCCTTTGGTTCTGCAAAAGTCACACAAAGAGTGATCTCGGATTACATACTTAGGTAGTAATGGTTGAAGGGTTAAAGTAGTTCGAGTTCCCAATCAACCATCCGTCAATCCTCGTAGCAAATCCTCGCAACTCGCAAGCCTCTGCAACAAATCATGTGCCCAATTCGAAAAGAATCGTTTCATACGTAGAGACCGCGCGCAAGAACCAGTGTCTCGGTTCCCAAAACCCCAATCCCTCCCCCGGCCCCATCTACATCTTCCTAAGCAAACTCACTCCATTATCTCCGTCCCTTACCAGCGTTGTCGAGGACAAGGTCTCAAAACCACGTCGCCCGTCCCGCGCCACATCACCATCGTCATACAGTACCCACGAGCCATGTCTAGGCCGCCTGAGGGAAAAAATAAAAGAAAAAGCACGAGGCAGAAGGCGAGTTGTGCGCTCTATCCGAAGCCCCTGAGGCTCGGTGAGCCAGATTTCGATCTCGAGAGATGTGAGACAATGGCGGGCTGAGGAAAGAGATGAGTATCAGGTGCGTCTGCTTTGCGGAATATGAAGCGCCGTTGAATTAGTCAATTCCAAATTGCAGCGCAAGACGCACATGTCTCGACATCAAAATTGGCGCAGACAGGCCCTGTATCTTTTGGTTGTTGGGCGCATCCACTCAAGCCCGCCCACATCAGAATCCTGGGAATGCTGTGAATACCTGATGCTCTTCATGCGAGTCACCCGCGCGACACATCACAAGAGGGCCAAAATCATTAATGGTAAACAGTCTGTCTTTTGTCGAAACTTTGAACCGCCTTGAAGGAGGCGAAAACTACTCTACATACACCAGAAAGTTCCTAAGCCATGATGCAGGTGGACGCTTGCGACCAAGTCTGCCCGAAATGCTTGCGAGAATAGGAGCGCGAAAGCACAATACCTCCCCATTCCTTAGCCGATACCCCCCGGTTGACGCCTTGTAACTCCCTGAAAGAAGCAGATCCTGGTTTTCCGATTCCCTGAAAGTGGATATCCCCATGAAGTTATATGAGCGTTGATTGACAATGAGTTGACAACCAAGCTTAGGTCGTGCGAGCGTGGACCGCGACCGAGCGAGCCGTGCGTCCAGACCGAACGCTGCCCATGTCACTCATCTCGGTGCCATCGTGGTCGTTGCTCTCCTGCTGCAGGCGTGTCTTATTGGCGTGCTGGGCATGACCAGCGAGAAGGGCGATGGGTCTGGGGTCCTTCTCCCAAGTGAAGATGGCGGCGACCACCATAATGGCACAGGCGGTGATCATGAAGATTGTCTGGTCTCTGAAGGAATCGGCATAGACATTCTTGACAAGGTTCAGAATGTGCGAGCTCCACTGAGAAGATGCAGTAGGGGAGTGGTAGAGAGTCTCAAGGTCAGCCGGGGAAAGGTGCTCATTGAGGACCTCTAAGCGCTTGTTGAACAGAGCAGTGCAGATGGCGACGCCGAGACAGCCACCAAGGGCGCGAGCTTGAGCGAGGATTCCCTGAGCGACAGCATGTTCCTTGGTCGATTCCGCTTCGACGCCAGAGAGGATAGTGGTGGAGCCGAAAGTGAGGCCAACGCCCAGGCCAAAGATGAGTGTGAATCCGTACGCAGGAGCAAAATCCGCCTGAGCCGAGGCAACCATCAGCATGAGGCTGATACCTAAAACTTGCGCAATCGCCGCGACAGTCATGACGAGAGCCACCTTGTTCGACTTGGAGTTCACCGCTCCGGCAACAAAAGATCCGACTGCGCAAGCTCCAAGCATAGGCAACAGGTACATGCCGGACTTGAGAGGGCTCTTCTGCGCAATCACCTGCATGCGCTCCGGGATGATGACAGTTAGAGCGACATAAGGAAGTCCGGTGAGGAAAGTAACGGCCAAGCCGCACATGAATGGTCGGCGTCTAGCGAGGTGTACTGGGAAGACAGGCTCTGGGTGCGAGCACTGGACATGATCGGCGTAGGGACAGCGCTTTTCGTAAAGCCAGTTCTCGACGATACCGAAGATGATCCAGCAGATCCCGGAGCATACGAACAGGACGATGACAGACCAGTGGGCCCAACCGTAGAACGCGTAGCCACCACGCTGGATAGCGATAACGAGGAAGACGGAGCCGAAGAAGAGGGAGAACATACCAACCACGTCAAGCTTTCGAAATGCCGTAAAAGAGTAGACCTTGAAGGCGTTTCGGTCCTTGGGGTAAGCAAAGGCGATGCAGACCATGGCGATGACACCGACAGGGACGTTGATTCCAAAAATCCAGCGCCAGGTAATTTTGGAGACGATGACACCGCCCAAGATGGGACCCAGGAGGAATGCGGCAGCCAGAGTGATTCCAATGATGCCGCCCATCAAAGCTGGGTTGTGGGCAGGACCTTGCTCAAGTAGACAGGTCTGGGCGAGGCTGTACAAGCCCGAGCCTCCGACACCCTGAAAGGCGCGGCCAACGATCAAGAGCTTCATGCTGTTCGCGCCAGCACACAAAGCCGAGAAGAGCAGGAAGACGGCCCAGCTGTAGAAGAGAAGGGTTCGGCGACCGTAAATGTCGCTGCACTTGGCAATTCCGACAGCGCAGCCCATGTAGGTGAGAAGATAGGCGAGAAGGACCCAGGGCGCGTTGTAGTAGTCGCCAATTTCCTCGGAGATGGTGATGAGGGAGGTGGCAATAATGGAAGTGTCAAGGGTAGCGAGGAAGAGGCCCACGAGGAGGCTACCTGGTCAGCTAGGCTCGCGGTGGTAGTGAAATTTGCGTACCTGATGATAACCAAGACCTTGCGAATCTTGTACTGACGAGAGGTCGCAGCAGAGAAATCAGCGCCGCGGCGAGGAGCGAAGTTGGCGACAGCGAAGCCAGCTGTATCACCCAAGGAAGGGTTGGGGTACGAGAGCTGGTCAGCCATCTCGCGACGAGGAGGGGACTGGGCGGCCATTGCTGATATGGTCGTGACGATGATTGGCAGTGGTACCAATTGCTGAGATAGCGGAATGAGGCAGGCTTTCGCAATTTTTCTTTCCTCCAGGGGGCAGAAGATGAAAAGAGGTTGTCGAATCTTGCCAATGGTAGTTTTCAAAGCTCAATCTCAGCTTGTCTTGCAGGAAGATGGGGTGATGAGGTAGGAATTCGCTGGGAAGCAGGTGGCAGAGAGAGAGAGAGAGAGAGATCGTGTGTGTGGTATAGGGGGAAGAAGGTGTTTGGCAGTGTAAACCTGGCTGAGGAAGGCCTCTGAGAATACCTTGTTGCTCCCGCTTCAATGAAAATAGGGGCCGGCTGGCTTTTCCTGATGTGCAGGGAAAGAGGATTGGTAAGAACAGACAGTGCTCAGCCTTGTGCCTGCCAGGAGTGAGAGCCTTTGCAGAGTTGATCGAGGAAGGTAGACGTGGGGCTTGGTTGATATATTGCTGGTTACCTCAACGATGCAATAGTGAGGCAGGTGGTGTGAGGAGGAAAGGAACACTTGAGGGTACGTAAGTGTGTGTGTGTGTATGAACACGCATCCCCTGTGGTGTGAGGACTTGAGCGGCAGTGGGGAGCAAACGAGGTAAGCAGCTGCCCATCCTTTCCACCTTGGACAGTGGCCGCAACACATAGTTATACTGACAGCAGCTCTTTGCCGCCATGTTGAGAGCAGAAGAATGGCACTGGATGCAACTATCCATGATGCCCGAGACAGTGGTTTTCCTTGAGGCTTGCTCATCCAGCCTAGCCAGAGTGAAGATGAGATCTTCACTAACAGTTCCACATTGGCTAGGCGAAGACACCAACAATGACGGGTGTTGTGCAATGTAGGACAAACAACTTGAAAGCGTCAAGACTGTGAAGTGTAGTCGTTCGCGTGCCCCATGCCCTGAGCTCGCTCGGCTGTGGTGACGAAACTTATAATCTGAGACAAAGGCTTTCTTGCTTGAGGATGGAGGCCGAGGAAGAGTCAGGGGTAGAGTAATGAGTGAGGTGTGCATTCCCATGAGAGTGAGAACGCAAGCCAATGGTGTGGCCCATCAGGGAAATGTCCCAGTTGCTGGTCTTTCAGAAATGGGAGAGCTACCACCTTGGTGCCAGGAACAGGTCCCATTGTTGTGGTCGTTGTTGTACTGACCCCAAGACTCTCTCTTCAGCATTCGAGGCCGTGACATTTCGTAAACAAGCCACTCAAGTGACTGATTGGGTCGGTGGAGATTTATATCAAGCGACACTGTTTGACTCTGAGCCGGTGGAACGGAAAATCGACTGGCTGTCTCCGGTTGATGCCACCATCCGACTGTACCACGTTGTGTACACTCAGCTGTCTGCTGCAAGAGAAAAAGTAGGAAAAGAGAGAGAAAATCGCAGCAGGAAGACGAGCTACCCACCGGATCTGTGTATCCCCGAGCGACCTCCCACCTGCACCACTAGCTCTGCACCACCACTTGGGACGTTGTGTTCTCAGATGCCTCGTGGTTGAGTGGTCATCGTCCCACCCACTTGGGTACCTTGGAAACAGATGCATAGCGTGCCACTAGCACCCGACTGTGCATTCAAACGTTTCTTCAATCCATCCATAATGGCGAGAAACTGAATATATGAAAGCTTGCTCTAGTGGAGGCTTGATAGCTGCGAAGTGAGGTCATGAATCTGGCTACTTGGCCGACCAAGACTTGGTCCGGGCCGTGTACGACCTCGCCTCGGATTTCCTCAATGGTAGCTGCAGCGCTGGGGGACAATATTTCCGGCAGCATGTCCTTGCCAAGAAATGGACTCCCTCAAAGTAAAAAAAAGAAAAAAAAAAAAAAAAAAAAGGCATCTTGAACCGCTCTTGAAGCGCTCTGGCCTGCCGAGATGGTGTGTTCCACAGATACTAGGGGTCGAACTTTCCTCGTCTTGATTGATCAGGGTTGTACACCTGCTTGTGGAACTCGAAGTCGGTCCCAAGATGGTTCGATTGGCCACTTTGGGCAGAATGGTCTGGCCGTGTCAATTGCACCTTCAACTCAGCTCCATTTCAAGGTTGTCACACAGGCATTGAGTGTTTGTAAGTCGAGCAGGTGCAGCCATCTCAATGGATATTCACCCCTGCAAGATGGGTAGAGGTGAACCGGCGAATCGGTGATGAGCTCGAAAAGGAAAGTGACAACAACAGAATTGAGAAGGGGGGCACACGGGCCATAAAGAACCTTGACACTGTGTGTGAAGTCGGGGCGGAAAAAGTCCATGGTCCGACTGATGAACCTCATCCATGACCATGGCAAGCACCCACTAGGCACCTTATCATCTAGCTCTGTTCCTCTGGACAGCTCTGGACAGAGTCTCCCACATAAAACCATCGGATTAGGTTTCCTGAAGCGAACAGGACAGAATGATGGTATCTGAATATTTTCCGTCTCCATCCAAACGTTGATGTTGGCACTGTTCTATTTTTCGCTCTGCATGCCAATTTCAATAGCTGGGGACGTCCAGAGCAATCATGTCTTAAATGGGTTCCTGCATATGACAACATGCCACACTTACGACAGTGTCGGTCTGGCACCTCTTAAGAAACATTCCCCCCAGAAATCCGCGTCACACTCCATGATGATGTCAAGTTCTCCTGGAGATCGTTGGAGGGCCAGGCGTCTAGGAGTCTTGTTGGAACGGACAATGATACGAGTCTGACTTCAGGCTCGCGCCAAATCTCCGGGACCTACCTTACAAGTTCCGTCTGTACTGCCGTGGCAGACAGCACTGCACAATGCCCTCTGACGAGCTATACTTCTGCTAATGCCACCAACCTTGTTTGACAAGTCAATCTCCCCACCCAACGAAAAAACCAGGAACAACCGGGAACCTGCTCCATCGTGGTTTGCCAAAACTCCCCAGTCTTCTTGTCGCCCGAAATCAGATCGTTCGATCCAGTTCTATCCAGTCTTGTCAAATTCTCTTTTTGTACTCGGGCCGAGACCGCGGGACTGGCGATCCAGGCCGTCCTTGGGATTGGGCACCACCACGAGGAGACGGGTCGAGTTTACTGTGCTATGCCGGGCTCCATTATCTCTACCCCGGTCATACCGTCGACTCTCTGTACAGCCCCGGAGCAAGGCACGATTGGCAATCAGGAGTCGTGGCAAACCGAGCACCAGCATCGTGACAGGTTGGCACTGACTCGGGAGCTATCTTCTGGCCAAATTTCTTCCACAGGTTGTCCTACAACCATAATCAACCACTTGGACACACGCTCAAAGTATATCGATCCAGGCAAGGAACCAGTGCTACCCCCCGTTGTCCCCGCTGCACTGGAGCCGAAGGACCGGTGCTCCTCAAAAGTTCTGTTTGCAACATGCGGTCAGGAGATGACGCCAATGGGCCATGCCAGTCTTCAGCGGAGACGTCCATGATCGAGCGTGGTTGCTCTCCTACGTACACAGTCTCTGTCATCTTTGCAATGTTTCTGGGGCTCTTCCGGGCTGATTGCATGCCAAAGTGGGCTGCGCCCCATCCCTGTTCTATTTCAAGCATCTACCTATTCTCTTCCCGTCTTCATAGCTTCTCTTGATTTTTTCGCCGGTCTAATTGCAAGAAGCCGTTGATATCCGTGGGCTATGCTTCAGAGGAACCACATTCCGAGAAAAGAAGCATTAAGAGAGCTGTACAGCACAAAGCCTTCCTCAAAATCTTGATTCTATGGCCCGATGCCTGCCATGTTGTACGCTGATTGTATCTACCTACAAAGGGTTGGCTAAAGAAATTCGACGATGAAAGGCCAAAAATGACATGAACTGGTGTCTATGCAACCACACTGACAACTATATCATACAAAGAGCCACTCCGTTCCAAGGGATTGACGTTGACCGCCAAAGTGAAGTTCCAAGCTTCATGCCGCATGCTCCCGCTCTAGCACATGAGTGGAATAAGTGGACGGTCTTGGTTGCCTCTGGCACTAAAGGCAGCTCGGCTTCACCTTCAAGTCATTTTCACCTTTGGGAATCAAGGTGGGCCCGCCTCAATAAACTGTCTTCAGGTGTCTTGTGGCAGAAAATATTTCCAGCTACCTTACCTAACTCACCTTCACCTCTTCCGAGTCTATCCATCCTTTTGATTATTCTCCTCAGTTGATTGATACCCTTTCCTTCTTCCATAACCATCGATTCAGACCAAGGGGAGGCCAATTTCAGTCTCCTTGAGCTGCTCTTGTATCATCGCGTCTCTCGCTCTCCTCATCTCTCTTCTTACCTCCTCATCCGTGGATATCCGTTCGAGGACGACGTCTTCATCCGAATTCATCGAGGGCCGGGATGGAAGACATTGCCATCGTCGGCATGGCTTGCCGATTCCCTGGCAACGCCACTTCGCCGGAGAAGCTATGGGAGATGTTGGTGGCAAAAGAATCTGCGTGGTCAGAATTTCCCAAAGAGCGTCTCAACATTGATGGCTACTATCATCCAAGTGGTGATCGTCAGGGCAGTGTGTGTCATTACCTCATCTTATCAACTTTATTTTGATCCTTCTTCAAGCTGACCTGCTATATCTAGATTTCGTTCCGGGGCGCTCACTTCATCAAAGATGATGTCGCAGCTTTTGATGCATCGGTGAGTCGCCATCAGCACCTTTCTGTTATCAAAATTCATCTCTTCTAAATTTTCAAAGTTTTTCTCCATCATGGCCGAGGATGCCAAGGCCATTGACCCTCAGCAGCGATTCCTCCTGGAGGTATCCTACGAGGCACTTGAGAATGGTAGGATGGCGCTCGGCCTCTCGAAAGACTTCGTGCTAATCTGGAACAGCCGGACTTCGTATGGAAGACCTCAAAGGCAGTCCGACAGCTGTCTATGTAGGCTCGTTCGTGAAAGGTTCTTCAAGCTTTCGCCAATTTATGCACCCCGTCTTGCTGATTTATCCTAGATTATGAACAGATCTGCCTCAGAGATATGGATTGGCAGCCCCAGTATGCTGCTACGGGCACCGGAAACGCCATCATGTCTAATCGCGTGTCCTACACGTACGACTTCAAGGGACCCAGCATGACAATCGATACTGGCTGCAGTGGAAGTCTCGTCGCAGTTCACCTCGCCGCCCAAGCTCTCCGAGCCGGCGATTGTTCTCTGGTATGACTACCTCAGTCCATAACATCACTGGCGTCCACAGCCTGACTGACTTCTCAAGGCCCTCGCCGCCGGTGCTGGTCTCATTTTCACACCAAACACCATGATGCCAATGACGGCACTCAACTTTCTCAGCCCAGACGGAAAATGTTTCGCCTTTGACTCTCGTGCCAACGGTTACGGTCGCGGGGAAGGCATCGGCTTCGTTGTCTTGAAGAAGCTCTCGGATGCCGTCCGAGACAATGACACAATTCGAGCAGTCATCCGTGGTACCCATGTAAATCAAGACGGCCTGACCCCGGGTAAGTATTCCACGTTGCAAAGAAAGACGCTCACTGATTCTGATTCGGTTCTACAAGGCATCACTCTTCCAAGCAAGGAGGCCCAGGTGGCCAACATCCGATCACTCTACTCCAAGCACGACCTAGACATGAGCCAAACAGCTTTCGTCGAGTGTCACGGGACTGGAACCCAGGCTGGTGACTTCCGGGAGCTCAAGGCCATCTCCGAGACTCTGGGCGACGGAAGGTCGATCGAGAATCCAGTGTTTGTAGGCTCTGTTAAGACAAACATTGGCCATCTTGAGGGAGCCGCCGGGGTCGCAGGGCTTATCAAAGGCGTTCTCACCACCGAAAAGGGCCTAATACCCCCGAACATCAACTTCGAGCAGGGAAATCCAAATATCGACTTCAAGAACTGGAAAGTCAAGGTAAGAATTTGACACGCTCGTGGTTCTTCCGATAAATATTGACGACTTTGGTAGGTTCCCACAGATTTGAACAAGTGGCCCATCCAAGGTAACCGCAGAATCAGCGTCAACTGCTTCGGCTTTGGTGGAACCAACGCGCATGCCGTTCTCGACGAGCCAGCCGCGTATTTTGCTTCGCGCGGGATCTCTGCCAACCACAATTCTACTCTTGACATCAGTCAGTCACACGAAGGCTGCGACGACAATGAGAGCCATCAACTCTTTTCAACAGCCCAAATCTTTGTCTTTTCTTCAAACGAGCGCAAGGGTGTGTCCCGCGTGATAAACACGCACCTCGACCACGTCAGCCAGCTCGCAAGTGTTAGTCAGAGAGACGCTGATAACTATGCATACACCCTAGGATGTCGCCGTTCGGTGATGGAGTGGAAAGGGTTTGCTGTGGCGAGCTCCTTTGCCCATCTTATCACAAAGTTGAAGGCCAGAGACGAATCTAGCTTTATTCGATCCAGTCGCGAGGCAACGCTGAGTCTCGGCTTCGTCTTCTGTGGCCAGGGTGCTCAATGGGCTCAGATGGGTCGCGAGCTCATAGGCTTCGAAGCGTTCCGACAAAGCCTTGATGCAGCTACCCAGTATCTCAAGACGATCGATAATGATTTCAATCTTATCGGAGAGATCATGCGACCGAAGCCAGAGTCACGCATCCAGGATCCTCAAATTTCGCAGCCGTCAACAACAGCGATACAGGTGGCGCTCGTCGACCTGCTGCGGTCATGCAATGTCGCTCCCAGCAGCGTCGTTGGTCACTCGTCAGGCGAAATTGCGGCTGCTTACGCATGCAATGCCATCACTAGCGAAGCAGCTTGGGCATTAGCATACCATCGCGGCCAGAGCGCTTCGCTTCTCAAGACCGCTGCTCCGTATCTTCAGGGAGCCATGTGCGCCGTCAGGATGAACTGTCGCGAAGCCCACGAGTATCTTGAGGCTCGAGCGGAACATGGCGATCTGCAGATTGCTTGCATCAACAGTCCGAACTCGGTCACAATCTCTGGCAGCCTGGAGAATGTTCTACGCATGCGAGATGAGCTCAAGTCTCGTCAGGTTCTTTGCAAGGTACTGGATGTCGACATTGCCTATCACTCAAGGCACATGAAGTTGATTGAAGAAAGTTACATGGATCGCATCAAGTCTATTCAACCCAGAGACAGCACTGATAAAATCCCCTTCTTCTCATCCGTACGGGGAAAGGTGCTTCCGCAGGATCTCCTCCGACCGTTCTACTGGGTCGAGAACTTGGTTTCGCCAGTGGAATTCGTTTCCGCAGTCAAGGCTATGATGGACTCTCAGAACATGCCGGATGTCTTGATCGAGTTGAGTCCCCATGCGACGCTGGCATCGGCACTCTCGGAGATCATGGCCGAGCATAGTCCTGACAGCCAACCGTCATACTTTTCGCTCATGCAACGCGACAAGGACTCAGCAGTCACAACGCTTCAGGCAATTGGACAGGTTTGGGCTCGCGGTTACCCCGTTGACATGCCCAAGGTCATTTCCAAGTAAGCAAGGCTCTTATTTACGCTTTGCCCCCCTATTAACAGTGTTTTCACAGGGGCGCTGATAATTCTACATACAAGACGCTTGTCGACTTACCCTCTTACCCCTGGAATCATTCCAAGACCTTTTGGCACGAGTCGCACACCTGTACCGAGCATCGCTTTCGGAACTTTGGTCGCCAAGATCTGATCGGATCGCCTTCCCCGGATGCCACCACGTTCGAGCCACGCTGGAGAGGTTTCTTCCGCATCTCCGAGAACCCTTGGATCCAGGATCACCGAGTCCAGAAGACCATTGTTTACCCGGCGGCAGGCATGGTCACCATGGCCCTCGAAGCCGCGAGCCAGCTTTCTCATGGCATGACGGACATTCTGGGATTCCATTTGACTGACCTGAAAATCGAGAGAGCTATGATCATTCCTTCTACGGCTTATGGTCTCGAGTACTCGCTCAACCTTAAGCAGCGTACTGCAAAATTAGAGGACGAACCGGTTTGGGAGTTTTCCATCTACTCAAAGCAAGAAGATGGCCCTTGGATTCGGCATGCGGACGGATGCATCAAGATTCGACAAAAGGCTAGGGGACTGCCTTCACCCACCACCGGGAACGAGGCCATGTTCACAAAGATCCAAAGTCTTTGCACCTCGTCTATGCCTCCACGGCAGCTATACGAGATCCTGGATGTCGTCGGTCTCAACTACGGACCTTGCTTCCAGAACGTCACCTCCATATCGACTCATCAGAACTCCTGCATCAGCAAGATTCGCATTCCCGATACGAAGTCAAAGATGCCAGCAAACTTTGAATACCCCCATGTCATTCATCCCGCCACTCTGGATGCCATGTTCCAGACTCTCTTCGCCATTGACAGCAAGCCCATGGTTCCTTCGTCCATCGAAAGCATCTTCGTCTCAGCGAATACCCCTCACGGTGCCGGCTACGAGTTCACTGGGTTCGCTACGGCTGAGAGACACGGTCTGCGAGATGCAACAGGGTCCATTGTTATGGTAGCTGATGTTAGTGATTGGGGGACGCCATCCATCGTCGTTGATGGCTTACATTTGACTGCCCTCTCGACTCCCTCGATCGAGGATGGTGGCTTCATCCCGAATCATCGCAATCTCTGCTCCAACATCGTATGGAAAGAGGACTACACCACGACGATGTACGCAGACTTCACGCACATGCTGGAGCTAATGGCCCACAAGTACCCATCTCTTTCTGTTCTCCAGTGTGGCGGGGATGAGCAGATAGGTCGACATGTTCTGGAGACGCTCTTAGACGGCGACAGGCTTCTTCTGTCCCGCTACACTATGACCGATGTCGATGCACTGTCTACCACGAAGAGGATCTTCGGGGAGTCGTCGGTCGTCAAAGTCTTGGAGCACCGCAGCTGGGAAGCAGTCAAGGAACATTCCGCTCGCTACAACCTCATCATCGCGGCCAGAGACTCGAGCGTTGATATGAACGAAGCAAGCCAGCTCCTGCTGCACGATGGTCTTTTGCTCAATGAGGTCTCGCCTCCAATGACCCCCACCACCACGGACTCCTTGTCCGGATCCCAACAGCTCTCCGAAGAGCTTGCGTCACTCCAGGTTTCTTTTGAGCCAGACTCGGACGATGTTGTTCGCTGCGACATGCTGGACCAGCATTTCGAGGTTCATCTCTTTGCCGACGTTTTGGACCCTGTTTCAGCAACCGAAGTCCTTCTTGTCTTGCCTGACACAGGCGACGCAGTTTTGAATGGCTTTGTAACGTCTCTCAGCGACCTCTTGTCCGACAAAGGATTCAAAGTGAGCGCTGGTTTCTTGCATAGCATCGACCCCACTGGCAAAATCTGTATCGCGCTTCTCGAAGCGTGTGAGTCTTTCGTATATGACTGGACGACGGAGCAGTTCCGCGGCTTCCACCGTCTGCAGAACACAGCCAAGAGCCTCTTGTGGATCACTCGTGGCGCGAATAGACGTCCTACCATTCCGCAGAACGCCCCCGTCATTGCGCTTGCACGCACGATTTTATCTGAGGATCCGCAGAAGACGATTGTGACTCTCGACTTGGCCGAGGTTACCCAACTTACTTCGCATACCCTCCCAAAGACCGTTTGGTTTGTCCTTGCTTCGATTCTGGCTGGATCGGTGGAGGCGGAATTCGCGGAAGAAGGAGGCGATCTGTACATCCCGAGATTGATACCCCAGGAGGAGCTGAACAGAATGATCGAAAACGACTCCCACATCGAGGTTGTTCAAAAGCCCATCTTCCATCATTCATCGAGCACAACCAACTACTCAATGGTAGTTTCTCAGCCGGGGATTTCGAATGACAACTTCCACTTCGTCAAGAGCTCGCATCCAACCAAGCTCGGTCCTCAAGAAGTCGAGATCCAAACCCTCAGTGCGGCGTTGCATCTCAACGATCTCCGCACCGCCTTGGGACGGACTGGTGACGAAAAGCTGGGCCTTGATGTTTTGGGCATCGTTAGCAAGGTCGGCTGTAACGTCAGAGATATTCGTTGCGGCGAACAGGTTGTAGCCATTGTTCCCGGCGCCTTCAAGACCGTTCATCGAGTCGACCAGGGCTTCGTCAAGCCCGCGCCACCGCCCTTCGAGTGTTGTCAGTACACGCCGAGCGCCCTCGTCGCTGCGTACTACGCACTGTGCTCTGTCGGTCGACTTTCGCGAAAGAAGAAGGTGCTGGTCCACGCGGGCGCAAGTTCCTACGGCCAAGCTGCGATCCGTATTGCTACCCTTATCGGCGCCGAGGTTTATGCGACGGTCCTGGGAAGCGACTCTGAAGCCCAACGTGCAACTCTGATCCACGCCCACTCCCTTTCCGATGACCACATCCTCGACGCAAATGGAGAGTCTTTCGTCGCTGATGTTTGCCAATCTGGAAAGGTTAACGTTCTCTACAACCCCACCCAGGAACACAGTGTCGTCAGTTTCAAATGTGTCAAGTCATGTAAGTCAGCATATTTCCTCAGTTTGTGCCAAGCTAACGTCCTGTAGCTGGCTGCGTCGTTCAGCTCTCCGACAGAAGTGATAGACCCATCCGACTTCCCATCACCTCCACTACATTCATCAGTCTCGACGTCGCCATCGTCATGCAGGAAGACCCTGACCTCGTCAAGGAATTGTTCACCATGGTAGACCACTTTGTCTTCGCCTACTTGCGCAAGAGCTCGAGTCTGCAGTGCCAGCCGGTCCACCGATTCCCCATGTCCAACTTCGAAGGAGCTTTCAAGCAGATTGAGAGAGGGCCGTACCACGGGCTCGTCATTATGGCAGCCGACCGCGAGACCCTCGTGCCAGTGGCCACAGAGATGCATACCACGCCACTCGCTGATGTCATCGACCCCAACGGGACTTACGTCCTCGCCGGCGGTCTTGGAGGCTTGGGAAGGAGCATCGCGAAGCTCCTTGCCGATAACGGTGCGAAGAAGCTGGTGTTCCTGTCAAGGTCCGGCGGCAACCGAGACGCATTAGACTTTCTTCACAGTCTCAGCCAGGAAGGGGTTCAAGCTACGGCAGTCGCGGTGGATATTACAGATCTCCAGGCACTCACGACAGTCGCTCCGACTCTGGGCAAGATCTCTGGCGTTGTGCAGTGCGCTGCAGTCATCCAGGTCAGGATCCCCCTCTCCTCCCTTCCCTTGGCCCCGTGCCCGGACATACACTGACAAACCCGCAGGACGCTCTGTTTGAGAAGATGGATTTCGCCGACTGGCACGCCGCATTCGCACCGAAGGCGGTCGGGGCCGTCAACCTCGCGGAAGTCTTCGGCCAAGGCCTCGAACCCGGCCCATCCGGTCCCGCCGTCCCCTGGTTCCTCTTCCTGTCGAGCGCCTCTGGAATAATCGGCAACCGGGGCCAAGCCAACTATGCGGCGGCCAACGCAGTTCAAGATGCCCTCGCCCAGTTTCTCCCGCGCGCCGTCTCCCTCGCTCTCGGCCCCGTCCTCCAGGCCGGGATGCTGGTGGAGGACGAGGAGACTCTGAGCAAGCTCCGCGGTGCTGGATTCTACGGAATCCGGCACCAGGACTTCCTGATGATGGTTGAGCGGGCCATCACGGGTGAGGTCACTTCCGGTGTTCGTACGAGACCGCAAATCGTCTCGGGCGTCGGCACCGGTGGCCTCATACGCCAAAACAACCCTGGCGATCCCTTCTGGTCGCGCACGGCGCTCTATTCGTATCTGAATATCGTCGACGTGCCGATCGCCTCTCCCGAGGAGGGTCGTGGTAGCCCCGGCGAAGCTGACGTCAAGAAGATGCTTGCCGTGTGCTCCGGGCCGGAGGCTGCCACGGTCATCATCTGCACTGGCCTGGTGCAGTTGATGGCCAAGGCCATGTCCCTCCTCCCGGAGGAGATTGATGCGGCGCGGGCGCCCAGCGCGTACGGCGTCGACTCCCTTGTCGCTGTAGGCGTTCGGAACTAGATTTTCCGCAATGCCGGGGGAGTCGACGTCTCCGTCTTCGAGATCCTCGGGGAGACGTCTGTTCGGGGCCTGGCTGGCGTTGTTGCCAGCCGAGGCAAGTGGTGAAGGGGGATTCACCTTCCTTGAGATACCAGGTGTGGCGTTTTGGAGCGAAACGAAACGGACAGGGGGGACCAGAACCCGACGTTCAGTCCTGCTAGAGGTTGATTGTGAGTGTGTGGAAGAAGGGAGGATATGAGAGGACAAAACACCGTGTTACTGCGGGAAAAGACCAAAGGGATAGACCAACGTATTAGAACTTCTTGGCCGGTTTCTCGTTTTTAATTCATAATAGACTGCTCTGTACAAGGTTTTGGTCAAAAAGCGAGGGCAATTTTGCCTATCAAGTGTATAGAGAGCCGAATGCTAAGGTAAGCGCTTGTACCACTGATTTTAACAACCGTCTGGTTGTGGTTGTCAAAAAGAATGATTAGAAAGATGCCTCCTCCGATCTTCTCAGAGGATAGAGAAGGCACAAGGCGAACGCTTCTCCTTCCTTCCTGTTTGAATAACTAGAAAGAAGCTACGAAGGGTCCTTATATCTCTCCTTTCCTCCTGTTACCAAGCGATTTGGGGAACCTCGTGGTGCTCGAAGAGTCACACTCGACCATTCTATGAATGAACTTTTTCCTTCCGTTTGGGGGGGGGGGGTTGGCGCATGTTATATCTAGAAGTCACTCAATCACACTTTCCAAAAGTGGCGTGATATTTGAATTGTGCCTGCGCACTCATTTGACACGTAAAACTTCGAACCGTGTGAATTAGAGGATATATTCATACAAAACTTTTACTCTTCCGTTGAACTTCCTAAGGCGTTGTCGAGAGGAGCGATGGTGAAGAGTATTTCCTAACAACAAAAAGATGCTGCGCATGGTGATGACACAATTTGAAAGGGTCGAGTAATTCATGTATTTCAAGCAGTAATATTATCTTCTACGATGAGGAGTCATCGGGCAGCGGCAGTTGTGCGTCCTTCAGCCAAGGGAGCGAGCTAGCTCGCCTCGATTGGCCCAGAAGGCTCGGACTTTGCCTTGGGGCTTGAGGCCCGAGGAGGGGAAGTAAGAACAAGGCACTCGGAACCTGGCTGGGTAATACCTACCACCAGGCAGGAATTGTGCCAAATGCGGCGTGAGTCCAAAGTGCCTTGGGTAGGTATGCAGGCTGGGAGCATGAGGCTCAGCTTAGCAAACAACGCAGCAAGACAATACATAGTAGGCAGGTGGGCAATGCGAGAGCGCTTTATAATGGTTGGCATGCCGGAGAGCAAAACCACCTGCGCCTCACATTCCCGATTCACTCCGATGGTGAGACCTGAAGAACTCTCATGACCAGACTCGGTTGCAGCCTGGAGCTGACTACGGGTATCCGGGTCACCAAGACATCATTTGGTGAGCTTGAAAGTTGAAGTGCTTGAGCTGGACAGATTTGGAATCGTGTGGGTACACCTCGAATAAACTAACCAGGCAGCATAACTAGGTCTGAAGAGCCTCACCATTAAGATCGCCTCAAACAGGGAGAAATAAATCATACCTTGGACAACGCCAATTGGTTGCCTTGTTTGGGTCGCTGAATCAAGACGTTCCAATGTAAGGTAAGGTATATTACCTTTACTTTTCGTGAGGACTGGGTACCTTGGAGAGGACGATAAGACTGAGGCCTGACGGATACACCGAAAATGATAGGCTCTCTGCGCAGTCAGGGTAAGGTAGTATGGGAAAGGTGCAATATGCATGCGTGGGCCAAAGCTACCTTAGGACCCTTGGAAACACTAAGGTAGGCATCATGGAACCTTTTCCTGAAAGGCAAACACATGGGGGTGGGGCATCAGCCAGGTACGTACCTACCCTATTCGTACACTGTAACTTCGGCCAGCATTTGCCACAGTGCCTCGAAGTCCAATGCGCGCTCCAATTAACGCGTCGCGCTCTCCCCGGAGACGGACATGACATCAAGTACTTGGGAGGAAGCTGCGATAAGATAAGCAAATCACTACCTTACTGCAAGCACAAGTCTACCTCTTCGGTACCATCTTCTCCATGCGACTGGGTGATGCCGAAGAACTCGTCTGTTACCACTTTCACTCAAAGGTCCAGCGATCCTACAAAGGTCAACAAGGCAGCGGGAGTTTGGGCCCTTATTACCAGTCTTTGGAACCGAACCGTTCGTTCGTCCTTCAGTCTCTTCGGCAACGCTCTTTCCATTTCCATCACAACTCACTCTCCCGACCGAGATTGATTTCTTCCAAACAACTGCACACACAGTACTTCTGCCACCTCTGCTCCCAACCGACAACCGACAGCCTGCTGCAGCACAACCTCAACCTCTTCAGCAGCCAGCAGATGTTGCAGCACCGCGCCACACACCTTTTGACTTCGACACCTGCAGCTCGCCTCATTTGAGCGAGGAGACAGCACTCCGCCACGCCACTGTCTCTCCCAGCATCCACCCCACCGTACGGCGTTTGTGCAACAGACAAAAATGGACGACGACCCGGCTGCCACCCAGGCCCGGGACAAGGAGGCTCTCAGGACTCTCGCCAGCGAACTTTTAGACCTCGAGGGCGAACGAGACTTTCGACAAGCTATCGCTGAATCTCTCGCCGACGGAAACCCACGAGACTACGAGAACGCCTTACGAGAATACGAGTCGGCTGCGAAGACGATTGCCAACAAGACACTTGAGAAGCAGCGTCTGGAGCAACGGATTCGGGCGGCTAGGAACTCTGCGCGACTGTCGACCAGGGACGCTACATTCGGAGAAGACGCAAATATGAGGGCGGCTCGGGACCGCTGGGGAGTCGGTATGTGGTCATCTTGTTACGCTGCCTTATTGCGTTGCCTTCCCGAAACGACTATGCTCTGCATTTGCAACTTGTCTCGACTCCGATCCCGGGATCTTCAAGTGAAGAAATAAGTCATATCACACTCAAATGACGGGTATATGTGGGAGATAGGGTATGTCCTTCGACGATCCGACATATCCATTATCTCGTGCTGAGAGAGGATGGCGGTCGGTGGGAATGCCATAATCGCATTTACTGGCTTGGAAAAACCCCATCTCCTGCCATATTGCTTCTAGCAGTATCTGGCAGTTGATCGAATCTGCCAAGAAGTAAGGACGACATCGAGTTCACCCTTCTGCAGCTTTCCGAGGTCTTCGGGCGTAAGCCAGGAGGTACTCTCAGTGCCGCTCCTGCCTTCCCAGAACAAACCCGTCTCTTCTTGCTCTTGCCTTGCCCTACCTCCTTCCTCTTCTTGTTTCCCGCAAAGCTCTTGTAATGATTCGAGCTTCTCATCCTTCACCCCTCATTTCTCTCATATCTCTGCCTATCAAACTGGAACTCGACCCGACCCTTTCACCTTAAGAGTATCGGCCTTCCACTATCCTTTCCATTGCCGTCTCATTCACCCCAAGACTGTTGGTCATACATTACCCGGTTATGCCCTGTCATGCTTTCGATTTAAGCACATCCTAGCCTGCTGGATTCATAATCTCATTTGTCGAGACTCTGATCAGTACCTCTGGGTAACTAACACTCTTCCAGCCCACGTCCCTTACAGAGCGACTACCGGATCTCAGAACGCAGGTGCCTCTCAGGGGCCTTCGAGAAATCCTCACGCCATGCCCAACTCGGGTTCCGGCCATGCCGGCTCGTCCTCCTGGGACCCCTTTCAAGCGCCGCCGCCCAATTTAGGCAGCTCGGCAGGCCGTATGAATCCATTCAACAACAAGAGATCATTCGGTACCGCCTCTGACTCTTTGGGCCAGTCCAGCCCGGGCCGGAGCAAGTCTCAGCGCACCACTGATGTGTCTGATGTCATCGACCTTACTGGGTAAGTACAGATTATTGTACCGCGGGCTTGGGCCTAGGTCTGGGCGATGAACGACGCTGTTTTTGCTGAGATCAGAACTAATGAATTTGGCAGGGACGATGATGATGTGCACACATCTATTTCGCGCTCAAGGCAACTGGAGGCACAGGAACGAGGCCGTAGAGCTGCCTCACTAGCACGCGCTCGCAACCAGTTTCCTCAGGCTAACCCTTATGGCACCAGACCTGCCCCGATCGTACGTCCGCCAGGTGCTCATGATAGCCTTGGTGCTGGATTTTCCAACGGTCTACAGAATCCGAACAACGGCTTCCTCCAGGGATATTCCAGCTCGAGCTCTCCTTCAAGCATGACTTCAACCCCTGGCGGAGACTTCAGATCCCGAATGCCTGGTTCTTATTTCGACGATGATGACTTGAACTTTGGTTTCACGCCGGCTAGCCAAATGATGAACCGCCAAATACCCAATCGTAACGGATATCTTTCCGCCAACAGATCTTCTCTCAGCACGTCTGATGTGATCAACAGAACCAACAATTTCAACTTCATGGATCTCACTAATAACCATGGAAACCCGCTGGATGCTCGCGTTGTTTCTATAATGGAGGACATTAACAATGACCCTCGTAGATCCAAAGAGGAAGTCGAGGCACTTCTACGCAATGTGCACGCCGGCATGGATATCCCAGAGGAAGATCGAGAGGGAACCCCTGATGCCATGAGATATCCCCTTTATGCGCACCAACGGGTTGCGTTGACTTGGATGATGCGACAAGAGAAGGGCACCAACAAGGGAGGTATTTTGGCCGATGACATGGGCCTGGGAAAGACAATTTCTGTCCTATCCCTCATGGTGTCACAAAAGTCAACCAGACCGGGATGCAAAGTAAGTTCGCGTTTCACCAGGCTCTTATGATACTTACTCACCCTGGCGTAGACCACTTTGATTGTGGCTCCACTGTCCCTGATTCGGCAGTGGGAGGATGAGATCAAGAAAAAACTCAAGACTGGCTCACCTCATGCCTTGACTGTGTGCATCCACCATAGTACTCAGAAGATCAAGGCTCAAGAGTTGATGAAGTTCGATGTCGTCTTGACCACATATGGGACACTCGTCTCGGATAGGAAAAAATGGTTGGCCTGGCTCAAGGACTTGAACGGACGTCCCATGGCGACCAAGACCGATCCTGGCCTGGCCAACTCTGTCTCCCTGTTCCATCCAGACTACTCAAGATTTTACCGCGTTGTTCTGGACGAAAGCCAACAGATCAAGAACCATAAGGCGCAGGCGGCTGAAGCGGCGTCTTATTTGCAGAGCGACTATCGTTGGTGCTTATCCGGTACTCCGATGATGAACGGTGTCGACGAGCTCTACTCTCTTTACAGATTCCTAAAGATCAAGCCATACAACGACTGGTCTAAGTTCCGCGGCGCCTTTGGAGTGCTCTTTGGGAAGAAAGGCGACCCTCAATCCCAGGCGATGAGAAACTTACAAGTTCTTCTCAAGGCGACTCTTTTACGCCGGACAAAAACCTCGACAATTGATGGAAAGCCCATCCTGCAACTTCCCGAGAAGACCGAAGAAGTGGTTTACGCAGAATTGGATGAGGACGAGCGCAAGTTTTACACTGATCTGGAGACCAAGTCACAGGTTCAGATCAACAAGTATCTGCGAAAGGGCACTCTAGGCAAACACTACTCTCATGTATTAGTGCTACTTCTCCGCCTCCGCCAGACTTGTTGTCACCCGCATCTGCTTCTCGAAGCAGACGATGCAGTCCCTGAAGTCGACGACGATATGCTCAGTCGCGTCAGGACTCTATCTGCAGCTGTTGTCCAGCGGCTTACTGAGAAGTCCCGTGCGCTCGAGAGTGCCGACGCCATTAACGAAGGCTTTGAGTGCCCCATCTGCTACGACATGATGCCCGACCCGACTATCCCACTGCCTTGTGGGCACGAACTCTGCGCTGGATGTCTCAAACAGCACGTTGATAATGCTAGGCGTGAAAACATTAGAAATGGCGAAGACGAGAGCCAGGTCAAGTGCGCTGTCTGCAGAGGCACGTTGAACCCGGCGAGTGTCATTACTTTTTCGGCATTCAAGAAGGTCTACATGCCGGATGACGCTACTAGTGCAAGCTCCGACAATGAAGAGTCTGACGGCTCCGTCTGGAGCAGCGATGACAATGAGGGTGAGGATGAGGACGAGGATGACGCTGACGCAGATGATGTCGATAAGCACGGCAACCTCAAAGGTTTCGTGGTTCCCGAAGGCTACGCAAATATTAGTGATGAGGATGACGAGCTGTCAGGGTCACCGGCGCCAAAGCCCAAAGCGAGCGAGAAGACGAAGTCGAAGGGAAAGATGAAGGCTGCGAAGCCGTCAAGCAAAGAGTCCAAGAAGAGACTGAAGAAGATCAAGGGCAGCCAGTTGGCAACGCTTCGGAAGAACGCCAAGAAGAATATCGGTGCCTGGCAGGACTATACAAAGTACCTGAGTCACCATTGGCTTGCTTCGTCCAAGACCAGAGCTTGCGTGGACCTTCTCAAGAAGATCCAGGAAACAGGCGAGAAGACCATCATTTTTTCCCAGTGGACCATGCTTCTGGATCTTTTACAGGTCGCGATCAGAAAGCAAGGTCTCAACATCAAGCATTGCCGCTACACGGGAGAGATGACGATGGCACAGCGTGACGACACTGCTTTCACCTTTTCGAACGATCCGAGCATGAAAGTCATGATGGTGTCGCTGCGCGCCGGAAACGCTGGCCTCAATCTTGTCGCGGCTTCGCAGGTAATTATAATGGATCCTTTCTGGAATCCATACATTGAGATGCAAGCTGTCGATCGAGCTCATCGCATCGGCCAGCAAAAGCCTGTACAGGTGCACCGCATCTTGACCCAACAGACGGTTGAGGATCGTATCGTTCAGCTTCAGGAGAAGAAGAGAGCGACCGTGGATGCCGCCTTGGATGAGCGTGAGGGTGCGAAGCTAGCTGGCCTCAGCTTGACTGAGCTGCGTTTCCTTTTCAACCTTTGAGGAAGGATTCGGCCCATCTACGCTCGATTTCAAAACCTAGTTCAGGGTCTTGTCTACGGAGGTTCACGACACTACGACTTCTGACAATCTGGGTCTGTGAGGCAACGTTTTCTCCAATGAGCTTTTCGTACCAGATCTTGTCGTTTTTGGGAAGCGAATGAGGCATGTTTTTATGAAGGTATGGGGGCGGGGGTCAATCACGAATCGCTTACGACTTGCATTTTTCATTCATCTGCATTACTACAGGGACCGGAAACGAGAGAGGGTGGAAGCAAACGCATAAAGAAGACGGGCTTCACAGCCGCACGACGGAAGGAATGTCGCCGGGGAATATCAAGTGTCCGCCACTAATCATGTCCACCGCCCTTTTTTCCTTTTGTCATCACAAATTTCACAGAGGCGTTCAGGGTAAGGGTCAGGGCTAGGATTGGGACGATGCGGCAGCCTTCACGGCGTACGAAACCCGTCCATGGGATGGACGAATGTGGCTAGATCGATAGAGATCAACAATTCATTTGCTAATTGAGAATTGTGTCTTGATCTGTTGGAAAGTGACGTGTGTGATGAAGTCGGGCGGCTGCTGCCAATAGTTCCCGGTTCAACCTAACGAAATCGGTCGTTACTCGAAATGGGCCAGTCGGCCGAGGTGGTCACAGGAGTAGAGAAGCATCCAGAGGTTTACATGCTGTGAGTGTAATTTTATTGACAATGACAGTCGGAGCTAAAGAGCCCGGTTGTAGGAGAACCTGACTAGCGGTATGTAAAGCGCGAGCTAAACTAGCAGTTCATGGCTCGAGGGATTATCACCACGTATGCTCTAGGTCCCAGCCATCACCGGCTTCCGGCTTCGGGATGTGATGAGCTGGCGCGACTACCAGCAATACCACAATGGGCGCGAGTGCCTCGAGAGGAGCCTCATGATGATCCCCAACATGCACGGCGCTTCGCTCGCACTTAAAGACTGAAGCCAGCACCTCTACGCCAAGACAGTTCACGGCAGTCTTCCAGATCTCCAGTCTAGGTCTCCTAGATCTCCCTAGACTGGACAACAGCGGCGACGATGTCATTGACGAGCGGCTGCGGGGACGATGACGACACGCCGATTTCGCCGTCATCAGCCGCCCAAGACCAGCGCTTGAGGAGGGGCTTATTCCCCGCCCGCCAGGCGGCGCCAATCTGCAGCGTCGGCCGGTTCTCAGCGCCGCTGCCGAGGATGTCGAAGCGGATTTCGCGCGTCTCCGTGTCGATGTCGCGGATGGCGGTGCCGCGGACGGACTTGATCCACTCGGCGGGTGCGGCGGGCTCCGAGGAAGAAGGGTCAGCCGGCGGCGGGGGGATGAGGGATACGGCGTAGTCTGTGAGGGCGTGCGCTGCAGCGTTTGTGATGTAGAGCTGGACAGAGGAAAAGTCCGGGTACGGTTCGCGGGAGGGTGGGTAGGAGGATTGGAGAGTGTTTGGTGGCGGCGGCGCGGGTTGCTGCTCGGCGTTTGGCGGTTCGCTTGGTGCTGCTACGTTGGGGAGAAGTTGGAGCTGGAATTGTGTTGTTGTCAGGGGCAGGAGGAATGTGCGGCCGCGGATCTGGAGGCGGGATGTCGGGGTGAGGGTCAGCTCGATCTGGAAGTCTGCTGGGGATGTGAGCATGTTGGTGAGCGCTTGTGAGGCGTTGGGCCGGTTTGAGGCCCCGCCGGAGGTGTTTCTCAGGTCGGCGGTCGGGTAGGGAGGGGTGTGGAGGGTGAAGGAGGCAGCGTGGACGCCGCCGCGCCGTAGCACGCGGGTGAGGTCGCCTGCGAAACAGGTGGCTTGCTTAATGGAGCGGTCATAGAGGATTTTCGCGATGATGGGTCGGAGGAGGTGGTACTGGTTTTGTGTTTGGTTGCGGCGCTGAGTAGGGGGCGTTGGCCGCAGTCGTTGCAGCTCGTTCAGGCGGTGAGCGTGGCTGAGAAGGATGTGTAGGCCGAGCTGCGTCGCTTCTGCAAGAACGTTGTCGGGCGATGTGCCGACGGTGGCGGCGCTGTCCTCGAGGGTCTCGAGCTCCAGCGTCAGACTCGGTCCCGAGCTGGGTTTAAAGTTGATTGAGTTGTTGTCCGCGCGGACACCGTACGAAGCGAGGGAATGCGCTTCGCGGTGGAGCTCATGCCAGAGCTCTTGTGCGAAGATGGTATTCCGAGCCTCGAGGACGCGGTCTGGCAGCAAAGCCGAGTCCGGAACGGAGGTCCCGACGGCGAGACGGCCGCTTATCTCGCCTGATCTACTGACGGTGATGGCGAGGCGTTGGCAGCCGGATCCAACGCGGCCGTGCTGGAGAAGCGCTGCGCCGTCATCCCCGCGTCGTAATGGCGCGAGACTGCTATTCCTGAATTCAGGTGATGCTGTGCGTGGTCAGCCTTGTCCAACGCTTAAGAGTAAACGAGGACCTGCCTTCTGAGAATCCGAATCTGACACCGAGGGTATGTCGTTCGGCCGGTAGCCTGCACATGGACCATCCAGCCTGGTGCACCGACAGCACCTCGTTCCAGTACTTCGCTTCCCGCTCCACCTCCTTGCTCAGATGGGTTGCCGCCTTGTCGGCTGACTCTCTTGTCTTCTCAATGTCGAGCAAAGCCCAACCCAGAGACACGTCGCGGTTGTCCTTTGTCTTTTCGGCGTCCCGTTGCTTCTGTTCGTCGTTGTCTTCGCGCTTCGCGATCCCGAGGGTGCCAATGCCGGTCCAGTCACGCAATTGTTGAGAGAGCGTGACGCCTGCTTGGGCAGGGCTTTCTTTCGAGAGTAGCAGCGAGATGAAATCGAGGGTCATGAGTGCGGCGTTCTGCGCGGTACTGGCAGCTCATAGTCAGCCGTCGTTTCTTGGGGCACCAGTTCTCCTGGAAAGGACCAACTCAATATTCCTCAGGACCTCCATCCGCGCGGCTCCCGCATCTAGTGGTTCTTCGTCTTCGTCGTTTCCCTCGGCAACGGTCGTGTCTTCCTCCTGCACCTCGGCGGTGCCATCTTTCTTGTTCTCGACCTCCTCTTTCAGACTTTCCTCGGTGACGTTCCGAAAGCCGCGCTCCGCCTGTACGCGGGCAATGAACTCGCCGAGACTCTTTGGTTTGCGACCACCCATGGGCACGGGTGGGAGGGAGGAGAACGGCATTGAGCTGCCCGACGCCATGGCGGGCAATGGGTTGATCGCGGAGTCGCGTGCTGATCCTTCGGGGTATTATGCGACGGATTGAAATCTCGAAATTAGAAAGACCGTAATGCGCAGGGCGGCTGCATGGCGTGGAAAGAACTTGGCGTCACGGATTGTCGTAAGGCTGCAGGGCGAGGCTGGTGGTTGGTTGCATGAGAGCAGGAGCTATGGATTGGCTGGAGCCACCGAGCCGGTCCTAGCTCCACCGAGCAACCATTGGGTGCGTATTCTCGGTGAAGTTGGTGGCACACCGAGGATCACCGAATCAAGCACATTTGCAACAACTCTTGTGAGCCACAGCCATTTCTCTAATTAGTGAGATCATTATTCGGCACCTATTCTTACTGGCTTATAGCTTCTGGTTCAACTCGTATGGATGCGTCAAAACTTCAAAACTGGCAGAGCAACGACATGGCCATTGCTCCGCGGGCAGTAAGGACGAGCCCGAATGCCATCACGTAGTTTGGAAGATTGACCGGACCCCCGGGACTCCGGGAGTTCATGGCGGAGCAGTTACTACGTATGTCTTGGACAGATCGACGGCGGGAAGATCGGAAGCAAGTCGCCTCTGTGATTCCATGTAACCATGGTTCGGTAGTCTCGGCGTGTTTGAGCTGGTCTGGAAAGTATATTCAGAACTCCCTATCAGAATGAGAAGCTACGTCTTTGACTCTAGCCCCAAGTATGATCTGCAACTGCGTGCGTTCGTTGTCGACTCGGTTTGGCGACTGACAATTCTGAGTCGACAAGCATGACGACGCCCATGATCCGATGTGGGTGTTGTCTAAGTCGGCAACCCCACACCGCTCGTGAATGGAAGGCAATAATGGCATCCAGCTCGCGAAGTTCATGGATGGTAAGCACGGAATGAGGTGGACGTAGTCTTGCGTGATTCCTGACTGCCTGAGACTCGAAGAAATGATCATCTCACCACACTCTCCAGCGGTGACGTTAGTCGCGATACAGGAAATGATAGTTCGGCGGAACCGCTGAAAAGTCAGGCCGAGATATATCGAGTGTTCGGCTTGATTATATCGTGATATCTAGTTGCACCACTCTGAATAGGTAGAGATGTCGGACGACTTATGAGTTGACATTGTTGATCTGAAAGATTCAGGACCGAACCGTTGTCGCCGTCGCCCGGACTTCGGGGGGATATCCTTGCATCCCTGCGAGGAGGCCGGCCCTCCACCGTGGGCGAGTCACTGGCTTGTGGACTAAGTGACGGTTGTAGTTCAGAACCAGCTACGAATACCTACGCGAATGGTCCAGGTGAACCAGCGTGCCGTGCTCTTCTCAGGTAGACAAGCATTTAAGAGATGGGCTGGCAGTGTCTTGGAAGTTGGAGATGGCATGCGATCGTGCTCAGAAACTGTTTCGTTGAATTGTTGTTTAACAGATGCATGTAAAGAGTTTCAGGCGTGAATGTCAATCTGTGAGCGCCATACATTGGCAAATTAACGGCGTGCAAACACACCAGCATCCACCTCATGGATTGATTGCCTGACAATGCGAAGCCCTCCTTGCACCGGCCGTCGGCCAGCCCCGCAATGGAGCTCGACGGAGGGGCTTTCTGAGGTTGGTGTAACTTGCAAGTCTGGACCTGGCAGCCGGGGTGGATTTGGGTGCAAGGAGCCCAGAATAAGCCCGAGATGGGACGCTGGAAGAGGCCGACGGAACCTTGCTGTGTGGTTTAAACCCCTCACCGGAGACCGGAGTAAGAGCGAGAAAAAAAAAACACGACGGAGACCACCTAGTCACCACTCACCAGTCAGTCGACTCTCAATATTCCTAGTATTTCCCTCACCAGTGGGTGTGGCGCGAAATGGCTTGACACACTGCTACTGTCGCAGCAATTGAGCGATTAAACCAGCCATTCCAAGTTCCCCAGACTGACAGAAGGACAGCATCAAATGCAGGCGGTTGCGGTTGGAGAAGCTTCTGCAACCCGTCGCGGATCGACTCCCTCAGCTGAGCTGAAGAAAAACGACGAGCGGAAAGTCAGTCCACTGTAACCGGGCTGGCCAGTAAGGCCGTTGCATCGTTCCTGATTCAGCAACGTGAACGGTTTCCCATAGGCTTGCTGTGACACCGGGCCCTGCTCCTGTGACGAAGCTGTGCGGTCTCTGCGGCTTTGGTGTGCTGCTGTGGGCTTGGCCGAAGCTCCCCCGCGCCTAGATAAGGATCTGATAAGAGCTGGGCACTCAACGTCACTGTGCTGGCTCGCTCGCTGTTGGGGGGATGGAGGGGTCGGGTGAGGGAGGTCTGGTGAGCTGAGGTCCATCCAGCGAGGTTAACCCACCCCTCCCATTCCGCATGTAATTTTTCTGCTATTTTTTCGAGGTTCGGGTGCTCCAAAGTGGCTCCGATGACTTGGTCCCCGCCATTCAACCTGTCTCCTCTGCGTACCTTAGTGCAAAGCGTGTCCCACGCTATAATTATCTGGCACACCAGACGGCCTTTTTTCTGCGGTGTCCCCCCTCGCCCTCCCGAGCCCCAAGCCCGGTCAAGTGTGTCTCGCAGCTTCCCCCCTCGACCTATTCTTGTTCCACGTCCAAGCTCCAACCACCACACAGCTTCTTCCAAGCACTTGGCGCCTGCATCGTCCTGCCTGGAACTTCATGATCTGTTTCTCTCTCTCTCCCTCCCTCCCCGTCTTCTCTACCTTACATACCTACTCCCTCCCAGATTTCGCGCACGACCGGTTGACTCGTACCATCATCCCTTGAACATATTATCTCCAACTCCATAGAACATCCCCTCTACGCCAAACCTCGACCGACTGGCCTTCAAGCCCTGTATACGGCCCCTCCGCCTCCATCCTTCCCCCACTGACCCCGAAGTCCCGACAACCTACGAACACTACCACCACCACCACTGTCCGCCGCAGCCATGGCTCCCAATGCTGCGAAGAAGAAGATTGCCATCATGACCTCGGGAGGTGACTCCCCAGGCATGAACGGTGTAGTCCGCGCCGTCGTCCGAACCGCCCTTCACATGGGATGCGAACCATACTGCATCTACGACGGATACGAAGGCTTGGTAGTAGGCGGGGATCAGATCAAAAAGGCAGAGTGGGGAGATGTTCGCAACTACCTGGGGCAAGGTGGTACGCTGATTGGAACCCGCCGCTGCATGGCCTTTTATGAACGACCCGGCCGGTTGACTGCTGCCAAGAACATGATTCTCAACGGAATCGACGCCCTGATCATCTGCGGTGGTGACGGTTCCCTGACTGGCGCTGACAAGTTCCGCGCCGAGTGGCCTTCTCTGATTGAGGAGCTCGTCTCCTCCGGCCAGCTCAAGAAGGAGCAGATTGATCCCTACAGACACCTCAACATCGTCGGTCTGGTTGGATCCATTGACAATGACATGTCCGGCACCGATGCCACCATTGGATGTTACTCTGCCCTTGAGCGTATTTGCGAAATGGTCGACTATATCGAAGCCACGGCCTCGTCCCACTCGAGAGCTTTCGTTATCGAGGTCATGGGTCGGCATTGCGGTTGGCTGGCTCTCATGGCCGGTGTTGCGACAGGCGCCGACTTTATCTTCATCCCTGAGAAGCCTAGGGAGGAAAATTGGGAGCAAGAAATGTGTGATATTGTGAAGAGGGTAAGACCGGAAAACCCGGCGGAAGCAGTAGCCAAGACGAAGCTGACATGCTGTAGCACCGAAGCTTTGGAAAGCGCAAGACCATTGTCATTATCGCCGAGGGCGCCAACGACAGCAACGGCAAGAAGATCACATCTACCATGGTCAAGGACCTGCTCGCGGACAAGAACGGACTCGCCCTGGACACCCGCATCACAACACTCGGTCACGTTCAACGTGGTGGTACTGCCGTTGCATACGACAGAATGCTGGCTACCTTACAAGGTGTTGAGGCCGTCAAGGCCGTCCTGGAGGCTACTCCTGAAACCGAGACCTGCTTCATCGCCATCAACGAAAACCAAATCTGCCGCAAACCACTGATGCAGGCTGTCAAGGATACCAAAGAGGTTGCAAAGGCGGTTGACGAGAAGCAATTTGAAAAGGCAATGGCTCTCCGCGACACTGAGTTCGCAGAGATGTTCAGCTCTTACATGATGACCACAAACGTCAGAGTGGATGATCACCATTTGCCCGAAAAGGAGGTTTGTCACATCAGATTCAGTCACGATAAAAGAATGGAAAACTGACGACTCGCAGAGAATGAAGATTGGCTTCATCAACGTTGGCGCCCCTGCCGGTGGTATGAACGCTGCTGTGCGAGCGGGTGTTGCGTACTGTCTTTCGCGCGGCCACGAGCCTGTCGCTATCCACAATGGCTTTGCCGGATTCGCTAGACATCATGGCGATAAGCCCGTCGGTGCCGTGCGACCTTTTGACTGGCTTGAGGTGGACAGCTGGGCCAGCAAGGGAGGGTCAGAAATCGGTACCAACCGAGAACTTCCCTCAGAGTCAGGCATGGAGCTCATCGCCAACCTGATTGAGAAGTATGAGTTTGATGGTTTGTTTCTCATTGGTGGCTTCGAGGCTTACCACGCCGTTTCGCAACTGCGCAAGGCCAGAGAGCTCTACCCCTCCCTGTGCATCCCCATGGTACTTTTGCCGGCTACGATCTCCAACAACGTTCCTGGATCAGATTACTCGCTCGGCTCTGATACCTGCTTGAACGAGCTTGTGCAGTACTGTGACAAGATCAAGCAGTCGGCTTCCGCCACGCGCCGTCGTGTGTTTGTCGTCGAGACGCAGGGTGGCAAGTCTGGTTATATCGCGACCCTCGCCGGCCTCAGCGTCGGCGCGAGCGCTGTCTACACACCAGAGGAGGGTATGGACCTCGAGATGCTAGCCGCAGACGTTCGTCATCTTCGGGAGATCTTCTCCAAGGACAAGGGCCAGTCGTCGTCTGGACGCTTGATCCTCATCAACGAGAAGGCCGACGATGTATTCAACGCCAAGCTCATTGCGGACATCATTCGCAAGGAGGCGCGCGGCCGATTCGAATCTCGTGACAGCATTCCCGGACACGTTCAGCAAGGTGGTGTTCCCTCGCCCATGGACAGGTGTCGCGCCGTCAGACTGGCGATCAAGTGCATGCAGCACCTCGAGGAGTTCCGGCCAAAGTCGCATAACAGGTGCAAGAGGGACCCGATGAGCGCCTCCGTCATTGGTATCAAGGGTGCCAGCGTCAAATTCACGCCCATATGGGATCTCGAGGACCACGAGACGGACTGGAAGAACCGTCGGCCCAAGAACGTTCACTGGTCGCACATGGGCGACGTGGTCAACATGCTCTCCGGCAGGCCCCTTCACCACACGCCGGAGAAGCCAATCACCGGCCTGAAGGCAAAGGACGTCAAGAGAGGCCTCGACGATTGAGAGGCGCGGCAAGGCAATGGGCCAAAGCGAACGAGCGCGACTTTAATACAGGAGAAAAATTAGATACAATGGGAAAGGAAAGGGTGCTACTTGATTCAAGCTGGGGAGATGTGGCGCGTCGGGGTTTGGCTTTGATTACCTAGGGAACTTGATGAAATGCATTTTCTATTAGACAAGATGACAATACTCCCCCCGGACTGCATGACTTGTAATTCTAACCCTGCCACCATGTTGACAGAGTCCAACACTCGACCATTTTCGGGGCAACATCTCCGCACCTAGAAGTAATGGTCTGGAACCTCGCCAGACGCTAGCACAACGGCTGCCGGTCCCAGGTCCGAGTCGTGAAGAATGGTCTCTGCGAATGAGGAGACGGCTCGATTCGGATGAACGTTGGCTCGTCCGCGTTCTCTCATCCCAACTTCGGACCCCGGATCCTGGGACCCCTTGTGGTGGCGAGGTCACGCCTTCATCCCTGCGAGCATTTCCCTACGGAGTACTCCCATCTTCTTATTACAACGAAGTTTCCTTACTCTGCACTAGTCCCATAGTTCAACTCACCTGCACGTCGTCCGAAGAATGGCCATCGAGCAACTCTCATTCATGATAGCCTATCTATCGGCTTTGCGGACCGGAGCCCGCATGGCCCCTGGGCCCGAAGAAGGTAACAAGGTCATTGTAATGTACAGATGGATATGACCATGGCTACTGGAAACCAATGACCCCAGGACTCTGACGGAGCTCACTCCCATCTTTCCCCCCCTTCATCTCAAGGGGGGGATCCATCATGCCGTTCTTATCCCGGTTGGAAAAGGGCTGAAATGCAATGTCACGATAGATAAGCTTACCTGGGTATAGTAGCGAATGCTGCGCTGGGCTGATGTCAGAGAGGGTGTGACCGGGGGTGCGGGAGTTGAAGTTGATATTGATGTTGATGTAACTTGGCGACGGATGGCTGACATGCGCTCCCCCTCCCCCCTAGAAGAGCAACGATCAGCTGCTAAGGAGGGGCGGCCGTCTCATACATTGGAATAGAATACAAAAAGTCAGAAGACTTTGTCAGAGCTGAGGATTTGGGGGGAGAGGGGGAAAAGCAAAGATTGTCACTACCCGTATTTCGCCTTGCCGATGAGCAATCAGGCTCTGCGGCTGAAAAGGATTCGGTTTGGGGGCCGCTGATTACTCCAGTCTAAGGCACGAGGGCCACACTGGCTGTGCCTTTCGTATGGGCAAATCAGAGACTGGACATTATCAGTTTCTCCTCATGTATTCCAACCAAAACTTCAAAACTGGAACTTCCTTCACAGGATCAAGATATCGCGCGACTGTATGGCTGTATGTTCGTTCGCTCACGAGGTCACAGTTGACAGTGTATCTGTGCGCCACAAGGTGCGGGATGAACCCCGGCCGTTCGCAGGGCCAGGGGTGTTGGGTAGGGCGGGCGCTCAGTAAGCACCGCCTGCGATGCAGTTCTGGCCCCGTTTAAAGTGGTTTTCCCTAGACTCGTAGTAGAGTTTTGCGGGTTGGGGTTGCAGCGCAGGCTTTAAGCTCGTTCCAAGTAGGTAAACAGAAGCGAGGGACCATTGGGACAATGACCTTTCCGGCCCCCAACCCTAGGCGTTATCCCGTGTTCATGATCCTTGGACCTTGTTCATGGCCCACGAGGATGTTGTGCTGTTACACTGCACAGAGAGACTGAGAAAGAGTATGAGTAGTGGGTTGGTTATCATCGTTGCCTCTGCTAGAGCCTTCAAACGAGTGCTTGTCTCATGCGGGCGAATTGATGGAGGAGAGGGCCGATTCGGTGTTTGTGCTGACAGGACACTCGTCAGGGCTAGGCAGCTGCATATGGCCCCCTCCGGATATCTCATCAACCGCCGTTATCATGATCAGCTATACGAGCGTTGGCGTCTTGCTGGCTCTGGGTCAAGCAAACTGCAAGCACACCAAGCCCTACCGAAAACGCCACAACCGTAGTCTTAAGGCCAAACCCATGTGGACACCATCACGCATCGGGTCTGGCTGGTATCTTTGTTCAAGACCCTTGATCGCGGCATGGGCCTTAATTATTTGTCAATGTCTTCCTCATAAGCGTTGCCTGCCTGTCCAATGGCCATCCTCACCTCTAAAAGCCCCACGCGACTGTCCAGGCCGATGGCTGTGTCAGCGACATGGGTAGATCAACAAACAAGCTGGGAATATCTCTGAGCCAACGAGGTTTCAAGCTGTCCGTGGAGGCAGGACGAAGAGACCCTTTGCCTCGTAGACTCTCTGGGGTCCGCGCTACTGCAAGTCAGGATGCTGCGGTTGAGCTTCCCGACATGGGATTGAGATGCAACTGACCTACAAGGAGGCCCGGTTGAATACATCCCCGCCGGGAAACTGCATGGGGCGGATGGTGATAAACCCAGCGATCCCCGAGCCTGGGCGGCGACTTACTCCTTCGCGTCTCGCTTCTCTGCTCATGTCGACATTTCCCCACGACTATTAGGTCCTGACCTATCGAGATTGCCAGACTTCTCTTGCGAGGTGATTTACGTTCAGTCAGAACCCAGGCCTTTCGCAGCAATAGCCTCGGCGTTCTTTCGGTATTACCATCACCGCATTCTATGCGGTCTTGTTCTCAACAATGACGAGAATCTTTGGAACACTCTTGGGGGCGTTGCTCGTCTTGTCCTCCCCAGTATCGTGTCTGACGGCATGGTGGACAGAGCTGAGCCCCCATCTGGCGATGCAAGACCCTGTAACGGGCAACATTTTGTACACCGCTTGCAATAGCAACTCCACGCCCATCCTGCCAACAGATGGACTGAACGTCTTTCCTCTCCAAAGAAAGCCGAGAAGCGGCACCTCGCTTGCCGCTGCCGGTTGGTACGACGTGCCGAACAAGACGACGATGGTGAGTCTCTGGTGGCTTCACGCTGTGAAGTGGTGCAGCTGACCTCTTCTTCTAGACCTCGATATTCTACCAGGCCGAGGACAACTCCATTGTAAACGGCTATTTTATCTGCAATTTCGGTACAGGCCATTACGCCATTAAGGGCGAGTACGTCATCTCCGCGACGGCCGGTGTCGAATCCATACACAACGAGACTGGCTTAGCGGTTGAGTTATTGGGCGCAGAAGACGGATATCGGGTTTTCTTCCACGTCGAAGCTAAGACGGTTAATGTCATGTCATACACGACCAAAACCGACTGGCAGTTACAGGGTGTCATTTCGCAGGACCCCGTAGGAGGAATGGCCTTGACGTCGGTGCACTCGGGACAGCTCAACATGTCGGTAGTCTTTCCCAAAGACTCGGAAAATGTTGAAATTTCGAGATTTTTCAAAGACGAGACATGGCATCTAGGTCCATTCTCCCGTCATGACTGCGAGTCGTTCATTTGCTAACCGTCGCAAAGCTACGCTGCCTCGTTCACTCTTAGGCGACGCGAATGAGACGACGAAAGCAAACGACATCCTCCTCGATTCGTCGCTTACCCCGAACTTCACCATGCCAGCTTTCGCAAGCAACTTGACTTCATTAGGCGCAACGGTGGATAAATCATACGTACGCAGCATTTTCTACTTGGGAACGGATGCGAAGCTGCACCAAATGTCGAATATCGATTGGCAGTGGAAGCTCATGCCTGAACAGGATGCGAGTCTTTGGCCCGTGGCGGATGTTACGAGTGGCTCTTTCGCGGCAACAAGCAACTTCGACACGAGCGAAGCATGGATATGGTATCAATCAAACGGGAGCTTGGTTCAGCTGTACCATGGTGAAGATGGTCTTTGGAGGCAAGCCGCGGTGGTTCCCAGCTTCAACGCAACGAAGGCGGTTGGAGAAGAGCCCCGGGGAACAGGAGCGCCAACAGCTTCATCGACAGCCACAGGGAAACCAGTTGTTTTGTCGGCCGGGGCCAAGGCCGGCATAGGGATTGGCGTTTCTTTCGGAGTTGTTGCCTTTGCCGGAGGTATCCTTCTTCTCATGATGCGAAGGCGGCGGCAACAAGCGGCCGAGGCGGCCGAGGCGGCCCGTTTGAAGGAGGCCGAAGCCACTGCTCAAATGGTACCGTACGGCAACGGCGGATTCGGCCCGTACACGGAGTTTGGGAACCTGACGTGGGGTCCGGAGACGCCAACTGAGAAGCACGGGAACGAAATAGTTGAGGCGGATGCGGTCGGTACGACTGCGCCGCAAGAATTGGCGAGTGCGAGCGAGAGATATGAGCTTGTTGGCGAGGGGCATTGGAGAGAAATGGACGCAACAGGGCAGAACGGAGCGAGAAGAAGCATTGGAGGCTGGAGAGAGGCGCAACAGGTGCCAGTAGAGAAGTGATGAGGCCGTGAACCGGGCAATGTAGTGATTAATGACCATAATGACTGAATTTGGTAACGAACCGTGCCAACGGCCCTGCTCCCGGGGAAGGCGGCGGGCCCAAGGTTGTTGTTTCATGAGTGTCGAGACGTGTTGATGCATGACTTCGAAGAGCTTCGTTTCCCCAAATCCGGCGAGCCAGCCGAAAGCAGAGACAAGCAAGCTGCCTAGAGCTGACTACTCGACTCCTCGACTCCTCGATATTCCCATTTCCTCTCCTATGTGGAACGCGATTCAGAGTATGAGCAGTCAAGGAGGGAATTGTTGAGTTTGATATGTGCTTCGAGGACTTGAAGGCAGTCGAGCTGGATGGGGAGAGAAATCATAGCCACGGAACGCCAGTGGCTGTGTGCGCACACTTGCAGTTGCGACGACATCGACACCATGATGCACCGAACAAAGCAAAGCGTAGACGACGTACGGGGCCTTCAGGGTGTATGAAAATAATGGGTGAGAGTCAAGACGAAGTTCACTGCCATCGATGACTGGTGTTATTTATCTAAGGCTGAATTCGTCTCAAAGTGGCAGAGATGATATTCGTGGTGTATGAAGACCGAGTTGTGTCTTTTGATGGTATGGAGGCTGTTCCATATCGGAGCATCGCGTGGACGGCCCGGGTGATGGCTTGTCTCTCTCCAGTTCCTCCAGGACGTCGGGGCAGCCCAATCAGGGATGACGTTTCTGGCATTTCTCCAAGGTCCGTATGGAAGTAACGAGGGTACGAGGCGGGCGAATCAAAGACGACCGACAAGCTTCCCGAAAGTGGGCATCTGACGGGAGACTGGACGAGCATGTCTACATAACATCTAGTCAGGTTCTTGACTAATGGGTCGGTCCTGGCGATCAGGCTGAGGGAGGAGCAACGATATCCTGGCGCGGTCGGTGAGAGCCGAAGCCCAACTGCGGAGACTTGGCGGCAAAACTTTGACAACACATGGCTCGTTCTGTCCGGTTTTGGTCTTGCTATGCCCGCTATGATATTGGTTGGATGGTAGCCGTTCCCGGATGTTCGTTTGAGACGGCAATTCAGCCTCGAGATGTGGTACAGCTTTATTGTGTATGCGGCATGATGATGAAAAGTGGTTATTTGACCATGGAAAAATTTACTTGAACAGGGTGAGGATGTGCCCCAGGGAGAAGACGCGGCAGTTGTCGGGAATACAGAAGTTGCTGCGGACGGCAAGCACGAGTGGGAAATGGCCCCTGTTTGGTTGTGACAGCTGCTCTAACGTTGTCTGCAAATACCATTGCTGTCCAAGGAATGCCTTGGCGTAAGAAGGGAAAAGCAAAAGTGGGCAGAGAGGGCGGGGCAGAGCCGACAGGAAGGTAAAGATGAAATGCGGCAAATTGACAATGCAGCACCGACTGGCTGGGGTGGATGCAGGATTACGTCAGTGCCTTTTCTGGCGATGGGCTGGATGAGTTTTCAGAGCCAGTGCCAATGTGACGGGGTTGGGCACCGCGGATGGAGGGGAGAGACGAGGGGAAGGGGAAAGTGGGAGGGGTGACACTGGCTAGACGGGACTGCCAATGCAGGGAAGGCGCGAGCAGCTGTCAGGAGCTTTCACGTCCACTCTTGCCTTCTTTGCTTGTGACACTGGCGACTGCTGGCTGGTGAGTGGTGACTGAGATGGTGACTGGTGACAATGACTGTGGATGGAGGATGGGAAAGAACGATTGGAAAGAAGGAGAGAAAAAGTTGGAAAACGGCCAGTCCAAGCTCCACTCTGCAGCCTGCCGCCGTCTTAGCTTCTTCCCGCCTTCCTTCCACAATTAGGACTTCTCCTCGGTACCTACGTACCCTACTTTGGACTTGCTTCACTCATCCCCTGTTTCAACGAACCTCCTAAGCAATAGCAAAGATTTAATAAGGTCTAAAAACAGGTCTTTGAGGTCCTCAAGCCAGCTTCATGCATGGTTCGGCCGCAGGCTTTCAGGGACACAAGCCCCGTTCTATGACTATCCTAAACTCGGGGTGTCATTGAGAGACACGGTGGAACGCTGGTGGAAGCAGCCGGACCAGGCTGTCTGTCTGCAGGAAATAGATGACAAGAAAAGACGTGACGACCTCGACTTCCCAGATAAATAAGGTAGGGTAAGGTAGGGTACATTACCTGACGGAAGGAGGACGGGGCAGTGACACCACCTCGGACAAGCAAGCCAAGGTCCATTCTATCACATATTTCCTCGAAGTAAACTCTTTCCGTTTAGCCAATCCTAAACCCAGGCCTTACTCAGATGGGATGCGGGATTTCAAGATACCTGTGGTAAGGTACTCTGCAGTAAAGTAGGTACCTATCCATGTGTCCTGCTCATCTTCTCCTGCACCTCAGTCTGCAAGTCACAAGTCGAGCAGGCAGGCAGTCATTGGGCACCAGAAATCGGTGAGAAACCAGGCGCCAATTTGCCCTCTTGCCACGGCCTGTCGCCCAAGGCCCAGTGACTACTGACTGCCTGGCCAGCAACCTTTCAGCTTGCACCACTGCCAGAGCCCAAGTGGATGCCTCCCGATGCAGTCAAGTGGGTGGTTGACGACGACTTGACTTACTAGGAAGACAGAACAAGATCCAGCATCGCCTTTCTCTGCATCTTCCATGCCTTTCCCTCGGCTTACTGTGGACACTGGTATTGGCCCTCTGCCGTGTCTACTGCCCGTCATCCATGACCCTTCGCTACCTTGACCCTGTGCATGGCCTGTCTCCGGCTGCAAGTTGCAACCTATCGACATCTTTCCGTTTGCTTTTTCGTTGGCCCAGCCCAACGCAGCGCAGCCTGCACCGTTGATTCATGGATCGCTGGGGCCCTGTTCCATTTTCTCCGTCTCCTCCCGTTTCTTACCTTATTTGTCTGGGCATCCGATGGCCGCCAAAGCTCACGATAGGGCATTCATCGTGACCGCCGCACATCCAACTCTGAATACAAAGTTTGGCATCTGAGTACCTTGGCCTAGAGACTAGCCGTCTGCAAACTCTCCAGTCCCAAAATCGGCCCAAATTACCTTACTGTCCAAGGTACACACGCGGGTTCCACCAGGGCCTCGACACCTTTCGTCGTCTTTGCGACGGCATCCCTACCGTCCCGCTTCCCGCACCAACATAGACAAAACGTCGGGAACACCCCTGCTCAGTGACAGCGGTTCACCTCGCGGCGCTTGTCCACACCTGGGGCCTCGACTCGAGCTTGACAGACCTCGACCGTATCCGTACACGCTGTGGTGAACAAGAACAAATCCTATTGAGCCGGCCAACCCCTCCCATTTCCACTGCTCTCCCGTCCCTCTCTTTTCCCCCTCCACCCTCCATTCACCATCCACAATCCACCATCCACCAAGGCCATAGATCCCCCACGAACCTCCAAGGACCACACAGCGTGCTGGTGCCGCTCTATATCACCTGTCGGCCGCCTTAATTACATACCGGGCACCTTGCCTACCTACCTCCTACCTACATACATACATACATCCCCGGCTCTGCTATTGTGGTATGACGACGTTGCTCCCACTGACTCTTTTCCCTCTCACCTCTCTCTTTCTCACCTACTAACTCACTCACTCCCTCCCTCCTTTTCTTCACCCCCTCTTCCCCAGCCGGCTCAGCTCTAGGCTCAGCTTCACATTCAAGTGCCTCCTCCACTGCCCTCCATCGTGTGTCGCTCGTTCCCAGCGCTACGAGACACATTTGGTTCATTCTCTTTTCAGCGCCGCCTCATCCCTTTGTGCAGGATTCTGGTGTCTCGTCTTGTTTAGTGTCGGTAACGCTCACGCTATCACCTGCGCTACACAATCACCACGGCTTACTACCCCGCCATTCATCCCACCTGTTCAGATAAACTCCCGAACAAACACTCACAGACGCCTCTCCGTCGCACCCCTCCCAAAGCGACAAGCCGTTTGCGTTTCGCCAACAAAATATGGCTTACCGATCCAACGACTTTGAAGAGCGTTTCTACGACGGCCCGCGCCGCCAGCGGGCCGAAAGCCGGGTTGCCTTTGATGAAGTTGACGTCCGCGTGAAGGAGCGCGAGCGTGAGCGCGAAGGTGACCGCCTCCGCTTTCTGCGCGACGAGAGGCCTCCCGAAGCTGGAGCTCTTGTCCTCAGCCGCAGAGAGGTTGAATCAAGAGAGCTATCACGGCCTCGCGCGCGCAGCCCTAGCCCTGTTTACCGCGAGCGGGTTGTACGCAGAGCCCGCAGCTTGACACCTCCGCACGTCCACCATGACCAAGAGCTCGAGCGCTCCAGAGTCCGCGTCACGGAGCGGGAGCGAGAAATTCGCAGCCCGTCCCGCGGCCCTCCTCCGGAGCTGATCCGCGCACGATACGTTGAGAGGCAACGCTCGCCCTCTCCTCCACCCCCTGCCAGAGAACGCAGCCGCGTCGGCGTGCGCATCGTTGAGCGTGAGAGGGAAAGAGAGCGGGTTCCGTCCCCCTCACCCTCACCGCCACCACCACCACCCCAACCTCAGGTCATTCGTGGCCCCACGATCGAAAGGGAAGTCATTACGCACTACAGAGACATCGATCACGGTGAGTACAGGGACAAACTGCAGGAAATAAGGCCCCCGCGAGGTCTAATGCATCCAGGTGTTACCCGCGTGCCCAGCCCGCCGCCTCCCCCTCGTCCCGCTCCCCGCCCGAAGACCCGCACCGAAGAGCGGGAGCTGGATATCGACATCACCACATCCCGCAGAGGAACCGACATTGACATCCACCGTTCACAAAGCCGCCACCGATCTCCTAGCAGGGAACGTAGATCCCCCGCTTTCCAGGACAACAGAGAACTCGTCGTGAGTACCGACCGTCTCCGGATCGACGACCGTCACTACCACAGCGGATCGCGTCGTAGAGCTCACTCTGCGGCTGCACGCACGCCTGTCGACGAGGAAGCCGAGTATATCACCTCCAAGATTGACTCGCGCGGCAAGATGGGTGAAGCCTGGAATGGTGCCACTAAAGACTGGGCCATCGTCGACGTTCCGCCCGGGACAGAGCGTGTTCGTATGGATGGCGTTGGGGGCGGTTCTGCCGAGGTCACTTGGCAGCGTTACAACGGTGTGAGGCGGGCGCAGTTCATTCCTGAACGGGACGCCGCTCCTATTTCGGCTCCGGCCCCACTCCCCGCTGAACCTTCGCCGCGCGAGTCCCGAGACCGTCTCAGCCTCCAGGTTTATGATCGCGAGACAGAGATTGAGATTGAAAAGACAAAGGATCGCGCGCCGCGCCGCGGACCTCCATCAAAGCGAAATGAGATGTGGACAGAGATCACAAAGGACTTGGTGATTCGCGACGCTATTATCCAGCTTGGATATGATTTCGAGGAGACTGAATACTTTTTCTACATCATGCAATACTTGAAATACGTAAGTTTTGCCTGTGTTCCAGTTGTGTCAGTAAGATTTGCTTACCGATTGCAGGATGATGTGCTTGAATTGGTGCAGGTATCAGACGATATCCGCCGCTTCCGTAAGCAACGCGTCCGCGAGTATGAGAGGGAGTGGGTGCATGACGATTGGGACCGCCGATCTCATCACCACCACCACCGCGGGCCGAGCAGCAAGTACGATGACGAACGAATCTACGAGCGCGAGGTCGTCTACGACAGTCAACGCCCCCGACGTTATTAAGCTTTGTATACACAGCACGAGTGACCCAAGGAACATACAGATCGAATACCCAGCCGATGTTCGGCATTTTTGGGAGGCCCAACACAGGCGCGCCTTATATTTGGATTCGGACTACAGAACACATCATTTTCAGGATGGGATGTGCTGCATTAGAGAACCGGATCTGCCGGGCGGGCAAATGAGTGTCTTGACTTCACTTTTTTCACCCAGCACGTGGGGTTTTCTGCCTGGAACCATGTGTAACGATTTATGAATACAACATAGCGGCGGAGAAATAGGGCGGAGTTTAGATTGTATTAGGAGCAAATGACGACTTATGACTCAAATTTCCGACCTTGCCTGGTTGCTTGAGCGGCGTAACCTCCCATGTGGTTGTCTTGTCTTGGGCTCTGTGTCGGCACTCTGAGATGCCTTTGGGTCATTAATGTCATGATGGGTTCCAAGGACAGCCCCATTTCTGATAGTTTTCGGACTTGTAGATAACTCTGCCTGTCTCATCAACTCCATCTCCGAGGTTGCTTGTGCATGGGAGCGAGGAAAATACGGCTGATCAGCATGATTCAGCCGGGTGGAACGTTACTTTGTTTCCTTTGGTGCAGCCTGGCGCTTTGGACAAAGTGGGGCGGGAGTTTCCCCGCAATACTTACTAAACGGCAAAAAACGAAGCCATCGTCACCCACTGCAACCCACACTACCTACCACAACAAGATTAAAAAGATATAAAGGGAAAAAATTCGAAAAACATACAACACCAGGGATTCGCTGGTCGTCACCGACCCAACTACTGGTCTGGCCCTCACTGGCTTATCTATGGGAGAGCGGACGGGATCCCGAGTTCTCCAGTGGGTATGGTCGTATGTGACAGATGCAGGCGCGCAAGATGACCAAGTAGGGCAAGGGAGACGATGCTCAATGACTTGGGACTCCCGCGAACTCGAAGCCGCGGACATTATATGTTGGTCAAGATTCTAGAGGACATGGAGTCTGGCGCAGTACTGGTCCGCGACGACCAGTTTGCAGAGTGTATTCTAACTCTAGGGCGGCTCAAGCATTTTGCCAAGTTACAGAGACACCTCCTTAGGAGCGTTAGTAGTTCTAGAGAGAAGCTAAGTGACCGAGAACCAAAGCATAAGAAGAACCGTCAGATGGGATTTCAGACTTGCAATCTGTCTTCAATGTTCTGGAAGCAGCCATGTCGACGTATGTCGACGTAGACATGGATATATTCCTGACCATCTGGTTCGCAGTCTCCAAGTGATGTCGGCTTCTCGGTACGTTGACACACCTTGACTCCCTCCCGGCGCGACTATGATTATGAATGCGGTTCGAGACCTTGGTTGGGTGCGAGGTCGAAAGGGGGCGGGGGAATAATAGGGACCGCATTACTTTGCGACTCGTGAAGGCTCTGATGATTAGAGAATGCTGTTTCCGGCTTGATGTTCGCAATCCTAACACGAAATCGTTATGATGGGTTAGCCTAGCCTTGTTTAGAATCTTATATAGCAAACAGCTTGAGGCCACAGGGCGGTTTTAGTCAAGCTGTAATGAGTTTGGGCTCCTTCTCTCACTACCTCGGACACTCTACTAGAGCAAGGCTGCTGGCCCTTTCCTGATCCTGGCAGGCGCAATAGAACAGAGTCAAGAGATCAAGAGATCAAGAGCTGGCTGCTCAAACACTCTATTGTACATTCATGGAGATGATCTGCAACTATTCCAGATGGTATAATGACGGACTTTTAACTCTAGCAAGCAAACACATTTAGACAAGAGAACCAATAAAGATCTAGACTATGAAGTTTCCCCTAAAGTCATTTAGACGAGCATTCAAAGGATATATATCACGCATTCCGAATTTTTTCATTTCAGGCTTAAAAATCGCACGAATGTTCCCGGCCGTGTCGTTAGATACATAACCTGTAGTCCCGACTAAGTCGCCTAGACCTTCAACCCGCTCCCCCCCCTTTCCCCCTCCCACACCCGCTATAAATACACTAGCACTCTCTATATCCTTTAATTCCAATAATTCAAGGCATTCTTTGAGATTCCTTGCCCTCCGAAATGATGGGTAGAAATGTGAATGATCGCTAGCGAGCGAGTATTAGCCGCCCACTAGAGCTCACTCGATCTCTCCCTGAGCCCCTACTATAGTAAAATCATGCCCTCGCCTCTCCTCGCCTCTCGCCGCGTATTTTAAAGTAGAATAAGGAGACGGGAATAGGAGACGGTTAGAGACAGTTTCTCCCTACGCTGGCCGCACTTGTTATTATTTGGCATCTGCCCGGTTTTAGTACACTAGCAAGACATCGGCTGTTACAGTATCAAAGATCCAGAGAATATGATTACTCTTAGCCGCGCGCTACATAAATTTGGGGATCAGGATTGTTCGACTTGGAGAGAACCCTCTAATCTCTACTTTTTATACTCAAATAATCTCGTGTTTGTGTTCCTCCCTTCTCTTTGCTTCCCTCTGGACCAAATGAAAGGAGGGGGTCGAGGTCCCGGGGGTCGACGGCATCAAGACGTATGCACGTTTGAGTTTGGCCTCTGTGAGTCGACTGACGGCTTCATTATGATCGTGATGGAAGTCATGCTCGATTCGCTTGAGAAAAATCGCATGTGAGCCAATGTTAACATCCTGAGCTTGGGTGTCTCGTATTAGGTTTGAACGAATGAGGGAGGTTTTTGAACCTCGTCAGACCACAACCCATGCTTAGAACATATCGGTAAAGCGCGTCGTGGTCTTTCTGGAGAGTGTTGTCAACGAGGTAAGTACACTAGCCGGATACAGCGGCTAAAGGAGCCCGCGATTTCCATGGCATCAGATGGCGGGAATGGCCATTTCGTGGAACCAAATATTGTTCTAGGCGTGGTTCTTTTGACAATATAGTTCTCACACAAGGTCTTGCGTCAAGACTACAGCCTCCACATTACCGATATCAAATAGCTCATGATGAGTTACGAGCAGCGTTCAATGGGGATCGGGTCAGCTACGAAACCGGTATTCCTCGGTTTGATGACACTGTTCCACACACTCTGTCCAGCTTGTCTTGTGATCTCGCTTGGAGCACATTTTCACTGAGATTCCTAAGCCAGCACCTTGGTAACTGCTTCCTCGACAAGATCGTTATGGCATGCTGCTTCTAAAAGATACCTCGTGAAATCACGCCTCTTTCCGAGTCAGTCTCGGTCGGATTCGGCCAGTTTGATACAGCAAAACACTACTGATATGAGTATACCGTCAAACCAGTCACGCAGGAGTAACAATGGAAGCGATCAGAGGAAGGCGATCATAAAATTACGACCGCCTTTCATCGATGAGTAGCATCGACAGACTCTCCATCCGCCTGTCACCCCAGCCTGAACTATGATCAGCGACACGAAGCCAGTCCCCACAAGACGTCAGCAACTACCAAAGACGCAGGTGTAAACAAATTAAAGTAGTATACAGATTCCGTCACCTCTAGGCCACAGAATATATGTGTGTAGTCGCATCGGTGGGGTATGAACTCGAAAGAACAAACAGTAATAACAACAAGACGAGAAGTAGAGCATCTGCCGGCGGCCGATTCTCGAAGGGGCAGTCCAATGTATACATATGCAGACAGCTTCCGACACATCATAATTTGAGAGCATGCCTAAGGCCATTTTGCCCCCTTAGTGTAAGCAAGTTTACCTGGCAGGATCAGCTGCAAAGCTCGTTACCATAGGCTCCTCCTCGAGACTCACTTGCGAGAACGGCTGGCCCGCGTCGACTTGGGCTTCTCTACCTCAGCAGCCGGGGCAGCTTTCTTACGACCCTTGGGCGCCGCCGCCGCCTTACCCTTCTTGGGTGCGGGCTTCACCTCCTCCTCTTCGGACTCGGGGGTAGTCTCGGGCTCAGCAGCAGACTCTTCCTCGCTCTCCCCAACCTTTGCCTTCTTTGCAGCGGCCCTCTTGGGAGCGGGAGCAGCGGTCTTCTTAGCGGCACCACGCTTGGGCTTGGGAGCCTCCTCTTCCTCAGCATCGGATTCCTCCTTCTTGACAGCGGACTTTCGAGCTCCGCGCTTCGGCTTGGGAGCCTCCTCCTCGCTAGCCTCCTCGTCCTTGACCTTGGCAGCGGCGGCAGCAGCCTTTCCGCGCTTGGCCTTGGGTTTTGGCTTCTCTTCTTCCTCGTCCTCGGCCTTTGCGGCGGCCTTCTTGGAGCGCTTGGCTTTGGGCTTCTCCTCTTCCTCATCATCATCGGCGGCCTTGCGCCCGCGCTTCTTGCCCTTGGCGGGGGGCTCATCTTCCTGCAATTAGGCGTCAGTACAGAGGGCCGTACGTCTACGGTGGGGGGACAAACATTCTCCTCTTCACCATCATCCCAGTCCTTGGGCTTCTTCCCGCGAATACCGCGCTGTCCGGGCTTATTCATCCATGGGTCGCCGTTGAAGTCCTCGGCGTCAATATGGCCTTGCTCTACGGCCTTACGGATCTTCGCCTGAAGATCAGGGTGATCGCTATACTTGCGTGTTAGCGGCATGTGCCTATGGAGATATTGAGTGAGAGAGGAATGCGGACTGACCCCATCTCATCGTATCCATCAAAGGCATCAAAATCAAATTTGCCGTTCTTCTCACACAGCTCCTGGACGTGCTTCATCTGCTCTCCAGAGATACATCCCCTTGATACAACCAATCATGTTAGCTTGTTTCCTTCATGCCGTTATGCGACTTGTGTGTAGCGGACGGGGAGTCAAACTTGGGGGAAATTAGGGGGAAAGGGGGCCAACATACCAGTGCTTCCACTTGAAGGACTCATGATCCATAATCTTGGTCCATGTGCCGAAGCGAAGGGAACCCTTCACGCACTTCGCGGCGGCCTTCTTGCACACGCCATCGGTGCAGCCGGCGCGGTTGTTGGGTGATACCTCTGCATGGGGAGAAATGTGTGATTAGCAAGCTTCGATATGTGGTTGTTGACGGAGCTGGTTGTCACGCTTGAGACGTGAGCCTCGCTCATGACGTGAGGTCGAGGATTGGACGCGTCGCCGAATCCTCGCCGGACGCGACCGTAGCTCCTCGAGACAGGCAGCCGAATTCAAATTGGAAACCAAAGAAATCAGAGAGCTTACCGATGCGGTAGTCGGGCATATTGGCTGCCGCGTTGTATTATCGTTCGAATATGCAAAAGGGGTTTTTGAAGTGAATGAATCAGGTCAAGACGTCAAGTGTAGGAAAGGAAGACACGAGAGAGATCGATGTGATGTGGTAATGATCCATAGAATTTGGAATGAGCAACCTGAGGAAATGAACGGTCTACCGACGCTCGTTGGTGGTGCAGGGAGCGTAGTTGGTTTAAACCTACGGAAGATGGGTGCACTTCAGTGATGAGACAGCCCACGTCTCCCCTGTCTTCTGCCTGCAGGGCCCATACTAGGTGCCCAAAGCTCTCGGGCTTCAGTGCTTGTATCCCTCAGCCCCCTGAGAGGAAGCCTAATCGCCGCCAGGCAGCGGTCCGCCGAGGCTTCGCGTGTTTGGCCAAACACGTGGTGGCCGATAAGACGACGGGATGGAATGCAACCTGGAAACGACCTTTCCTGCTTATCTATGAAACAAAACACCAACATGACAGATGCCTTTCATCATGACATAAAAAGAGCAAGAAACTAGTGGAAACTCCTTATCGAATTTTGATTGAGAAAGAGTATTAAACACCATAGAAGTCACTCAAGCTATCATATACATCCATTGCACCACCGCGAACACCAAAGTGCGCTCCAAAACCCCAATTCATGCCTCTCATCATCCCTCGTCATCCCTCGACGCCAACTCTAGCCCATCATGATAATCTCTCGTAAATCCATCCCCAAAAGACACAAACTTACAAGAATGGGCACCAACCGATGTACATGGCCGCCAAATTCCTCGGATCAGCGGCCTGCTTGATCAACTCCTCCACCTGGCCTTCCACGCCTAGCGGAATCGCGTCCTGCCCCATCAGTCCCTTGACCTTGCGCTTGATGCTGTCGACGACGAGCTGCGGCTGCATCCTAGGCGCCCCGTCCTGCCGACGGCTCGTCTTCTTCTCCTTCTGCAGATCCAGAGTGGGATCGTAGATGAACGCTTCGAGGATCGTCATCAACGTCTCCTCCTGCTGCCGTAGGATCCCCAATGTCAGCTCGCTGCAGTGCCGAAAGGGACCCTCGTATCCGTAGATGCCCATTGCTGCCACCATGTTGTGCGTCAGGCGGAATGGTACCTTCTCCGGCTGCGCAAATGTCAGGCCCTTGTCGAAGAGGCAGTTGAAGTCCACGTGGAATATGCCGCCGTTGTCGCGCTCCAGCAGCACGTTCTCGCCGTGTCGATCACCGAGTCCGAGGATCGTGCCCACCATCGACATGACAGCGCAAGACCGGGTGTACTTGAGTCGCGCGGAGAACCAAGTCGACGGGTGAGGGAACCGCTGGACGAACCAGTGCTGCAGCACGGGCGGAAACGTCCCCAAGACGCCCTCGGTGAACATCTTGATGTTGTTCGGCCCCGTCACGGCCTCAGCCATCAACCGCTTGATCTGGTTGTAGTCGGGGTGTACCTGGCGGGCTTTGTACTGATCCAAAAGAATCTCACGGAGTGTCTTCAACCCATCCACCCATTCGATGATACCGCACTCCTCGTTCAAAGGCACAACTGCATATGTTTTGATGTACAACTGGCGTCTGCTGGCCTCGGGATCCCGCTTCAGCGATCTGTTGATCATGCTGTTAAACTCCATCAGACGCTGATCGGTCCGTAGATCATCCTTGGGTTTGATCATGAGCATGTAGTTTTTTCCGTCTGTTCCGCGTGCGGTGAGTCTTCGCGGCTTGGCCAAAGATCCCAGAACCAGCACCTCGTCTAGGAAGGAGTCGATCGTAATGACGTCTCGTGAGAAAGCCTTATGGTTCTTGACATTATCAGTCAGCGTCGGCAAGGCAGCCGCTAGACACGACTCGATGGGCACCACCAAAGGGCAAGGTGTGCATTTGTGATTAAAATTCAAATCGCGCGTGATGCTCGCCACAGTCGTCCTGTTGCTCTGGAAATCGCCGTTGTTGCAAGCCAACAGGAGCTGCTCTGCGAGCTTCTCGCCCATTCTCAAGAGCTGCTTGAGATCGTAGCTGCTGCCTTCAACCTTCCTCGTGGAGCCCCTCAACGCCTGCAAGATCTGTTGGCCTCTCACCCGACGTTCTGAAGCTTGTCTTGTTGTCATGATACCGAACAGACTCCACAGAGCTTGTCGAGGGTGGGATTGTACGACCTTGATGACAATGTGTGTCAAGCGCTCATAGACATTCTGGTTCTGATGAGCAATTCTTGCTACAACTTGTGGAAGTACCGTGTAAAATATGTAGGCCGGTAGCCGGGCAATAGACTTGTCGAGGAACCGGTGAAGGAGATTCAGTTGATCCGTTCGCCTTCTATGGAGTTCACGGGACATTGAAACTTTGCCTTCAGGAGCCTTGTCAACCTGTGCTCCGAAGTCAAGCCACAGCGTCAGAATCCTCGGCAAGGTCTGATAGAGATATTTGGTGCCGTGGTTTAGCGACCGAAGGTAATTTTCGATGACGAGTCTCGTGTATTCGCCCTGAATGCAGGCGTCGCTTTGATCGTCGGCCTTGAGCGTTTTCTCAGATTCCAGCACTTTCTTGTAATAGCGGCCCAAGTAGTAGTGGCCCTTTTCCCAAGTGCTGGCTGTCAGAGGGGGTTGTTGATATTTCTCACGCAGGGTCAGATGGTTCGTCTGGCCGGCAGCATCTAGCCATTTGGCGAGCATTAGTTGAGCTCTAGCTGTCAACTGCCTCTGCTGAGCATCCATGCCACGGATGGAAGAGGAGCTGTTGGTCTGCGTCATGAAGTTGTTTGATTCAATGGCACCCTGCAGAACTTGGATCGCCTTGCGCGTGTGGCCATCTTTCCACAGGAGCCGAGCGTTCTCGATGACCGCAGCTCCATCACCGAGTTGGGAGGCATGAAGCACGGCATTGAATGACTGGTGAGTTGAGTTGGCTTTTCTAGCCAACCGAGCGCTTGACAGCCATGACGAAGAAATGTCTAGATCGGAAAACTTGGGTCTATGAAGTGTTAGCTCAAGTTCCTTGGACTACAACACAACACAACACATACCTTGAAAGTTCCATGGCTGCTCTGCGGATGCCCAACAAGTACTGCTTATCGCCTACGTACGCCCCGAGAACCTCGAGACGACGATTGAGCATTGTCAGAACTTCTTGGTGTGCCTCACCCTCCGAAGCTTGAGTCCCGGCAATGATCTCGAGGTCGGTGAGTACATGGCACCTGAGTCTCAAGTCGTGGCAGGCCTGCAAAGAAGACGTCGCCGCGTGTGTCATGGCGGAAGCTATCTTTTCTCTCATACTCTGCAACATCTGAGGAAACGTGTCGCTGCCGGCTTCTCTTTGTCTCAGGGCGTTGAACAGTTTGGCGATGCTGACGTTGAAATCCTCCAAGTGACTTCCGTGGAATCGGCTGGTGTACTTGGTCAAAGTATCCCATCTCCTCGTCGCCCATGCTGCCTCGACTGCGTATGGCACAATTCTGTTTTCTGTTGAAGGTTCTGTCCGCATACCTTCAACATAATTGAGCAGTACGTCTGACTATGTTAGCCTTTGTGTATCACCAAAATTTTGAAGATTTGCGTTCTTACCGTGTTGGCCAGACTGCTTCAGGCAGTTGAGCAAATCGACTTGCACATCGATGCTGTTAGGCTCCTCTGCCAATTTGATTTCGTACCAGGTTTGAGCTGCAGTATATCTGCCTGCCTTCTTGTGACTGAGAATTTGCTGGTTGATGTCCAAAACGTGCAGATGAGCGGAAATCCCTTCAAGGCCGTCAGGCTCATCGATCTGGGTGTAAATATCCTGCAGCTGCTCGAGCAGTTGCTTTTTCTGTCCTGGGTCGCTCTGCGCAACCTCCATTTGCTGAGCATGCTGCTCAAGGTGAAAGAGCGCTCGCGGGTACTCTCTACAATCCATCGCACGTTGAGAGATGAGCACTGGCGGGATGACGCTCAGCAATTCCTGGACACGTGCTATCGCGGGCAGGTCGGCATCAGTCTTGCGCCTTGCGTCCTTTTCTTGGAGCCACCTGCTCGCGTAGTCGAGAGCTCTGAAGACAGCCTGTTTCTATTAGCAATCTAACCAAAACCGCCCGAAATCTTACTCACCTCGCAGTACAGCTTCATGTCTTCCCGTTCCGAATATGGCGCGTTGTCTGCGGGTGAGTGCTGGAGAATGCCAACCAGCTCTCCAATGACATTATCGCGGTCCTTTCGCGAGCTCCGGTGACCTATGATGACATGAAGCACTAAGTATGGCAGCAGGAATTCAGCAACAGCTAAGTCCTTGACCCTGATGGTGCGACACAGTGGTTCAAAGATGAGATCCGCGTGTCCGTTTTGTCCCTTGCCTAAGAGATCCATGTTGAATGAGCGCACCCAGTTTCCGTAGGGCTTCCCTGGGCGGAAGATAGGATACTCGACTGGTGCCACATTCATAGGTGTCAAGAGATATTTGGAGGTGAGGAATGGTGTCAAGACCATGCGGTCGCTCTCTGGCAATGCCAGCCATTTTCTGTAGATGCTACCGCCATCACGCATTCCAGTTTCTTTCATCGCCAATGCCGCCTTGACGTCCACCCGGTCGAGCAGTTCTTGCATGGCAAAGGCAAGGAAGCCTTGGAGTTTGGTATCTGTCGTGGACAGAAAAGACTTGACGAGAATCTGTTCCAAGATGAACAGCACGAAGTCGGTAGTCTCGTCCGCGCTCTCAAAGTTGCTCAAGATGACCATTGACTTTTGCTCTCGAGGCGCTTCGACTCTATTAGAGTCGAGGCAGCCCACCAGGCCAATGCACTGCGTGCAAAGACTGGCAATGTCAAACTGGTGCATAGCACTGTACTTCGCTGCGCAGTCTAGCAAGGCTCGGAGCAATATGGGGACGACCGGGTCAGGCTGTTGGCTGATGGCAGAAGTCTGGAGGAAGCCTCCACCCTGTTTAAGGTAGGCCTCGAGCTCTGTCAATGCCTGTAATACGACACCCGAGTTCTCGTGAGATATGCGCTCAGCGAAGAGGGCAAAGGCTTTCCTGCTGTCAAGAACTGGACGCGCCGCTTTGAGTTCCGCTTCAACATCTGCCAACTCTGTTATGTGAGCCAATGAAGGCACTTTGTTGATGTATTCAGTAAGGCTATCACTGAAGTCCGTGATCAACATTCTGATCAAATTCTTAGCCATAAGTCGAGAGGCATCACTCAAGAGCGGCCAGTAGTGACTAATGACGAAGAATGTGGTCTCAATCAGAGCCTCGACGTCTTCCGGCTCGAGACATGTCAGTAGGGCCGTCCAACAAGAGAACGCTGCTTCCCTTAGATCGTCCTGAGCCAGAGCTGATAGCAAGCATGCGGAAATCTAGGACGGTCAGCGTAAAAATCATCTGCTTGGCCGGCTAGTACTCACCTGTGGGCGTGCGACCCGAACATAGGCTTTGCAAAGTCTGATCATCTCCTCCAAGGCACGTATGCAACGCCTCTGTTCTTCGGGTGGAGGAAATACAAGTGGCACGTCATTGATGACATCCGCTAGTCGAGCCATGAGAGCAAGTATGTTCCTCTGTAAATATCTCCCAATAGTGTTGCCCTTCTTTGGTCTTGAATCTTTATTTGCGATCATCATCATGGAACAGAACGATGTCAATGCCTCGATTATCTGGCACGAGTCAGCAAACGACGGGCTTTTCGAAGATGAGATACTCACACGGGGTTTCCGTGCTTCATCCGCCTCCCCGGCAGCCTTGAAAAGCTCCAGGGCGATGGTGCAAACTTCTGATTGTACGAGCTCAACCAAGCTGAATGTCTCCAGATGAGAGGACACCTCGACAAGTCTAGACATGACAAACTCCTCGATATTTCGGACGTCTTGAATGAGCAACAGCGCAATAATGGGGCCAGCGTTGGCAGGGTCCAGGATAGGGACCCATATGTCTCTTTCTCCTCGCGCCTCTGCGATTTTCTGAATCACCTCTTTCTTTTTCATTAGTACCAGCCAAGGTAACGCATGCGTTTGGATCAGCAGCAGAAAGTCAGTGACTGATATCTGCAGCAGATCGGCAATTGCGCGGCAAATTTGCGGGCGAGCTTGCATGTCCTTCACAGCGAAGTATGCAAGGTTCCTCCAAAAGGGCTCAAAGAGACGACGTGGTGATGTGTTCAGGGCAGATGCTAGGTTGAGAATCTCAGAGCATGTCAGCCATCAAGTGTTGTGGCAATATTTGGGCGTCATACCTCGTTGAAGGCACAGGATGCGATCAGACTGTTGATGCTACCGAGGTACTCAAGCAACTTGTGCAGAACAAGGTTGAGCTCGTCTCCAGTCACGACTCTAGTCTCGTTAGCATACAACGTGTAAATAACTCCAGTCATTGCCACTCTAGCTACATGTGCTTACCGTCCAAGCTGGGCCCATGCCAAAATTCCGCTTTCGTGGAAGATTACTGCGTCCTTCTCGGAGGCGGCTTTGAGCAGACTAAGAGCATTCTTCCGGTTGCGAATGATCACAGTCGAGTCGAGCGCCTCCAAGTTATTGTCTTTTAGGAACAGAGGAAGAGCGCGTCTGCAGTCAGTCAGGTGCTGTCACTTACTATCGGTAAAGCTTTGACGTGTAAAACATACCCCGAAGCAATTCTGAGCTCTCTAATGGAGCTGTGCAGGCTTTGCAGACACCATTGTCCCAGAGGAGAGGTTTCGAGGTCGATGAGCTCCGTGACATCGGCGTGATTGATGATTCGTCTGGCAGAGATCATCGCAACGATCCTCGGGCGCCTCGACTCCTTGAAGCAATGGATGTGGATGAGTTTCGTGAAAATAGATTGAGCCTCCCTCTTTTCTTCGGCCGTTGTCACGTTGAGCCTTTGAGAGCCCCTGGATTTCTGATCACAAAATACGCATCTCAGGCTCTTGGTTCCGCTAATGCTTGCATCACCGTCAACAGTCGCTGCCATATCCACGATGCAACATATGCGGGATACAAGGTCGATGGCTCGACACTGGTCATCTTCGCTGAGTTCAGGGTATTGGTGTCTAAGAACATGTAAGCTGACGGATCAAACACACTGAGATAGAGGGGCGTACACGAGAACATGTTCCAGCCCTCCGTTCTCCTCAATCTCATCCGCTTGGCAGATTTCATAGATACGCGAGATCAACTTTTGGAGCTCAGTGGTACCTGAAGAGACCTTGAGCCGCTTGGGAGCGGGTTCTGCATCGTCAGCGGCACGATCCGTGGTATCAACACGATCCTTGAAACCAAGGTCTTCCACTGCCTGACGCAAGTCGGCGTCAAAGAAACAAGCGGGTTGGGTTTCGGAGTCGAGGGCTTTTGGGACCACGGATACAGATGTTTGCTTCAGAACTCGGATGGAACGCTGGAGGCAAGTTAGTCGAAGTTCGAAACAGCATCATGGCCAATAACATACTATGAAGTCATGGGCCTCAGCGAGTGAAGGGATTTCCACGCAGTACTCCAACGGGCAGACAATTTTGGGTGCTGCTAGTCTGCCAATTTCTCGATCTACAAGCGATGCATGCGCTAGTCGTATGAGCGCCAGCGAGACCGTCTTTCTCGCCGCCAGGCTCGAATCATTCGTCTCCAGTATTTCATCGGGATGTGCCGCAAGCTCAGCACAGAGCAATCCTAGGACAGTATACGCCTTCTGTGAGACAAATGATTTCTTGCCAGGACGCGGCTTGTCTGGGAGCAGGTTCAGAGCAATATTGAGCAAGTGAGCTCGAGGGCCTAGCACGACGGCCTGCCATGTGTTCTGCACAGCACGAAGGGAAAGCAAAGAATCAAGCAACCAAGGTGTCAGTTCGGACAAAGCTGGTCGTGACACCTGACCCGGAGATTTGGAGATTGAGGGGTGCGCCAAGGCCGAGGTCAACGTCGTTGCTTGATGTATGCACTGGGAGACATATTGGATGGTATATGTGGTTTGTTGGACAAAGATGGTGCCTGGCTTTCCTAACAAGAGCTCCAGTGTACCATCAGAAGGCAGTGTCATGCGTACAGTATCGTCTTTTCCAGTTGTAGTCGGTGCCATATCTTGCAAGCGATTTAAGAGAGCTGCGAGGGTTAGCGATTTGATGATGCACATGCATTTGGGCCCAAAACTCACCCCTGCTGGTCTCACGCAAGTACAGTAACATGGACGGGAGAGTCTTCCACATAGATCCCGTACGAAGCACCACGAGGATCACAAATCGGAAGAACCCCTCAAAGTCTCTCGTCAGCTCGAGGCACCGAGAGTGGCCCAGCAACCGAAGGATCTTGGGGAAGACCCAAATCCAAAGAGGCTCCTCCCCGCGGAAAACGAATTGTTTCCCATCTGTAGTATGGTTCAAGACATTCGGTGTCTCTTCTATTGTGACCTTCAAGAAATTTATGGCCTTCAGCGCCTCGTTCCGCAAGTGGTTCCGGTCGGCAAACGGATCGTCAAGCTTGATTCCTTCGAGGACGACGCGGGCGTAGACGTAAATGAGCATGTGGTTGTGATCCGCTCTCTGCTCGGCGTTTACTAGCAGTTCGGGCTTGTTCTTGACCTTCTCGATCACGGCAAACAGCCTCTTCAGCTCGGCATTTTCGTCGGATCGCGTGGACTTCGTCGAAGCCGAAATATTCTCAACCAGCTGCGCGGCTAGCGTGGAGGGAGGCGGCGCATTGGGAGCGGCAGCGGCAGCGGCAGCCGGCCTGCCATGGTTTTCTGTAGCCATGACTGTGTCCTCATTGTATGGCCGGAGGACGTCAAGCGAGTGCAAGTCACAATTGTCCACTGCTTGGAAGATCAACACCTTTAGGACTATTGTCCAAAGCTTGACGCGCCTGCGGGGGTGGGCCAACCATCGGATGCGCGCTCGAGTATGCGCGAGGTCACGTGTTCAATTAAGCTTGATTATGTAACTGACCATGGTCCGTGCTCTAAGCAAGTCGATATCTCCTGATGCCTTCAACCTCAGGGTGACCGTCCATTCTCGTCACAAACTGGATTAGTTGATGACAGCTTGCGTCAATTTACGCCCTTACCGCAAAGTTCGGCTTCGGGCAGCTCGTTTTCTCGTTTCTTGTCTGTCTACAGCACAATGGCGTGATTACAAATGCAAGAATCTGTCCCCCGCACGATTGTGCGGTGTCGTCTTTCCGATCTTTAATAAGCTGCTATGTCACGTTGCCAGAATGCCTGTGATCTTGGTGCTTGAACCGTTCACGAATTGCTACAAATACCAGTGACCGCCACCTAATTCTCTCTTGGACCCTCATTTCTACCCACGTATCTGCCTCATATATTGTCCCTCGGACTAGGAGACAGACTCTCAAACTGGCCCTCTCACTACGTCTGCCTCCTGTGACATTATGAATATTCCGCTCGAGAAAGCCATGCCGGGGGCCCTTCTTGTACAGGGCGTTTCAAATAAATTATCTTCCACTCTGGAGATGCTCCCATTGAAGCCATCAGCGAGCGCTTCAAGGCATACCTCGTCGCAAAATCCCAATCTCACCGAGAATGGCGAAACTCCAACAACCACAGCAACGGAACCGGAACCCCCGAGAGGTTCTCCATCCCGCAACGTCTCCATAGCCAAGAGTGTGACCATCATCATCACCCTCGCCGGGATCAACTTCCTCAACACGATGGGCTCGGGCATCCTCATCGCCGCGCTCCCGCGCATCGCGCAAGACGTCGGCCTCGACGAGAGCCTCATCCTCTGGCCCGCCGCCGTGTATAACCTCGCGGCCGGCTGCCTGCTCCTCATCTTTGGCGCCGTCGCCGACATTGTCGGGGCGAAAATGATGTGGCTGACGGGCAGCTACCTCTGTGTCGTCTTCACCGTCGCCGTGGGCCTGTCAAAGACGGGGATCCAAATCATTCTCTTCCGCACCGCTGTCGGCGTGTCCATATCCGCCTGTCTCCCCACAGCAATGGCCTTCATCACAAAAACGTTTCCCAAAGGTGGATGGCGCAACGTTGCTTTTTCGATGAACGGCATTGGCTTCCCGCTCGGATACGCGCTTGGCCTGGTCCTGGGGGGAATCTTCACAGACACCATCGGCTGGCGCTGGGCTTACTACATGATGGCCATCATTAACTTTTTACTGTCGACCGCAGCGGTCTGGTCTCTCCCTTCGATTCATCAACCGTCTGAGAAGAAGTGGACTCGTCGCTTGGCAGAGGACATTGACTGGATAGGGGCCGTCATCATGAGCGCTGCGTTGGGTCTGCTACTTTATGTACTGGCAATGACTACTTCATCGTACTCAAAGATTGCTGATCCTACCAACATCGCCCTCCTGGCCGTTGCAGTATCCTTGCTGGTCGTTTTCCCCTTGTGGATGAACCTCCAGACTACAAAGGGTCGGCCAGCGCTGATTCCAAACCGTTTGTGGCGAAATGCCGCCTTCACGTCGATTTGTGTAAGTGAACCCCGAGCCTAGAAGAAGACACAAGTTGCATCTAATATAGGTACCGCCAGGTGTCCATCTTCCTTTGCTGGGCTTCGCTCAACGCGATTCAGTATTTTATCATGCTGTAGTAAGTGCCGAATCGCTCAACTCGAGGAATATCCATGCTAATGCTCTCAAAAGTTTCCAAAAAGTCCGAGACATCTCCGCACTGCAAAGCTCTCTGAGGTTCCTGCCTCATGTCATCATGGGCACTCTCGTCAACATAGCAGCAGCATGGCTCGTCTCGAGGATAAAGGTCCAAACTCTGGGCGCCGTATCTGCAATTATTACAGCTGCTGCACCAATTCTCATGGCTAGAGTCGGGCTTGACGGGAACTACTGGCTTGCGCCATTCTGGGCCATGGTTCTCTCGCCAGTGAATGCTGATGGTATGCCGACCCTATCCCTTGTCCCGGCACACTCTGTCCCAATTTTAGCTCCAAGATATCTAAAAACCCATGAAAATAGCCCTCTTCACCGTTTCGAATCTGATCATCTCCGACGCCTTCCCAGAAGATGTGCAGTCCCTTGCCGGCGGCGTATTCAGCGAGATCGGGCAGATCGGCAATGCAGTGGGCCTCGCCGTAACGGCGGCCATCGCGGCCTCCGTGACGGAGCACTCGGATGCCTTACACGACGATACTAGGGAGGCGCGTATGGAAGGTTACCGCGCCGTCTTCTGGACCATATTTGCCGCCACGGTCGCGATGCTCATTATCGTGGTTGGAGGGTTTCGAAAGGGTGGTACGGTCGGGAAGAAGGATGACTAGGCGATGCCTGCTAGACTTATTAGCGTGAGAATGTCTTGGAGTGGTTGCGCTTGGCTTTGAAGGGGGCACCGCTGTTGCCGCCGTCTAGTACGGTAATGTATGTCTAGGATCGAGTATCGCTCAAATTAGCATCATGTGCAGGTAGGACTCAAGTCGTCAAGCTGATGTGAACATGGCACGCAAGCATCTCGAGCTAGTATCACAAGATTATTACGCTGAACACCAGGTTTAGAAGGCGAAAAGGAATGAGATTTCATTTGGTATCAATACAATGGTGTTACCACCCAAGGAAAATACCAGCATTGCAATACCGAATAACGGAACAGACGATACCCTGGTAATTTTTGCGTCGATCGGTTGGCCTGAGCAAATGTTTCCCTTTAGTCCGATGTCGACCCAGTGGAAGGGTTTGGGTTTCCGTGAGTGTTCAGACGACTGAACTCAACCGATTCCTGAATTTGGCATGCCTTGTGGCAGCTGGCAAATGATGAGTTGTCACAAAAAGCCAAGATTAATGATGCGTGGTCCACGGCTTGGCTGAGCCAATCGATCAACCCGCGACTTCAATCACTCTTCTAGCGACGATGTCATATTACGTCGACGGATGCCGATGTGGTTTCCTGAAAGGCCCGTACGAACCCTCCGGATTTCTGGTCCCGCTATTGTGTGGAAATGGAAACGACCCGGAGCCGATCCTGTGCCGGGTTCCTTGGCTGGTTACCGCAAAAATGGGGATCGTTGACGGCGTGCTGACATTATCGTGAACTGGGCCCTTTCGGGTTTCATCCATAAACTCGGAGGTTTTGTGGACTTTCTGCAGTTTGACAGGATGTTTATCTTCGACGATCATGTCGCGAGCCGCGCACATACCGTCCATCTTGGAAATGAGAACGGCTAGAGGGACGCCCTCCCAGAGAATTCTGGGATCGATCGCCGGGCGGGTTATAGGTCTTGGCAGCTTGCGCAGCGGCAACGTCGATCTGGCGGTCTTGTTTTTCCATACCTAGCTAGGCCCTTTGAGAGGAAAAAACTTAGTACCGTTCACCTCACCCATCCTCTTGCGGCATTCAGAGAAAAACGACGATCAGTTGGAGAAAACCCTCCATGCCTCCGTATGTGCATGCACATGCCAGCATGTCGGGCATCTCCAGACTTATTTTCTCAACCTCTTTTCGCAAGGGGATTCTGATAAGGATCAAAGTGTGGTCGCGTGAGAGTGGTCTTGTGTCGTGTGCTCATGTGCCACACATCCAGGCCCGTGTTCAAGCCAATATCCTGGACCGGGGTTGCATCTGGCGGTGTTGCTGCACCACTAAGTGAATCACTGACTTTAGGTGTGGCTGGAGTGCCCAGTCTTCTATTTGTCGACCGGCTTGGACTCCGCGTTACAGCTTCACATGTCTCTCCTATGCAACTTTGGCATGTTATTTTCGCCGCGATTTGGAGGCCCCCGTGGTTGTCTCCAGGCAGTCCCAACACTCTCATGCTCCCCGCGAAATGTCCACTTCTCCCTGCAGGATAGCATCATCTAGTTCCACAGTCGTACGGGCTGACTTGAAGCAGGCAGCGTGCGGTTGTCGAACTGGCTGCGACGGCAAAAGGGAACGTTATTTCCGAAAGTTGGGATAAAAAGTGAGGGAAACGGCCGGTGAATAAAGCGCATGTATCCGTACTCTGTGTTCGTAGACGGGAGCAAGCAAACACAGGCAAGCAGGTTTTGGGTGGTAGCTGTAGGGCTGCCAAGTGAGGCCTAGTCGTCATAGTGGATAGGCCGGCTACACGTAGACCCAGTTAGCAACATGTTGAGGGTTTGGTTGTCTCGCAACCTCCCACACCTGCATCCCGTCTGTATGCTCTGGGCCGTTTACACGGTTTGTTTTTGCGAAACCTAACCAAGTTCGGGGTTGTAGAGACAGAGTGCTGTTGGTCGTTGGGGGTCGCTCGGGGTCGTTGGGGACCGAGAGAACCTATTGTCCGTCTCTGGATAGCGGAATCCGTGGATGGGTTTCTTTCTTGCGTCCTTTCAGATCGGGGATTTGGCCCAAGTTCGCGCCTTGGTGGGGTAGCGGCGGGGGATCCGTGTCGACCCGGAGGCTGGGCAAACTGATTACTGCACACAGCACCTCATTCTGCCGTCGTCTCATCACATCCTCGAATGCTGGCAGGGTGGGATCGCCGGAAGGCAAGGTTTGGTTCCTGGCGCATGATTTTGATCACCATGTGCTCGGCTTCTTCCTGCTCTGTACTATCCGTATCCGTAACTGCCGTGCTGTCGACGGGTGTAAGTGGTTCTGTTTGTCTTTCATCCAAGATATGCCCAACATTGTGCTGAGGTCAAGAAGTTGTCGTGGTCTTGGTGCACGATCCCTGTCCTGTTCCCAGATGTTTGGCGTGGTGGATTGACCCGAAGTTGCGACCACACGCTATCGCTAGGTCCTCCTCCGATAGAAACAAGAACGCAAGGTACGTACCGAGTACTCTGGAATACCTACAAATGGAAGGTTAAGGTACCTACATCGATAGTCTCCACAAAACTGGGGTCTCTCCGCAGACCGGTGTTTCCCCGCCAAGACTCCCAAAAGCACCTCGCAATCCATCGACTGGCTGAGAGGAACCGTACTACGAAGAAGGAAACAAAACATGTGTGAACAAGTACTCAGGAGTCGCCTGTTGGTACGGATAAGGTAGGCTTCCATCGTCTTATTCACATGGCCAACCAATGCAACTGTGCGCTGAGCCAGAATCAACCCCCAAGAAAGACAACACGGCAGAACACAGAATACACAACGGCAACCAACCAGAAGCTACCCCTCTCGTCGGTCTCGGGGGACGTCGGCAACCGGTGGAGGCTAGAGCACTTTCCCACGGGCTTTGAGACTTTGAGAGGACGGGAAAGACGGCGCTGGGCTGGACCTGGACTGGACTGGGCTATGCTAATACCGCCAGAATGCAAACCGGCTCCTGCCACCCGCAGTTTTAATGAACAGAACCAGACGAACATGGGAATGAAAGGTTCAAGTGGGCCGTCTATCATCGACCCCGCGCTTGCTGACGCCTTCGAACATCTCAGGCTCAGCTCCCATTCACCCCATATCACCGTGTCAGGCCGGGGACATTCATTCTTGTTAGTCGATACTTATTCAGAGACGCAACGAAGCTTCTTTCCTCTCGTGTTCGTTTTGTTGCCACTCGAGAGTAATTCCCTCTCTCTTGAAGTCTTATCCACCAAGTCTTCCGAAGTGAGCAATATTTCATCTCCAGTATTCGTTCACACCTCCACTTGGACCTCGAGGCAATCCACATGTCTACGTTTTCTCTGCCCCCCCCCCCCCCCCCCCCCCCCCGCGCCGAACACCACCCTACCCTATCAACACGCCCGCAACAGTCCCTCCTCTATCCGCCTTGCCCACTGCACCCAACACAACCTCACTTTGACCTCCGTCGCTGACCCCCGAGGCCCCCGTCCCCCCCCCCCCCCCCCCCCCATCCCAGAAAACCAGCCTGTTCCTTCAGTGACAGGCCAGAGGCGTTGTTCTTGTTGGTTTATGCACCGGACCTGAAGTTCCCTCCTACTTTGGCCCGGCCTGAACCACATCGAAATCCTATTCCTGGCCATGACCCCCGCCCAAACCCACCGCTCAATATCCAATTATCCCTCCACTCAGTCCACGCCCCCAAAGTCCCAAACGGGATGCTTTCCTGGCTGAACTGACAGATGCCCCATCGCCGTCAGCCAATGCTGGGCAACGGCACGTTTGCGCCAGGAACACGACGCCTCGAGGAGCCGCGTCCCCTTCGGCCTCTCCAGCCCGTCCAGGCCATGGCTGATGTCGATGCTGTTTCCAGTCTTCTCCATTCTTATGCCCTGCTCGTCGCTTGTCCTTAGCCCCTCCGCGGCGTAAGAAAGTCTCCATCGTCTTCGTTTATCACCGAAACTAGGTGAGATAAACACCGCGCCGCGCTGCACATGAATATACCTGGCCTTTTTCTTTTTGATTTGCTCTGGACCTCCCTATCCTGATCTAGTACAAGGGGACCGCCCACGCTTAACCTGCATGCCATCCATCCTCATCTGCTCCGAGCTCGTTCCCCTTCTGCTGTCTCGACCCCTCACCCCTCGCTCTGCATCTCAAAGAGGAAAACGATACATCTGACCTGCATCGCCCTGCCTTCCCTGCCTTCCCTGCCTTGCCTCGACACCGCACATTGCACAGCAGAGAAGCCATCCTGTACGCTACTTCCGGCTGGGCTTCTGTTATCGTTCTAGTCCCTTACTCACGTGTCCCCGCACCACCTATTTCGTCCAATCTGGAGCACCAGGTAGTTCTCTACCCTTGAGGCCGCTACACAAAGATACATTCGCGCGAGAGGCTCACAACTACGCTACCGCTGCGCCAAGCTCCAACCTTCCACACACCCACCCCTCCATCACGCACACCACGCACCAAGGGCACCCACCTCTCGGGCAGAGGCATCCCAGTTCCCGCCGGTTCGGACTGGACTCCAGCTATCGCTGGGCTGCTTTATCCGTGGGCGGCGTCCACCTTGTCTCTCTTGCTTCGAGCGTGACCGACTTATCATTCTTCTCCCCTGACCTGCTTGTCTTAAAATTTGGGATTCGGAAGGCGTCATACACATCCTACACGCTCGTTTCCCAACCTGCTCAGGGTTCTCGCTATCTTCTTGTGCTCGAGGTAGAGTCGCCCAGTTACACACACCTTGTCTGGGGATCTTCGCTTGATCTACCTGCTGCCTTGATCCTCAAGCTGCGCTTGCGCCGTTTTTTGGAAAGGCCCGGATCTCCCTCCGCAACCAGATGGTCAATATTTATCCCTCCACCCTCCGCACTCTACCTTCAACCGGCTACTCTTAGGCACCGGAAGTTCTGCCTACCACTTTGCGCCTGGTTTCACCGAGAATTATATCGTCAAAATGGCCGCTGCCGTAGCCGAACACCCGCGTTTCTTTCCTTCGCACCATGATGCGCTGAGCCATGATGATTTTGAAACGGCCTCGATCCGCTCAGCCGCGCCGTCCTATTGTGAGTTGAAAATTGCCATGAGCGCGTGTTATGTGGGACCTTGAGATAGCTTCTCTGCTTCCGCACGAGAGGTGGTACAGGCGCCTGACACGCCCAAGCTTCACCGACAAAGACATGCCGCAACATGAAAACGGGAATGGTCAAGCTAATACCAAGAAATAGTCTCAGACGCGCCCTCCTATCACTCGATTGCTCCGCATCCTGAGCCTATTCCTCCCTACTCCCCGCCCGCCAGCAACAACAATGTGAACCGCACGGCCACCAGCTCCACTCAACACCCAACTTCCCTGCTCCCTGCCGTCCCGGCCCCGAGCCGCTCCGGGAACTCGACGCCCCAGCCCCACCGAACCACCGGCCTGCCTCCGATCCCCCCAGTGCCGCCCATGGCGCCGCGACTCGACCAGTTCCGCATCCCGACGTGGTCAACCGTGCACACAAATCCGACACTGAATAACGTCGCCCGAAGACGCATGAATCAAGGTGCTGATCCCGTTGCCCACCTTCGTCGCTTCATGTCGGAGCGAATGGCTGAGGAGGAGGCGGCCCAGCGAGCTCGGGATTTCCGCCCGCTCGAGGATCCTTACTTGGTCGGCGAGGAGGCCGCTGCGAGTGCTCGCCGGGAGAGGCTTGCCCGCGAGTCCGGTGAGGACATTCTCTGGGACGAAGATCGCCGTTGGAACCGCTTTCTCGGTAAGTCTTGGGGTTTGCCTGACTTTCATTTGTGCTTAATTGAGTGAAGTAATGGCTGGCTAACGTTTCCTGACAGCACAAATGCAAACTTGGGAGGACCGTGACCGCAGCAGCTGGAGAAACCTGCGTCAACCCCCACCAACGAACCAGCGCAAGAAGCTGACCCGTCGCCTTGCGGGACGTTTGTGGTAGACGCTAGACGCGACTACGATTTTTTTTTGGTGGGCGCGCATCTGACATGACTGAGAAACGAAGGGTTCGTCATGCATTGGGAAAAGGAGTCATTCGCTTTTCATCTTATCATTCATCCATTGGCGTCACTGCATAGAGCATTGGAAGCCGATGATTCCTCCTAGAAAGGAGATGATTTTCCTCTTGGGTTTTTGTTTATGGGCAACGAACATGGCATTTGGGCTTTTTCTTTATCTTCCAGGACAGATTTTTTTCTTGCCTGTGATCGCATTTCGGGAATCATAGGCGGGATTTTAAACACTTTTTGGCACCGAATCTAGATTCCAGATGCATTCTAGGAACAGATTCGAGAAGGCCGAAAACATATCGTCCATCTTGATTACGTTTCAACGAATCGGTAGTAGGGACGTTTAGGGCCTTGAGTCCTTGGTTAAAGGGCATATGAAACCAAATTGAATTAGAACTCTGATCTGTGTCTAGAGCTTCAGCATGAGTGACTTGGTTTTCTTACGAGACGGTGTGTACCTGGGCATTGACGACTAGGTGATAGTGGTCCTCCAGTCTTGCCATTTCTCTCAACCTTGCCATACCATAGTACAGTACTTCCGTCCCTCTGCTTTATAAGGACTGGGGAAACACTACTAGTCATTCATGGGGATTATAATACCATACTTCTCAGATGACGGTGTACTCCACTCCACGCTCCTCACCACCGGTTGACCACGTACCTTCAAGTATTTTCCATTTCGTCGCATTTCTTTTCCTCGTGTCGCTAGCACAACTTGAAAAGGTTTCCTTGTCATCATCGAATACGTAAATTTGAAAGAACGCATCCTAGAACTAACAAAGCGACAGAGACTCTACTTTGTTCTGAGAAAGGGGCTACCAGGATACGTCAGTGTTTACCATGTCTTGTCCTCCGTTTTTTTCTTCAAGTTTTGTTTCTCCTTCTTGGTGGCTATGTTTTGGGAACATTCTTACGGCGGGTACACTTGTGATGTGGCCCTGTGATATCCAATTTTTCTTGCGACGTCTTCTGCTGATATACTTTTCTGATCTTTGGGCTTAGGACACGGGTGTCTCAGTCTCTCGGGCTTGTCCTCGCCTTCTCATTCGCAGTTGAATAGACTGCTGACTGCCTAGCGTCCAAACAGTCACGCCCCAGCCTTCTGACCACTGACGAAATTCACACCAAACCTGCCTAGATACAAATCGAAATTTATGCGAGAAACAACATCACTTTTTCAGTCTACCTCGGTTGTTGCGTTGCAAGGACTGAATGTTTAGGATTCGTTTCCCTGTGAGGGTTACCATAGACAGGCAGCCTATGATAGACAAGATGATATGTGACTCTGATAATCAGTCGGGAGCAGAAATAAGTCTATGATTACAGTGAAGATATCTCATAGACGCCTGATAGCAAGATCATAAACCAAGCATCGTGTACGGACAAGCTATGGCCGCAGCTCCAGTCTCTGGTGGCGGGACAATCAAGCCTCTCGAGAATGCTTGCTTGCTAGTCATCATTATCACAACCTAGGCCTTCGTTACTATTGAACACAGGAAGCCAAGTCAAAGAAAACTTGTGATTTTATGACAGAGAACACTGATAAGTCTTTCCTGCTCACACACGAAACCTGTGAGGAAGTATATAAATTTAAAATGCCAATGGCAGCCACATGGTCGAAAGGTTCACTTGAATAGTCCCATTACATCCTACATTACCACAATCAGGTTGATGCCCAACCCCTCAGCAAGGTGCCAGTGGATATCAAGGGCTCCCGGTCAGACTCTTGCTCTATCAGCCTGCGTACCAGAGATACATTGACAGTAGTCAATTACTCGAAGACACTCGGAGTCAAGTTGACAAGGTTTCTATCGAACTTCCTATGATAGGCCTTCACGCTAAATGGCTGAGGGACTGTGTAGAAGCCAACCACAGAGAGAGGGCAAGCCTCCCACTACAACCCCGCGAGCGTCAGACGAGGTACTCTCAGAATAGCGACTGTTGACGGGGTGGCTCTCGACGTCGCTATCATCGTTGCCGTAATCATGACGTATGGTGAGAAGCGCGGCAAGGGGGAAGAAGTTGTCTTCGAGAACGCCTTGAAGTAGGAGATGACATTGAAAGCTCCTCCGTGCTTCACCAACCGTGGCACCCATCCCGCTTCGTGTCGAGCCATCAATTTTCTCAAGTCCGCCATCTCAGCCGCCGAGACACGAGGAGAATAAGAACTTCCTCTTGACGCCGTGCCGAGCCGATCTCCCGAGTCGACACTGCTACTGGATCGCGCGGGGCTTGTGCTACCATCTCTGTTCGAAAAGTGGCGGAATGCAGTGGCGCTGTCGTTGCGTATTGCCCTGCAGGTAATCCGAGTACGTATATCTAGGTCGGTCAACGATAGGTAGTGGTAGTCAACATATTACGTTGGCTAAAGTTGATGAGGCGATTTGGCATCACGTCTAGTCTCGACATCGGAGACTTACCGCAATGATCCTAGACGATTTCAGAGAGCTCATAAGTTTCCGCTGTGTGGCGAGGAATCGCGAAGCCTCACAGGACGGTCGCACAGGCAGCCAAAGTCGCCGGCTACGTGAATCTTCGGGAACTAGGCATCGCCCCTATCTTCCAGGTATGCCTTCGGACCACTCCTCGACTAACACCAGGTCACCGAGTTTGGTAGATTCCACGTGAGTCTCAGCCATGCAATAATGGGCTTCGTCACTTGGCATGCATGATGGAAATCAAGATTGCTTTCGAAAATTTCAGAAGTACTGAACCCGGATGCCTATCATACCTTCCACAGCTCCCGAGACTTTCTTCTAGCCCGTCATACATAAAATCTACAGGAGGGTCCTATTGTAACGCCGTGCCATATGCTGGTTTGGACCAGAAACCACCCATACACCTTCTCTTTTGATGGTTCTTCAACCTGACGTCCGGCGGTTTCCTGGCTTAATGTACAGTTGTTTTGTCGAAGGGTGGTGTTAAGTTGTAGTAATTCATCGCCGTTTGGATTATTCGAGGAATCGAGAGCATCTTAGCCCTTGGACTTGGTGTTCAGGATAAGAGCGACGATGAGGCTGTGTTGGTCAGCTTTGTGGACTTGCGGTTTTCTCTGGTGTTGTGACATACCCGTAGAGACCCAGGACTTCACCGAAAATGAGGATTAGAACCATGCCGACGAAGATGCGGGATTGCTCCATGTACGAGCGCACGCCCTTATCACCAACGATACCAATCGTGTAGCCAGCCGCAAGACCAGTGAAGCCGACGGACAGACCGCAGGCGAGGTGCATGAAGCCGCTATTTCCAGTCAGTATGTAAAGTCTTGTCATAGACGTGTGGCAAACGGCGGAGCTAACTTGAACAAACTGTAGTTGCTTCCAGCACCGGGAGGCACCAAGTCTTGCGCGATGAGGACCGATATGACCAATGAGTAGACAGCAATGATACCGGACATGACGACAGGAATCAGGCACTGCGAAAGTATTAGCCGGCGGTTCTAGACCAGGAAATGCTGTCGGGGCGGCGTGCCTTCATAATGAGGTCAGGTCTGAAAGTTCCGACACCAGCAATACCGATTCCTGATTTTGCGGTACCGTATGCGGCGCCGATGCCTGTCGATGAGAGTCTGTTTAGCACATTGTCTACTTATCGTCGCGTCGGAATGCAGGGTAGCTAGGCTGTGAGGTCGAACATACATCCGAAAATCATGGCAGCCGCAATGCCGGCCTAAATCGCATACCAATCAGCACAAGTCCTCATGTAAATGTCACAAGTAGCTTGCTTGCTCGAGTAGCAAGTAGGTCCTCGGGGGGCGAGAGCTTACCATTCCAATGAACGGCGCAAACTTGGGGGCGAGAACAGAGTCTTCGGCCATGGTGGGCAAAATCGTGGTCGGACTCGATGCGGGGGATGCGTATTGATGGCCGACGGGGGGGGAGGGATATGCGTGTCGAGGATCCCACGATGTTGGCTTCCTGGATCCAGGACCTTGGAGCTTGGTGATGGTGACGAGGCCCAATCAGGACTGCACTGTGGACAGGCTGAAGGAACCCGTGACACGGCACTATACCGGCCCGAAATACCAGCCTCATCTCAACGGCCACGTGGCTGGTGTTATCTAAAGTCTGGGAGTTCGTGGCTGGGCTGGCAGAAGTGGAGACGGTGCTCGTGTGCGGCGCAGCGGCTGCAGCAGCGTTCTCCAGGTGGCCCGTGTCTGACGGGGGTCTGGATTCTCTCATCGATGCATACATAGCCTTATCGCGGCGCATCATCCGAGGAGCGGAATCCCTGAGTTCTCGCCGGCTCTCACTTCCACCCCTTCGACTGCAGGTCATAGGCATATTGCGCTCTTCACTTGTTACCAACTGGGCGGACGGGACGTGCCTTGGCGCGATGAGTGCAATTAACTTTTTGTCGCGTCTATCTGGCACTCGCGGGGATGTGGCTCTCCTGGTGGGACAAGGAGGGCAGAGAGCTTTCGAGAAGCTTGTTAATTCGAAGCCATCCCGAATCCCGACAGCAAAGTCAAGCTGGCTCGAAACACGGGCGCATTGCAAACAACAGACAGACCGGGGGCCTCGTTAGTGGCGTGCGGTCTCTCTTGCATGAGGGAGCTCCATTTCTTCCGGCAGTCACGTTGCCCACCTCACGCAGCGTTACGACATACGGTTTCCAGTCTAGCCCCCCTGTTTCTAGCAAAAGTTCTTGAATAATGCGAATGTGCTGTCACAAGTCAGACACTGTTATTCTTAGAACTTGATATCGCCAGACCACACGTTAGAGGAATGCCCAGGCCAGGGTAATCGACGCCTCTCAATATTGGATGCAGAGAAGCAGGGCGCTGCGTCTAATTCACGGGCGGAAGGGAGACGGTGGATCGGGCCAAGTCCCCAAGTCCCAAGTCTACCTGTCCTGGCGCCTAGGTGGATCGTCCAGCTTGCACCTTTTGGTGGTCGGCCGTCTATTTTGACATTGATTGAAATAATGGATTGGCCGTCCTAGCACGCATGCGAGTTGTTGGCGCACCAGACACGCCGCTTGCTCTGTGTGTGTATCTATTGGATGTATTTGGGTAAGTCGATCGCACAACAGTTGCTGCCTTTGATAGCATGACTTTTTGTGGCACTTTCCGGGCCAAGCAAAAAATAGGGAGAAAGAGCAACTGGAGGCAGGACGTGACACCGTCCAACTGGCGCTGCAGATCCAGAAGGTAGGTGGGCAGGCACGGCAGGCAGGCCAGTCAGTAGTAGATGACCAGGAAGAAGGTACCTTATTGACATGTGCACCTTCCGTAGGAGAAAACGGCGCATCCAAAAAAGTACACGACCCGACCCTGACTAAGGCAAGGCGCTTTCCACTTTACACCAAGAAGAGATGGTTAGTCTTCTCCCAGCGGTATCCCGTCTATCCAGACCTGTCTGGTGCCGTCCTATCAATCTATCCCCAGCTTTCGACGCCTGTCCCAACCAAGGACCTCTAGTCCCGACCCAGTTCTAGCCCAATGCCGATGACTTAGCACTAACGACGACCAGCGACCCCAGCAGCACCCTCTTCTACCACCTCCTCCACCGCGAACCACCACGGCCACCACCATCCTTCAACTTTTTGCCCGCAACATTTCCTAGCCGTAAGCAACAAGTTACGCAGCATTGCTATCGCCGCCCACATTCTACCCTGCCTTGCCCGACGCTCCTTTCGCATCGTCTCGAGATAAACAAAAGTTGCCTGATTTGCGTGGTCCGGTTTCTTTTTCGTCACCTTCCCTGTTTCCTCTCTTCTCAACCCCCCCTTCGACAATCGCTCGGGTCAGGGCCCTGTGTCAAATCATAGGCCCATAACGTCACCCGGCCCATCCTGGAAAGGGGACGCAGAACAGAACGAAGGGGAAACGGATAGCAACCACTGAAAAAAACCTCCTCCACGCCGGTACCCGCCAAATAGCCATATCGACGACCGCCGCGTCGACTACTACCTTCGATTCCGCCAATTGTGCTCTTTGAGCTGCTTGGGCGGCCCTGTGTCTCCTCACCAAAGTCGGCCGCCGTTGAGGCCTCGCGTTGTTAGTACTACACCTCTCTTTCGATTCTCTTGTACCACATTTTTCTCCACCTTGGCACACTCGCCATCTCTCCCCTTTAAACCAACCCACGACCAAAAGCTGATAAGGGCCTTGTCGCCGACTTTCAGTTCCTCTATCGATCCCATCATGTCCGACTACCGCGGCGACCCGAGGGGTCACTCGTCCAACTACCAGCGCGAAGCCGCCTACTCTAACATTTTCGGCGCCAACCCCCCGCCGGGACGTTCGCAGACAATGACCTCTTCTTCGATGCCTCCTCAGATGATGCAGCAGCAGCAGGGTGGGAGGACGCAGACAATGTCATCCTCCATGTCGTCTATGCAGCGACAGCCGCCGCCGAGGGTGCCTCAAGGCCAGTACATGGACCGCGACCCGGGCTCTCCGAGAGGTGCTCCCATGCAGCCGAATGGGTACCCGGCTCAACAACGGTCGGCGTCCGGCGGCTATCAAGTCCCCAACCCGCAAGCACAATACATGCAGCAGCAACAGGCTCGCCGCCCGTACGGAGGATCTGCCGGGCCCGTCCCCCAACGTGACGGAAGGGGGCTACCGCCGTCCCAAGGGCAGTACGGTCCGCCAAGAACGGCGGCACAGCGATTCTACCAAGGAGCAGGAGGCGCGGCGCCCGCCATGAATAACGATTCTTATCGCTCACAGTCTCTCGCTTCCGCCCCGAGACCGAATATGTATCAGCCTACTCCAAATGGATACGGCTCACAGCCGAGTCACCAGGCCCCGGCCAATGCTTTCCGCCATGCTCCGTACAATCCGAGCTCGTCTCGCACAACAGCACAGGGAAGGGTCGTCCCGGAGCGCCAAGACGATCGAGCCATGTCACTGACTGGTTATCACTCACAGGACCGCGATATGCACCAGTACCAAAATTCCCACCAGACTATGAGTGGTCGGGTTATTCCAAACAGGAGGGCGCCCGTGGAATTGCCGGCCACCAATGGAAGCTTCAGTGGAAGCTATACACCAGCGCCAGGGTCACAGACGAGGACCATGAGCATGGCTTCTTCGACCGGCGACCCGAACAATCAGAGGACGATGTCGATGGCGTCTACGGTGGCACCAACGATAACGCCTTCGGAGAGCGACGCGACCCTGGCGCACAGGCCTTCTATGAGCAAGTCCATCGACGGTGAACGGCCTCCAACTGGCAAAATCCGACCCCCTTTGGTCTATCCCGCACTGTTATCGCGAGTTGCCGACTGTTTCCGGCAGAAAATCATTATAGGCGACCGGACGAAGAACGAGCTCACGTATAAGAACGCCTTCAGCGGTGCCGAAGCTGTGGATGTCTTGTCGTACATTATTAGAACGACAGACAGGAATCTGGCGCTGCTGTTGGGACGAGCCCTCGATGCCCAAAAGTTCTTCCACGACGTCACTTACGAACACCGCTTGCGAGACTCCACGTCAGAGATGTACCAATTTAGAGAAACTCTGATGGAAGAAACGGAAGAGAGGCCTGCAGTCGATGGTGTCTTTGTGCTCCTCTCCGAATGTTACTCGCCGACTTGTACAAGAGATCAGCTCTGCTACTCCATTGCGTGCCCTCGCAGACTGGAGCAGGTATCTCGGCTGAACCTGAAGATTCAGCCTGGCCTGAAGAAGGAGTCTGAGAATGTATCCAACGAGGACGATGTCGACCAGACCGATGAGCAGAAACTTTGGATCAACTCCGTTCCGAAGGAAGTGGCCGACAGCATCGGCGACAGAGAGAAGAAGAGGCAGGAAGTTATTTCAGAAATCTGCTACACAGAGAGAGATTTCGTCAAGGACTTGGAGTATCTGCGTGACTTTTGGATTCTGCCTCTGCGCTCCAAGGCTTCTCCGATTCCTGCTAACAAGAGGGATAAAGTTGTCAAGGCGATTTTCAGCAACATCGTCGACCATCCCAGTCTACATGCTGTGAGCGCGAAATTCGCCAAAATGTTGACAGAGCGGCAACAGAAGAACCCTGTTGTCGGCGCTATTGGCGACATTTTCCTTGAGTGTGTGCCTCAGTTCGAGCCATTTATTTGGTATGGTTCCAAGCAATTGGAGGCCAAGTTTGAATTTGAGAACGAACGATCCGCCAATCCCTACTTTGCCAAGTTTGTTGACGAGATTGAACGACGGAAAGAGTCGCGCAAGCTGGAGCTCAATGGTTACCTCACCAAGCCAACGACGCGTTTGGCTCGTTATCCACTTTTGCTGGAAAATGTGCTCAAGTACACTGAGGACGGTAGTTCCGACAAGGAAGACATCCCCAAGGTACTCAAGTTGATTCGCGACCTCTTGACAAGAGTCAACGCCGAGTCAGGAAAGGCCGAGAACAGGTTCAACCTGAGACGACTACATGAGCAACTACGCTTCCGGCCCAATGAGAGGGTGGATCTACGATTGACGGAGGAAGGTAGAGAGTTGGTGTTCAAGAGTCAGTTGAAGAAGACACCGCAAGACGCGTCTGAGATCACTGCTTTCTTGTTCGACCACGCGGTTCTTCTGGTGAGGATCAAGCAGGCTGGCAAGGGCGAGGAGATCAAGGCATACAGGAGGCCGATTCCCTTGGAACTGCTCGCTATCCGCGAAATGGAAGAGGTTATCCCGGGGTCTGGTGCCATGAAGCGATCTTCGTCGAGCTTGCTTCCCGCGCTTCGAGCCAACACAAACGACAACAAGAAGAGCGAAGGTTGGCCGATCACGTTCAGGCACTTGGGCAAAGCCGGGTACGAACTGACGCTTTATGCGTCTAACCAGGCTGCACGTAAGAAGTGGCTCGAGTTCATTGACAGCGCCCAGCAACGTTTGAGAGCCCGCGCCGACTTCTTCAACACAAGCGTAATCTCCACAGGCTTCTTTTTGGGTACAAATCAAGTCAACTGCGTCACGCCGTACGATGGTGGTCGCAAGTTGCTGTACGGCACGGACAATGGCATCTACCTTTCCGATCGTAAGAGCAGAGACGCGATGCCCAAGCGCGTCATCGAGACGACGAGCGTCACCCAGCTCGATGTCCTCGAGGAATACGGTCTCCTCCTGGTGCTGTCCAACAAGGCACTTTATTCGTACCCACTTGGAGCACTGGATCCGAATGAGCCTGCTCTGTCCAAGCGACCCAAGAAAATCCAGAGTCACTGCAACTTCTTCAAGACAGGTATCTGCCTTGGCAGACATCTTGTGTGCTGCGTTAAGTCCTCAGCTCTCTCGACTACAATAAAGGTGTATGAACCCAACGACGCCATGTCGAAGGGCAAGAAGCAAAAGGGCTTCGGCAAGATGTTTGCTGGACAAGACGAGCTCAAGCCGTTCAAGGAGTTTTATATTCCTACGGAATCATCGTCCGTACATTTCCTCAAGACGAAGTTGTGTGTGGCATGTGCTCGTGGATTTGAGGTGGTGTCGCTTGAGACTCTTGAGACCCAATCGCTGCTCGACCAGGCAGATACGAGTCTCGACTTCGTTGCAAGAAAGGAGAATGTCAAGCCGATTCACATAGAGCGTCTCAACGGCGAGTTTCTACTCAACTACTCTGAATTCTCGTTCTTCGTCAATCGTAATGGATGGCGCGCAAGACCTGAATGGCGGATCGACTGGGAAGGAACACCAGGAAGCTTTGCCCTTAGCTACCCTTGGATTCTGGCATTCGAGCAGAACTTCATCGAGCTCAGGAACATTGAGAATGGTGCTGTGCATATTGTGCCACACAAGAACATTCGGATGCTACATAGCAGTACGCATGAGGTAATACTGTCTCCCCCTTATGTAAGACGCTCTCCGCTGACACTTTACAGATCATCTTTGCGTATGAAGACGAGAAGGGAGAGGACGTCGTCGAAGCCATCGATTTTTGGAAGAGCAACAGAAGATCCGAAATCCCTTGATTTCACTCCGCTACTCAGTTGTTTCTCAACCGTCTTCCGATTGAAAATATGTTTTGACGATCGATACCAGAGTGCTTTTACTCAACAAATTCTTTTCCAGCTGCGTCCGCGGCAGCCTTTTGATGCTGAAGAGGGCTTTGGTCTACCTGACGCGTGGCAACTTCGGGGGCCGATGGTATGGGGGGTGGTGTTTCCTGTAAGGAAGGAGACATCAACCCCGCTTCGCCATCGATACGCGGTTCTATTTTGCATTGTTGCATCTACTTGGATGAGGTTACTTGTTCGACTGGGAAAGCAGGTCGTCCGCATGCAAAGGCTTGGATGTGGAAAGGCCAGTGAAGGAGGTGAATGGGACCGAAAAGAGGGAGGATCTAGGTCGAGGATCTAAGGAGAGAAGCGAGCGGCTGGAACAATTCGAAAGAAGTTGTTCTCGTGCAAAAGATGCCGGTGTATCGCGTGAACGTGAGGCGATGATGGAATAGGAAAGTGATCATGGCGTAGGGGGCGGGGCTAGCTTACGCATGTCGTTTGAGCTTGGGTCTGACGTTGCATACTGTGGTGCGTGGGCGGTTGGATTATGTTCAACTCTTTGTAATTGCATGAGCGTGTTGGAGAATAAGAGCCGGATCATTATTGACATTATATCCTTTTTCCTGCTGGAGTGATAATCGACGACGCGTTCAAGTGTCTAAATGGAACACGACGAAGGAGATACCTGCGTACCGTTCGCGACTAAGCCGGAGGAGGCTTATTTGAAAGCCAATCGCGTGTAGATGAGAGACGTGGTATGGGAGCTGTATTTGTCACTCTCTTCCTTGGGACCAAGGGGCGAGTGCATTTTCTGCAGGCGTATGCGAATGTAATAGAAACCTACGTCGTCTTCGGGGTATAGTGCTTTCGACTTGTGGAAAGACTACTAGCCGTGTTGGCCGACTACGCTGCGTTGCGTGCCGACCGTTTCAACCTCTGGCCACCAGTTAGGTAGATGAAGCAGAGATTGAAACTGACATTAAGCGAGTTTGGCGTCTTCGTTGTCGTTGAATCTGTTGGTGCGGTACATGCATTTCCTGAAGACCAAGCTAATCCATACTTAGTATTTGTAGCTTGCAACATCTCTCTCGCAACCACATTTCCATGGGGTCACTTGCCTCGCAACTTGATGTCAAGACGTAGCCTCGCTGAAACATTTAGGCAGATTTCTGTCCAGCGAATGCTCGTCTGCTTGGTCCGGGGGTAAGGAGGTGTACAATGTGGCTTTGAGCGGGCAACATAAGCTGACCAAGACGTGTTCTCACGGATCCATGGATCAAAAACCACTTGGTATTTAGTCATCATGCAAGGCGTATGTTTCTTATGATGAGGTAGTCGGAGCCTAGATCTAAAGCCAGATGGTCGTTATCAGTTCATCCGGTATTCTCCGTCTTGACAGCAGATCAATGCTAATTGTTGCAGAAAGCTACATCTGTCTCATCTTCGGAGCTGTCATTCCAGCTCTTGCAGTGGAGAGATATTGTCACTATAATTGCGGGTCCACAGTCACTGATCATGAGATATATGAAGCTATCTGGCTTGTTGTGAATATATCAATACACCAGAACCAGAGATAGGCGTGGATGGCTATAAGTCACCTTCCTCGCGTCTCATCTGTCGATGTTGAAGCCACGACTATGGAATTCCCCATTCGCAAAGACAACAGGGAGTTGGTGATAATACGACGGCGATCCCATTAATATACTCGTCTCAAAAGTCGCCCCAAGAGCTAGGTAAGAGAACCAAGTCTCCTATGCCATCCACTTGTGTCAATACACTAACAGAGATCCGCAGCAAATGACGATCATCGTCATCTATTCAATGCCAACAAGGACCTCATGAGCTTACCCACTTACGATTGATAAGGACATCTTCCGATGATGTCTTGAAGCTGAATATAAACCTCTGTGAGACTGACTCCTCCAACACAGGGCCGGACTGCCGACATCAAATCTGTGAAGAGCATGCCTTCTTGGTCTCTAGAAGCGGTGACACCCAGAATATGTATGTGGCAAAGCATCAGGTTACATATTGAACCGACAGTGGTTTGGACTTGTTACAGGAGACGCTCAACAATTCCCACGGTGGAAATTTTAAAAGTTTCTTATGGCCAACTAAGCATTTGCGATCAAGAAATATGCTGTTTCTGAAATTTGTCCAAGATTTATTTGAATACCATTACATAACCCTCGGCATGGATCCAAGAGCTCTCTGTACAGCTGGCTTGTCCATCTATAAAGGCAAAACCAATTCGCTCATGGTACGTCAGATCCTATAGGTCAATGGCCCGGCTTGCTCACAAACCCGTGGATCCCTCGCTTTCGAATCTTGACACGCCCATCGCTTGGAAATTCCAGCGTGAGAAGGAGGGATCCAGGGTAGCTTAGAATCGTCCACCAAGTGCCTGCTTACTATACCTAGTAGTAGTACCTTTAGTATATTCTAAGGCGGGAAAGACATGGCCTCAACTGCTACGTCTTACGTTCCTTCACTGCCTATCTACTCTCCACCAACGCACCTGCCTTGTTCTTCTTCCTATTACCTTAGGTATCTTGAGCAAGCTTAGGCCTCTAGCCCCTCTTTCTTTTGCAACTCATCCACTTTCCTCTGCCGTTTGAGGGTTTCACGCCTCGGCATCTTTCTCAATCCGCCATTTCTTATATTCACCGGTCACAGTTCATTCATTTCACTCAATTGAAACCCCCTAAAAACGCGAACGGAACTAAGGTACATGCACGATGGCTGAGGAGGATCATCGATGGATGCTGGTTACCGGCATGTGTTCAGACTTCAAAATCATCTGCGAGGACGAAGAGATGCTCGTACATAAGGCCGTACTCGCCATGCACTCTGAGTACTTTAGAGCCCTTTTCAACAATGACTTCGAGGTTGGACCGGCCAAACTTGTCATTTTGTCGATTAACTATAACTGACACTGCGAAAAGGAAAACAAAAACGGCTTCGTAGATTTTCAGGACATCGACCCGGGGCTTATGCTTGACCTTCTCGACTATTTCTACAAAGGCACCACCGAGTGGGACGTTCCCAAGGTTGACACGGCCCTACATATCCGTCTCTGGATCCTCGCCAATAGACTCGAGGCGAGGACAGTCATGCTTACCATTGAGAAGCGAATGATGGCCGAGTTGAAGACCTTCAGCGGCAAGATCCGCGTCGCCCATGCCGATATCCTTGGCCTGGTCTTCACGAACTTGGCCTGTGCAAAATCTGCCTTGGGGTACATAATTGGCGAGGCTGCTTATGTGTTGCTCCTGGATCCGAAGCGTGCTGGGTCCGCTACCGAAGTGAACGATGCGTGTTCCAGACACCACAATCTATCAAACATGATGCTATTCTGGTCTTCAAGATACGCCAAGTTTACTGATCATGACGGCTTAGCCCTATTATCAGCCAAAGTTGGGAATGTCAGGGACGACCTGATCGTGGAGAAGTTCACAAAGTAAATGCGTTCTTCTTTCAGGAGAAGACCCGAAACATCAGTCGCGCCTCGTGCCTAGAAGAGGGCCAGAAAATGAGCCTCGGCCACGGGTACTTGACCTTCTCTCTCATCTAGGAAGACCTCGCTATCTTAGTGAAGCGACTGATCACGAGGGGAATCGTATCGAGAAGCTCACGAAATTCCATTGAGCCAATTCCTTTTGCCTTGGAAAAGACGACCCAGGACCAGAAACACTGCGGTTTTTCCTCGAAAGTATGTTGGGAACGATTGGAACTTGAAGGGCTGAGGGAGAAAGATGGAGCTGGGGACTCAGAATTCGAGGTTGACCACGTTTCTAGCGAGGGGAATTATTTCTTGTCGACCGAGTTTATCCCCTTACAATTGCCAGGTTCAAACAGAAAAGGAAGTTATATGGGCAATTAATGAAGGGTCGAGTCTGATAAACTTTCCTCCTACCGTAACGTGACTTAGAGTTTTCAAGACTGGTACCGGTTGACATCGTACTATTTAGTGCCAGGGAAGCATATTTGTGATAAGAGTGTTATTAGATTCTAACGTGGTATCGAGCTAAAGTAAACGCAAGCGCCGTCATGAAAAGCATGAAATCGTCACCGCCCATTGCCTTTGGACACAAAAAGAAAGCCCACCAAAATCTCCTCTCTATTTCTTCGCACCAGCCAGATGCCACTCAAACACCTTTCTAAACCTCTCCTTTCCGTCGCCCTCGATGGTGTCTCCGTGGCAGGGGATAAGAGTGTCAAAGTCCCACGCGTCGATCCTCTGGATGCTCTCGTTGAAGCTCGGCCTGTCCCTGCTGCTCATCACATACCACTGGAAGCGCCTGACCCACTTGACGTCGCCCTCGGTGGTCTGCAGGCCGCCAAAGAGCTTGTTGCCGAAGCCGGAGGAGGTGTCCCGCTCGGCCTCGGACGCCTTGGAGTACTGCTCCCGCGGGGGCAAGTTGAAGAGCAGGTCGGCCTGGATGAGGACGCGCTCGGGCTTGAAGTAGAAGACGAGCTCCTTGTTGGCGTGGGCGTCGACGTACTCGTACTCGAAGTCGGCGTCGAATTCGGGCGTGATGGTGGTGCTCCGCTTCTCGGCGCCGTCCTTGAAGGTGACGAAGAACTCGTCCGACGGGTTGATTTTGGGGTCGCCCGTCTGCTTGGCGCGCTTTTGGGGCAGGCCGTCGGGGCCGATGATCTTGGCTTGCGGGTAGGCGGCCTTGTACTCGGAGATGAAGATGTGGTGCTCCATGTCCGGGGCGATGATGTAGGCGAGGTTGCCGCCCTTTTGGGCAATCTTGGCTTTGACGGCGTCGGTGAGGGCGACGGGGCTGAAGACGGCGAGGGAGCCCGAGGTGAGGCGGACGAGGGTGGCGCGACCGCCGATCTTGATGGAGCCGAAGCGGGAGAAGGGGACGGAGAAGGTTGTGATGTTTGGGGTGAGGTCGCGGATGACCATCACGTCCGCCGGGTTCTGGGGGATGAGTTTTTGTGACATTTTGAGCTTGGGCGTGTGGTCTTTGGCGGACTTGAGGGGGTTGTTGTGAGAGGTGTCTTTCTGCTGTTGTTCTGGCGAGTCGAGGGTATGCTGTCCCTTGGTCGGTGTTTGCGAGTTTGTGTTACCGTTGTTGGCGTAATATGAGGTTCCTGCTGCTGATTCCTGCGCTTGAGACTGAGCTTGCGGGTTATGAGTTGCCGTGAACGCTCTGCGATGAATGCGCGAGGGGTTGAGGTTGCGGGCGTGGGCTGTTATAGCCGAGTGTCTCAATAGTCTCTGTAAGAATAAGATATTAGAGAGGCGAACGTGCGTGACCAAATGCGAAATGCAAATCTTGGAGCTCTTAATATATATATTTGAGATTATGCCAGTTGGGTGGGCGGTTACATATGAGGTAATGGGGGGGCGCGTTCTGCTGGGATGAGGCAAGTTCACGAGCTAAAGAAGCACGTACCATTTTCAAGTCAACGCAAGGTCCAAGTCCGAGGGCGACGTTCTAGAAGAGAGGGGCGAGGGCGCGGGAGTGGGGGATGCCGTCAGCAAATGGGCTTGCAATTTTTTTCTGTGGTGACTTTGGGTTTGGCAGGTGAATGGGATGCGTTCCGCGCAGAGAAAGAGATCGTCCGGGTGTGGTCGGGAAGTGTTGCTGAGTCGGGGAAAACGACGTTTCATGGAATCCGATGGGGTGACCGGCGCAGGGCAGGCAAATGAGAAATGAGGCCTTGTTCGGGTCGGCCGAGCTTTTACTCTGTCTCTGCCATCCGTACCTGAGGTAAGGACCTCGCCTCTCGTCTCCTTGCGGCGGGCTTTGCTCTTTGTCTTCAGTCTTTATTCTGCTTTGAGACTTTGTCTCACTGGAGATCCTCGTTGTGTAATGATTGAACGTTGATTGATGGTTGCTATCAGACAAGAACAAAACCTCTCTCTGTGCTGTAGTATCGATTGACACGCGAGTGCGCATATGTCAAATTGCCAAATTGGTAGGCATTCAATCGGTGGTGGTCAGTCGTGTCTCTGGACCAGCCGCTGTGGATGCTCCTGCAGAATGCTGTCTGACAGAACGTTGTTTACCCGCGTACTGACTAATAGGCGCTGTCCACGGCACCACAAGTCATGACATCACCGGCCAGGTGGTGTGGAAATCGCATCAGAGTGACATCTTCCATTGCGCCCTGTCCTACAGCTATCCTACAGCAGTGTTACTAAGCCTGCGAAACCACTACCGCAGTAATAGCGCCTTTACTATCCGTATTCTGCACCCAACAGCCTGATTTTACTTGGCTTGGTACGTCGCGGCCCATGTAGAGTCGGGGACGGCCGATCGCAGAGTCCGCTCATGGCCCCGAACGAATGGGTTTCGAACAATGCGCAAGTACCAGGCCGAGGACCCTCCTTTCCTTCAACTTGCTTGTCTTGGTAATCCAAAACGTCGAGCAGAGTGCGCTGCGATTCCGCGAAACATTTCCTCCGATTCCCTTCTTTTTTATGGGAACCGGGGAGGTGAGTCGTCCCGTTCAAAGCAAAAGCGTAAGCAAAGCCGCCTCCTACGAATACAGGGCCGAGGCACAGACGCCGGACTAGACCGAAAGTGGGAATCTTCTAACCAGTGGGGCCCCGGGGCCGCTAAGGTAGTCCCTTTTATGCCCCGTACTGCGGCTTCTTTCCCTCTGTGTTTTTTTTTACCCTCCTTCTTTTTGCGTCCCAGGGTTCCGGGACGGAACTAGACTGTGGACAGGAATGACACGACATGGGGCCCGGTTACCCGAATTCCAAATCATGCGTCGAAGGGCTGAGCGGAGGAGGAGGAGCCAGCATTGCATTTTCGTTTCCTGTCGAGTCTTATCGAGGCCGTCAAAGAGGGACACTCGGATCGTCAACTGGCAAATGATGCCATGTTTCTCAAAATCTCTTTGCTTGCTATTTCCCGATACAGCAGAACAAGTTACTAACGTCCGTTGAACTCCGTGGAACTTTGACCAATAATCCGAACAATTGCTCCCGGCAGACTTCCAGCGCATGCACACGCAACGCCGTTTATCGTTTACCCATCATCAGACGAAAGGTTTCCCATCACACTTTGCCCACTGCCATAATTTCCGTCAACTGCCAAATGCCCCCCTCCGCCAAACGCGCGGGATGCCCTCCCGTTTCCCGTCTCCCCGCCTCCCGCGCCTCCCACGGACACAAACTTTACATTTCACACCTCAGACATTCGTCTGCTTGGTGCCCATGGTCATTTTCCAATGCCGCCAGTAGTGCTAGGCATGGAAGGCTCAGCCGAAGAGAACCCGGGAAGAAGCCTCGTGTCTATCCCGTCGATGCCCCACCACCTCGACCGCTGCGGATGCAAGGCCCTCTCGATGAAATACGCCCTCGTGTACCCGTTGGCCATGTCGTAGATTCTCTGCACTGCCCATGTCGCCGTGAGCGCCTGGTACAAGTAGTAGAACCAGTACAATATGACCGCGTCTTTGAGCACCAGCGCGACGCGCTTGGGCGGCAGGGCCGCCGGCTCGCTCGGTTTCCAGCTGCTGCCGGGCAGGAAGTAGACGGCGAAGAAGACGAAGTTGTGGATGATCCCGTAAAAGACGTGCTGCCACGACACGACATGGACGCAGATGCAGCTCCAAAAGGCGATGAGGAGGCGCGCGAGATAGGTCCGGCGGCCCTGGTTCCGGATCCGTTCTCTGGTGTCGCTGTCGGTCTTCATGATGCCGGCTAACCGCCAGAGGAGAAGGCCGTCGTCTTCGGGCACCGCCGTTCCGGTGGCGTTGCTTCCGTCGGTATTCTTAGTGTGCTTGCTACCGCAACAGTCGCGATACAGCTTGTACACCTTGACGAGGTCGCCGACGACGGCCTGTCTGCTGGCCCGGTTGGTATCCTCGCGGGCCGGTTTGTCTCGTGAATCGCAACCACCAAGGCAGGGGCAACTACACTTTTTGCCGCTTCTTCTCCTTGACTTTCTATCAGAAGATCCTCGAGGCCCGTCGTTCGGTTTGGCGTCAGAGCTGCCGCCAGAACTGTCACCGGGGTCATCGTCGGGATCATCACCAGGTGCGCCTTCGCGCTGCTTCCCCTTCTCATCTTGCCCAGACTCCTTGCTAGACGCCCCCCTTTCGGCTGCTTTCAGATTCTCATCGTCCTGCTGGAGCATAAGCTCCGCAGTTATATCATACTGTTGTTGCAGCTGCTCCTCCAGCGACGCCTTGTCCCTCTCAGCGCGCTGAACCTGCTCCAGGGCGGCTTGCCGGTCCTTCTCGCAAAGTTGGATTCGCCTCTCTTGTTGGGCAACCAATTTGTTCGAATCGGATTGCTGACTCTTCTTCTCGGCATCCAGTTCCGCGTTTCGATCGTGAAAGTCCTTCTGTTGCTTATTGTATCGACGGTTGTGATGTTCGAGCTGCTTCGCCGCCTGCTTCATGGCCTCATTGACCATTTCCGCTAGCTCCCTCTCTCGATCCGTCTCCGCCTCGTATGAGAAATATTCGACTTCCTCCTCGGGGTCCTCCCCATCACCACCGGGGTTGGTGGATCCGGAGTGGTTCTGGTGCAGAGCATTGGAGATGCGCTCCCTCATCCGGGCCAACTTCTCCTCCACAGTACCTCGGGGGCCTCCCGTGATTTCGAGTGCCCGTTCCATATCGGTCGCCAAAGTCTTGCTCATGTCTTCCAACATCTCATTCCGCTTCCGCATCTCGCCAAGCTCGTCTGTCAAACTCTGGATGGTGCTGAAGGCAGTGTCGAGTGGCTCGCTCCTCGTCGACTGCTCTTTGTCGAGCTTCTTTCTCAGCTCAGACGCCTCGCTCTCCAACATCTTGATCTCGTCTTTCTGCTTTTCGTAGTAGTACGTCGTCTCGCGGATACGCTCGTCCACGCCGTCTTCGATGACCTTTTTTTTGTTGAATTCCATGTTGTAGATGGTGTTTCTCAAATATTTGCTGACTTGCTGATGGGTATTGCTCTCGGCCCTCGCCTTGATGAGTTTCCTTCCGAGATCGGTCTGTTTATCCTTGGCCATCCTCTTGACCTCGTCGAGCTCCTGTAACAAACTGCTGTTTTCGTCCTTGAGCTTCCGGGCCGCTTCGACAAGCTCGTTGTCCGACGGGCCCGCAACTTCGCCATCTTTCCTTGCTTTTAGAGCAATGATTGTCTCATTGGCCTTTTCGAGCCGAATCTTGAACTCTCGAGCCCGACTGCGCAGGAATTCGTAGTTCTGGGAGTTGACGCCGTCGTGGATGAGTCCCTCAATCTCGTGGTCGAGACTGCGAAGATTGTATTGAATTTCCTCACATTTCTCGGCCCACACAATCAGGGGATTGTATATACTTCTCGGGAGGAAGGAGCTCAGAAGACGGTCCGTGGTGTGGCGGGCGACAAGCTCGCTCGAGGCCATGGAGGACGCGTCCGTGTCGAGCTCGTCAAACGCATTGTGGCTCTTGAACGCCCGTTCGGATTCGCCGCTCTGGCTCCCGGGGGTGGCTGGCTGATTATTCGACGACGGTCCCGGCTGAGATTCTGGGTCTTCATCCGCGGGTATGCTGGGGAGCGGATGGGCGGCATGGGTGGATGGCGCTGGTCTCGGCCGGTGACGGATGGGATCATCAGCGATTGACAAATGTCGCGTGGCCTCCAAGACGGCATCTCGAGCTTCCAGGCAAGCCTTGTAGTGTTCCCTCGTGTCTTTCAAAACCTTGTGAATGGCGCGTATACGTGCCTCTTGAGGAGTCCGCTTGGGCGACTGGTCTCCGCCGCCGTATTGGTCGCCATCCGCGTCGAAAAAGGAGCTAGAATCATCGCCTGAACTATCTGGATCGTCGTCGGGGAACCTGTGAGCCTTTTTCTTCCCTCCCCACTTATCCCGGCCGTCTTGCGGACGAGAGACCGGGAAGTCAGGCGGCAACGGGGGCTCGGCGACGTTCGGCTGGGCGCCGGCGTTTGAGCAGGATCCGGCCACGACGGCATCCCCCCCTTCCGCCTCTCTCATGGCAACTGATTCTCGCAGAATCTGCCTGAATGGCTCGCGCGGGTTGCCTAGGGTTTGATATAGCTGGTTGAAAATCTCTCCGTGGTGATCAATCATTCTGCGCAGCTTGGATTCCTCTTCCTTCAGGAGCAACCCGGCCCTATGGCTCTTCTTCTCCAACTTGGCGATTGCTCTGCGGAGTTTCTTTGGATCGTTACCAGGATCCGGTCCATCCTCGTCAGAATCATCATCATCGCTGTCAGAAGAAGCGTTGTCACGGCTAGGAGAACCGTCGTCGCTGTTCTCGGGCTGATCAGGTTGATTTTCATCACCACTCTCACCGGTACTGTGTCCACCATCATCCCTTCCCCTCCACCTCTCTTCGGCCCTCTGATTGGCCTCAATGGCCTCAGCTGCCACAAGCCTTGTCTTGAACAACTCAATCTTCATTTCGAGTCTGTACAGCTCCGCCGGCTGGTTGAGCACGTTGGCCTCCCAGAAATCCTCCTTTTGCACACCCAGCTCATGCATTTCTCGGCGGGCTTTGTTGATGGCGTCCAAAAGATCCCTTAGGCGTTGAAACTCATCGTCATTGGGTTGAGCTGGTAGGTCCATGCCTCCAAGTGTGCCGGAAATATGTCTGAAGAACTCATCCAGCATCGTAGAAGCGTTTCTCTGCCTTTGCAAGAGGTCGTTAAACTGGTCTTTGAACCGCTGGTGCATGGCCACAAACTCAGTCGGGATGTGTTGATGGATAGCTGTCGTCTCCAGAGTCTCCTCGCTGGGCGATTGGTATTCGGGGTCTTGCCTCGAATCCTCGATCGGCGCGTCCTGAGTCTGCGTACCCTGTTCCAAGGTCAAGATCCCGCTCGGCGCAGCCATGCCCGACAAAAGTGCCGACAGTCCTTCATTCTGGCTCTCCAAAGACAGGATTGTAACCTCGAGCTCATCCACCTTCCTCTGGTGCTCATCTTTGATATTCGTCAAAACAGCATCCGCGTCGACGGCTGGGCTTTGACTCTCTAGGCTCCGAATCTTGAGCTCGAGCTCATCCACCTCCTTCTGGTGCTCGGCTTTGATTCTCTCCAGCTCAGCAGCGTCTCCCTCGTGGCTTCGTTCCAAGGCATTGATCCGTTCGTTCAAGCCCTCGACGACTTTATTATGCTCCGTCATCCACGCGTCTCGCAGTTCCTTATCTTTGTCAACAAGCTCCTTGCTGATACGGCTCCTGAGGTGATCGACACCTTGTTCTTCCACTTCAACGCGCCTCTCCAGCTCCCTTCTATATCTTTCGTTCGCACCGCTCCACTTGTTGCGAAAATCGGTCACCTTTTCTTCGAGTCTCTGTATCTCCTCCTGGAGCGCGGCAATTCGCGGGTCCTCCGACTCGTCAATTTGTGAGTTCTTCAATTCGGCGACTTCTTTTTTGAGGCGCTCGCCATGCGCGTGGCAGTCGTCAAGAGCCTTTTGCTTCTTTTTCAACTCTTCCTCCTTTTCCTTCAGCTTGGCGTCCTTTTCTCGTATTTCCCCGTCCTTCTTTTGAATTTCTTCGTCCTTGCTTTTGATCTCTTCATTCTTCTGTTGCATTTCCTTCTCGTTCTTCTGTACTTCCTCTAACAGTTTGACGTTGTTTACTCCGACTTCTTGAGTAGATTCTTCCCAAAGCTTCAAATCTTCCTTGAGCGCGTCTCTCTCTTGGGCCAGGTGCAGCTTTTCTTCCTGGAGCTGGGCCTTCTCAAGAGATAGATGGTCCCTTTCTTCCCGGAGCTGCTTGGCGTCTTCACCGAGGCCTACCACAATGTCTTGTACCTCGGCCAGATCTTTATGGCTCGCCGCCAGTTTGGTTTCCGCCTCATCCAACCGATCGAACAAGTCGGTCACAAGCTGAACGTGGCTTTCTGGGTCATGCAGCGAGGGTGATCCTGTGCTCGATCTGTCCTCTGGCGCTTCGTTTGCCAACGTTTCTCGCGCATCGGCAAAGGCAGCCTTTGCCTCGGCCTTGCCAAGTTTGGTGTTGACTGCGCTCAACTGTTCTTTGAGCTGCTCAGAGGCCCTCGACAGGAAAGCGTCCCTGTTCTGAAACCCCTTGAGCTCTTTTATCCGTTTTCGGAGCGTTTCTTCCAAGTCCTTGATCTTTTTGTTCGCTTCCTTGCGATGGGTCTCGCATTCATTCAATGCATTTTGTTTGTCGCGCATCTGGATGGCCGACAGTCCCTCGGCTTCTTCCCTCATTCGGTCGGCGTTCGATTCATGATCCTTGATGCTCTGCTGTAGCGTCCGAACACTTGCTTTCAACTCCGCGATTTCATTAACAAGTTTCTTGGCATCGTCTTTCAAGTCTTTAATCTCCCTGTGAGCTTCCTTGCGATGATTTTGACACTCATCCAACGCGCTCTGAATATTACGAAGCTGAAGTGAACTGTCTCCTTGGTCGACCTTGCTCCCGTCGGATTCCTAAACACTAATCAGTATCGTCGAAAGAACATCGAGGCGCTCAAACTCACTGCTGAAGATACCCTGCTGAGTCTATTGAGTTCACCTTCAAGGGTCTGCTGTGTAAGATTGGGACTGCTCTGGGTCTCTTCTGGTTCCTGTAATGCAATCAGTATTGCTTTGAAAACTTCGGAGTTTCAGTTCGTCTTACCATCGAGGACTCCATACTGAAACCGCTGAGCTCATTTGCGAGGGTCCGTCCCGCCTCGGGCTCGCTTGCGGCCTGCGATGTATCGGATTTCAACTCAACCGCCGCGGGGGCTTTCCTTTTCGGCGAGAACAAATCATCAGATGACGGCTGTGAAGGTTCTTGGTCGGGAAGCACAACGGCATGAGGGTATCTGTGGAAACCGTCGTTGCCGTCGCCCACCATGTCCGAAAGTCTAGCTTCCTCTTCCTGCCAGTTGTTGTATAGATTGCATGCGGCATCGTCCATGGCGAGGCCATACAAGCCGACAAAATCTCCCATCATCATCTCCCGCACATCATCCATGGAAACATCTTGATGGAGTGCAACATCGCGATCCGTCTCTGCCTGATTCAATCGCTTCTCCAAGTCCGAAATCTCGCCTCTCGCGTTGTCGACGAGCTTGCGATATTGGTCGAGGGGAACGATCTTGTGGTCCACGGTGAACGTCATGTTTTCCACTTCCGTCTGGGCTCGGGAGGCTTTCCTGGTTTGCTCCATCAATTGCGCCTGCAAGTTCTCGGCAGTGGCTTCCGCTTCCTTTATTTGCTTTTGAAAGTCCGAGCATTGCTTTTCCACGTACGCAACCGAGTCCTCGTAACGCTTCTCCTTGAACTGCCAGTCACCCCTCTCCTCCTGAAGCCCGCGCTCCGCCGCCGCTCTGGCTGCAAATTCATCCTTGAGCTGATCTCTGAGCTCAGAAATGGTGTTCTGCAGCTCTTCTTCGTTCACGGGAGGAACCATCTGTTGGATGCGCATTTGAACCTCACTGAAACCGGCTGTTACGCGCTGGAGAGCGATTTCCTTCTCGTTACACTCGAGCTCAGCTGTGTTTAGCTTCTCTTGAGTGGCTTGTAGCTCCGACTTGGATTCATCTCGCTCGGTCGTACATTGTTTGAACTGATCCTCGAGGTTTCGCGTCTTCTGCTCAAGAGGGCCAATTTCACCCAGTTTGTCCTTTTGTTTCGCCACGACCTGTTGTAGTGCGGTCTTCTCTCCCTTAAGTTGCGCGTGTGCTTGCCTTGAGGCCTCGAGTTTTGAAGCCTCGTCTTGCAGTTTCTTGTGCCTCGTGCTACATTCTTCGGAAACCTTTGAGGCAAAATTCTTGAAGAGTTGCTCGCATGTTGTCGGCGTCGTCTCGGGCCTGCCACTGACTGAGCGCTCTTCGATGAGGTGGACAATGTTGTGCGATTCCGCCAGGCTTCTCAGATAGCTCTTGATCTCCTCGAACCTCTTCGACTCAGTCGACTCTATATATGGGGCTGGACTGCTCGGTCGGCTTGTCTGGCCTTGTTGCCGGGCTGGCGCAGTGCTTTTACGAAAGTTGGAATTGCGGCCTCTTCCCCTGGAAACTGAACCGCCTCGCCGGGAGACACTAGAGTTCCTGGAAGCTGAATCTGACGGTACTGTTTGATCTTGACTTCGGTTGGCTAGAGACACTGCTGGAGAAGCAGGTCGACTTGATGATGGATTCTGTACGGCTGATGAAGGCATGGCTTGGGATGGGATGACGTCCTGCGAAGAACTTGTCACGCTCCGCATATCGAACGTCCCCCCAGTGGCACCATTCCCGGCCATAGCCATAGAGGCCCAGGATGCTCTGGAAGGCTTTGCTGCAATCGGTGATTCAGCATGATGCGCCGACGATGTCGGCGTCTCGCTTCCAATTTCTTGTTGCCCTTCATTTGTTAAAGGTGTTTCAGAGTCCTGTCTTGATGACGTCCGTACACGTAGCTTATCTTTCCGGGATGCTGTTGTAGCTGGATATTCTTCCCGGGAGCTTTTCTGGCCTCGGGAAATCTCTTTCCCCGAGACCTTCTCGTCTTGCTCCCCGGCCATACTGCTCAATACCTATGTCAGTTCCAGGCGGGGTTTACTTACAATTTCTCTTTTGACAAACTTCAACAGTTGGTCTTAGTGTAGGTGATAAAAAGGAAAACGAATCAGAAAGATGTAACAGAAGGAATGGAAGCAACAAAAGCTGGAAAACGTCTTTATGCGCACGGAAATGTCATACTTATGGCATAGCTTGTTTCCAGGATGCCGAGCATCGATCTGGTTAAGAGCAGCTCTGATCTAATACAGTTTTCTAGCTATTTCCACCGAGTTGTTGGAAGAATTCAGCTTTCTGCTGGGGGTGTGTTCTCCCAAGTCGAGGGAGAAGATAAAGGCTCCGTTTGCGTACCAGACTGCCCTAGGGTAAGTGCAACTCCCATTCAACTCTCAATGAAGCTTTCAGCCCCAAATCTGAAAATAACGATCCAAAAGGTCAATGCCGGTTAAGGGAACCTAGACCAACAATGAGAATTCTAGAGTTGGCTAAAGACTGGCGGACGTGCGCAACTCTTGGGGCTTTTGTCCGCCTTTGATGGCCAACTTCCCCTACTTCGCTTTCGTCGCATTTGACCTCTTCGTACCTTGGCGCATTGTTAGCAAGCGCGCCCTGAGGGTTCTGCAAGCCAGGGAAGATCCAGAGGGCGACATTAAAAAGGGCTTCAACCACCCCAGTGATTCATTGCTAGGTTTAAAAACTCCCAAATGTTGGCATCCTTGGGAATATTCTTCCAACTCTCTCTTTTGCGATCCCTCCAAAATAAACTCCATTGCAACATCTTGACCTGGTATTCTATATGTCGTCCAGCACCAGTGAACGACAGAACTGAAATGCTATGCCGAAACGCCAAATACGCCGTGTTACCCTCTCTAGCTGTACCATCCCCGGGCTCCAGGACCTTGCGCTGTTGCCTCTTTCCGATGGGTAATCATCGGCTCCTCGATCCCAAAAGTGTCAATGATATCTTGCCATGTCTGCATGTCCATGGAAAAGATTGCTTGCTGCTTCGCTGTCTCACGCTTGACCGTGCCATCCTCATTCGTGTCTCCGTTGCTAATGGGGTCTGGATCTAGTCAGTACAGTCAAAGTCACATAGAAGGCGAGGGCCAGCTTACTGAGAGAGGGATACTCGTCGCTGTCAAACTCTATGCCGACTTTTCCATCGCGAATGAGGAAACTGACGTAGAACATGTTTTCGACCGTTTGGCCGAAGGACTTGGGGTTGACAACGAAACGAAGGAGGTCAACACCGCCTGTATCCCGAAGGCCATATTTCTGCATAAGTTGAACTTGTTCGGCCTCGTCCATGTCGCTATTGTTCTCAAATATTTCGGAGAGTTCCGTCTGAATGCTGGTCTGCACCTTGTCCAGCTGCTTGAGAATCTTACCGCAAATAGCGGTGAGATCATTCTCCTTCTTGGCAAGGTCTTCAACATTCAACACCTCAGGCCTTGTCTCTTCAAGGTTATTGGGTCTGAAAGGGGCGGTACGCTTCGATATCCTGCGGATTTTCTTCTCAACGGACAAGGGCCCAAGAAGAAAACCGGGTAGGGCTGGCCGACGAACATTTGGCAGTGATGCGAACCGTCCAAGATGACTCCAGTTGAATGCCTCATCGTTGCCTTCGTCCTCGTCATCGTTGGAGTTCCCATTGGTGCGGCGCCTCCGTCTTTGTGTACCCGATAGCTCTGGCGCCTCGTCGTCTGCGATTCCACCGGCTTGCCGCATATAGGTGCAGCACTTGGAGACGAACTCATCCACATCAATACCCTCAGTAGAACTTCCCTGCATCAACCTGACAGTTTTCCGATATGACATATCGACGGCACTGACGAGCAGGCGAGAGTCTATTGTTGCTTCCGTCGTCTGCTTGACACCTTTGGCGACACGCTGGGCCATCATCAAGGTATCTTTTAGACCCGTCGAGCCCGGCAGCATGTACTCCTCCATATTGTCGGTGATGCCCTTTTGAAGGTCACGCAGCTTGCGTTGAATCTCTCGACGCTCTTCCATCGGTTGGTCTGGGTCATAGATATCGGAGTCGTATTCTTCTTCTCTTTCGACGGAGCGCGTGGCTCGGCGACGGGATGCATGCCCCCCATTTTCCGCATCTGTACGCTTCCGCTTTCCAATAGATACATCGCGACCTTTGCCTTTGTCTCTTGCGGCGAGATGGCTGCGCGCGGGACGAGGCGTATCATCTTCGCTCGACTCGGAGGAGGACGAGGCTCCAACTCTCGCCGGCATTTTCGGTGTTGATAAGGAGGAAGGAATTAGTACAAGCTGTTATGTGTTCGAGATTCTAGTCGTCGAGGGGTTGGCGTGATATGAGGCAGAGCCCGACGTAGGAAAAAAAAGGCACGCCTTCTGTACAGAGCTCGATGACGATTTTGGGCGGTTGAGCAGGATGTCGCGCGTGAATTTGCGATCGAGCATGGAAGACGCGACAGGCACTTCCCAGGCGACCCTTCCACTCAACGCGCTCGACAGGGTCCAGCAACCATTATCATGGTGCTTTTGAGTGCGTGGGGTGAATGTGGCTGAGGACGGATTGTTATCGATAGAAGATAAGGTCCCAAAATGTGGCTTGGGTGGGGCTGGTAGGTAGACTCGGGCCACAAGGCAATCTACCTAAGGTACAGGCCGGGGTGCTGATGCGTTCCACTGGAGCTTCCCACAGTCAGCCGTCGCCTACTTACCGGTGGCTAAGGTACCTTATCCAGTCAGCCAGTCCGATGTAGTCAGTGACCTCAACCTGAGGTGCGCTACCCAAACATCTCCAGCTGCAACCGCCGTCAGTCGCATTCGCCGAACACCACTCTGCAACTTGCCAGCTTCACTGCATTATGTACTCATGACATCGAACGACCTCCGTCGTCAAAATGGAGCCATTTTCATTTGCAAGCTCCGAGTCCCTAGACTATCCAGTCAGCATTCGCATGTATGCGCATATCCACTGCACAAACCGGAGAATGCGTGTGGCTAACGCTTTCATGATAGCATTAATCTAGAGGGCGACGAAACACCATTTCTGCATTCTACTTTATTGGAAAAGTCCGAGCTGAGGCATATCGGCTCTAACACGAGGTGACACCTATTGTATGGCTGCTGTGAGCCATCGCTGACTTGCTAGTTCGCACTCCGATCTCTACGTCACCGTTCAAGTATGGGCTGGCTCAAAGCCGTTGACAGTGCCTATCCAGACGGCATACAAATCGTTTCGGAATGAGAGGAGGTAAGGAATTTCCCCTTGGGTTAGCACTTGGTTCCAGAGAAAGATGTCTAATGCAACGCGCGCATAGATGGAACGAATGGCTCACGCTTCCGATCAACTACCAAACCCTCCCTCTGAACTCCTGCTTAGCCATTACACTTTGGGACTCGTCTCCGGCTGGAGGGAAACAAGCCAGAGGCCATGCGATCCCCTTCGGCGGCACAACACTCCCGCTGTTCGACCGAGACAACCAGGTGCAGAAGGGCCGGCAGAAGTGCATGGTCCACCGACACAAGAACGCTGATGGAAATGACAACACTGCTACGCCTGCGGTTCCGCGTAAGAAACGGGACGGTTCGAGGAAAGGAGCAGCTCCGACCGTAGATAAGGATGCTGAAGAGCTGGAGCGCATGGAGAAGCTTTTCAAAAAGCACGAGATGGGCGAGATACCCAGGGTCGACTGGCTTGATCAACTCGTCTTCCGGGGCTTTGAGAAGCGCGGACTGCAGTCAGCAAAAGCCTCACTCAAGACTATGCAACGTCAGAGGGCGACAAACGGAGATGCATCAACTGAAAAGGGGGAAGCCTCGGGCGAGAAGGACATCGTGGACACCGAATCCCATCCAGGATTTTCCAAGTTCCAGCTCAACGTTGAGCTGCCGCGATTCGACTTTCCAGTCGTTTTCGCCGACCTGGAGTATGACCCCCCGCCAATTTCGGCACTCCAGCATGGGTCTGCTTCTCAATCCAATGTAATGCTCAAGCCGCCTCCCGAAGTGCAGTTTGGTCCCGGTATCAACGCGCTTGACGACTCAGCTGGGAGCCGTTTAATGAAGGTGTATGACCCCGAGGTCGGTGCTCGCGACAACCCGGCCGAAAGCAAGCACAGAAGGCTTGTCAGAAGTCAGCATCGTCACGGGGTTCTCGACAAAGATCTCAAACCAAATGCCAAGGTCCGCGATGAGCTGAACCTCATCATGTCGTACTCGCCAACCCACACGTTGACCCCAGAGGAGAAGGATCTTATTTGGAAGTTCCGCTACCATCTTACTCGCGACAAACGGGCTGTCACCAAGTTTGTCAAATCAGTCAACTGGCAAGACCAAAGCGAAGCTAAGCAGGCGGTGCAAGTCTTGGGACGCTGGACCGAAATCGACGTCGACGATGCTTTGGAGTTGCTCGGCCCCACCTTCGACAACCAAGCTGTTCGGGCATATGCTGTGGAAAGACTACGTAAGGCGGATGATCATGAGTTGCTCCTTTACCTGCTGCAATTGGTGCAAGCTCTGAAGTATGAGCACATTCGAGCCGATTCTTCCCAAGAGGCCATCCAGGATTCGTCTCTGGCCCAGTTTTTGATATCCCGTGCCGCCGGTAACTTCCTTCTCGGCAACTACTTCCATTGGTACCTGATGGTCGAATGCGATGATCACAGTCCTGAGCAGGGGTTGGATAATCGCAACATTTACCGGAAAGTGGCTTACGACTTTATGACTGAATTGGTGAAGCAACCGGATGGAGTCGAATCGAGAAAGACGCTCCTAAGACAGGCTGAGTTAATCGCCATCTTGTCTAAGATTTCCGGCGAAGTCAAAACATCGCACGAATCCATCGCAAAAAAGACCGACCGCGTCAAACATTTCTTAGCTGATCCGAAGAATGAAATGCTAACTATCGACCCGCCATTGCCTTTGCCGCTCGACCCTACTATGTTAGTTATTGGCGTGGTACCTGACGAAACGACCGTCTTCAAATCGTCTCTTTGCCCAATCAAGGTCACCTTCAAAACCACCACCGGCAAGAAGTATCCAATCATATTTAAGACCGGCGACGACTTGCGTCAGGATCAGTTGGTCATTCAAATCATTACTCTCATGGATCAACTACTGCAGAAGGAAAATTTGGATCTGAAGCTGTCTCCCTACAAGATTCTGGCTACCAGTACGACAGCAGGCGCTTCCCAGTTTGTTCCATCCGTCAGCTTCCAGAGCATTGCTTCGAAGTTCAAGAACAACCCAGCACTGACCTACTTGAAATCCAACAACCCTGATGACCGACAACCCCTGGGCTTGCGTCAGGAAACATTGGACACCTACGTCAAGTCTTGTGCAGGATACTGCGTGATTACCTACATCCTGGGTGTAGGCGATCGGCATTTAGACAACCTGCTCCTCGCTCCAGATGGTCATTTCTTCCACGCTGACTTTGGATTCATCCTGGGACGAGACCCCAAGCCTTTTGCACCGGTCATGAAGCTCTCCAAGGAAATGGTGGACTGCATGGGCGGAGTCAACTCAGAGCACTTCAAACAATTCAAGCAGTATTGCTTCCTAGCATACACTGCTTTACGCAAATCCTCCAACCTTATCCTCAACTTGTTTAGCTTGATGGTAGACGCGAACATTCCTGATATTCGACTGGAGCCCGACAAGGCAGTTCTGAAGGTTCGTGAAAGATTTCACCTGGAACTCACAGAGGAGGAATCGATGCTGTTCTTTGAAAGGATCATCGAAGACACGCTCGGAGCCATTGCCCCTGTTGTCATCGATAAACTGCACGAGCTAGTGCAGGCTTTCCGCAACTGAAGCATGGCCTCCTGGTGCAACCGGGTTCTGGCTTGGAGCTGGGTCTGTATGCTTTTAGAGTTTGAGGGCGCAATGGACAGCAACGCCAACCTTGGCCAACACCACGAAGTATCAGTACCCTCGCGCGTCGACCAGGTTCATACCCTATAATCTGGTGACAAGATCCAAGCCGGTCCATTGATGATAACGTGTACCCCGCTGCCACTACACTCTTGAGAGTCCCCACTCTTCTGCGTGAGCAGATCCTGAACGAACACTGCTTGTCAAGAAGAAGAAGTTATATGCAACTCATCTTCATGGCAGACTACTTCACGATGGTGGTCAACCTGCGTGCTAACTCCTGTGTGTGTTGTATGAGGACGGTGAAGGCAACTCAACACAAGTCAGAGGTTTCCAGCCAAGGAGTCAACTCTATCTCCTATCAGGACAGCAGAACCATTTTACCAGCCAAAAGTCTAGCGAGACCTTTCTCCGATGCGCGGGTTCATATCGAGACCTAAAATTTTGGCTCCAGAGATTACATATATAAAGGCCCCAGGTTCTTCCTCCTAAATCCATTATCCAGTCCACAGCTGCTTCATCATCCACATCTACTTACAAGACTCTTTCCTCTATACCACCTCATCAACCAGAATTCATCAAAATGGACGCCTCCAGCCTTCCCACGTCTGTGGAGCGTAATGAAAACCTTATGGAGGTCGTCGAATCCCTCCAGTACCTAAATGGAGTCACCGCGGACTTGTCGCCTTGGATAAATGAACGTGTCAAAGAATTGCAGGATCGCGCTCAAGCATGCTTCGCTCCCTACGATACAGACATCCATGAGGAGCTCGCATTGTACCAGGACTTTCTTAGCCTCAAGAACAATGTCCACGAGTTCACAAATTACCGCCACTTTCTGTGGCGACTTCAAGAGGCTGATACACGCAACTTACTCGGTACCTATCTCTCAGGTCGACTCTGGGCCCAGGAGTGGTATCCGAACATGCCTGTCCCACACGGCTGTGAGTACTGTTGGAACTGGCACACTAGTCGCGACCAAGAACTGGAATGTGAGTTCCTCTTCGATCCTCTGGAGAAAATCTTCCAGGCTTACTTCCTCGAGCGAGCTCAAACCAACGAGTGGGTTGCAAAGGCCATGATTGGACGGACAGACGAACCCCAGCCACGGTCCCCCATTGACGACTACTTGGTGCGGGTTTCTAACTACAGCCTGTACCACAATCATCCTGACGATGGATGGGATATCGAGCGAATCTACGATGTCTTGCTCGAGACAGATAGGCGCGCGAGCGGCCTCCATATGAACTGCCGCGAGTTCCTCCACATGGGTTGGGACAAGACGGTGGAGAGAATCGACAGTGACGGCGACACCGCTCTAGCGCGCGTCCGCGGTATGCTCAGCAACGCCCAGGCCAAGGAGCTCATGCAGGCGATACACTACGATGGTAGGATGTACTACGTCGCATCATTCTATCTCGACTACGATGGCAGGTACCTCGACCAACAGCCCCGCCAATGGGTCATTGATGCCCTTGCTACGAACCCGCCCGGGCCGTGGGGTACCGGCGTCCCCTGGAAACGGATCCTGACCGTCGACCGCTTCTGGCCTGTGTTCGAGGTCGACGATAGGGGCAACGTCTTGGCGTGGTGCCAGTTCATCGAGACTGGTCGCCGCTGGAAGAGACGTTGGGTCGGCACGCTCGACGGTGACTGGGAACTGCAGTCCATCGTGGAGAACAATATGCGGAATGAGTGGGCTTGGTCGGAAGCTGACATCATACAACATAACGAGCTCCTTCGCAATCGCAGGATGAGGATGAGCGGTAGCGCGGGGACCCTGGTGCATGAGTACCAGTCCGACACTGGTGATGCTCAGAATGAAAGTCTGTATGAAGCCGATGATGAGGCTGGTTACGACGGGTCTGACTACAGCGAGCCCGTCAAAGGCGAGCCCGGCCATAGCGAATCTGGCAAGAGCGAATCTGGCCACAGCGTCCCTTGCAACGGCAAGCCTGGAAAAGGTAACCCTGAAGAAGGCGAACCCGGAAAGGACGAGCCTGTCCACGATCATGATGAAGTTATTGATCCTCGTGGCGAAGAAGTATTCGGCGATGAGTCTCATGACGTGGATGAGGACATTTCTCTGGGTAACTTGAGCCATAACCTGGCTGTTGCCGAGCTATGTCACCACTTCCGTGATAGAGAGCGCATGAGTCCTCGGGACAGCGATGACGAGAGCATAGACGTCTCGGTGGACTTCGATGCAGAGCCATATCACACCAGCACTACGGACAGTGGAAGTGAGAGCGGGTATGAGATCGTTGAGGATCAACCGGCTCCTATTGAGATCGATTATGAGATCTTGGATGATCGACCAGGGATGTGAGATGTGGTAACGATGAAGTTGTTGGGTGGTGAGGAATTAGGACGGCACATATCATGCAGGTAATCCACTGCAACATACATACAGTCTACAGAAACACGAGGCGCCATTCATGAAGTGACGTGTTGGCATTTCCCACTAAACACGAGTGATTTATCAGGACAAACGAATGGACACACTGGAAAATCGTGATCAACCACATCTTTGTCTCGTTCCATTTGTTGAGCATTTTGTTGCTCGTCGATCTCAGGATAGGTTGTGATAAGATACTAAGCGTAAGGGCTGCTTGAACCTTTCTTGCAGCTCAGAGCGAGTGATGCCGTGAGCAAAGTAAGTCGTATTAATATACTAATCCAAGCCAAAGTAAGCCGAAAATAGAACATCATTCAGCATCAGCCATGGGATGTTGAGCTGAACAGATGGGCATAGAAGAATGATCACTGAGATGGGCTACGATGCGTAAATTTTTCCATGAATCCATCGCAATTCAGGCGCCCAGTATCACTCTTTGAATAACGAATAATTCCAGGAGGCAATAAAAAGGCGGTTTCATTATCGAACCATGCAGAATTCTTGGAGTCCCTTGTAGATGTTCTGAGTTCAGGATGCACCGCGGGCGTCTCATCACCTGATTTTAGGTTCCAGATTCAAGATATTCAGAAACCTCAATTAGAGAAAGAATGAGAAAGGTATACCCATACTACCTACCTATCATAAAATCGAAAAGATTCGATTCAAATCTCATAGACTCCGAGTGTGACTTGGAGAAAAGAAAACGGCAATGAGACAAGAACCGACCCCAAAGACAGGGAACCGGTTGAATGTGGCTCTTCGAGCGCCACTGGATACCCCGTGTTCCTTTCTATATAGCTTTTAGTAAATCACTCATCCAATTCCCCAGTCGCTAATTGAATAACGGAAGTGAATTGACGCCTCAAGTCTCTTGTATCTAAATTTAAGGCATCTGTAGCTAGAAGTTGGCCGTGGCTACCTGATGCGATGATACGCGCCCGCTGGAATACCTGGTGAAGAAGTGATATACCTTTTCCTCCATCAGCAATTGCTGAGGAGCTTCAGGAACCCGAGTGTCCTGAGTAGTCTCTGGGATCTCACAGAAGACAATCAAAGACTGACCCGCGTACGATACATTTATTTCATTGACCAAGATGCTCCTTCTAATCTTGTTGGTCGACATGTTGCAATCCCTCAAGCAGAACACGCTTGGTAGGGAATGAAATGTCGTTGATTGATCGCCAATGATCCCCAAGGATTCTTCCTACTCCTCAGAGATCACTTATTGAAGGACTGCAAGTCCGACCTTCAATAAATAAGAGAGGAATTCAAGGAAATGCATATACCCTTTTAGACGGGCGACAGTGGGAGCTGACAGACTTTGCAGCACCATCCAAAGCCCTTCTCGAGCCTTGTCCTCAATGAGTCTCACATTCGAAGAGTTTCCCGATCCAGGAACACCAAATCGGGCATCTTTCTCGAGCATCTCAGTGGCCACCGAGGTCATCGGTACGGCCTACATGCGGAAGGCTGAAGCAATCCACTCGTTGCAAGTCACCAAAGATCTGGTGAAGGCTGCGGGACAAATCTACAACTAATTATCTAAGGACAGCAACAGGTTGACGTGGGATGTATGGTAAGTGCGCAAGCCATCAAGTCCAAGGTGATGAAGCTGAAGTCCACCAACAACAAGTTACGTTCCTACAGTGACACCCGCACGGCGATTGGGTGGCCTTGGACTCTTGTGTTTGGCAAAGCCCAAGCTGTCCCCACAACCCTTTGGCACTTCACAATGTCTATTCCGATTGTGGTGAGCTTTTTCAGCGCAAGCTAAAACTCAAGGATGCGGGAGTCGCTGACATAGGCCAAGAGATTGATCGTCTTGATAAAATACGGTTTCTTCACGTGGCCGCCCTTTTCTGGAAGATCATCCTTACTTCGAGCGAGGACTTGGAGAACGCCAAACCCAGTCCAGCCGGAGTTGACGATACCCTGCGAGGCAAGATACGCTACATGAGAATCTTCCCGATGATCTCGACAGTTAAAGCTTTGGGTGAAACACAGAGTCTTGTGTACAGATCCATCGACGAGGACTGGTACATTGCTGACAGGGGCGTCTTGAGGCGAGCATTCGTTGGAAAGGTCGACATCCTGGATTTTGATACAAAAGAAATCGATCAGCTCATGCCCTTGATCAAGTGGTTATGTCTCAGCACTACTCTTCTGAACGAGGCAGTGCAAGAACGGACAACTCACGTGGATTTACCCATGTACAATCGCGGTTGGTCCAATAACATCCGAAAGAAAGCGGAAAGCATCGCTCTCCAAGTCCTCAAATGCCACACTAGAACGAATGGTGCTTTATTGTAATAGTCTCGGCTCCAACACGGACATGATGTTGCCCCTTTTTGAGGTTTCGCTCGCCTCAGGCCTGAGAGTGGAAAGAGCCATCGGCAACATACACGCCAAATCCGAAGATGAGCATATTTGCATCACAGAAAAGAACGACTCCATCAAAATCGTCTTATTGCAGAACCTTTCCAAACAGAGTGGTCCACGGATTGACATGGAGCTCGCAGACTTCTCCATCCACCTGTGTGCTATCAAGGATGTCGGCCGTGTCCTGCTCATCTCGCCCATCTTGAAGGCCAGCTTTACCGATGTGCGGGACCTGTGAGAGGGGGCCAATATTTGGGCCTCCATCGAGGATCTCAACTTCTGCGTCAACGAGGCCGAGGAACACGCTGCTGCCGAAGCCGAAGAGATGGCGGCTGCCAGCGCTGCGGCGAGAGGTACGGTCAGAGGGTCAAGTCTTGGGGCACCATGTTCTCAGACGTATGCGACTAATCATGGCCTTCAAACCTAAAGTTTCATTCACCGAGATTTATCTGACCGTTTTAAAGAGATTGGGCTCAAGGCTGAGGCACACGTGAGATTGACGTCCTGAGGAAGAGTGTGAGATTCAGCTAATGATCCCCCGCAGGTCAATGGCTTCTTTCACCAGGTACCCGTGCACCGGACTGGAAGCCCATGAAGCATTGGACGACCAGCATTCGGGAACAGAAGGGCAATCCCGCATTCTTTGGTGACGAATCAACAACAGCAGACTTTGCCTACACTGATGAGTGACATATGCTGCAAATTGTGTGACCATTTCGCGAAGCTTGGTCCTCACAAGCGATGACTTATCATATGGAGGTAAAGGGAACGGTCTGTGGATGCGAAGAGCCTTTCTATCTCAGCCAGGACCAAATGAACTTAATGAGCTGTACACGTCATCTTCCACGTTCGTCAGAGACCGAGAAGACCTAATATGATTGCAGGCCGAGAAAAACGCTTTAAAAAGAGACAAGGTTCCAACGGACGTCTACGTCATTACCCGTATGTACAACGTTGAGAATTCGAAGGAACAGCCAACCCTCAAATTCTACTTCGACCCGTGGTAGCAGATAAATGGAGGCAAGCTCGTTATGAAAGCTCGTTATGAAAGCGAATGATGGGTACCGCATCACTCCTGCAAGTGCAAGAGCGGGGTCCTAAGCAGCTTTGAGAAGGATCTGAGTTGGGTACCTGATTTGGTTCGAAGGAATTGATAAAAAGGGCATTGGATTGTAAGGATAGATGAAGACTATGTTGAGATACTCTCTCCATTTGTTGACCCAACTATTCTTGTTCTCGACTGTATGCTCGTTCCTTTATCAGAACTGTCGACCTGCCGCTGTCCAAACTGTGGAACGATCGCTCGTGTGCAGCCGCGAAAACAAGATCCAATCATACGGAAGATTTGCCAGGAAAGTTGTAGCTCGCACAATCCTACCGGAGACTTTCCAGCCCCAACCTGGGTAGTATTACGGATATGCACGGCTTCATTGAGACAAGACCAGCCACAACGCAAAATGACCACGGCGTCCAGATGCGGGACAAGCTTTCGCGTGTGAGCGAAGGTTACGATTAGCGGAGACATTGGATATTAATCGAACTGTATCCGTAGTGCCGGAAGAAAAACAAGAACGCTTCATCGGTTGTTGATATCACCACAAGAAGTATTCTTGCGGGGAGTTGCTTGGCTCAACAAGACGGGGATCAGAGCTCGTGCCGGTTGGCATCATTGCTAACGGGGATCGGCATATCAGCGCAAGGAAGGTTTTCAAGGAACAATCTGCTGTGAGTCGTGTACTACTGGAGCTGGAGGTCCAAGCTTTGGTGCCGAAGCGGACTACACGTTCTTGATTTTTTTGGTAGCCGATGATCGGGGAAGCTCCGCGTCGTCAACAGTCGGCTTGCTGTTATTGATATCGTTCGCGTTGACTCCACGGGCTTACCTGCCGGGTTGCAACTTTGCAAGGCATACCAAGTTGGCGGTTAAGAGAAGAGACTATGAAGCATGGTACGACCCAGTCCGGTTGTGCGCGAAGAGCGATAAGCTGACTCTGAGCAGCGCCAACTACCTTATGAAAGTGGATGAATGAATAATCCAGCCGAGATGAGATGAGTGAGGAAAGAAAACCCCTCGCCTGATAAGGTAAGTCTAGCAGCTTCAATTTTTCTTTGCCTTTCTAACAACCTTTGTGTTCCATTCTCCTTGAAATTAATCAGAAACTCTAGTACTTCCCGGGCTATTCGGCCACAGCGTCGTCAGAAGGCGCCTAGGCAACCTTCAGAATATCCGTAGAGTAATTGATTGTTTTCTACGTATGCTGCAAGGAACATATTGCCAGTGATGAACTCTAATGAAATTGGACAAATCAAGTGTTACCGTGGGTCTCTCTTTTCCCTCTCTTACCCCAGCCCGCGCGGACGGTATTCTGACTGACCCTGGCCCCTGATCTGGTCCCACATGTCACCTCGCACGATGTCATGCCAGCACGGCACTCAGGTCATACACTACACGTGTAGAACCGACGGCCGGCCATCAGCTCGCTTTTTACGGGCGCTTTTACTACTTCCACGACGACTCGTCTCACTTCTTCGTAGGTAGCCCGCTGACCAGCTGAGGAAAGTGAACGCGGCAGGCTCACTGACTAACAGACTCTGAAGAAGGACTGATGGGAAGGGAAAGTGCCAACACGACAGGGCAGATCACTGACAAGGCAATTCGATCAATCCGATGGTTGTCTCAGCACAGCCAGCCGACTCAAAGCGTTCTTGGTTCGGCTCAAGCCACCTGCCATCCAATCAAAACGCACAGATGCCCGTATTTCGTCCTTCTCTCGCTGGCCTGCTGGCTGCCACGCTTTCCTCAAGGCTGGACGCTAAGCCCAGGTCGACAGGCAATCGAGAGTCAGGACACGAGCTAGACAGCTTAGGCGTGAGCTGTTTGACGGACGGACGGACGGACCGCGACATAACGTGGACCACCTAAATAGCTAGACAGCTAGATGGCTGGACTGTGGACAACCTCGCGGAAGCATCCAGCTCCTCCCACCAGCCAGTCGGTCAAATGAGGGTAGCCAAATTCGCTGGCGTTCCATTGGAGCCCGAAAGAGTCAACTGGATGTCACCTCAGTGGCGAGCGCCACAAGTCACTTCACTCGCCCAGCTCGAGAATGGCTGATTTCCCGTCTTTCTGCGCCTGCCAGTGCCAACCCTTTCCTCGTGGAGCTAATTTGGGAACCAAAAAGATCATGGTTGTATGTTCCTGGCCAGAACCCGGTCCGTAGTCTCGGGACTAGCTATAGGTCGAACGGAACCGGGTCCAAGTTCGTCCCAGTTCTTTGCAGTAGCTCGGCGACCCCAAGGTTCACCCCCCCTTGCCTCGCACAATGTCGCGTCGCCCCAGCAGAAAAGCCCAAAGCTAACGCCTCCTCAGCGGAGCTAACGTAACTCTACATCCCGTCCTCCACTCCAATGATATTGGGGACGCCGCCGTCGCGCGCGCCCGCCGCTGCGCGGTAAAGATATATGGGATAAGCTTTTTACGAGGGAGAGGGCAGAAGGGGAGAAGCTTCAGGTCAGGACCAGGGCCCAGGGGTCCCTCTCTCTCTCTCTCTCTCTCTCTCGCTCCTATTACTCCCTTCCCCGAAAGAATGTGGTGGCTTGCGGCGCGCTGGACTCATATTTATGGCCCTTCCCTTCTCGTCGGGTCGGCGTTGAAAAGGCTCTCTTCGAATACTGCCTTGTGCAACTTCATGTCCACTTATCTCAACGTCGTCCATCTCGTCACGTATTATATCTTATCGATCGATATATCAATCTAATACCGTGTAATACTCACAGCAACCAAAACAACGTTCACAATGAAGTTCACCCTCGCCCTCGTCGCCGCCGCCGGCCTTGTCATTGCCCAGGACTTCTCTGGCCAGCCTAAGTGTGCCGTACGTCACGATCCCCTTCACACGGGGCGATGCGACCAACAAGTCCCATGACCCAAAGCTGACATTCCTCCCTTAGCTTTCCTGTCTGGCCGAGGCCATCCCCAAGGTCGGCTGCAACCTGACCGACACCGCCTGCCAGTGCACCAAGGAGAAACAGGAGGCCCTCGCCCCCATCGCCGCCCCCTGCCTGCTCGCCGCCTGCAACTCGACCGACCTTACCGCGGCCCAAAACGCCGCCGCCAAAGCTTGCGCCGACTTCGCTGCCACCGCCGGCTCTGCCCAGCCCACCGCCTCGGCTGCCCCGTCCGTCCCTCTCCCCGTCTCTACTGTCCTGGCTTCCGCTTCTGCCTCCATCACCGCTACCCCTGCCAGTAACGCCTCTGCCCCCTTCAGCAACGCCACTGTCTCCGCCTCGCGCGCTGGTACTGCTACTGCTAGCGGCACCGGTGCCCGCTCTACTGCTCCCTCCACTGGCAACGCTGCTGCTCAGGGCTCCGTCGCCGTTGGTGGCCTTGCTCTCGCTGCCATTGCTGGTATCGCTGCTGTTCTGTAAAGAGGGCCTGTCTGACGATGGTTATGAGACCATCCACCACCTAAAAAGGGTTGGAATGTATAGAGATTCCGTGTCGGTGTCGAAGAAGCTAGGCCAAAAGGATTGTATGTGTAGGATGCTTTAACGCACCGGGACGTCTGGACTTAATGAGGATGGGCGGAGGACTCGGAAAGAAAAAAGAGTTGATGATCATGGCCTATTTTGCTGCTAATGGCGCAAATGTCTTGCGACAAGGCACAGGGCAGCATCCCTTTTTTTCTTTTTCTTTTTTGAACTGAATATACCAAAGACACTAGATTAACGATTCGGCGGTCTCTCTATTGGTGTGACTGCAGCTCTTTCACAGCCATCGCTTTCGCTCCTCAATCCGTGCGTGGCACCGGGAGGAGACAATCTAGACTTCCATGATGCAGAAAGGCTAGATTTGGGATCGGGCGATGCCAAGGTCACACAGGCAAAAGCTTCGCCGGTAGCGACATTCTTTGCCGTACAGGGTTTCTCGATCCACCAGAATGATGTCGACAGGCTGCCACAGGAAAACATTTTTCTTGCTCGAGGTAGCCTTCAAGTCGTAATCGCTCATGGTCATACTAGGTAGACGGAGGTTTGAGCGGCCCTCAATGCTGCAACGATGTTGAGATTACACGCGGTCCTTTGAGCATGCACGGAGAGAAGTAGTGTGTGGAAATCAATGATGAAGATAACCTGGGGGGGGGGGGGCAGTCAACACCGGTCGAAAATCGTTAAGAAGGTGCACAATTTCCTCCAAATTTCATGGCAGAGGTAGGTGGTTGAAGTCATCCATCGGGTGGCTCCGAGCCAACGGACACGACTATCCGGTCCGATGTGGGGCCGGTTTCAGGGGGTCAAAGAACGTCCGCCGTCCATTATTGAGGTGGCCTGCTTCGAGGCAGATCCGCCTTGTGGTCAGAAGCAACTTTTACTTATCGAATCCTTTCGATTTGCCAAGAATTTTGCGCCCCCGGCATGCAGGCTGACCACTGTCGTGAATTACTGGAGGCGAAGGCTCCTCCAGGATTTCGATTCCGCCACATGAAAGTCATCAGGCATGCTCTCATAGGTCAGCCTGATTGATAACACCATGATTATGGTGGCCTAATCTGGGATTCTCAACATGATTGATGATAACTCCCCGAAAATTGTCAATTTTTGATGCAAAAGCACGGATTTGAAGTGGGTGTCACTGGTTAAATGGTTGTACAAGCGTCAGCCAAAGCCGAAGACGGTGTGGCTCACGTCAGGCCAAACCCGCACATGAGAGACATTTATATAAGCCTTCTACCATGCCTCGTCTCTACATTCTTACCTCTCACACACGTGGTTCTCTGTTTCTCTGCCAGCTCGCTGAAGGCGCTGGCAGTTTGAAAAGGCAGTGCCTACACTGTTGTTTGGAAGCTTCTCTATTCTATCACTTCATAAAACGATGGCGATTGATGGATGTCCATTCAACGTCAGTTGTGAGGGGCCAAATGAGTGGAAATCGAACAGCGATATAGCAGGAACTGGGGTAGGTCTCATACCTCGCGAGGATTCGTTCTCATATGCCTTTGGCGAAGTTTGCCCGCAATCGCTTACCTCACTTCACCGTTTCAAGGTTCTCATAGGCTTCATGGGCACAGCTTACATTGTTTTTGCTCTGATATTGGTCCACTACTTCGTTGCATACGACCCAGAAGCCCCACCGCCACGGCAAAATCTCAGCATCGAACGCCAAGTTCGATCTACTGTGCGACGAGTTCTTACTGGTGCGGGAACTGTCGCAAATGCGCCGGTGGATCCAATTTATTGGACCCCGAATCCAATCGATGTCAAACTGTTGGCATGGCTGAGGCTTCAGACCAGGAACGTGCTCAAAAAGTGCCGGATCACATTACCTACCGTTGGAACCGCCCGTTCAGAACGCATTCAAATGGGCTTCAACAAGGTAACAGCTTCATAATGGTCCTAGAGTCATGGATAACACTACTAATAACTCCGCTTTAGTCCATCTTGAGCATGTGCGACGTCCAAATCATTACAGGAATAAGCATCCTTGCTAGCGGCTTCATATGCTTGGACAAAACTCTCTTAGCTATTCACTGGGAAATGATAGTCTACTTGGCCTGGTTCTCTTGTGTTACTCACCTGTCCGGATTGACGGTCCTGAGGAGATACTTGCAGAAAGAATCGTGGGCGAGATATATTCGTTTGTCATTGATGCTCGTCCTCTTACTCATGCTCATCGTAGCCATGGCGCCGACAGCTTTCTTCAACTGGGACGAGGGCGAGAAAAAGTACTACGCGTCCGCCGCTGACACGTACACGCCTGCAATCTGCTTTTTCCACTTGAAATGCGCAAAAGGCCTGTACCAAAAGCTGGAAACCGAGACACCATTCAGTCAGACGCCTGCTTTTGTGGAAATGCTCATCTCACAAACGTTCATCATTGTCGGATTTCTAGCCAGGTCTTTCAAGCTCTCGACGCGCTTATCTGAAGGAATGCACCGGAATCTTCTTGTCCCCTTGGGTAATTTTATGCGTCGACGGTTGCAAAGACTGGAAGTTCTCTTGTACCCTACCGGCATTGCAACTAGCAGAACAACGGCTAGTCAAGACTTCAACTCGTTGCGGTACGGATTGATCATCAGGCCCGTATTGGCAGCAATAATACTGGTCCGCACGCAAGCTGACCTATTTAACTCCATGCTGGGAGAAGTAAGCCGCATATTGTATACACTACAAGATTCATGTACTAAAATCAATGTGTGGTTAGATATTTTGGCTCTGGGTCATCCTGCTCTGGGGTACTTCGAAACTTGCGATGTCCTCCTTTGACGAATGGGAGGAGACGGAGTACTCGGGGGATAACTCTCATAGTACCCGATGGCAATTTGGTCAGGTGCTTCCAGTGCTACTCCTGGCAGCACCTCTGACTACGTTTTTCGGTCCACTAGTCTCAGAGTCCACAGATTCGGACTCACGGGTTCACAACATGGGCAGAACACCAGCTTCTGATTGTCATCCGCACACCGGTCATAGCACAGGTCAAAGCCAGCACATCGACGAGGCTTCGATATCGATGGCAATGACACCATTAATAGCGACGGAAGCTAGCCAGGAGAGGCGGCAGCTGAACACGGGAATCTCTGGCGACGGAGGCGGTTCGGATCAAGCTAGCCAGGACAACCGCATAAGTCTAGCATCTGTTGTCTTAGGGGGCAACTATTCTGGGATGCAATGGATGTTGCCTTATCTGACTTCAAGCCTTGTTGTCATTGGGGTTCACGTCTTTTTTCTCTTTCGATACGCAACTGACATATTCTACTATGTATATGAGTATATGAAGGTTGACGTGCCAGATGCATTGTACGTATACCCATACTGGACACCTATGGATTATATGTTTACCGAAGGTGGCGTCTTCTATCTGATCATCTTGAGCTATCCATTCGCAGGACACGCTACCATTTTACTTGGGTTGACAGCTCTCGACTGGGGGAAGCGCCATGCCAGAAAACCCGGTCATGACTGGAGACCTATTGCATTTTGGCTGTTCGCAATCCTAGTGTATGGCTTATACGCATGGCTCACCTATTGGGAGGCGATGGTTTTGTACTGGAAGATAGCATCAGTCATCTTGGTCACGTTGGGACTATATGGACTATATGCTGTTACATGCTTGGTCGCGTATTTCAGACATCGCAAATAGCGGCGGGCAAGGACAGAATTTGGTGGGGTTATAGGATTAAGTGGTAGATTCAACCTACATTGAGGGCTTCGGGAGGATTCAAGAGACCCCCGCCGCCGAGCCCGCAGTTGCCGCCCTCTGCCGCCCTCCGCAACCCCCACCACGCATAGGAAAAAGCACGCCAACACGGGCCATGTGCAGTCCAGATCCCGGACAAGTGCGCTGAAGGACGGGGGTCAGGTCCCCCCAAAAGGACGTCTTGGCCGGCGCGCCGTCCACTGGAAGGAGGCGGTGGGTGGGAAATCGTGTAATCGGCCGGTCCCGCCATCCTGGGCCGGTTGGGTGCAGCGGTGGTCTGGGGGGCCGGACCAGTCAGGCGAGCGGGAGCATCACATGAAGAACTGGGCCCCACACACCGTCCAGTCCCCTCTCGTGGCGATTGCGATAGCTCCCCACCACTGCATCCCGTCCACCAACACCTTTCTTGGGCGATAGCGCAGCTGAATTTTTTTTCCCTCTCTCTGCTGTTGGTTCTGCCGACTGGGATGTTGCCGTGATAAAAATCCAGCCGCTTCATCGTATCCCTCCTCCCCTTCCCCTCCCTCCGTTGCCACGACTTGAAGCAACGTGCCAATCAAAGTTTTGCGCCGATACCAATTGCCTGCCTTTATCACGCGTTGCCGACCAAAGGCATCAGCAACCCGCTCCAAACCCCTCCAACGACAATCATATGTTGCGCGCCGCCTTGGCCAACTTCTTCGCATACCACTTCCCGGCGCATCGTCCATGTGCCGTGCTATCGTGAGATAGACAAAACAGCAGGCGACTTGAGTCTTTGCGCTTGCTGCCAGGGGACGAGAAAGACCAGAGCAGTTCACATTACAACTAGATCACACCAACCACCACATACACCGCGACAACAGAACTCGACCAAAGGTTGAACTTGTTTCGCGCAGACGACATCCCGTCTGACTGAGCTTGTGTGCGCACCAAAGGTATGTGGAACAAAACCACCAGACAGGATGATCCCCAACCGCATCCACGTCCGACATCAACGACAGGGGACTGACCGCACCCTCCAGATCGCTATATGCCCAGCATCGCACCCGGCCACTTCAAGACCATCCTGTCGCTACCGCTACCGCTGCAGTTGCCGCGTCTCCCCTTCACCAGGACCCCAGAGACCGACCCCGGCCACGCCTACGCACCGCTGCCCACCATGGCCGCCATCGACGACGACACCACCAAGAACCTCAACACCTCGCCGGTGACGACGACGCAAATCACCGCCGGCCACGACGAGTCAGAGCTCGTCGGCCAGGGCCTGCACGACATCGAGGCCCAGAAAGTGCACTGGTGGAGCTACTTCACCACCGTCGACTTTTGGATCGTCCTCATCATCGGACAGATCCTCGCGCTGTGCATCACCTCGACCAACACCTTCACGTCCTTCCTCGCCAACAACGGCGTGTCGATCCCGGCCTTCCAGACCGTCTTCAACTACATCCTCCTCTTCCTCATCTACTTCCCCGTCACCATCTACAAGTACGGCTTCAAGAAGTGGGGCAAGCTCCTCCTCCGCGACGGCTGGAAGTACTTTATCCTCTCCTTCCTCGACGTCGAGGGCAACTATTTCACCGTGCTGGCCTACCGCTACACCAACATCCTCTCGGCCCAGCTCCTCAACTTCTGGGCCATTGTCGTCGTCATCATCCTCTCCTTCTTCCTCCTCCGCGTCCGCTACAAGGTCTTCCAGATCGTCGGCATCCTCGTCGCCATTGGCGGCTGCGGCGTCCTCTTGGCGAGCGACCACATCACCGGCACCAACGGCGGACCGGGCATCGACATGGTCAAGGGCGACCTCTTTGCCCTGCTCGGTGCCACCCTGTACGGCGTCACCAACGTCGCCGAGGAGTGGTTCGTCAGCCGCCGGCCCGTCTACGAGGTGCTCTCCTTCATGGGCCTGTGGGGCATGTGCATCAACGGCGTCCAGGCCGCCATCTTTGACCGCGAGTCCTTCCGCGAGGCGACGTGGAACGGCCCGGCCGTCGGGTACCTCCTCGGCTACACGTTTGCGCTCTGCCTGTTTTACAGCGTGGTGCCGCTGCTGCTGCGCATGGCCAGCGCCGCGTTTTACAACATTTCGCTGCTGACGGGCAACTTTTGGGGCATCATTATCGGCGTCAATGTGTTTGGCTACTCCATCCACTGGATGTACCCCATCGCCTTTGTGCTCATCATCCTCGGCCAGGTCGCGTACTTTCTCGCGGGCAGCATGCTGGGCGATTCCAAGAAGCCGTGGCTGGGCGATAACCAGGAGAACGGCGTTGCCGGACTCGGCACGGCCAAGTTGAAGGCCATGAACGCGGCGCGGAAGCGGCAGATGGCTGCTGCCGAGACTTCGGTGTTTGTCTGAAACTGAAAGGAGCCGCGGAGAGGATGTCTGTCTGTCTGTCTGTCTATCAGGTCACGACTTGAGAGAGTGTTGCAACTTTTTGACCGCTGACGAAAAAAGTTGCCGAGACGGATCTATAACGCTTCTTAATCCGAGTGTTTAAACAGAAACGGGTCGTTATCGTGGCTTGCTTCAGGCAAGCCCCTTTTCCCTCTGGCCGTGCTGAGAAGCGAAAAACTCAAAATCGATCTGTCCAATCATATACTAGAGTATTATCAATACCACTATTGGATACCGGTACTCCTTAGTTCCCGTTCACGCTGCCGTTGCCGCGCCCCTGCCGCGTCATGACCGTGAAACTAGTCAAACTCTGCCCTTTTTTTTTTTTAATCTTTCCTGATGGGAAATCGAACGGGCGTAGCTCTCGCTTGACGTCTCTTGACAGCCCTAGGAACATGCGATACGTCTCAACTGTGAGTTTGTGAAATGGTGAGAGACACGCGAGACTGAGAGGGACAGAGCAAAGTGGAAAAGGAGAGAGAGCCGCACGGCCCTGTTGGACGACGTCAGGGTCCGGTCTTACCGTCCCACGCGTCCGTACCGTCTACCGACGGAGCGGCGTGGCAGTGGTTATCGAGTGGCCCAGAGTCCACAGAGTCTAGTCTCGGACTCTAGAGACTCTAGTTTTTTTTCCTCCTCTTCTTATTGATGCGTTATGCATAAACGCGAGGGCACCGGGAGTGCGATAAAGCCTCTAATGCGGGGGCTTACGATTCAAGGACAGGAATTGATTTTGAATATAGCAGGGGCTCTGGTTCCGTGTGTCTGGAACGTTGTCCACCAAACGTCGCTTTTCTAATGTAATTCGATGTCTTTCTCGATCTTCTTCCGGCGCACCAATAAAAGGAGGGGTGGGGGGGGGGGCTCTCAAGATCCAATTCAAGGTCTCGCAGCTTTGAGCACCGGTATTCCAACTAAACAGGTGTACCAGAACCCCCACGGTCCAGAGAACCTCGCAACGAAAATCACTACATGCATTGCAGGAACAACAACAAGAAGAAAATCAGAAGAAGCAAAAACGAGACCCGAGGACTGTGCACCAAGAGTGCCGACAGGGAACACGACGTCGTTGCATATGGGTACCTTACGTGGGGCGCAGGCTTGCAGTTGCGCAGGGCGTGCGGGTTGCATTGGCGTCGCACTCACAGTGACACACGCACACACACACGCAGAGAGAGATAGAGAAAGAGAGAGATACGCATTCCCGTCCGTCCCCGTCCGCGTCAGGGATCGAGGGTTGATTTGGTTCTACCTTGGTCCTTTTCGTCAGGCAAACCCCCCCTTCTTGATGCTGGTTGCTAGGCCTGGGCCTTCTCTGGCGTACTGCCTTTTCTTACCAGTCTACGGAGTACCGTGCTAACTTACCATGTCACTCTCAAGCTCTCATCCGCACTCTTATCTGCGCCAATTTAAATATCCAGCAAGGGACTCTGAGATGTGGAATCATAGACAACCCCCGAAAAAGCAGCGTTTCTTACAATGTAACTGCACGTTCGGCCCCGGCACAACGTCCCCACCACCCACCCACCCCGTTAGCCCCGATCCCGATAGGCGTTCCTAGTGCAAGGTAGTCAGGGCACTCGGGCAAAAAGAGGGTTTCTTGGCACTTTGCCCGCCAAGTCTATCTCTACGAAGCAGCCCCGATCAGCTTACGGGAGAAAGTTGGACAGAGAGAGAGAGAGAGAGGCCATTCATGTTTTTGGTAAATGACCTTATCGTGTCGAATAAGAAGTCGGGCAAAAGGACTAATCACTTGAGAATATTTCGAGTATAAGCAGCGGTTACTTGTGCTGCGGCGCCTCCAGTTCGACTTGATCCACGGCTGACAACAGAAGAAAAGACACCAAGCAAGAGCACAGCCAAGGCCAGGAGGGACGTACATTTCGTTCTAAAAAGAGAAAACGACTATGAAAGTCGCGCGCGATTGGAGACGGGAGTGCGTCGTCGCCCTCTTGCGCCTCCCAAAGTCCACGTCAAGGGTCCAAAGGCAGCCGTCCGATTGGTTGCGTCATTTCCCAGCTCTCGCCCGGCTCACGTATTACACGTGTACGACTGCGCTTCTCGAGACTCGAACTTTTCGAAGTCATGTTCGACAAGAGTGTGTGTATCCCCAAACTCGCGCCCGGGTTGTGTGTTCACACATCCATCTACCCGCAGCCTCCCGCAGTCCTTGCTTCTTACATTGTACTTGCAGCGACCAAATCTCCCTCGGTCGACAAATGTCATCATCCCAATCTATGTGTGATGGCTCAATATCGCCCCAAAGATGGCTGCATCGCTGCGTGGACCTGTCGCCCCCCCTTCTCCCCAACTAGCGGCATGTACAATCTAACAACCTTTTTCCTTCCCTCTTCCGTCCTCGCCGCCCACGTAAATGTCCTAATTTAACGCCTAGTCCTGCGGCCTGCCATCCCTACGCTGGGACGCCGAGCCTCGAAGATTATTTCAGTTCCAAGGTTTGATTATCCCTGAGCTTGCTGTACTGTTGGCAATCGCCGGGCTGTCCGGACCGCCAAGACTTTCCCGTACAATTCATACGCCAGAAACCCCCCCTGACTTCGTCTCAGATTTCTGCGTTGACCTTTTGGGGAGGGTTCGTATTTCTCTTCGTCCCGTCTCTGTGCTTTTCCTTCTCCACGATTTTTATGCTTCTGGTCCTATCCAATCTTTTGCCTCTTCTTCTCAACCGGGATTGGCTTGTGAGAAAAGAGACTTGCGCAGCGGGCGATTCCATCGACGACCCAAAAAAAAAGTGTCCGCCTCTTGCCGCCTCGGCCACCACTCCTTAGGTTGCTCCGGCAAGAGAAGGCAGCTTACGAGTCGTCGCAACAAAACACAAAGTCTATTTTCGTTCTCGCCCAACCCACTTGTGCATATCGATTGCAGGACTTGTTTACCATAACGATACTGACCCTGCCAAAAAGGAGGAGGTCTGAGCTCAACGGCCAGTTCGAGCGTCATCTGATATAGCGCGGGGTGTTCGCTCAGTTTCCTAGTTTCCTAGAAAGGTGGCAAATTCGGTTCCATTTGCCTGCACTCTCACACCAAAAGGGCCGGTAAAGGGTTCCTGGAATCAGGATCCTTTCGCTTCTTGCCAACTAATTTTCCACGCAGCAAGGACAATCGGGAAAAGCAGAAAGAGAGCGGAAACTGACCTGAAGGGAAAGGGCCATGGGTCCGACACACGACCGCAACATGATCGAAAACCAATCTCGATGGGCAAGACTGAGGAGTGGCTCCTCCCGCCGGTCAAAAGTCGTCATTGGCGCCCTGCTCATCTTCATTTTGTCCGCGATATTTGTCCTACAACCAGACTGGCGCGTCGCCAGCTCCGGGCTACCGGTGCCTAACTTACACCGACCTACACCAGACTCTTCACCGAAGGCGCCGGCAGGGAGCGGTGGTGGCGGTAGCGGCGCCGGCTCACACACCGCTAGTTTGACACCCGATGCTGACGGAGTTCTGCTGTCCGCGGGGACCCCCATCTTCACATCCCCGAGCGGTCGTTACGCTCTTAGTCTGCAAGATGATGGCGATCTGGTTCTCAACAGGGTTGATGACGACGGCAGCTCTCATCCCGTTTGGTGGACCGCGACGGGTGATATGCACAAGGGTGGTCGCACAGTCGTTGTTGAGAACAACAAGGGCCACGTGCGAATCGTATTGAACGCCATGTTGAAGAATACTTGGACGACGGTTTGGCATAGCGACCTGGAACCGGCCTGCAAGAAGACGAAGGGAGGTATCCTAGGACGTAGCGAGGACGACGAGTCGCAAACGAAGGCCATGTCGAAGAGAAGCTCAGGCCAACTTGAGCTGTCGGATACAGGGAGACTCGCGATTCCCGGGCTATGCGACTTGTACGTGCCACCAAGTGAGCGCGAAAAGGAGCGCAGCCTGGCCGTCATCATTGCTGGGCTGTACAGAACCAACCACGTAACCTGCAAGACGCACATGTCGGAGCTCATCGCCGACCATCCGGCTTTTGAGAGGATCGACGTGTTCGCCTACATGCTCTACGAGCCGGGCGACGTAGACGTGTTCAAGCGAACCAAGGAGTCCATAGAAGCGGGGCTACGGGAGTGTTATGGCTCCCACTTGCGATCGGTCGATGTTTTGCCGGTGAGCGAGACCGAAGCGGAATATCCTGGCGGCAAGGAAGCGATGGCGGCGACGCCGTGTGGCGACAGGCTGGGCAGGTTGAATAATCAACTGAGAACCGTATCGTTGGCGGCACAACGGTGGTGGGCTTGGAGCATCGCCAACGGATATACTCACGATACAGTACTGCGGATTCGGCCAGATACGTCGTTGTGGGCGAGACCCCAATTCAAGACGTTGGAGGAGCTAGGGCCGAACACACTCATTCTGCCACACCCACGGGGCGAACACTACTTCTACTGTGCCCGTATGAGCGGACGTGTCGGCGTTGGTAAGTGAATCTTGTCGAGACAGTGTACGAATTGCAAAGCAGGATGGCAGCTGACCTGATTCACTCGAACAGGACCAACCGACCAAATCGCGTACGGAAGCGCAGCGGCCATGGGCCACTGGCTGTACATGTACGACCGATTCCAACAGATGGTCGACCTCGCAGCGAATCCCTCTCGGCCGGCACTCCGTGACTTCTCCGGATGCGAGGAGATGCCCTCGGGGCCACTGGCAAGCGATTGCCCAAGGCCGGCGCCGTGCTCGATTGAGTGTCTGGTGGCATGGTTTTTGGAGGCCCGCGGTGTGGACTTCCACGTCGAATGGGGATGGGAGCAGAATCCCTTGAGGTGGAAGGATATTGGACAGCTAGGCGCAGAAGAAGAGAGGCTGGCCGACCATGACGACGCGGACGATGGGATGACCTGGGGATGAAGACAGGCGATGCAAGATTGTACGCCAATTGGTACATTTTCTCTGTATTTTGGATTTCTGGAAAGCGTGAGGTTTTGGGTGACTTGGGATGCTCCTGGATTCGAATGCCAGGTTGGAAATGTGTAAGCGAAGGAAAGAGAGAAGGATGGGAATTGCATGTGTCTTCGGCGTTTGTCGGCGCTAAGGAGTGGAAAGAGTAACCCCAAAGTGGGAGAATCAACCATGGCATAGGGCAGGGCTCTCAGAGAGCATATTTCAATTTGGAAATGAAATATTGCAAAAGGAAGGACCGGAAAAGCTGAAGCCCAACGTAGTTGGTAAGTGAGCTGGCTCTGTATCCCAGATGATCTGCTGATGACGACGAGCTCCCTTGCGACGTCTGAGAGCCGAAACAACTGCATCACAAGCGCAAGTGGTCATGGTGCTCCTATTGACCATGGCCTTCTCTGATGGCAGCTCTCCGATGTCGATCCAACGGCTGTATGCGTAGCTGATCGTGAGATGATATTGAAAGAGCAAGTGTGTCGTCCGGCAGGGATTGAAGACATCCAGGTAGTACGGTAAGGTAGGTAAGAGGCAGGTAAAGGATCGGGCGGGGTAGCTTGAATGTGGGTCGCTTCCTCCTCTTCCTCTTGCCTTTTTCGGATAATACCGTAGCCAACGTCAAGAACCGTCCGTACCTGACGGTTTCCATGTTCATCTAAAGTCCACTATAGCCTACCTATTGTCATAGAACAAATTTGATTTTTATCAGAAAGTTATTCAATTCCCAATCCCAGAAACAGAAACAGAGACATCCATGTTCTTCTCCATTGCTTCAAGCAGAATGGTTCGCATCAGACGCGCGAAAACGCCTCAGAGCATCCTCCGCACGCTTTGCACATGGCGCAAACGACAATATATTCCGGAGGAACACAATGTCTTGTAACTGTTTTACGAGTACCGAAAAGTGTTATGCTCATCTGGAACGAAAACCTCGGATCTTGGCCGTTCGCAAGGATTTGCATCCGCCTTCGAAAGGGCCGACCCAGTGACATGGGGATGGGGCGTCATCCACCCCGTTGATGGGTGCTGTCACTCAGGTCTTAGTCCTCTTGATTTCTTTGGCGCGTGAAGGAACAAGCGCTCGAAAATCGCTTGGAAGACTGCACGTGGGCGATACGGATACTTGCCAGCAAACAGATCCTTGAAACCGAAAGAAAGAAGGGCGCCGCCTTCATTATTTCCGGGCTTCATGGTAAGATGCATTCAGGGCTTGGCTGCGGAAAATTGGAAAAGGCGCATCTGATGACAGATGTGGTCAAAGTCGGTTTGAGAGGGTGTGAGAAAAGGCCTTGGCTTGGGCTGCTGGTGGCTCACCAAAGTCCCAAAATATTGTGGACGGTGTGCCGCCTCCCTGCAGCCACCAATTTCCCGTCTCCCACCGTTCGGCGCAAGGCGTGTCCCACCAAGACGGAGAAACAGTCGAGTTTGTCCAGTTGAGGTGTTCTTGTAGCTGGGCTCATGGCGTTGCCCATCTGTGAAAATCTTTCTTTTGCCTCCTGGTCCTTGAAATCAGATGGTTTTTTTTTCTCAAGCCATGTCGACGACTTCATGTAAGTGACCTCACCCAATCCTGCCACACGAATGGAAATTTGCCCAACGTGGCGCATGTTCTTCTCCTTTTTCAGGGACGTTCACATGTATCGTAAGGTTATGAACTGGGCCTCAACTGAATTCGATTTCCTAAGGTACCTAGTATGCCAGACTGGAGTGACCAGTGGCTCGCAACGAACAGGCAGCAGGACTAGGTACCAAGATATTTTCATCATGCAAAACCGGCTTGGCGGGATGTTTTGTTATGATCTCTCCACCAACTGGGCTGAAAGAAGCAACTAGTAAAGGGACTGGCTTCAAGACCGGAACGCCGGGCAGCTTCTGTCGACAATGCAACCACCTCAAGGCCCAGAGCTATGGGTTGCAGGTTCAACCGTCGTTGAGGGCTACGTTGGCGCCGCTGACAGGCAGTAGTTCCACCTCATTCAGGGGACTCGGCGAATTAGACACGAGGAACGACCCTATTCTCACGTCGCTTGGTCAGCGCTATTCCTGTTCCTGTCCACTCAGCAGGACCGGCCTGCTTTGCCATGCAGCGCCGGCGAGAGCCCACCCCTGGACCGCCGCCCGAGAAGGCGCCCACCGAAGAAACGTTTGCCTATTTGGGAAGTGGTGCCTCCGATGTGCCCACAGCCGCCCACCGCGCCTCTTCCATCGTCAACTCTTCAACTCCGCTCACCACCACGCCGTCGCCCGCACTGTCTGCACACCCACCCACTGACACACTCCAATCCCCCCCATCGACACCGTTGCGGCCTGCGCCGCTTGTGGGCGTCAATGCAAATTCGTACCTCTCGGGTGTAGTCCTCACGAGGGGGAAATTGGTCTCCTGCACCCCTCGCCATGGCTTCCACTCAAGTCATTTTGCCTCTTGGCAATGTTCCTCAACCGCCCCTCAATGTAGTTAGTCACTACATCGTCGCGCCGCTTCGTGGAGACTGGCAATGGTTCAACTATGAATGGGAGTCTCCTCCCGTCGTCCCCTGGACGTTCTCTCTTTCTCCCTCTCCTGGTTCCTTCACCTCCATCTCTGTTCCTGTTGAGAAGCAAGAGACGACGGCGTGCGTTCTCCTTCGTGCAAACATCTTGTTTGCGTCCTTTCTTTGATCTCAGATCACGTCAACACTCTTTCCACGGCCTCGGCCACCTTACAGTCGTTGCGAACACGTCCGGAAACACTTAATTAGCTAATACCACCTTACTACCACAAATATGCTCTTCAGCAAGTCGTTCCTTGCCGCCGCCGCGGCCATCAGCCCGACCCTGGCACATTCATCTTCACAGACAACCACAAATGCTTCTCCACTACTTGGACTCAACCTTTACTGGGGACAATATGGACAGCCTACCGACCGCCTATCAAGCTACTGTGACGCTCCCGGCGTCACGTCCGTCTCTCTGTCCTTCGTCACATACTCTCCCAAGAACAGCGCTGGATACCCCGGCACCAACTTCGCCGGCCACTGCGGCGGCGAGGTCTACTACAAGAACCCCAAGACTGGCGAGGACACCAAGTTGATCATGAATTGTGACTACATCAAGAAAGACATCCAGTACTGTCAGGCAAAGGGCGTCAAGATTCTCCTGGCTATTGGTGGCTACTGCCCTACCGGCGGCCCCTGCAGCTACGACATTGACAGCGAGCAGGACGGCCATGATTTTGGTGATTTGTTGCACAAGACTTTTGGTCCTTACGACCAGGGCTGGAACGGCCCCCGTCCTTTTGACATTAGCGAGACCGAACACATTGCAGTCGACGGTTTCGACTTTGACCTCGAGTTCAAGTACCGTATGTCAAGAAGATTGCCTCTATTTGTGATGTATGATGGCACTGACTTTCAACGATAGCCGATCAAAAGCCCTGGATCAAGATGGTCGAAACGCTTCGCAGCTGCGGTATCTACCATATTTCTGCTGCTCCCCAGTGCCCGACATCAGACACCTGGTTCCAGCTCAAGGAGCTCATCTACAACGCCAAGTTTGACTCTCTCTTCATCCAGTTCTACAACAACCCGGGCTGCGAAGTCACCGACACCCCCAACTACGACGACTGGGAGACGGTAATTTCTCAGACCTCCAAGAGCCAGGACGCGAAGCTCTACATTGGCGTCCTCGCCAGCGCTGATTCCGGCTGGAGCGGGTATGCCCCTCCGTCCGCGATCAAGGAGTTAATCTGCAAGTACCAGAGCAAGCCGCACTTTGGAGGTGTTTCTATCTGGGATGCCACACGCGGCGCCATCAACCAGATTGATGGCCAGTCGTTCCAGGAGGCCATTGCCGACGGTCTGAAGTACGGTTGCAACCCCATCCCAGCCAAGACTTCCACCATCAGCGTTTCGACTTCGACCTCGTCCTTGATCTCTTCCGCCAGCACCTCGGCTGCTGTTGCTTCGACCACTTCGACAAGCTCTAGCTCCAGCTTTAGCTCCGTGTCCTTGAGCTACAGCCATTCCGCTTCGGCATCTGTTTCTGCTTCTGCCTCTGCCTCTGCCTCTGCCTCTGTATCAGCGTCAGCGTCAGAATCAGCGTCAGAATCACCGTCGGCATCACCGTCGGCATCCGCTTCTAGCTCTGCGTCTGTTTCTATATCCGCCTCCGCCTCCTCCTCCGCCTCCGCCTCAGCTTCTTTCACCTTTTTTGGCAACTCTTCGGTTTCCGCAACCGGATCTGCCTCCATCTCCTCTGCGTCAGTCTCTGGCTCGCTTACCCAGTCCAGTATCATTGCAACCTTGAGCGCCAATGCCACTGCCAGTGCTAGCGCTTCCGCGACCAAGTCTGCTACTGCCTCCGACACTTGCGACGAGGACGACGAGGACTTCCCCACCAGCACGATGGAGAACTCCCACACTATCACTGCCACTGCCACTGCCACTGCCACTGCCACTGGAACTTCGACGGGCAGTGCCAATGGCTCAGCAGATGCCACCAAGACTGCCTCTGGCAGCGTCACCGACAAGGCCACCGGTTCTGCTACCGGTTCTGCCACCGAACCGGCCAAGAACTCCTTGACGTTATCCATCTCAGATGTGCCCACCGGCACCAAATCACCGTCCGAGTCCGCCAAGAACACCCTCAGTGCCCCCGAGGAGCTGACCACTAGCACGGTTTTCACCACCAAGATCACCACCGTCACTTCCTGCAAGCCTGATGTGCCTTGCACCAAAGGCCAAGTCGTCACCGAGACCATTCCGTGGTACACAACTGTCTGCCCCATTACGGCAGCATCGTCCGCTGTCGCCGTGCCTACCATCAGCCCCCCTCCTCAATGGGTCACCAGCACAGTCTTCACGACAAAGACCTATACCATCACATCGTGCGCCCCCGATGTTCTGAATTGTCCCGTCGGCCACGTCACGACTGTGGTCGTCCCTGCCTATACAACCGTCTGCCCATACACCGGCATCACCTCTGGTAGCACTAAGCCTTCAGGTGGCCTTCCCAACCCTCCCAAGCCCTCCGGTGACGTACCTCAGCCCCCTCAATCTACTGGCGATGTTGCCAAGCCTACCGGCAGCCAAGGAGGGAACAAGCCCTCTGGCGACATTCCCCAGCCTCCTAAGCCTACTGGCGATGCTCCTAAGCCTATCGGGAGCCAAGGTGGCAGTCAACCTCCCGGAGATATTTCTGCTCCCCCGAAGCCTACGGCATCTTCGGTTGTCCCCGGCGGCGACAAGTGTCCTGGCGGGAAGAACTGCCCCGTCAAAGAGGACGACTCGACAACGTTCATCTACAAGACCCTGACGATCCCCGTCACTGTCGGCAGATATAATTCCACCCTCGCGGGTACCGGCTTTAACTACGCGCCTACCTCCACGGGCGGGTTGCCCAGCTACACAACGGCTGCTGCCGTCCCCAGTAAGCCTGTCCAAGCTGGAGCTGCGAAGATTGTCGCCTTTGGAGTCGGTAGCTTCGCTGCTCTTGCTGCTGCTCTCCTTTTGTGAAGCATTGAAGATTTGATGGTTGGTTCTAAAGGATGAGATATCTTTTTTTCTTTTCGGTTTATAAGACGTTTAACCATGACTAATAAAATTTTATTTATTTACTGCAATCGGGGCATGTACAGGAAGCCTTGGGTCACTGGGCATCATGATGGGACGTTTGGCGCTTTGGCTGCCAGAGCATGTACTTGGAGAAGCCTGATGTATGCAAAACAATGCAATCGGCCTGTAGCTGGGACGTATTTTTATTCCTTGAACAACCGGATTTTTGACTTTGTGAGTCGTCCATGCGCTTTTGGCATCAAAGGTCCTCCGTCGTTCGGCCGAATAAGCGTGCCTAAGCAGACCGACCTCGAGAGCGATCCAGCAATTACTAAGTAAGTAAATGGCTTCGTGGTGCCGGTCCGGTTCCCAGGACGTCCAGCAGAGATTGCGCGCCGTTTCCAGGACTTATGTCAATGAGGAGCGACCACAGTCAATCAGTCCCCGATGTGGTTGGGTTACGGAGTACGACTAAGGTAGTCTTCAACTCTTGTGTGTGGCTCAAACAACGGGCGCCACAGGCACCCGGCGACCGTGTGTGTTGGTAGGCACATGTTTCTTTGCCTGAATACACTACACGTTACCCCTCTGCATCCCCCCAAAAAGGGACCAAAGGGCCAAAAGGGGTGTCATCATCGGGTGGCATGAATAGGGTGTCGCCTAATGAAGTCCGTTTCCATGGATGACCAGACTGCCGGGGATTTCATTGGCTGGGGTCACGGGTAGGATGGACCCGAGTGGCTTCGTCACCCCCCTTCTCCAAGACGGGAACGTCATTTCTGAATTTCTGGATTGCTGCAGGGAACCTGGAAGGAACCTGGAAGGAACCTGGAAGGAACCTGGAAGGACCCGGAGTCTGGAGGAAGAAAGGAGGGGCGCGCCGGCCATGGCCCATGGGTTGATGTGCGATGACCTCGCCTCGTTGCACAAATCACACTAGGCGCTTTTCCGAACAGCGTCGAGGTTTCTATCGTGCCCATCAATGGGGCTGTGCTGGACTACTCCGTACGGATAGCGTCGGTATCTTGGGTTCTTTATTACAACCTGAGCTGCAGTCTATGTAAGGCGCAGACTTGGGGAGAAAGTGAGACAGAGAGAGATGGACAAACAGTCGTCCATCCATTCGTCCAAGCATCCATCATCCATCATCCCACCTTGCTTCTACGTCGTTTTCAGCTCGGTTTCGTTCTCGTGCGACTTGCAGGAAACTTGGCAACAGCAACAACACCCAAAACACCCTCATCGACCACGAACAACAGCGGCTTCCGACGTTGAATTCTTTTCTTTCGTGGCATCATTCGTGCAATTGGTTTCAACCACGCCGCTCACCTCGATACCCTGCCACTACCTCTCTGCCTCCTTCATCACAGCTTGAACTACGCATTATCCCACCCACCCCACCATTGTCCGTGGTTGTCTGTTGTCGCCGACCGAAGCGTCTCACATTTTCCCCAACCGAATCGACGTCCACGTCCCTCATTCAGTATCCTCCACCATTCTCCCCCTCATCCAAACAAACCCCCGCCGACCTATCAGCAGGTCCGAGTACCCAATATTCCTGCGAGCATAAGCCATAAACTACCTTGCTTTCACCCATATTTTTTTATTACCTGCCCGTCCCTTGACCACCAACTGCTCCATTCTTTACCTTACCTTCACATTGCCTCCCCACGAGACGGAGTACGCATCCAGGACACGCTCATATAAACTCAAACTATCTTACGAGGAAGTGGGGAACACACCTTGGCTGGCCCGCGTTCCAGAGGTAGTGCTGCAAGCAGTTGCTCTCCAGCTGTGTGTGAAGCCGAGCTTCCTCCCTGCTCTGCAACATGTCCGACACTGGCGATAGGTACGTGATGATCCACCTCAACCTTTTCCTCTCTCCGCATGTGGCATCTCAGCTGCTACCCGCCACCTCCCAATCCCACTGCACTGCGAACGTTGCCGAGAGACAGCTCAGCACGAGGCGCCTGCCCACACACTTTCCGGGCGGTCTGCTGCAGCAAGCGAGCAGCAGCAGCAGCAGCAGTAGCAACAGCACCTTCTGAATCCCGACCTTGGCGGCAGCAAAGCTAATCCTCTCCTGATTCCAGCACCCACAAGCGGTCAAAGTCGGCCGCTGCACTCTCCCTCCTCCGACGAAACCACTCCCGTAGCGAAGAAGATCCATCCACCGCGGATGACGGTGCGCCACTGACGTCGCCACCTTCTACAGCGGCTTCTGCGACAAATATATCCATGGCTCAAAACGTCCCCCGCGGTAACGGGGCCAACAGGCTCTCCTCCATCTCCCCTTCCCTGGGCCGAATCCCTTCCCACAATAGCCCGCCATCCGCAACCGCATCCAAGATGAGCGTCGCAGGTAGCGAAAAGGGCGTCTCCCTCGAACAGTCTGTTCGCAAGTTCCGCATCGTCGAGGCTCTGCGGAGCGGCGACACTGCTTCCATTTCCAAGGCAATCAGGGATACCGCCGAGGGCGGGCCCCGCACTAGCATCTCCTCCATCAACACCCTGAGCGGCACCGGTCTCGACGACACCACCGTACTTCACCTTGCGATACAATGCGCCGAGTACCCCGTTGTCGAATACGTCCTGTCTGACGGCGCCGGGACCATCGACATCAACGCTAGAGACAAGGACGGCAATACCCCGCTGCACGTAGCTGCCCTCCAGGGTCGAACCCAAGTCGTCAAGCTCTTGCTCGACCAGAAGGAAATCAACGATGCCATCGCCAACTACCAGGGCCGACTGCCCATCGACGTCGCCCGAAATCCCGATATTTTCCAGCTCCTGCAGCTGTCGCGGTCCATCTTTGCCGAGAACAAGGTCAGACAAATCCAGGGCCTGATTGCGCAGAACGATTACAAGGCCCTAGAGACTGTGTTGGAGGAGTCACGTCTCAAGCAGATTCTGGACATCAACAGCACCGAATTTGTCACCGAACCCACCACCCTCCAGGCCGGTGGAAATCTCCTCCACGAAGCCGCCCGCAAGAGAAATACCCAGCTCATTCAGGTCCTCCTACTCCACGGAGCCGATCCCTTCCGCCGAGACCGCAAGGGCAAGCTCCCACAGGATGTGACAAAGGACGAAACTACGCGCGCCATGCTCAAGCGATCACCCGCTGCCGTCGCCGCCCAGAGAGGCATCCAGGAGAAAGCCGTTCTCGGCCAGGCGGCTTCACAGGGTGCCGGAGCCGCGGCCTCTGCCGACCCTGTGGCCGGAAAGGAGGCGCGAGAAATGAAGGGCTACCTGAAGAAGTGGACCAATTACCGCAAGGGGTACCAGCTCCGATGGTTCGTTCTCGAGGACGGCGTTCTGAGCTATTACAAGCATCAGGATGACGCCGGTTCCGCCTGCCGTGGCGCCATCAACACGCGCATCGCCAAGTTGCACATGAGCGCCGACGAGAAAACAAAATTTGAGATCATTGGCAAGTCTTCTGTCAAGTACACCCTCAAGGCAAACCACGAGGTCGAAGCGAAGCGCTGGTTCTGGGCCCTCAACAACTCTATTCAGTGGACAAAGGACCAGGCAAAAGAAGAAGAGCGCCAGCGTGCTCGCGGCGCTGAGCTTCTGAGGCAGGCAAAGGCGGAGCAGTCCGGGAAGTCGCCCGAGCTGTCCATCAACGAGGCCCAGAGCGAGAGCGCCAGCGTGGCCGATGGAAGAAGTAGTGTACAGATTCCCAGGACAATGTCACACAGCAAGATGTCCGTCCCCAAAAGCGACTTTGCTGGCGCAAGCACCGTCGCTAGCAACGACGACGAGTTTGCCGATGCCGCGACAGACGCGGGCCAGTCTCGCGCAGCAAGGAACGGTCATCACGGGCCAGACGATGACGATGACGATGATGACGACTTTGAGGATGTTAGCAGCCGTGAGGAGCCTGCTGTCAGCAAGGACGCTTTCAGCATTACAGCTCAGTCGGCCAAGCTACAGCTTGATACCATTTCTGCTGTCAACGCTGCGATGCTTTCCGAGGCCTCCAAGAATCCGAATACAGTCGTTTCCGATGCCAAGGTTACTCAGGCTCTTACAACCTACGACGCAGCTATCAGGAGTCTGACGGGACTTGTTGGAGACCTGATGCGGATTTCAAAGGATCGCGACGCCTACTGGCAGTACCGGCTGGACCGCGAAATTGACATGCGCCGCATGTGGGAGGAGAGCATGGCCAAGGTTGCCAAGGAGCAAGAGATCCTAGAGGAGCGTGTCGACCAGGCCGAGCAAAAGCGCAAAGCCGCCAAGCGTGCGTTGCGTGAAGTTATGAACGAAAAACCAACGTCTGCCAGCCAGGATCTCGACAGCGACAGGAAGGTGGACGGCATTGCAACCGTCGAGGCTGCTGTTGGAGCCGACAACGATGTCGCCGTTCCGCCAGAGGCGCCCGAGAGGACTGTGACTAGGAAGAAGACGGTTCTGGCTTCGCTTGAGCTGTCTGACTCCGAGTCAGACAATGAGGATGAGTTCTTCGATGCAGTTGATGCTGGAGAGGTCGAGGTCAGCCAGTTGCCTCATCCTGATGCTGTGGCTACCCCTCATGAGGAAAAGGAAGAACAGCAACTGGTTGTTTCTGGCGGCACGGACCTAAGTAGCTCTTTCAAGGGTTACGAAAATGGCATCAGACATCGTCTCAAGATGGATGCTGATGACCGGCCCAAGATTTCACTATGGGTAAGTTTCACCGTTCCAGTTGCCCTTGATGTATGGTTTACTAATACTTGTGCAGGGTATTCTCAAGTCAATGATTGGCAAAGACATGACAAAGATGACATTGCCTGTATCATTCAATGAGCCTACTTCACTGTTGTACCGCGCTGGCGAGGACATGGAATATGTCGACCTTCTTGACCAAGCTGTGGAGCGATCTGACTCAATTGAACGTCTCATCTATGTGGCTGCCTTTGCCGCTAGTGAGTATGCTTCTACAGTCGGTCGTGTGGCGAAACCTTTCAATCCGCTCCTTGGAGAGACCTTTGAATATGTCCGGCCTGACAAGAATTACCGATTCTTCATTGAGCAGGTTTCTCACCACCCTCCAGTGGGTGCCGCCTGGGCTGAGGCACCCAACTGGACCTACTGGGGTGAATCGGCCGTGAAGACCAAGTTCTACGGCAAGTCCTTTGATGCCAACCCTCTTGGAACGTGGTTCTTGAAGCTTCGGCCCAAGTCTGGAGGCAAAGAAGATCTCTACACTTGGAGAAAGGTAACGACATCCGTCATTGGCATCATCACCGGTAACCCGACCGTGGACAACTATGGACCAATGGAAGTCAAGAACTGGACAACTGGCGAGGTGTGCCAAATTGAGTTTCAGCCGCGTGGCTGGAAGGCTTCCAGCGCATACAAGATTTCTGGCAAGGTCCTCGACTCTGATGGAAGGGTCCGGTACAGTATGGGCGGCCGATGGAACTCTAAGCTCTACGCGCGTCTCACACCAGGATACGAGGCCACAGTCGAGGATCCCGGTGACTCGGCTTCGCTCCACAAGGGCAGCATCACCGACCCCAACAGGGCGTTCCTCATCTGGCAGGCCAACCCCCGCCCGCCCGGCATTCCCTTCAACCTTACCCCCTTCGTGCTCACCTTTAACCACATTGACGACAAGCTCAAACCTTGGCTGCCACCCACGGACTCTCGTCTGCGTCCTGATCAGCGAGCTATGGAGGATGGAGAGTACGACTTTGCCGCCGAGGAAAAGAACCGCCTGGAGGAGGCGCAGCGTGCGAGAAGAAAGATGCGCGAGGAGAAGGGTGTCGAGTTCCGGCCCGCTTGGTTCGAAAAGACGACGTGCGAGATCACGGGCGAGGAGTACTGGAAGTTCAACGGCAAATATTGGCAGCAGAGAGAGCAGGCTGGCCCCGACGGCAACCCGCAGCAGGCCTGGGAGGGTCTGGAGCCCATCTACGAGGACGTGAAATAGGAGGCTCGCGTCACTCTAGGAGGTGTTTGTCCTGACAGTCGTGGTAGTGGTGGTAGCGGTCACGGGGTTGTTGTGCCACACAAGACGCAGCAGCAGGTGCGACTTATGGATGGGCCAAGCGGCTTTCGGTGGACTGTTGCGGGGAAAAGGTAGATTCCCCCCCCCCTGCCCTGCATGTAGGAAAGCCAGGATGCACACGATGTAACATAGATGATATTGAAATAAGCAATCGCTCGTTCTCGGCACGTTGGCGTAATTCTGTTGGTTGTGAAAGTTTGGGGGGGGGGCTTCTAGCTCAGGTTGCATGTAATAGTGAAAAGATTGAATTCGTCTTGCCGATGTCACCCAGCGACAAGCTGTCTACTGGAGAGTGAATCATAGCAGGTGGTATATGCGGGTGGTGGTGGCTTGAAAGGCAAGTCAAGCATGGCGAATTACGGGGGGTGGTTTTGGGAGCGGGAAAGTGTGATAGGTAAGTAGAAGACTGGATATCTTAGATGTATTTCAGCTGGAACGTTTTTGATGGGCGTTCTGCTTACAACCCAAAGACCACGAAGGGCTTTACTTGGTAGATCTGTCTGTGTAAAATAAGGTACACAAGAGTCACTTTCTGCCAATACCTCTACAACCCCGCCACACCTGCTTCTTTCTCACAGGTAGGAATACGGCGGGAAGAATGCGGGACGGGTGGTGAGAATATAGGAGTGATTGGCCTTATTCCTACCTATACTCGAGCATCCATTCACAGTCTCTACACATGGCGTGCCTAGAGGTCATCAGCTGTGCGGAGCGTAGTCTAGAGAAGTTTGCTCGGCTCCGACGAATCCTGCAGACCAAGTTTTTGAGAACCGCAGCATTATACGACGCATCTTCCCCTACCGCCCCAATTTATTCAAGTCCCGTTGTCTTGCTTGGAAATGTGTAGGTTGAACCTCCGGAGCCGAGGCTAGCGGCGCCGAGTAGAGAACCTGGGGGGGGGGTTAACCACGGGAGCGCTCCTTCGTTCGGACGGAGCTATTGAACTGCCGTCCGAAATGTCTGCAGTTCAGACCGTGTTGAACAGGCAGACGTCTGCAAGCGCACTGCAGCGCAGCGCAGTCTCGAGTGATGCTTCCATTTGGTGCAGGTGCCCGCCAAGAAGCTTGTGATGCCGTCGGTCGGTGCTTGGAATGGACAGAGGCGCGGACCACTCACTGAGTCCCGGGTGCAGTGCACCTACGGTGAAGTCGTGTGGAGAGCGGCAGGGCACGCTCTTGCCGGCTTGCAGCTGCCGCGAGTTGCCACGGTCCGTGATCCCCTGCGCCTCAGCGGTGACATCCAATCAAACCGCTCCATTTTTTGGACCTCGGCACTTTCTCCCCCTTCCCCCTTGCTTGACCTGGAACCACAACCGATTGATGTCACATTTAGGGGACCTTGTCGCGCATCTCAACCAGGCTCTTGGGTTCACAAGCGAATCCCATCCTTTTCATTCCCTGCATCAGTCGATTCTCCGTCTTCATATAAACTTTTCTGATCATCGGTTCACGGCGCAAAACGAGTAGATTGAGAGGTGCACGTGCAAGTGAGGCCGCGTTTGACATTACGAAACGCCAAGACTAGGTGCTTGGGGAAGATTTCTGCCGGGCTCAGGAGGCGAGCTCATCATCATCATCAGAGACGATAGACAGCGACCGATTCAAAGTCAGATTCTGGGCCAAGAAAATCACGGCACGATGGCATCAGGTAGATCAACAATCATTCGGCCTCCGCCGGATGACCGTAACAAGAGTCCAATGGAGAACGTATTGGAGGTGACGGAGCTCGGCGTGCTTGGTCCGGTGAGTGAAACAACAACCCCCCCCCCCCCCCCCCCCCCCCCCGCCCGCCCCCAGAGCAAACCCCCCCACCACGAGGCCCGGGGGGGGGGCCCCAAGCAAAAAGAAAACCACAAAAAACACCCCCCCCCCCCCCACCCCCCCCCCCCCCCCCGCCGCCGTCCCCGCCCCCCCCGCCGCCCCCCCCCCCCTCCCCCCCCACATCGAGGAGACGCGGCGGGCTGACACCTAGAAAAAGGACATCTTCACTAACACGCGCACGCCGTGGCACCCGCCCGGCGCCCGTGGCATCTTTGGCGGCGCCGTCATCGCCCAGTGCCTCGCCTCGGCGCAAAAGACGGTGCCAAACGACTTTTTTGTGCACTCGTGCCACTGCTACTTCCTGCTCGCGGGCTCCTCCGAAATCCCGATCCTCTTCCACGTGGAGCGGGTCCGCGATGGCCGGTCCTTTGCCACGCGCACCGTGCAAGCCCGCCAGCGCGGCCGGTGCATCTTCACGACGACCGTCTCCTTTGTCAAGGAGGGCAGCGGCGGCGAGAAGCAGGTGCGGCACGCGGTCCCGCTTCCGGACGGCGTGACGGCGCCCCCGGACAACTGGAAGGGCGAGCCCGAGTGGAGCACGCACTCGCCCTTCCAGACGCACCGGATCTCCATTGTGGGGTCCGGGGACCAGGGCAAGCGGCTCGACGAGTTCAAGTCGCGCAACTGGGTGCGCGCGCGGGGCCGCATCTCTGTGAGCGGCGGGCACCAGGCGCACCTGAACGCGCTGGCGTACATGTCGGACAGCTACTTCATCGGCACGGTCGGGCGGATCCACAGGCTGTGGCGGTTCCCGTTCAAGCCCGAGGAGTTTGACGACCTGCCGCCCGAGCTGCGGGAGGAGGTGGAGCGGCTCAACGAGTTTGAGGGCAACGCCGCGGCGGGCGGGATCGAGTACTGGAAGACGAGGCCGCACCTGGGCATGATGGTCAGCTTGGACCACTCCATTTACTTCCACGAGCCGCGGCGGGTGAGGGCGGACGAGTGGATGTTTACCGAGATGGAGAGTCCTTGGAGCGGCGACGGGCGGGGGGTGGTGCTGCAAAAGATTTTTGCGAGTGACGGGACGCTTTTGGCGACGTGTGTTCAGGAGGTGAGTTTTTTTCTTCTTCTTTTTTTCCCCCTTTGCCTTTTGGCCCTGTTCCTTTCGATTATTCGACCTTGGGTTCATATTGAATGGTCTGCTGACTTGTTTGATGCAGGGCGTCGTTCGGTTGAAGCAGGAGGAGGAGGAGGAAAAGGAGCCAAAGGCCAAGTTGTAGAGGCCAAGTTGTAGAGTGCCATGCTGGCGTGTAAGAGTGTGTAGAGGTAGTATACCAGCTCCGGGTCTTTTTGAAGTAGGCGAATAGATCGAAACACCTTTTTTTCCCTTTTAGCTTCATCATGCTCCCGACCGTCGCGATATCATTATTAATCGGTCATGAAGTTGGCGAGTTATTACATCGCCATTGGTGAATATGCTACGGCAAATAGGAACGTCTTCCAAAGATATCCAAGACGATTGAAGCCTTCATCTCGTCCACGGTATCTGCGTTCACACCGTCCTTGGGTTTCGGGAATGTATCAAAGAGCCGTCATTTCGCTCCTGGACGTTCCCCGCGATGGCCATCAGAAACGTGTTGTAGAAGCCGAGATTCGCGTAGAGGAAGGACCCGTCACTGGTCGCCTCTATCGCGAATACGCGCCGCACAGCTGATCCAATACGTCAATTTTTTCTTTTTGTCAGGTGCAAAGCTCCTTAGAGTCCGAGAGGGTGGTGCGGGAGCGGTGTCAAGTGGGTGCCGAGGATTGTGCGGTGTGGTCGCTTTGGGGAAGTCCAGAAAACCCTCCCGTCTTCTCAAACTTGAAAGGCCTACAACCACCACCATACGAAACGTGTGCGTGTGTGGATAAATGCTCAAGGTCCTGGGGAAAAGTACAAGCGCAAAAACAAAAGTTGAGATTGGATATTTAGAGAGGCTTCATTGGCCGGGATGGTGCCAACCTTCGAAGCTCGCTCCTAATGGACCATTTTGATGAATCAACAGCCAACCCGGAACCTGCACGTACAGCGTACATAATGTTCAAGCCCCAAACTTGTGCCCTAGAGATACAAAATTTGCTTTGGAGAACGAGAAAGCTGGGTTTCCCCGCCTCCTTTGCATATAGCTCGGGTTCGGACGCGGGCACATACCGGCCTGCCAAATGACACCCTGGCCACCCGGGCAGACCGTCTGAAAAAGAGACACCACCATCTCTCTCTACAAGTCCGATGGGGGAAAGACAAACATTCGGCTCAAACACCAGTCGGCGCCGATAGGAATCGAACCCAGCTTACCCTACAGAGCGTACCTCCGCTTCAGTAGGGGGGGTCTGGCTTTCTTTCTGGAATCACATTCCATGAAACTCTTCGTATTACAAATCATAACTCTATGTGTCACTGTGAGGCTGCATGGAACGAAATTCTATGCATGTTTTGTATGAAAGAATCATGGACCTCTCGTCGCTGCTTCACCAATCAGATGGGCCGGATCGGTACGGCTCCTCGGCTCTGATATAATAGAATCCCACACCCCCAGGTACGTCTATGTGGTGAATATCAATGACCACCTATCTATACTATAAAAGCTAGCCCAAACGACAAAAGTATTGCACTCGTTTTTGTCAACTCTAGCGAGCCCACAATGTCCGGTCCCCCTTCGAGACTTGGCCCAACACGAGTGACTCTCCACGTGAAGGGAGACGTTCCGGACTGGAAGGAGGAATTCAAACAGTTTCTGTTGGCTGTCAAAGACTCGGAAGGATACTTCCGTTACCGATGGGGACTTTGGGAGGAGGACCACAGCAAGCTAGAGATTCTCGCAAGTACGTCTTGTTTCTCACAATCACTCCACCGCATTCCATGATCTGATCTTCCTTCTCTCCCCCAACTAGCCTGGTCCCCCGTCGAGCACCGTCAGGCTTTCGGACGGTGTCCCCATCACCCAAAGGCCATTGACGCGATGATGCCCGTTCTCAAAGCCGTGCCATCGGCATGCCCCCGCGTCGACTTTGACGTCGACACCATGGTGCCGCCGTCGCCGGAGCTCATCAACAGCCCCATTTGCGAAATCATCACCGTCACGCACTTCACCGGCGACAAGGACGCCGCGGCGGCCATGCTCAAAAAGGTCGAGTCGAACCCGGGCTGCCGCGCCTCCCATTCCGGCATCACGGCGACCGATACGCCCGATGACGGCACAGTGTGGCTTGGGTTTGTTGGGTGGCAGGACTATGCGTCTAGTCAGGCGGCAGACAAGTCTGCGTACATGCCTTTTGGGGTGGGCAAGGTTGAGTCGCACCATACCAACTTCAATTTCCCCATCAAGGGGTTCTCTGTTACCAACCCCGGTAGATGAAGGTAGTTGATGATTAATCTTATATGATGTGCTTTCTACCACGTGAGATATGTGCCTTGATTGTGGTTTCGGGTCGTGATGAAGAACCGTCAGCTTCCATCGACGCTGGCTGAAAATGGATCATGAGTGATTGAGGTCATCACTCTAGGCTTGACTTGAGACATTTGAATTGAAAGCTAAAAAGTTGTGTGTTGCATCGGCCTGGACCGGTATACATTTGAGAACAGATGTAATGTCCGGATCTTCTGATGAAGGAGAAGGAGAATTGCGTCCAGATTCCGAGGTCAGTCAGCTGATCAAACGCATGGATCCTGTGGTCTCCTATGACCGTACTCACAGAGAGCATCTGCCCTATATGTTTCAAGCTTGGGCGTGGTCCAAATCTAGTCTTCGGTACGGTCCTCCGCGGACTTCAACAGAACTCTCAGTGGTGGGCATTCCTCCTCCTTAGAACACAGTAATGCCGAAACAGAACCGTCTTTAGACATTGAGTTTGAACGTTGGCTCGATTTGCTATCGTTTGGGTACTAAGGGGTATCGTTATGAAAGGCCAAATGTGTATTGACTACTGGTAGCCATTAACGCCTAAGCGCTTTGGCTCTGGCTAGGTCTGGCACTTGAGGCTCCAGCTGAAAACACTGCAGAGCACTGCTGAGAAGGTTTCGCACTCCCATGTCTAGACCAATAGGCTGCGATACTTTCCGCTGCATATGCTTTCCGGTGTAGCCTTATTCATGTGATTCATCCTTGACTAAAACACCGGACTAAGCGCATCGCTGAAAGAAGGCAGCCATAGTCAGCATGGCAACCGATACAACATCAGTATACCATTGATTGCTGATTGGCAGCGGTTTTTCCAAGTGCGGGGTAGAGGCAATTAGATATTGCCCAGAAATGCTTAGAAGTCTTTATCCAAGGCGTTTGGGGCCAGCGGGCGAGGATTTTGGAAAGGCCAGGCCTAGAGGGTTCAAAGGTGGCAGCCGGGTTAGCCGTACATATTCTCAAAGTTGTGCTGGCATAAGAGAATATCAATGGTTGGCAGTTTTCAATCTAATCAAGACTTGTACATCAAGGCAAGGGTGAACTTGAACAGTAGTATATGAAAGATTTCAAAGACAACACGAACAGGGATGATGAACTTGGTTCATCTTTCTCTGTATGCATTTCATCTAGATGTTTAGGGGAGCTCTACGCGACCGCTGTGAGGATCTTCGGGCAAGTCCGATTGCTTTCCATCGTTGGTTCTCCATTTGTATGTTGGAATTGAGCCGTAAGCTTCCACTGGCTCTGTCTGTGGCGAGGGTCGAGTGTCATATTGCAAGCCGTCATCTACATGCTGTGGTGGCTCCCTTTGTATCATCGGTTTTCTCTCTTTCCGTGTTCGGCGACGCCATAAAAGAATTCCTAGGCCAACCACAACGACTGCAGCCACATAGCCAACAGCAATGCCAGCTATGGCCCCGGTCGAGAGGTTGGATGCGGGTGTGGGTTGGCGATTGTCAGTCGGGGACCCAACCGGGGTTGTTCCATTGTCTTTGTCGGTCGCGAGAACTTTCCATGCCCCTTTCCAGGACTCCTCCCAGTTCTTGTTTCCTGCCTTGATTACTGTATCAGCTTCATCAATAGGAATGATGCTGGAGGAAAGCTGAATGTTGGGACCCGGGGCCTGGCCAAGCCACCACTTCGACTGGCCCCAATTGGCGCCGAGAAAAGCGTCCTGTAGGAATGCCCGGCCCAGGGCGTATCTACCAGTTCCGCTATTGAAGCACGGGAAGTATGGCGTTGGCGATTCGGTGAGTGGCTCTGACAATGTGAGGTTGAGATGAACGAAAGGTACTCGGATCGTGATAGGCTTCGTGTTGATGCCGGAGAGGAAAGTAAAGGACAGTGTTGTAGCCGAGGAGACAATTTGGTTATACGCAGTAGAATCAGTGTCCCACAGGTACAATCCAAGCTTAGCGTCATATAACACAGGGAGGTGTGAAGCAATGTTGTCGCAGGTCGATTTCGGGAGGGTGAGGTAGGGAGCGCAGCCATCGATTGACACGAGTAGTCCATTCTGTATTGAGTTGTTTACAGTAGCAAGGAGACCGTCTTGGCTTGTAAAGTTGAAAGGTGATATACCCTGGATAACTTCGATGCTAATGTCTCTCAAGGTGACTTGATTGTGGGCGAAATCCCTTTCTGCTACGAGCACCTCGCCGATCAGTCGATTTTGATCTTATCCACCAAATACCAGTGACCCTTTGATTCGTGACCAGACGGACCAAATATGCATGCGGATGAATTCGATGGAATCCTCTGTTGCGACCACAGTATGCCTGGGATGAGACTGGCATTGATTGGGTAGGTGGTAGTAGTGAAAGACTGATTGATCGTGTCTGGGGCATGGCTTCCCGGCGGCATCTATTCCAACCATCCAGTCTTTAATAGGTGGTTGATAGGAGATCCGGACACAGAGCCGCTGCCAACCTGCGAGGCCTCAGCACTGTTGTACGTTCCGGCTTTCGATGCGTAACAGCCATTGGAGTTGTTGAGTTTGCAGTAACCTGTTTGGATGATCCATGATTGAAATGTGTGACCAGGATATAGTGCCAGTTCGAAGTCGGCACCAAGGGTGGCTTGAACTGCTTGCCACGGGCCATCGGGGCTGAAGTTTGCGGGAGACCACTTTGCTTCGAACGGGATTGGATTTTGAGCATTAGTGAAAGTAGGGAATAGAGGAAAGAAGAGAAGATTGAAAACTAAAATTGACATTTGGTAGACAGTAGCCATGGTCACTAGTATCAACCGTTACGGCGTACCGTAGATGATGAATTTTTTTAGGGAGGGTTTCATGGAGAATAAAGAGGGAATAGAATGAGAGAGGGAGGACAAGAGGAGGAGGAGGGAGACGGTAGGACAGTGGCGGTGCCCATTGTCTGCATCAACATCAACAGTAGTAGCTGGCAGCCTTTGCCTCATGCAAACGCCGAGATCACCAACAGAGAACTGTTCGAACCAACAGAGAACTGTTCGAACCAACAAACAATTCGCCTATAAAGACTCTCAGATTGGTCACATGCAGTTGAGTGGGACTCGGCCAAGGTTGACCTCGTAGCAGAGTGCGTCGATGTCTGGATTTCAGCCAATAGCGTTGAGCTCCAACTGAATGGTTTGCTACAACCCGGGCCCCCTTTCATCTGATTTGATCTGATTTCAGCTTCGGGCCTGTGTACAACAGAAATATATTGTCTCGGCGACAGGATTAAATGGCGAGCTGCCGCCGCCCTTGCCGAAAAGGCAAGAAATTCGGCAGGCATGGCAAACAATTTCACTGCGTATACGAGGGTCCCGTTCAAAGTTTCTGCTAAAGGGTACAACCCCCCCTGCGTGGGCAGGGGCATTGGCAGGGGATAGTCCCGCCGCCATTTCAGCCAACATCACCACCACTGTGAATAGTATGAATGCAGCGCTTCAAAAATGAAAATAATATTAATTTTAGGCTCATTAATAATACCTACCTGCCCGGCGACTATCTTAATGTTTATTATTAAATATTATAAGAACATTCTTTTATATTTAATTATTAAAGTATATATTAAGAAAATAAAAATAAATTTAATATTAGATAAATATTAATTTGTTTATATTTAACTTATTATTATTATTATTATTTTAAAAAATTTAAAACAAAGATACTAAAACTAATTACGTTTTTAGATTTTAAAAAAATATTATTAATAATTTATAGTTTAACTAAATACATAAGGAGTTTTTTCAATAATTTAATAGTTTTTTTTTAAAAAAAATTATACTATAAAAGGTTAAATTAAATTTCTTAAGTATTAAAAAAAAAATTTATATTTAAAATTATTTAATAATTTTTAAATATGAATCTTACTTTTAAAATAAAAATTAGTAATAAATTAAATTACAGTTTAGAGCTTGATATTAGAAAAGTATAATTAATTAGGCTAGGCCGGATGTAGAAAGCGGTGAATTTGATTCAGTAAGGCGTCTATTAAAGTGGAGCGAGTACCGACTAGCGTCGACTAGCGCATCTGTACTCCTCAGCGGAACCTTTTGAACGGCATGTCCGTAGTAATCTTGTCAGCGGAAGTGTAAGAGGGCGGCTGGGTGGCTTGGCATTTCTTCCGACTGGCATAACCCCTTGTAGTTGCTCAACTATATTCCCGAACTGGCTAGCCATAGCCTTTGTGTGTACTTATATCTCCAGTTGGTTTCCCAAGAATCAAGAATTTGCGGGTTTGCTCTCTTCGATCTTTTTTTGCCTCTGTTGCTTACCATGGCGCTCCAGTGGCTCCACAGTCGCTTGGCCTACACGCAGCTTCAAACCGATCAGGCAATCTCAAGTGCTTTATTATCTAAGCGCAGGCCCTCTTTAACCCTGAAACAGCTTAAGTTGGCCACACTGACTGTTTTTGGTCTCCTCTTATGGGTTGTGGTAGTCTGCAGTCGGGATCAAGATGTAGTCACTGAGTCTCGCCCCTCAGCTCCTCAACATGACAGACCACCTGATGCCAAGTCTACCGACTGGTCTCGGTTTGCGTACGTCCAGTATGTCACTGACAAGCACTATTTGTGCAACTCGGTCATGTTCTTTGAGAGATTGCAACATTTCCAGAGCAAAGCGGACCGAGTTATAATGTATCCCTCCGACATGCTCGTTAGTCCTCTTGACACAGAAGGCACCTCAGATGAGGCAAAACTCCTCATCCTTGCTCGGGAGAAGTATGATGTGAAGTTGGCTCCGATATCTATTCAACGTCGAACAGGCGCGGATCGTAAGTTGTCCTTCCAGGGTCATCACTCTGACCGCCAAAGGCTCGAGCTGACATGAGACTTTATCTAGCAACATGGGCGGAATCCTTCACAAAACTCCTTGCTTTCAACCAGACGAAATACGAACGTGTACTTTCAATCGATTCAGACTCTACTCTTTTACAACACATGGATGAGCTCTTCTTTCTCCCCCCAGCCCCGGTTGCCATGCCACGTGCGTATTGGCTTTATCCAGAGAAACAGATCTTATCTTCCCAATTCATGCTTATACAGCCAAGCGAAATTGAATTCTCTCGTATCATGTCTAAAATTGATGACGCTGCAAAAGACGATTACGACATGGAGATCGTCAATCAATTGTACAAGGACAACGCCTTAATTCTGCCGCACCGGCCTTACGATTTATTGACGGCCGAATTCAGAATGGACCACCACCAATGGTACCTTGGCAATGATCAAGAAGTCTGGGATCCAGTCGCTGTTTACAACGAAGCAAAGTTGGTACATTTCTCTGATTGGCCGTTACCCAAGCCCTGGTTGGGCTTCCCCGAGAATTTAGTCCGGGAGAAAGAACCCAAATGTGTATTGGTAGATGGGGTTGAGGACTGCTCCGCAAAAGATATCTGGCATGATATTTACAAAGATTTTAGAGAACGCCGGACAGTAAGTTTGCTGAATGTTTCAAGTGTTTGAGCAAAGCGACTGACAAAAAAAAACAGCGAGTCTGTGATACGACCTCACCGGAAACTCCCAAGAATGCTCGCAGCCGCCGACGGCCACATCGTAATTGAATTTAGCATACTTTCGTGGAGGGGTTTTCTCGTCCTTTTCCTTCTCTTTTGTTTCGCGTGTAAGCGATTTATAAAAAGTTTCTCATCCATTCAGGCACCTGGTGAGACGTAGTGAATCTTCATTCACTCAAAGAATCAGAAACATTGCAAGTAGAATACTGGCGGCTTTTCAATTCGCACCGCATGTAGATAGCATCGCCATTCTCAACGGCTTTACGTTGAATTGTGGTTCCAAAAAGTAGACAGATGAGTGCGGCTGTCACACAATAACTTCTAACTCTTGTGGTATTTCCAAAATCGAGCTGCATCGCGACTGAAGAGATCATACTCTGGGTAGATAGTAGCTGTACTTGCACGTGAACTCGTAAAGCTCGTCAAACCCTATGGCTGTCGTGCCTTGGATGCAGATCAATTTAAGGTATCAACCTCGGCGGTTAGGGATGTTCCAGCCATACCAGTAACGAAGGCATTCCAGTTGGTGTGGCCACTGGTCGATCCACAGTTTCGGTGATGACAACGTTGCCGACGTTTCTCCCAAACTCAGCACTGCCGTGGTAGATGCCGACTCTCCGCTGGAGACTCTATCCCACTTCGCGTTCAAGTTCACCTCGCCGACATTAACAGCGAATGGCTTGTTCTCGGCGAGCAGGGCTAAGTAGGAGATCTTATCCCAGACAACTTCATACGGCCAGAACGCGAGCTACAGCTAATTCACGGTACTGTCGGTAGTCCAGCCATCATCAGAACCAGCTAAGGGCAACGTACCATAGTACCACACGACAAGCTTCTCCTATAAGACGGTAGCGGACCCCGTCTTATACACGTCAATAGTAAAAGGGAGCAGATCCCGCCAGCCGTCGTGGGGCTTGGCCAACCGTGAAATTCTCATAGCTGTCGCCCTCCACGTAGAGAGGCCCGATATGATGGGACGTTCCTCCGAAGTCGTTCCAATATATGAATTTAGACGCAGTCGGTGTTGAGAAAACTCTGCTCCCAGCGAGTGAACCATAGATCACGAGCTGATATAACAAGCAGTTGATTATCCCATCAACTCGAACGCAAATAGGTCTGGCTCGCCCTCCTCTTCACATCCAGTTCTCCTTGCACCTAGGGAGATTGACGTAGAGCTACGGACTGACTGGCATCACTGCAAGCAAGTGAAGTGTCAGCATCCACATTTATTCGTTCTGTGGCGCTGGAGGCTTCTTGCAGAGTATTACTCATTTCTGAGCAACAGTGATCTGGCCCAGTACCGATAAACTCGAGATCAGAGGCACCCACCTAGTTATCTGAGCTTAATTATAAGAGAATGGATAGGATCCTGAGTTTTCTAATAGTTATTGTATTGTAGATGGTGTTTTGAGCTTCCTAAGCGGGGGATCAGGCTCAGGCTGCTAGCCGTCACCGCGAGAACTATTACAGAATTGGAAGCTTGCTGTCCTTTGTTGCGTTAAACATAGATTCTTCACATTGGCTTCGTCGACTTCTTCTCGCAATTGTGGAGGAATCCCTACTTACTGTTCCTATGTAATTGCGGTAAAAACTTGGACACAGAGCTTGCAGCTAACGCGAGTAACAACTATAGCGGCACAAGGTTCAAGAAAGGCGTTCAGCCATCCTAACGCATTGTAAAACTTTTCGATTTTCAAAAAAAGGGTTTGGTCACATAATTGCGGTTATAGTTCTTCCGCAACTGAACGTTGATGGTCAATGTTAGTAGCCGCAAGTCCTTGCGGAAGGCATGCATGTCCTCTAGCAGAGCTGTAACACAGGACCACCTATTGCGTACCGTTACCTTGCGAGAGCTCAGGGTCTTCTGATGTCTCTAGTTACATAGGATGCAGCCACTCTTTACCGGCTTCTATCGGGTTGCAAACAATGGGAATATCTCCTCGTGGAGGATCTTTGACCCATCCCTGTCTGTCCTGTGATATGTGGCATGCATTACGGCCTGTTGGGCCTGCTCACAAGGTGTTACTGGTCATTGGCTTATACCCGACAAACATTTATGGTCGACCTGGCGGGATACACCCAGCAATATAACGTAAGAGCGACTCGTTTAAACTGTCAGCTGTTCCTCTCTAAGTGCTTTATACAACTCTCATTCGCGGATAAGATGTCACAAATTCTGTGCTCCATGTACTTGGCATAATCCATACATGTGTTCTGCCTACCAAGAGCAACTCAAGATCAGGCTCCGCAGAGTCTACTGCTTGCCTTAATAGCAAGAAAGATTTCCGTTTTCCAAAAAACTACTCAAGTCAAAGGCAGTCAAAAAGTGTCAACTTCTTATCACTGACTTTGTGGAAGCGCCTATCAATAACTCCGACTTGCCAGCCTGGCATTTACGAACCATGTAACGATAACACACGATCAGCTGTCGGGTCTAACTCTCCGTCTTGCTATGAGTACGCTCTGAAGCTCCATCGACGGCTCCACCCATAGCCGTAGCGTTATGTCGACATCTCTTCGCCCAAACGACACAGACAAAGACATCACCCTTGATGGCGATATATCGGGGATTCCTCTGCACAACCGACAGAGCAATCATGGCAGACAGACCATGGCCAATAAGAATCCGACGCGTATCTCTATCAATTTTTTGAAGATGTCCCCTTGCTTGGGAAATCACCGTCAAAAAGAATATCTACAATTCGGACATGGTAGCGGTTGCTAAACCGTTTGCTTATCTCGCCATGGGTGCTCTGGCTGTTTCCAATGAATCAGCCTCTTGGAACCTTGGTGTCGGGAACTACTAGCTTATTACTGTCGGCTTCCAGCTAAGCGTTATGAGTTTGTGCCTAACCAGTGTCACGCCGACCCTTTCCATACTCATCGAAGCCAGGTATGGCAAATCTACCATTCAGAAATATGACACAATTCTACGCAAGAAACCGTTGGCTTCGAGACTAAGTATCCCTTGGCGGGTGGTTCTCAGTCTTATGTTAGCACTTCCGATTGGACTCGGCGTCGCGTGCAAAAGCGCTCACAGGCGGTGTGAGTAAGATGAAGGTCAACAACACTGACTACATCTCCAATATAACTTACTGCGGCATGTTCCAACAACCATGCATCATTTCGTTCAATGGTGTCGCTATGTTTTTCAACGCAACTGCGGCATTCCGCGCAGTTACAAAACTGAGCTTGAACGGCTCTGAGCCGCCTCTACCAGTGTTTCCGCACACTTACGGCTACATCATCCTGCCGCAGGGCTTGACACTTTGCAATCCGACTCTTTGGTGGGCCAGTTTTACGGAAATTGTATCAGAGGCAACCAGTCCCGTTGGATGACTCCTTACATGACTACGTCCGTGGCCTCAATGTTGTGATCTCGAAATACACTCCTCCTACCGGAATCAAGAAATTTCCAGTGAGATGCTTTTGGTATGCGTTCAACAAGCTGCTTATTGGAAAACAAAACCAAAATTGCGTAAGAAGAAGTCAAAATCTTTTTACCCAGTCGATCAAACGTTATTCTCCATGTGACTGACGCTGCAGAAACCCCCGTGGCTGTACCTGGTGCTTGCAATCCAGTTGCTCTTGACAGTCACCTTCCTCGGACTGAAAGTCACACTTGATTCGAAAACACTGAGCAGGGGATTCGGCCTCGTCTCAATCTTATCGGGCATTGGCCGTCAGAGTCTTGACAGCCTGGCGGGGGCATCGCTCTCGGGGGAGCTCTCGCGGACTGTAAACAGCAGTATATGAGAAAGAGGGAGAACAAAGCTTGTTTTCAAACCTTCAGAACCGAATTAACCTGTTGGTGTAATCATACGATGGGTACCGAAAGGTCTTTGTAATTCTGAGTTGATGTACCGAGACTGGTTGGGCTAACTGTTTCACCACGGGAGAGAATCTAGGTCTTTTATGAGCCCCTGATGTTCGGTCACGCTCATGGAGAATCTGAAGGGCTTGGCTTGCCTCCTTATAAGCTGGCTGGTGATCTCCAAGTTCTCTACGTGACAGAGTCTCGCAAGAAATCCAACGGTGTCTTAGAGCTGATATAACCAAGACATGTGCATGGCGATGATGGCGTTGATTTCAGAATGATGAAGAGGGGTTATACAAGCTGAAATACTCTTTGGCCCTGCCGCAGTCTTCGTGATGATACACACAAGAGATTATGACAATTCACGGGAACCAGCTGCTGTAGAGCTCACGACAATGTCTCACCAAACCACAATCAAGACCGCCTAGACTTCGTGACCATTTCCCTACTGGCAACGTCCAAGTATCTTAACATGATGACTTGCAGAGTAGGCTTTCAAGGCCTACCTCATCACCTAGAGTTTAGGCTTTTGAGCCAAGGATGAAAATATATCAGATTGTATATCCAAGGGTCTCTTTTCCTGTCTCTGTGCTCCTAGAACCAAGCACATTTCTCTGTTTCTCACGTGCTACTGAATACTCCAGGCTTTAAAAAGCGATGGCCTGTCTGCCTTTGGTCGGAAAAGGCAACATAAATCTAGTTCCAACTTCAGGAAAAACTTCCGAAAAGAGACTGAAGTATATGGTCTACTAGTCTTCGGGCAGTTGAACTTGTCTTTTCGACGGCCACGTTCAGAATCGCTGCAAGTGCAAGGAGCCTGGCTCAAGGAATGACACATAAAATGTCGCATTGCTTTCAGTAGAGTAAACAAACCATGCATGGGCGGGATGACGAGCTTGACATCTGTGAAGTATACCAAAATAGAAGCGAAACTTTATGAAAGAGGTACCTAGGACTGGATAGGGCCTCGATGACCTGTATGGCGAGAAGCTATAATCTCCTTCAGGATGTCTCACCTTTTACCGTCAACAACCTTCCCCAGCTACGGTAGCTTACAGGTCGTGAACTCATTCGAAGAGACGCCGGGTGCCAAGTATTTCCTTTGAAGTAGCACAAGCAAGATCAAAGGCAAGTGCTCACGTTGAGGAAGAGAATTCGGCCAGAACCCTTACCGTACTTTTCTTGTACTAAAATCCTCGCCAAGCATCAAGTCAAACCCATAATGGCAGGCATCCGTAAAAGACTCGGTCGTCTGACAGTTCTATTTTAGCCAGACCAGACACGACCAAGTCCTCGCATTACAGCTTCCCGTCGGGTAATATCAAGCCATATGTTTCCAACAGCAATCTACCCGCACCAAAAGTGCACCATTCCCGTCAAGTTCCGAAACAGAAACCCGTCGGCCGCTCATATCCAAGCGCAGCACAGCCGAAGCTGGTCGTAGGCAGTCGAATCGGAGGAGTTGATTCTGAGCCCTACTTCCCCTGAAGCTGAGAGAAGCCGCCGATGCCTGGCCCAACTCTCCGCCTTTGGTATTTCATTGGCGAGTTTGATGCGCCGGCAACCAAGTGATGTACGTGACTTGAAATGCAGCGTGGCAAGAAAGGGACTCGCTCTCTTGACGAATATCTGGCGTTCCGCGGTACGCAAGAAGGTGAGCTTGGCCCTGGCAACTTCCCATCACCGCATTCGGTTGAATCTGCAAAGAACGAGCAAGCAGTGCTTCACTGGATACTTGGGGTCGGGGCGGCAAAGTGCAGGCGATCGGGGGCTGCTCTCAGTCCAACCAGCTTGCCTCAAATAGATATACAACAAGTAGTCGAAGCTTAAGCATTACATCTCGTGACGAACGATAGCCAATAAAGTTAACATCCCGACGAGCCGGATCAATGGACATCCGTGATCATCTTGGCTTCTTGAGTGATCTTCGTGGCAGTAGGATGCAGCAGGCAAAATCCGGGGCCGCGTTTGGGACCTGGACTCATTTCAATGTCCCAGGAATCTAAGAAGGGAAGGGGCGGACCAAATATAGAGCAGGGTTGACCACGACCTGTCGTTTGAGCATTGTCCCGGAATTGGTTCTTCGCGTAACGGCAGGGCGGTACTGCAACGTCGACAACACCCCAGCTCACAGCAAGGTCCCCGCCAGGCCGGAGAATTTGGACCGCCATTTGTTTGGTCTGGGATCTGGACCGTCTCATTGGAAACCACAGATTGACGACAATGCTCCTGGCCCAAGCCGAAGGATTTCGCGGGACGCGTTTCGGCCATACCCCAGAAGTATCGTGTAATCCTGGGCCCTGTTCACCACATCAACAGCGTCTGGATGGTAATCTAGATCGCCGTTTGGGGATGCGAGCTGATGCTGTCGTCGAATTTGGAGGGTTTGGCATGCAGGCAAAGCAGAGCCACTGCATGTCAGTGAAAAGAACCGCAAGTGAGCATTTTTGACAGGCCAAAGTCTCCTCACTAGAGAGAGTCGAAGCAGGGATGCCATGCGCCATCGGGTGGCTTGTTGTCAGTTGACCGGATCCGCACGGAATGGACGATGTACGGAGTACGGAGTACGGAGTACACTGGTTGTGCAAATTGCTGATCCACATTGAAGATCTCCTTCTCAACATCCACCAACATCTGGCACCATAACTCATGCCTTGGGGACGGAAATCTTCGAAATTTGGATAAGAAGGTGGTCGACTGAAGTACCCTTTCCCATGTCGTGCCTAAGCAGTCAGAACGAATTGCTGTCTCTTCAGGTTTGCCAGCCCGCACGATGCAAGACTCAGGAGGTAGACATGCGCGCTGATGAGGGAAAGCCCGATGATCCGTTCGGCGCACGCGCTGGCCGATCAATCCTGCCAATTTCATGACAAGGGTTATTAATTGAGGCGACAGGTAGCCAATAACGACGAGTCAACGCTCATCTCTGGCCTGTCTACCTCCGTAATGATCTAGAGACATTTCAGGTGTGCAGCACACTCGACTTGAGGTCGTGGTGATGGTGGTTCCGTCCAACATTGCCATGAGATATTGCGTTGTGCGAGGGGTGCAACGCAGGCGCTGAGCAATATGGGCGCGTACTCGTATCGCCGATATGTGGTAACGGCTGGCTGCTGACGAGACGCCGATTCTGATCCTCAGCCTCGCTCCCCTCCCGCAATGTCGTTTTTTTTCTTTTCTTCTTTTTTTTTTTTTTTTTTTTGGGTGCAGTTGCCGCTCCTGCGAACTGAGGAACGGCCCTTAACATGGAAGGAATTCAATGACCGGTGTTGACGGGCTTGATAACGGCTTTTGGTTGGTTTGAACGCGCGAGACCGTGTCCTGACTAGGTAGCTCAAGGCGTCGTCCCCGAAGAAGCCGCCCGTTTCTGGGACTTTGGGAGCGTTAAGAGGGCAGCCAATATAGACAAGGATCCATGATTGTGGCGCGGCCTCTCGCCCTAAAAGGTTACGTTCAGCGTCCGTGAGTACTATTGTAGCATTCGGTGCGTCATCCATCAACATGGTCGACTTCTCAATAGCGATGGACCAGGAATCAAGTTAGCTCTGCAAAACGAGTTCGCGTGCCTATGAGAGCGGGTTCCTCCGGGAGAAGTGGGGGAAACAACAGTGTTCTGGACTTTGAGATATGAATCAACCGAGCTGTCAGCACCCGGGGCGTCGAGGAAAAGACTTTGCCTCGCAGAATGCATTTGAGAGCAATTGAAAAGACGAACCCGGTACGGCGTTGAAAAGTTTGCGAGGGCCGAGACAGCTGAAGAGTTCATACCCGAGCGAAATGGTGGCCCCTGAGTCTTCCCGTCGCGGAGCTCATCAACGACTAGCCACGGCTAGCGTATTGTCTGTCTCTCCAAAAATCGAGCTGCCCGAGTCAAGACGGGTAGGGACGTGGCACAGACGATGATTTGACGGGTGCCAATATGACGAATTGCTGATGACAAGACCACTCCACCTTGCAAGGACAGCTGAAGGATTGCTGCTAAGAGTTTGAGACCATGGACGGCTTTTCCTAGGCCAGCCAGGTGCCAGTGGAGGACAGCCCAGGATGGACACGAAGCAGTCCCGGGGGCCATATCAAGCTGTGTCTGTCTATCCGTAACTTTGGTGCTAAGGCGACTCGGCTGCAGGGATGCGCGGCACACCTTTTCAAGCACCGCACCACGGCTTGGCATCTTGGATGGTCTCTTGCTAATTTCCCTTCCAAGGTTGGGATGCAGCAACGCACAAGGCCGGGAAAACAACCGAATCCTGATGTTGCTTTTGGGCCGCAAATGCATGCATGTCAGCCTGCTCTCTTTATCCGAAGCGCCTTTGGCCGCGAAGTACTGATGGCTTGTAATGAATGCCCTCTCGTTAATGACCCCCGGTAAAGAAAACCGGCCAATGCGAATTGTCAGGCCTGGAAACCTGTCGGGAGCGCGTGCAGGGGAGCTTGAGAAGAACTTTGATTTGCAATCCCGCGGCCGGGCTCGACAGGCACGCCGACAGCCAGGGGTATGAGTGACAAATGGGGCAGGCTAATTCATCTTTTGCCGGGGCTCCGGATCGTCTCTCTTTGGCATGTTCTTTGCTCTCGCCGACAACCTGTGCAAGGTGGCGCGGTTGCTATCCGAGGTACGCAGCGAGCAGCCACAAACACGCGTATATCGTGGATACGCCTCATCCTTGCTTATCGGGCTTCGTAGCCTCCGATCCGACTTCTGCTGTGCCTCCGTTTTGCGCGTGTGCTTTATTGACATGCGGTCGCGAGGCCCGAAGATACATAGATAACAGTGGAGGCGCCATGGGATATTGCTGCTGCATTGCAACATGGTCCGTACCAAGGCAGAGCGACAACGGGCTGCAGGGTACCTAGTACGACCTCTGTTGCGCCATGATGGCATAAACGGGTCTTGGCGATATCGACATGAGCAGGGCACATGCGGAGCCTCCAGAGATAAGTGTAACAGTTGGCAGTAGCACTGAGGCTGGTGATGTAGTTTGTGTTCATCGTGTTCGCGGTAGACAGTAGTTGTGGGAATGTGGGAAGGCCCAGGGGATCGAAGATGGAGATTTATTCTTGGGGTGCCGACTTAGATAGGTGGTATTAGGGCGCCACTTTTGACTTGCGAGGAGTGGAGCGGAGCCTTAGTGCAATGGGCCATGGGCATTGCAATTGGGATGCCACGATGGGCGATCGAAGATCCAACAATGCTGGTGCAGCCAAATTCTGATTCTGGGACTAAGCAGGATGCAAATCTGCCAAGCGATCCTTCGTCTAGAAGACTGCATTGTGTGCCCTGTTAGGGGCGCAGGATGAAGCTGCAGCTGAAGCGACCAGGACTTGCAAACTGCTTCTCCGATACCAACTCTTGTCAGATGGCTGATGAGGTGGATATCATCGAACCAAATCCTTCATCCACGACTTTGGGCCTGGTATCCGAGCAACGGAATAGCCTCCGGTTGTGCTAAGTGGAAGTTAATGGCAACTGGAATGCCAATTGATAACGGAAGCTGGCGTCGAATGTTACTAAGCCGTGGTCGTGTGCTGACAACATGATGGGCTGCCCGCTCTGGAATATGTCTTCATCTCGTCTGTAATCTGTGTTCCTGCTGTGGTGTTAGGTAACTTTGGTCTATCAACGGGGATAAATTCCATCGAAGGTCTTTGGCCGTGTTCCAGGACCTGTTGAAATCCACATTTATTGCGAATCCCGTTGGCAGTCTTGGCAGTCGAGTGGGCCAGTGCAAGGAATGGGACGCCAGCAACAGGCACCGCCAGGCAGGATGGGGAATTGGCGTCTTTGGAGATGGAGATTTCGCTCCACAAGTCCCTGCCGGTAGGGTCGCAAGCAGGCGGGCATCTGTGGTCCTCCTGGCTTCGGCCGTCGTCTCATGCAAAAGAGGGAAAACCATGGCAGAGGCGATCGAAACAGTGGGACAGTGCATGCTTCGTTGGAAAGGCGGCCGAAAGATTATGGCAGCATGTCCGGCCGATGCGCAGAAAGAGGGAGTCGGAGAGAAAATACTTGTTTCGTGCCTCGCCCAACTGGGTCATGATGCGAACAGATCGAAGGCCATTATCAGCGAGCCCAAGACGTATCGATTCTCTCTTCCCGCTGAACCGGTTGTGTTGACATTTTGGTGAGGCGTGGCCGCGAGGAATCCGAACCAGCCCGTGACTGGCATGTTGATGATGGGCTGCTGGGGGGTAAGGGTTGGAACGGTGGCGGCGGGACCGTGGACGTTGGATGTTGAAAGGCACCGTTTCGTTACAGCGCCGCAGTGCTACATGGGGAGATGAGATTATGAAAGGACAGACGTTTTGGTACACGTATTATGGAGATTCGTCGGTCCGTTTTTTCATGTCCTCGAGTAAGGTCAGGTGCGTTGATGCGTGCAATGTGCGAGGAAGGCGGCTGGGACACCCGTTGCAACTGCCCGAACGTGTTCATTTTGTCATAGGGGAAGGAGACACGAAACAAGACGGGACGATTGATTGGCAACGTCTTGCCGTGGTTCGGACGGAAAGAATCTCGTCACGTTCGTTGAACTTGCATTCGCACTTGCTTGCCTGTCCATGAAACCTCGGGACGCACCTGGCCAAGAACTCGCCATCCCAGTTCGTCTGTTCTCCCATACACCTCAGGTTGATTGAGGAGTGAGTGGATATGCCTCAAGGAAGTGACCGCCTGGATTCTGGGGAAGTGCCTTCATGTATCCGTACAGAATGTATCCGTATCCGTAAGGTATCCGTACCTCTCCCGACCTATCTCTGATAGCTACCTTCCACGGCCTGTTTTCCCCAGCAGGCCCTGAAAATTAGGACGAGCTCAACCATCACCTCAATTTTCCTCTCATCTCGATCAAGCTTTTTTACCCTCTCCCCAATTCTCTCTGACATGCCGCTGCCCGATTCACCGTCCCATACGGATACGGGATAGGCGAAATTTCTCCTGCCAAGAAAACTCAATTCACAGGATACCGAAAAGGTGGCTCTGGGTATCCTTTTGTTTTCGTCTGTAAATTTGACACGAAGTCACAGGCATTCAGGCTTGCCCTCTGACTTGACCGCCTTTGGCGGCGTCTTTCCCGCACCATCGGGTTTCCCATGGAGAACCGAGCCCGCCGGGCCCGTCAAGTCTTCTCAACGATTCCGTCCCGCCCGCCCGCCAATTGATGCGCGAAGTATCTATATCGCCAGGCATTGCTCTATGCCACCAACAAGTCCCCGTCGGAGGTTGGCTGCCCTCTAAACTATCTTGTCAGACGCATTGTCCTTTGGCTATCCTAGGCCGAAACCCTTGCCTATCAACCCATCTGGTCTGGCTGCTGCTTACGGAGATCAACAGATTGCAAAGTCCGTACCGCGCTGCGTAGGTCACAGGTCCGCGCCCTCCCCTCCCTCCCCACCTCGAAGAATCCAACCAGAAGGTTACGGGCCCGCGGTTCCACGCTAGGTAGGACACAGCCACGGGAGAGGGATAACTTTGACGTGTTCCCGCGTCCTGGGAGTGCGTCGACTGCGTCGTATACCTTTGTTCTGCCCCACGTTGGAATACCAGAATACCGCCCCTTTGCCCAACCCATGAGCAATGAGCACGCCAGTGGCCGCGACACGAACGCTTAGGCATGAGGTGGTGTGGCATTGGCAATCGCTGCTGAAAGCGATTGGCCATGCCATGGCCATGCCACAACACGCAATTTTGCGGGTTCCGTCAATTTTTTTGAAGAAAGAATTGATTGCTGGCTGACCTTGCCGGGGACAGACAGACTGCAGCTCAGATCTGTAAGTATCGTATCAGGCTCTAGATTCAGTACGGTAGATGATTGCCATCCCCTTCTCGACTTTGTAAGACATGCAGCAAACCCCGTTATTGCAAAAGTTGGTCGTTGCGTTGTTCTGGCTCGGACCTCCGGCGCGCAAGACAGTCAGAGGAGTTGCAGAAGCCACGCCACGACATGCACGACAACACACACAGAGGGCAAACCAGCGGGACGGCGACCGACATCTGCCAAGCAAGCATGCCATAATAAGGTACCTACGGATACGCTCGGGTACCGAGCTAACATGCTGGTGGGCGTGGCTAGCAGAGGTGGGATGTTTAACGCTGCCGGTCCATCTCGTTGCTTACAGATCTCCAGTGTCTGTTCCCGCATCTGCTAACGAAATGGGTTGGGATGCCTCATGCCTCACTGCATTTTCCCTGCGCGTTAGCTGCAGGAGTCTGAGGGTTGCCGTTGTCTGCGTACCCCTACCAAAGCTGGAGCATACAGCAACGTTGTGCTTGGGCTTTTCTTTTCTTTTCTTTCTTCATGGGCATCCCAACTTCCGACTCGTCCGCCCTGTTTGCCCGGCTCTTGCGCTGCAAGGCGCTGGTTCTGCATTGCATCACAGCAAATGGGACCTCGCGACGACACACGCCCTGCAGTGCAGGTTCGCTCCTTGTAGCCTACCGGGCTTAACGGCAACGGCTAAAACTTTTTTTCGTATTCAGCTTGCCCTCTCAGTTGCTGGCTGTCCACAAACGGCTTCAACTTCACTTGCTTCAAGTGATCGGTTGCGCCTCAATTGCAAGTCCTGCCTTCTTGCGGACACACATCTCATTCAATCTTCTTTCCTTCTCCCTCGGACCTCACTCGATGATCCAGTTGGTGACATTCGGCCCGTCGGGGTTAGATGGGGGTTGAACCATTCCTTATCGCCCGATGAAAATTTCATCAGCCCTTTTCTTTCTTGTTGCTTCTGATCCAATGCAGCCTAGTCTGACTACAGTAGTGGCCAGACAGGGGCGGGGGGCGGGGGACACCTCCGATCCAGTCACCACCAGGTAGACCCCCGAGCCAGCAAAGGAAGATCCCGCGCGCGCGCCGGCAGTGTCTTGACACATGAGTAGGTAGATCACCAAGGAGGAGAGACCTCTCTGAGATGCCCATGAATAAAATGTTGCTGTGACGTGAGAATGTACAGTTCCCTTAGACACCCGCACGAGAACAAGCATCAAGGCTGACCCAGGCGATTATGCAGTAAGTACGGATAGAATGTGATGTAATCATCAGAGATTTTGGTACAGTCTCTATGAATGCAGCAAAGATGTACGGATAGACGATAGCACATTTCACATGTTGGCCAAGCTAAGTATGGGGATACGAAATGCCTCCCAGGTCCCGCTGGGGGAGAAAAGAATAAAAACGTGTCAGTGTGTCTTGTGCGGTCTGCCCAGGTGGGCAAGTACCTCACGCATGTGAGTTGCGGATGGATACCTAAGGCGAGATAGTTTTTGGTGATGTTGTAGGAGGAGAGGCATCCATCCAAAGTCCCTAGACCATCATTGGTGCTATCCTAAGCGAGGAAACGTTGGTCAGGGAAACTTGAAGACACGAGAACCCACCAGCAATTCTTTCTCTTCGTTCTATTCTATTTCTCCCTGGGTTGCCCTCTCAGCTATGTATTGTCGGTAGACGCGCAGGGCCGCGTGGAACAGAGGTACATAGGGGACGCAGACGCAGCTTACACCGCCCATCCCAACAGAGCTGTGGTCAGACCTGTGGCAATGGAAGCAGGACAAGTAGACTGACTGTCTGTCAGTTGGCAATAGACAAGCACACAAGGCCTGCAGGCATTGAAAGTGAAGTGACCGCCAGTGCCGCCCAGCCGCCCCAATCCAATATGCACCACGTCCCGGTCAGTCTAGTCTAGTCCAGTCCATCCCAATTGCAACCCACTTTCGATCCGATTGCCATCCCATCCCATTCCATCCGTTCTCGCCGTCCCCATCCTCTCTTGTCTGTCCACGTTTAGAACGGTGAACCCCATCTTTCTCTCTCTCTTTCTCTCTCTCCTCTTCCTCTCGCCGTGTGTCTATTCTGTCTCAGTGAATTTGTGTATGTATACCGAATTGGACACCAGTCAAGTAGTTTGTAAGGCACCTACCTTAGGTATCCGTGCGGTAGGTACGACGGTACCTACCGCGAGAGACGATCCCTCGTCGCCAGCGCCTACATTCACGCTCCACGCCCGTCCTCCCTCCGACCCCTGTCCCTCCCGTCCTTATCCTGCCTTCCGCAGACGCCGCCCACCTCATCCTCCATCTCCCCAATTCACCCACGCACGGCACGGCCTCACTGGAGACTTTTCTCTGCTCCTGCTGGCACCGCGTGGCTCTCTCCTCATCCCATCATCCCAATTCTGTCACCGCACCTCCCTACAATCCCCTACCTCCCTTTTACCTGACCGTGACTTCCCTAACTGGTACCCGCAGAGGTGTCTTTGCCCGAAACACACCACGCCTCTTACACACCTCCCGCACAGCCCGAGGTACCTCACCTGTCCCTTGGTACCTGCCTGCTTGCTTTACTTTTAGACGCCTCCTCCAGCCATTGCCGCTCTCCACCACCTTGGCTCACTCACCCTCCTTCTATCATCCCGTCTCATTCTCTATCCTCTATCCTCTCTACCTCTTCCCTCCATATCCTCGTTGTTTCTTTCGCACCGAGCGAGACTGTGTTTGTCTTACGAAAACGACAGACAGCTCAATCCTAACCAGTCTCCTTTTCTTTCTTGTAATCCTAAAATTCGTCATCTCCTTCGACGATCACGCCCCCCCTCCCCGTTCTCTGTCCTCCCCAAGACTGGCCAGTCTTCGAAACACAACACCAGCTCGGGGCAGCCAATCCATTCGTTACATAGACAGAAACTTGCTTGCACATTCACATTCACCTTGCGGCAAGCTGTCGACAAGTGCCCTCAAACCTCGCATCATCCCTTGACTGTGCTCCGCGGCAGCTGTTATTGTTGTTGCATCGCATCGCCGTTTCCAAAGGCCCATCCAGTTAGCCCACTTCAGCTCGACCAGCCGCCCCCGACTTCGACTAGCCACTACAGGCGACACGTTCGTTAATTCTGCTGCATCGAGAGAAGCCTTGGTTTTCGATCCTGCGCCACTAGACTACCAGAAACAAGAGAGACTGTCGACCCTTCGCCGAATCGCTTCATTTCCGTCGCCCCAAACCCACGCCCCGATACGCTTGCCAGCGTCGAATGGGTCTGACGCCCGACGCACCCACAGACGCGCCCACCTGCCCACCTGCTGCCGCCTAGTAAGGGGATTCGGAACACAGGAAGCAGAGGAAAGGAATAATCAACCACCTGTGCGTGTGCGATACACGGGTCGCTACACCCAGTTCGACCGTAATCGACGATTGAACGAAGCCACACGCTGGCCCCTGTTCCATTCGGCGTCGTTATACAAGGCCAAAAGCCGTCTGTCTGCGTGGTCGCGAAAGAGGTGTACATAGGGTAGAGCAGGCGACCATTTGGCCCAGCCCACCAGCTAATCCACAATTGGGTCCATCATGGCACCCATGACGCCCCGGCTCAAGATCCTCTCAGGTGCGTCCCATTTCTTTCCTGGCTTCCAGTCTTCCCGCCCGCTCCAGTAATTGCTTCTTCTTGCATCAGTGCGACGGTGTGGATCGGAATTTTGTGTCCCTTTATCTCTACCCGTCAGCCCGGCTTTTCTCCTCCCCATTGCACCTTTCCCATCGCAGACCACACTCGTTTTTCTTCCCCTCTGTTTTTTTCTTTCTTAGTATACCCGTCAATTCAGGGACACAGGGACCGGTGCTCTTGCATCGTGTCGAGTGCAATACAGAATGGCCGACGACAGCGAGCTAATGAAGACGTGTGTAGTGGGAGGAAATCCAGTTTCTGCCTTTCTTTCATGGAGATTACAAGCGACGAATGCTTGCGACGTTACACTGGTGTGGAAGTCGGGATTCGATCACGTTGCGCAATACGGAATTTCATTCAAGTACGTCGCCCTTTTCTCTCCTGTGACCAGTGGGCGCACATCTAATCAAATATTCCCAGGTCTCCCATATTCGGGAACGAACGATTTAAGCCGCGACATGGTAAGTTCCCAATCCTCGATTGAGGGTAAGGGACTGGAACGTTGCTAATATTCTGAACCCGCAGTTGTACGCGTTCCCGAAGAAGCCGCACACGGCGGTGGCCCATTCGATTACGTGATTCTCTGCATCAAGGCTCTCCCCGACGTTTACGACCTCGCCGCCGTGATTGACGCCGTCGTCACTCCTCAGCACACGTGCATCCTTGTCAACACGACCCACACTCTTGGTGTCGAGGCCGCTATCGAGGAGCGATTTCCTACCAACGTGGTGCTTTCCCTGGTTTCCAATGCCGAACTTTCTCAGCTCGGCCAGAGCGAATTTGAACACAAAGGCTCAACGGAAATCTGGGTCGGACCTTCTTGCAAGAATGAGAACATCCCCGGCGCAATCCAGGGGGACATGGCAGAGGCATTGGCGATGACATTGAACACTGCCCAGGTTGACTGCAAAGTTTCCCAGAACATCCGTCAACAACAGTATGAGCGGGTCATTGGGTAAGTTTCGATATGTTTGGGCCTCATCTCGCAGCCTCGCTAATTTGTCTCTAGACCTATTGCTTTCCACCCCGCCAGCGTCATCTTCGAGACGGCGAGCCACGCCCAATTGCTCGAGAAGGTTGGTGTGAAGGACCTAGTGACCGGTGTCATCGACGAGTTGCTTGCTTTGGCAGACGCACACGGCTGCAAGTTGTCTCCCGACTTCAAACAAAAGACTATTGACGAAATGACGAAACCCACAAACTCCGAGAGTATCATGTGGCAGGACTACATCGCAAAGCGACCGATGGAAGTAGAGACGTACTTGGGCTCACCGATAAAATTGGCCAAAGAGGCCCGCGTTCCCGTTCCTCGCATTGAGTCGCTCTACGCCATTCTGCATAACCTTAATATTGTCAACCGCCAGAAACCGCCCAAGCCTATCGATGCAACAATGGCACCTCCTGGTTCGCCAACACCTCAATCCCCCCTCCCGAGGATGTCATCAGCAAACGGTGCCCGACCCATGATGAACGGCAATGGCATCCCCCCGAACCGAGGACCGCGCCCGCGCAACTCATCAAACCTGGGTCCGGGACCGCCGCTCAGCATGCGTCGACCCCCCACGAACGGTGGCCCTCACAATGGTTTCCCTCGCGGTCCCCCACCACCGGGATCTCGGGCTGCGTCGAGACGCGGGTCTATGGAAGGAAACGACTTGGAGGAGTTCTCACATCTCATGATGTACGACGATATTCCGGAGGGTGGAGAACCTGGGTACAGCCATGGCCCCGAGGGCTCCGAATTGGCGATCCGCGAGCGTGAAATGGAGTTGCGTCAGAGAGAGCTGGCTTTGAGAGAGCGCGAGATGCGAATGAGATCGAGGGGTCCTCCCCCAAGGCGAGGCCCGCACCCAATGCGCAATAGCGCTCAAGTTTTCGACGAGGAGGATGACGACGACGACTACTTCGACCCCAACTCTGGACCTCCGGTTCCGATGATTGACCCAGACAACTTCGATATGATGAGCGTAACCTCACGGAAGACCCGGAAGGCAGCAGCAGCACCACCACCCACCCGTGCCCAGTACCACAAGAACGAGATTTACGATGCTGGAGGAGCACCAGCTGCCAGATCCTCCCGATTCCGCCCCAACTTTGGGCGCAATCGTTCGAGCCAGATTGCTGGTATCCCTGGTGCGAATGAAAACATCCTGGACGACCCCCTATTTTCCTACTCATCGAATCGGTACGGTGCCGTCGACAGAGGCACGATGCAGGCAGGCTCGAGAGCAAACTCGCTGACGGCCTCACGTCTGGACGAGATGCAAATGGGTGGAGGCCCCATGGCCATGGGCATGAATGGAGGCTTTCCGCGACGAGCTAGCCAATCTCCCGGAAACCCATACAGTCCCTCGATCCGAGGTGGCAGCGGCCGACCGTCGCCACCAAATGGATACCACGGTCCTCCGATGAACGGTCGCCCGTCTCCTCCCGACGGCATGCGTCAGCCCGTGCCCCGATACCCTCCCGGCCATGGTAACGCAGTCGCGCCACAGGAGGTTGAGCAACATATCGGGGTGAGCGGTCTTGTTCCTCCACCCAAGCAGAAGAACATGAGAAGTCTGACTGGTAGTGCAAGCGCCAGCGCGGGCAGTGGTGAATCACAAAATGGCACCGAGCCCTCGGCTCACAGCAGCCAAAGCAGTCTCGGACAGAGACCGACCATAGGAGTGCGGTAAAGTCGCTCACAAGGCTGCTTTGATCGCTCTATTGCATTGACGACGGCACGGCCGGCCACATGGAACGACATGGACTTGCTTTGGCCCGATTGCGACCCGACCCGAACACGACGATCACGTCTCCGTCTCTCTACATATTCATGGACCCAGGCTTGCGCTTGCATCCCGTTGGCCTCAAGAGGTCTCTCCACTCCATGGGAGTTCCTCACATATCGATGCGCGGCAACATGATGACGACACGAAACGATTAGACAGCATTCGGTCTATCATTCGCGGCAAACCACATAGTTAATTCGACGACTTTTCCTTTTTCTCAATCGGACGCAAGTCCAGTACATACGGCATTGTGACGATGGGGGCAAATTTTCTTCGACTTCTGGTAATAGCAGCATTGGCGTGGACGACATCGATGTTCTTGTTCGGCAGAGGATAACCAGCGTTGGGGGTTGGATAGTAGACGACGTACCGGCAAACCGATGGCCTCGGACTCGTATTCGCACCGAGCTCGGATCAAGGACAACAGTGGACGTTGAATCTTACCATCCTCAAGCCATCTTGGGCGATGCAGGAAGTTGGATGTGTATAAAACGGAACGCCTCTCTGGGCAGTTTCCCTTTCTTTTGTGTCTGTCCTTTACGAAAAACTTTTCTTTTGAGGCCAAGGCACAGCCACGGCTAGTTACGTCGAGGTTATTACAAGTAACGAGCATAGACAGGGGGAGCCGGAGATGGTTTTGATCCGGCAATACAAAGATGGGCAATATTATTGCATGGTCGCGCACAACGATTGGGAGGACATGCTCAGACTGAAGCCTCTCTTTACAAGGGATTTTGGCTTACCATAATTTTTAGTTTCCCGATGTTGAGCGAAGGGTGACAAAGGGTGGAATCCATGGGGATGAGGAGGCAAGGTGTGTAGGGATGCAAAGTTTAAGGGGCAGGCAAGTAGGCAGTCCCTTTAGGGGAGTTCAAATGAACGCAATGGAAGCCAGACACATGCAAGACTTGCATCGTGAAAACAAACGTGATGTCTAGCAGGCTTCTCTTCTGTGGGTGTGTGCGCTACACTTTGACCCCTATTCATGGTGACAAGTTTGGTCGAGAGTGTATGTGTAGGGCTAGCAGTATCCGCGGATGGATGGCTTGTTACAATGCACACGGGATCTACGGAGTTCGTCCAGGAGACCGTCGCTCCGACCGAGGCTTGTATCGGGCACGACTCATGAGACGCTGGCATGTTGATGATTCAGAACTAAGACGTTGTTGTCGACCTGAGGGGGGAAGGGGGGGTTAGGGGAAGAAGGGGTTGGAAGGCGCCAACCGAAGCCACCATCTTGCGAGTCGCCCCGAAGCCGAGGAAAGAAAGGAGAAGAAGAAGAAAGCTTGGGAAGGAGAGGAGAGTTACGCCGTCGACACGTGATGAAGGATATCATCGGTGAGAGATGGGCAACGTGACATGCTACGATTTGATGTGATGGTTTGACATGATACGATGTGATTTTTTACGGCAGTGTCCTCTCACCCTTCTGGAAAGGGCGCTGTTCGGTATTCAGGGGGGGGGTGCTCTGCCTGGACTCCTGGAGGGATACCTTATGCCGTGCCGGGGAGCCGGGACAGTCTGCCCTGGCAGGCAGACATGCCTGGAAGTGACAGCTACGCCGAGAGACTCTTTCTGTGTTTTGCTCGCTGCCCCTGCAGCGTGCGTCTCTCCGGGGCTCCCTAATCTTATCAGCCACGGCCCAGGTACCTTAGGTGTGGGAAGCAGCGAGCCGGAGGGAATGGCTTTACACGGGCCACACAAGTCGACAGGCACCTGCCAGCTGCCAGTCTGGAAACTCAATGACGAAAGGCGCGAATCAGATGTCGGCGTTTTGTTTACTTTTCCCCACCTCACCATGCAGAGTCCCCCCCTTCCCCTCCCCGCCGGCTGCCGTCCGACGACATCCCAAACAATTTGCCATTTTGGAGGAACGGCTTTTGCGTCGCGGCATGAATTAACGACCGTCTGTTAAGAAATCCCCCTCCCCCACCAAACCACTCGCCCGCTCCGCTCCGCCCCCAAAATAAAAAGGCGTTTGGACGAAAGGACGGGAAGAGAGCAGAGCAAAAGAAAAATACGCAGGGGGGTTTGCATGAACCATCTGATGAGTTGTCGATTACCCTGCTCTCATTTTTCTTGGCGCACCACCTACCTTACCTTACCTACGCCTATTTTACCTTGGGGTTGAGGCTCTGCTGTTATTGTTTCGGATTCACGACGACGCGTGGATACGAAGGCGGCGACTTTTTATTTTGCGCGTAGTTTCAGTCGTGAGTAAGCCAGCACGAGGGGTTGCTCAATAGCGAGCTTCAAGGCTTCGACACCATTCTTCTTCCTCTGAAGGATTGTAGCACGGAGGTGTTGTCATCACCCAGGGAGTCGAGTCACGATCTCCTACACCACTTTTCCTGCAGCGCTTAACGGGAGTACGCAAACGAAAAAGCACGGGAGGATAAGATGGCGTCGAGGAATATCGGCATGGGTCAGACCACGAGACCGTCCATGTCGTCTAGCTCCGGCAACGCCATGAAGACGCGGCAGTTGGTAAGTGTTCTTTATCTCGTGTTACTTTCTCCTGGTCTCGTGGGATGCAGTGGTATCGAAAGAAGAAGAGGTGGAGGAGGGAGAGAATGAGACGCGCCGGCGGGCAGGAAATAGGCCAGAGATAGGCTTCATTTGTGCTGACGAGGATCGTTTATCGCAGACGCACCTTCATTCCCAGCTCGCACAGCTGTCTGCCAACCTCGCCGACACAGAGAACTTGGTTCGTATGACGAGCGTCCAGGCCGAGAGCATGCGTGGCTTGGGGGCGTGGCACGGTGGGATGTGAGTTGTTTCCTTCTTCTTTTTCTTATGTGCCTGTTCTCTCAGTGATCCTTTTGACTTTTGCTGTCGTGCTTCCAGCCTCTCTTTGACGCTGGGCCGGTCATCCCCACGGCTCGAGTCGGGTCACGGTTGCTTTGGAGGCGATGAGTACCTGTTTGCTAACGGGGACGCGATAATAGGTTCATGGCTGCGAGTAAGGTGCTCGGGGAAGAGGCCATCAACCGCGATGCGGCGGCGCAGGCGAGGGGTGGGCAGAGATGAGGGAGGTTCTCGGGGACTTGAGGAGAGAAATGTGATGCAGGGTTGCCAGACGGTTTCCGAACGCTGCCAGCAGCGAGAGGCTCTTCTGTGCGTTGTTACAGAAAGGAAAAACGCTAGATGGCTGGTTTTTACATGACGATCAATGAATTTCGAGCAAGGCACAGCAGGATGATGTCCATTCTGTGCAGGACGGGCACGGGTCGGCGTAGCCAGGTCTCTGGTGACGTGATGGGTGCTGAAGGTTGAAACCGTTTGCTTGACATGACACCTCGGTACGGGAAACGGCTTCGCATATCAGTTTTGCCTGGTGTCTTGGTAGTGTCTTTATGTGCTTGCCCTTGACTCCTCTCCTCACCCTTTTAGATTCTGAACCCGCGGAATATGGACCGTCAGCCAGTCGTGCTTCGAGTCCTTGCCCTACCCAGGAGTAAACCCCTACCCAGTCACCGGGCCCTGAGAGAGGGAGATGGAGACGCCGAGATATCCCCGCCCTCTTGCAAGCTGAAACTGGTCGTAGATGGCGAACCTTGGTTGGGGGGAAGGGGTTTCCGGGTCCCCATCGCCTGTGCCATGATACTTTCCGGATGCTCCGATACAGCCATCGCACCGGGGCCGCCAGCAGAGGACGACAGACTAGCAAACGAGCATTTCGTGTTCCATGATGATCAACCCTGCCGTTCTCGATACGGCCATCGAGGTTTCGTCGATGACGTGGCAGGGAGTTCCATCGCGCGAGACATCGGTATGCCGGCTCACGGCGATGCTCCCGATCATGAGCATGAGATGAGGCCTTTGCTCTTTCTTAGTTCCTTGTAGGAGGGGGCGGCGGCCGAAACGGCATCTGTGAAGCGTACAGCACCAAGCCCTCTTGGTCTCGGGGAAGATGAGGGCTGCAAGTGCGTAGGACTTCCTCGTCTAGGTCCCAAGAGGTCGCCCGGGGAGGGGGGGGGGGGGGGGGGGGGGCCCGGGGGGGGGGGGGGGGGGGGGGGGGAGGGATACAGAGGGGTTGTGAGGGTGGGGGGGGCGCCGGCAAGAAGGCGGGGGTGGGGGGGGGGGGGGGGGGGGGGGGGGGGGGGGGGGGGGGGGGGGCAGCGCGCGCGGGGACGGGCAAGGCTGAAGTTGGTTAAGGGAGGATGTATGGGGGTGGTGGCGCCCGTAGAAACCGGGAGGTGAGGCGTCAAGGGGTCAGACCTCACGGAGAGGAACGCAAGATGGTTATGGGAGGAGTGGGTGGCGAAAATTTTGATGGTCCAGCAAGATAGCCGGAAGGGACTCTAGGTAC